TTGGGTATCACGACCCATGGGTCCGCCTCGGGTCGCGGTGCGCCCGCAAAGATCTCCATTACGCTGCGTGAAGTGGACGCCGATGGCGAGGCCACCTCCGGATCCTGACGCAGCGACTTGGACACCGCCCGACCTACTCCCGTGCCGGAAAACTCGACGTTGACGGTGGTCCCCGTGGCGGACAGAGCGGGTCCAGACTTGGGCACCAACCTCGCCGGCGGTCGCAGGGCTGAGCCCCGCCCGCGGCTCGACGACCGCATCAGCGCCGTTGGTCGTCGCCCTCCTTCCTGCAGTTGCGGCCCACCAAACAGCTTGGAGATCGGTGCCATCAAGCTCGCTGCCGTGAATCCCGCCTCCTTCGCCGCATCGCCACCCTCCGACTTGGATGGATTCATGGCTGCCTCGCTTATCTTCGGCGCAATTGCCGGCTCTAATATCACCTCGTTCAGCGTCACGCGCATCTGACCCATCTCCGTGAATGCCTCCTTTAGGAGCTTGAACAACACGCGCAAGTCCCTCCGCGTGCACGATGTCGTCACCTTCTCGTCCTCGAGTAAGCTCCGATAGTGCGTCCGCAGTGCCGTTGCATCGTGCACGATCGCGTCGACGGTCGTGCGCGATAGGTGGGCGACCATCTCCGTGCCGCCGAGGTGCTGCCGCTTGAGCCGGTTCGAGAGCGTGAGCGCGTCGGCCTGGGTGAGTCGGTGTAGGAGCGTGGTCGCGCGCTCAAGAAGGGAGCTCATCACGGCCGACTGGTTCGACTCGGCGAGGGAAGATGATTCGGATGGGCCTTCTCCCGGCGAAACGGAGGACACGCGGTCACTGTACGCGGGTGCGGATGGTAGTCCCGGCGTCAACAGGCCCGACCACACGTCAGTCTGTACGCCACGTTCTCGTGTGAGTAAGATCAGAGGACGTATAGACCGGCGCCGCTCGGTTCTGGCGTTCAGATCGCCTGGCTGGTCGTTGCCTTCTTCACCTTCGCTCGGTGGCGTACGCCCGTCGTGCGGCTGTGTAAAAGCCGTCCATTTCATTTCACTGGGGACAACAGAGGATGCGGGGGACAATGGTCGCCGGTAATATTCGGGGCTCGTCGGATCCGTGCTCAAATACGGGCATAGGTCCCTCAACAAGAACGGCCCGAAGTTTCGCGGTGCGTGGCCGACACACCGATCCAATCACGAGCTAACTCAGCGCGTCATCGGCTTGACCTGAACTCCAACCTCGTACGCGTCTTGACGGGGACAGACGCACTACAACAGCTCTTGATACCTCGCCGTGGGTGAAAGGATTATTGTACTGCTAGTAGCCTGACGCCTGCCAAAGAGGTAGCTTGGTTCCTGTTGATAGATCCTGCGTTCATGGCTTCGAGGAGTTGATAGGGCGTTCGCCTTACTCAAAAACGATGAGCTTAGTCCCTGCCGCGCAGACGGCGTACCTGTACGAAACGCGAACGCGGCATGAATCACCATCTTCGGACATCCATGCGGCGTACCCAATCTCGACTCCGACCATGCAGCGACCGCATTTCCTTAAGCGCTCGGAATACGGTTCACTAGCACATACGCTAGTTATGCGTATACGCGGCAAATGCGACAATGCTATCACGCCCGTATCACTGTGATCGGGTCGTCACAGAGCTAGGAACCTTATGAGCGCTTATCTTCACCGATACGGTAATGTCTTGAACTCAACGGACTGCATCTTACTGACGGTCTCACGTTGTCTTTAAGGACTTCGAACACGAGTTGAGGATGTTCGTTATCTGACCCGTGCTGTCCAGAATAGATACGAAGGGGGTGGCTTTCCCGAAGAAGTTTTCCATGCGCGTGCGACCTACATAAAGGCCGTTTCGAGGAATCCCCCCGTTTCCTGACCACCACCACCACCACCAACCTGATACGTCCTTTAAAACAACGATCGTAACATGTCCAGCAGGCCAATATGCCACTTTTACAACAAGCCAGGGGGTTGCCGCCGAGGCGCCTCCTGCAAGTTCGCGCATGTGGGCCCGTCAGCGCCATCGTCACCTGGCGCGGCGGGCCCCAGTGCCACTTCCTCACGTCCCTCGTCCGGCAGAGGCAATATCCCCCCAGGAGTTTGCTCCTTCTTCTGGGCGGGCAATTGTACGCGGACCGATTGCCGCTTCAAGCATGAAGTAAACCCCAACACCGCTGGTGGTCCGGCCTCTGCTGTGGGAAACTCTGACGGGGTTGCCGCTCCTGTCGTCAGTTTCCTCACAGAGGCAGGACTCGCCAAGGTCATGGATTCGGGGACGGACGTCTTCTTCGCTTCGTCTCAGGCAACAACACCGTCACACGTACACGGCGCGCTTAGACGCTTTCTTGCCGACGACTACCGTTTTGGCAGTGTTCATCAAATATACGCCTTCGTGACGTTGTTATCGAGTGCGAACTCTGCGGCGAGTCCGTCGTGGGTCCGTAGCATGTGTCTGGTAATCGGCATGCGCTCATCGACCCGTTCACAGACCGTCGAAGAGGGACAACTTCTCCTCAACAAGATCGCTACCGTAAGTCGCGTGTCCCTTCGAACGCCCGTGTTGACCAGAGCATCCCAGGGCAACGGCCTGAACCGCTTCTCTGACATCATTCAATACCCCGAGGTATCCATGAATGCCGGCTCTTTCAAGAACAAGCTGTCCTTTCAACGCGGATACGTCCCCGCGCTACAGGTAAGCCCAGGATCCATTGCGTGTACGATTACAAGCTCAGGTTCTCGTGACAGTATCTCTCGTCGGAGTTCGTGGTGAAAAGCACACTAAGTCATCTCGTCAAGTATGTCATGGCGTGGATTATCGACCGTCCGCTGACGTGTTAATTTCAGCGCGCTATATGCGTTGGTCATGAGCAACTTCGAGCATTTTGCCGACGTCGTCGAGGGGTCGATGACTCATGCAATGACTAGACGCAGCTTCCGCGATCTGAACGTAGCTTCGTCCAAGGAACTCGTAGGGAGCATGGTGCTGGGAGCCCTGTCGGAGGTATTGTTCGAGTGAGGGACATGCGTGTTCTCTTTTAGCGTTCTGGGCTCATGTTTATTAGATGTATCACCCGCTTCAAGAACGCGGCAGCGACGCATCCTCGGCTCGTTCCATTGATCATGCACGTTCAAGAATGGACGGAGACCTGGATACAGGTACGTATCAGAGCTTACCGAAGGTTTGCGATTGCTTGAGATGTCACCCCCTTAGGGTATATCTACTGCCCCGCCCGTGTTCGAGGATCCATTCAAGGATATGCCTGCCGAGGGTCGCGAACACGTTTTACGACACCTCAAGGGCAGAGTTGACAGGATCGCCCTCATTGGCGAACGGGAGCGCACTAGGCTTGAGAAGGCCGCTCGCCCTCGCAACGCATTGACGTTCACGAGGGGCGCCGGTGGCTCATCCGAAGGTATCATCGCGGCTCTTCAGGCCAACTATCAGGGTCCGGGACAAGAGCGCGCCGAAGGGCCGCGCCACGATAACGATTTTTCTGACATCAGAGACATACGCATTGCCCCCACAAACGAGGAGTTGGTGTGCCGTACCGAACCCTATCTACCCGCAAATTTCTATAACGCTCCTCATCACCTACCGGCAAACAGCGTGGAGCGTCTGCTAGACATCCAGTTTCGCCTCCTTCGAGAAGAGCTTACCGCTCCTTTGCGGTCCTCGATTCAACTCGTCCACGACGATCTTCTGTCCCGCGGAAAGACACAGGTCGCGGAACTCATCAAAAAAGGCGGCGGCAAATATCGCGGACATTCCGGTGATCGAGACAATGTTATGTTCAATGTCTATACGAACGTCGAAGTGCAATCCTTCTCGCCCGACAGAAGGGGCATAAGCATTGGTCTGTCCTTTGACGCCCCACCCGGACGGGCGCGACTTCCTCAAGCCAAGGCCAGGGCGGCGTTTTGGGATAGTGGCAAGAGGCTGATGCAAGGAGGGCTTATAGCGCTCATCTGGAAGTCAGGTCGCAATGTTGCTGTCCACCTCGGAATAGTATCCAGCTCGCTCCAGGATATCACAGAAAGCGCAAGGAGATCCGCAGATCGTATATTGACCTCCGTGGTTTTTTTCGATCCGTCGGTCGAACTCAGGATGTTGAATGGGCTGAAGCACCCTGAGAACGATAGTCAGAGCACGCAATTACTCATCGAGGCGCCGGTCATGTTCGAGGTACGGTGTACACGCTGATTGTGTGCTTTGCCGTGACTAACAATTCAATGCAGTCAATTCGCCCATTCTTGGAAGCTCTACAACGTATAGAACCAGCGTCAATTCCTTTCGCGCGGTATCTCGTGCACCAGCCCCCGGAAAGCTTGCGCTCAGTAGTCGTCTCCCCGCCGTCATATGCATCCGTGCCCGGGTTCACGTTCAGATTGGATTCTCTGTTTCCGGAGTCTGCAAGGGTGGAAGATCTTCGACTGTCGGTTGCCGTACTTGCATCGGTCGAGAACGCTCGTCAGCTGCTACAGCAGAGCAGCAGGCTGGACCCTTCGCAGGCAGATGCTGTTGTCACCGGTGCGTTTGTTGCACGTTGAATGCTCACGACTCAACATATCGTTCACGTTTGGTTATAGCGTTGACAAGGGAGCTCGCGCTCATACAAGGGTATGTAATCATTCACGTCCTGTTCCGACTATCACCCGCTTATTCACGCTTTCACGTCATAGTCCACCTGGTACGGGCAAAGTGAGTATGCTCCGAGACCTCGATACTGTATGCTGAAAGATTCGCGATTAAGAGCTACACAGGCGTCGAGCTGCTGCGCGTACTCATCAAGAACGGAATCCGGCCTATCCTCATGATTGCCTTCACGAACCATGCCCTCGACCATTTACTGACCGCGGCCTTGGATGCGGGAATCACGACGAGCATCGCTCGATTAGGGTCAAGGTCCGCCGACGAACGCATCGCGAAGTACAACATCGAAGAGATCGAGAAAATATCGGGACGTTCCCGCCTTGACCGAGAATTCTCCCGCAACTATCGCGAGTTAAAGGACGTCGAGAAGGAGTTCGTGGCGCTCATGCAGCAGTTCCTCAAGGGGCGCATTGAAAGTAGCCAAATCACGGATCACCTTCAGATATTCTATCCCGAGTTGTATGAGGGTTTCCATAACCCTGTCCCATGGATCGCGCATTTGTATCATCTCTCCAATCGACACGACGGCGGTGGCCCCTGGGAAAGACAAGGAAAGGGACGCGTTGAAGAAGTAGACGATTCCATGTATGCATACTGGAGACAGGGGTTGGACCTGACATTCCTCTCGCAACCGGGCTCATACCTTGAGCCGGATGCTAAAGTGGATGTGACGCAGATATCAGGAGAAGTCAAGCGTCCGAACAACCATTTCGCTGTTCTTGCCGAAGAGCACGAGGCCATCGGGGCACAAGTCGCGGACACCACCTCCGATTCGGACTTGGATTCAGAGGCAGGTACTGCTGTTGACGACTCCTCCCCCTTGGATGAACTCTGGCAGCGCAGTGTTCTACCTACAGCACCGCGAAGTGAACCGGACCTTGTGGAAACCGTGAAATCTCTGTCACTTGAATCATCTGCCGAGCCATTCATCGCAAATCTGGACGTCAATGATCTCAACGACCCCATAGCTTTCTTCGTATATTTTGGTTACGATTCCGTCCCCTCGATACCGGTATCGGACCGACCTTTGGCTCGACTTCTTGACGAAACAGATATTTGGTCGTTCTCAATGCTTGAACGAGAGCGCCTAGATGCTTACTGGACGGGGGAGATCCGTACTCAGCTTCACGAAACACAGCTGCGAGAGTACGAGAGGTTGCGGGAACGACACACGGAGATGCAGAAGCGATATGACGAGGGCAAGAATGAGGTGAAGCTTCTCTGGTGCATGAATATTGGTCGTGAGTCTGAACACCGTGATTAGATACGTCGACAACTCTTGAACGGGGTCGACATCATTGGCGCTACAACGACGGGTACGATAGTCCATGCATGAGTTAAAGGTAGCTAACATATGACTTTCAGGTGCTGCAAGATTGACGGCCCTGCTGTCCTCTATTGGCCCCAAAGTCATGCTTGTGGAGGAAGCGGTGAACCGTCGCTCTAGCACTGTATGGTGGCGGCCCTCTAATTATGTCTTCAGGGCCAAGTTCTGGAGACGCATATCATCGGGAGTTTGACCCGTGCTGTGCAACATTGCATTCTCATCGGCGACCCTTTGCAATTGCGGCCCACGCTAAACAACTACGGTGCTGCCTCCCTGAATCTAGTGAGCATTGGTTGCATGCTAACTTGCAGGTTACAGCACTATCAATGGATAACCCTCGTGGCCGGCAATTATACAAGTTCGATCAGTCGCTGATGGAGCGCCTCTCGAGTGGAGGGTTCCCGATGTCACGTATTGACGTACAGCGACGCATGCGGCCCACAATCTCAAATCTTATCAGGCAGGCATTGTGCTCAGCGCTCTGTCTAGCTCTAACATGCTCTGCAGGAAAACCCTTTACCCAACTCTTGAGGATCATGATCTTGTCAAAGCTTATCCACATGTCCGAGGATTGGCCAAGGATGTCTTCTTCTTCACGCATAATCACAAGGAAAATGGAGGTGGAGAAGAGTCCTCCAGCAAATTCAACACCTTCGAGGTACGAACGGCCTGACGACTTTGGGACAGCTTCTAACCATCGCGAAGGTCGATATGATCAAAGATCTAGTGTTGTATTTGCTTCGTCAAGGATCTTATAGCCAAGAGGGTGATATCGTTGTTCGTGGGGCAGAGCTTGGTTTCTCGCTTTGTTCTCATGAGTCAAACAGGTCCTCTGCGGCTACCTTGGACAATTGGCTCGCGTTCGAGATGCCCTGGCTGGTGAGGTTGCCGTTCTCATTGATGAACGGGATCAGGCCGATCTTGCCGACCACGAGGCCGAAGCGGATACAAACGACCCAGTTGTTGAACAGGTGAAGGTCGCTAAGCGGGTGGGTGCCAGTACTACGATGAGCTCCCTTTGATACTGACAACATGAGCAGGTTAGGTTGGTGCGACGGAGAGTTTGTACTCGATTGTCACTGAATGGGGCCATGCAGAATTCGGACAATAGATAATTATCAGGGCGAAGAAGCAAAGGTGAAGTGGACGACATATAGTCAGATGGGAGTGATCTGATCGTTTGGCAGATCGTTATCCTGTCGCTTGTGCGGAACTCTGGAATCCCTGAAGACGACGATGAGGCAATAGTTAGTGCACGTCCAGCAAAGCCAAATATTGGTTTTCTGAAGGTCAGTTCATCTGTCGTAGTGAATCATTGCGTGATAACTGACCCATCTCCATCTATCCCAAGTCTGAGAATCGTACCAATGGTGCGTTTTCTCGCGATCGTAATCGCAGTAAACACATGGCCTAATACCGTATCCAGTGGCCCTTTCTCGTGCCAAAGAAGGATTGTTCATCCTAGGCAACGCGCACAATCTAGCTGCACGCAGTGGGATGTGGCGAGAGGTCATCGATGAACTGGAAAAAGACGGGTCGGTCGGAGATGCATTTCCAGTCGCATGTCATCAGCATCCGGATCCAATACATTATATCTCGACGCCTGGTCAACTTCCGCAAGTCGCACCGGATGGTATGTACGGAATTGTATCTTGACGCCGCTGCACCTTACAAAAATACCAGGTGGCTGCCTGCGAGCTTGTGCTACCCGACTGAAGTGCGGTCATCTGTGTCCTTACAAGGTTTGCATGGTTCACCACCGCCATTGTTGGTTTACTTCAACCCTATTAGTGCCATGCAGATGATCCTGGCCACATTGCCGTCATATGCAATCAGCAATGCACCAGACTCTGCCCCCGTGGACATCCCTGCCGTGGTCTGTGTGCAGATCCGTGTGGTGACTGCCATTTCCCTATCAAGGATGTGACGTTGCCCTGCGGGCATCAGAAGACTAGTGTTCCATGGTCAGTCATGAACAACGATTTTTGCCTGGTTTTATGTCTTATTGAGCCTGGTACAGTTATATCATGCAAAACCTCGAAGAGGTTCCATGCGAGGTTCCTGTGGAACGCGCACTCCCTAGCTGCGAGCATGTCGCTGTCCTCCCGTGCTATGAAGATCCCTCCAATTTTTCTTGTCCTTCACCTTGTAATACGCCAATGGGATGTTGCAACAAGACATGCCCTTCACCATGCTCCCAATGTCAAGCGTTCAATGCCCGCCCCGGCGACGAGGAGTCTAAAGTGCCAAGAACAAATCACAAACCGCATCCATGCGAACGATCCCTGTTTTGCGGGCATCGATGCCAAAATCCATGCTCAGAGACCCACGAATGTACATCATTCTGTAAAGAATCGTGTCGCCAAGTGTGTGAACACGCGCGGTGCAGAAAGCCATGTGGCGCAGCTTGCGCTCCTTGCCAGGAGCCATGTACATGGTAAACCACAAGTGCGGATGTTGGCATTCATTCACTGATACTGTCATTCTACCAGGGCATGCCCTCACTATTCTTGCCCTGTACCGTGCGGATCTGTGCGTGCCATTTCGCCACCTCCTGCGTGCAAGTTGAAGCCTGACGGTAGCTTTTGCAGGTGTGTGCCAGACTCCCATGTGACAGACGCTGCAGCACCATTCTGCTCTGCGGCCACAGATGTCCATCAGGTGAACGATCTCGTTATTCACTACTGAACCCGCGTCGTTCTTACCTCTTTCCTGGGTTCTAGTGTGCGGCGAAGACTGCCAGATCCAAACGTGCCCAATATGTGCATCGCCGGTGCAGAAGGAGCAAGTTGTGGACGTCATCCTGGGTCGCACATTACAGGAAGTTGAACCGGATCATGAGACTCTCGACGAGTTGCTCATCACACTTCCATGTCGTCATACATTTACCGTGGAGACACTCGACGGTCACTGCGATCTCAATTCCTTCTACGACCGGGAAATCGGACCTGATGGCTCAGGAGGTTCATGGCTTCGCCTCGCTATCCCCCCATCCGGGTTCCTTCATCCGAAGACTTGTCCTACCTGCCGTGGTCCTATTGTCGCTTCAAGATACGGTCGCGCCTACAAACGTGCGGACCTTGACATCCTGGAGCGGAACGTCGCGTCCAACATGTCACGCGACCTCCGTCAGGCCCACGAGCGCATGAATGCCAGGTCGAAATCGGAACTGGAGAGTGCACTGACCACAGAAGCTGCCAACGTCCCCATAAGCAACGCGGTAACCACTGAGGAACGGAGGAAGAAACACCTGAAGAAGCGCAAGGCCATCCTCAAGGCGCTAGGCGATAGCCCGTGCCCAACCAGGGCCCTGCACCCCGGGAACGCCGATCTCTTCCCGATTCCTCTCGCTGACACTCGAACTTGGAAGACGGTCACGGAAAACTTACTGGCTGCATATCAAAAGGCGGTGGACGTTGCAACCACACGGTCCTCTCATATTCATGCCTGGGAAGCCGCTTTCACAAGTCTCTATAACTTGGAGAAGGATCGTTCCTTAGCTGACCCGGCAACAGCTCCCCGCAACATTGAAGAGCATGCTATGCGAGTCGCTACTATAGGTGTGGGGCAACCACGGCCTCGAGCAGACTCGCGTTTCAGGGTAGAGGCCTACTGGGCGACTCTGCAAGTCAGGTTCCTCCTAGCTGATCTTGCAAGGGCCTGGCTCGAGACGCTCACGAAGAAAGCTGTTTTGCCTCTCCCTGAACACTGTCGCAGCTGGGCGGAATACATCGCATTCGTTCTGAAGACCTGTACGGCAGACGCTATGAAAGCGCAAGAGATAGCCCAGGCTTCCCAGAGCCGCCGTCAAGTTACGAAGACGTCGTTGATGATCATGCGAGCGAACCTGGAGGAGTTCCGTTTTGCGGTGTTCATGACTCGCCAAACCGGCACCTTCAAGGAAAGACGGGATGATTTGCTGGAGAATGCCACAAGATGGCTGGAGGATACTAGAGAGTTCGCCGAGGCTACCTGCGCGAATCATAGAGAAGGTCGAGGTACTGAGCAGAGAGCGGAAGAGCAATGGCTCACATCAGAGTTCATCGAGGCGGCTGAGAAGATCATCGGTCAATGGGAATCGCTATTACAATCAATTCGGGGTGACGCATTCTATCAACCGCTTTCTCTTGACGAGATGACGAACATCGTCAAGGCTTTGGACTTCAGTGAGCCTGCCTGCTCCATCAATGGGCTTTTGTCCGCGACTAACGATATGCTAGCGCACACGGGTCATTACTACCAATGCCCCAATGGCCACACGTACGTGATCACAGAGGTACGTGGTGTCGGTCGTGCGCGTCTGGGAACTGTGTCGCTGATGTCGCGTAGTGCGGTGGGGCAATGCAAGCCGGACGATGCCCCGAATGCGGGGCAGCTATAGGAGGCGGAAACCATTCCCTCGTCGCCGACAATACCCAAGCGATCGAATTCGAGCGGTTGGCGCGAGGTCGTGGAGCACAAGACAGCCCTTGGGCATGGGGGAGAGTTGCTGTGTGAGACACTCGCGCGCGCGCCAGCTCCTCCTAGTCATGATTCGGTAGACTATGGAGACCGGTTCCGACAGGCCCAAGCCGGTTAGAATCGCACCACCTTCGTATTCGTAATGTACGATGTATCAAGACGCACGCAAAATCTTACATACAGTACTGTACGGTCTTCGTCCGAGAAGTACATATTGCCTGGTCATTATAAGGAACCTTTCACGTGAAACGCTCCACCACAAACGCGGCTCATGCAACAGTCAGCGCTAAGCGCTTCATCCTCCCCAACCGCACACTAGTAAATTGCTCTAGACGCAACGACTCTGACATGTCATTGCAGGGGCTCATATCCGGTTCAGAATGTGCTGTCGTGTCTAATCCTCTTTCGCAAGTCCTGAAGCACGCAGAAGGAGATCGTAGCCTGCAACAGGTAGGTTTGTATACAACGTGTTGAGGGAATTTGTTGTTAACGACAGGAAAGGACAGGGTCGCAGGACCATCGTCGTCTAGGGTGAGTCAATAATGTCATACCATCTATCCTTGCATCGACTTAGGTGCCATAGCTTCAGCACTTGCCCAGTTCTTCCTCACAAGTGGCGACACCGCAGGACGCTGCGTTAGCTCGCCGGTTCTTTGAGAGCGATAACTACGGTACACCGCAAGGACCTCTTTCCATACCGCAATACGTCCCATCAGCGATCCACGATGTGCAACGGAATATGGGCGTTGCTTGGCCAGAGATGCACAAGAATGACTCTGCCGTTCCACAGCATCAACACCATGCTGGCGCGTCATGGGCCAACGAATTCAAGTCGATGGAATCCGTGGGACCTTTCGACAACGAACCGAGTCTAGCACCCTTGCACCGTAAGCCGCTCCCGGCTCCGGCACAAACTACCGCTCACTCTAACCAGAGCAGCAGCCTTCGGGGCAACAGCGCGTTCAATGGGCGCCCTCGACGATGGGGATGTACGGCATGGGTACAAGCTATATGAATGGGCCTATGCAAAGCCCGAGTATCGCTTTCGTACCTGGTAAAGGGAAGGGGAAGATGACCGAAGCCGATTTCGAGGCTGCTTTCATGCAAGTAATGGGAGCCAAAGAGTCCAAGCAGGCTAGCAGCTCACGGATTGTCGAAGTTGACGAGAACGACACGGGTTTGGAGGAGTCGTTGGCGGGTGTCACCCTCGAAAATATCGTTAGTGACACTCAGGCAGCGCAGCTGGAAACGGACTTCAAACAGTAAGCTTACTGTACTTCCAGTACATCAAAACGCTGAACCATCTTATTGTCAGTGTATGGGATGAGTTGCAAACCTCAGACCTACCCCCTCCGAAAGAAGATCTCGCGAAGTGGGAGGCCGAGTTCAACCAGTTGATGTCTTCGGAACGAGACAACCTGAACTATAACGAAGATATGCTGAACGCATGGGATCAGGGTCTTGGAGATTATGACGACGGGCGTTACCCGGAGTCAAGTCTGAAGTATGACGATCAAGGCATACCTCTTCTAGGGCCGTACGAGTTCGGTGCGTGAAGCTTAACCTGTCGGCGACGACCGTGCGTGCTGACGTGCCTGTGGTGCAGCCCCCGACAACAAATACCTCGATATTTCTATTCCTTCCGGTTCTTTACTAGCTGACGCCAAAGATTTGCTCGCCAGGGGCGGCTCTCTCAGCGAAGCGGCCCTGCTTCTAGAAGCTGCCATACAAAAGGGCGAGCTAGGTCAGGGAGGATTCGAGACGTGGATTCTGTTGGGAGAAACTAGAGCAATGGACGAACGCGAGGATGCGGCTATGCGTGCCCTCACGGAAGGCGTAAAGAAAGCCGAAGAAGCAGGAAATGCGGGTCAGGGCATGATGGTCAGTCCGCCCCACCCGTCAGCATCACTTTCCTCATCGTTTCGTTCCAGTCGCTCGCCATTTCGTACACGAACGAGGGATATGATCGCGCATCGAACGCGATGCTCCTTCAATGGTTCCGTACGCGGTTCCCGGAGTATCCAATACCACACGAGACCTTGGAATCGTTGAAAGGCTCAGCCTGGTCTTCACGCGAACGCATTAGTGACCTTTTCCTCGGACTTGCACGGACGCAACATGCTCAAGGAATCGTCGATCCGGACGTTCAAATCGGTCTCGGAGTGCTGTTCTACAATCAGACGGACTACGAACACGCCAAGGATTGCTTCGAAAGTGCCCTCACGCAACGTCCAGCAGACTATCTGCTGTGGAACCGATATGGATCATGCCTGAGCAACGGGAACAAGCCGGAGGAAGCACTTGGAGCGTATAGGGAAGCGTTGCAACTGCGACCGACGTACACCCGCGCAGTTTACAATGTTGCTGTTGCTTGCAAGTCCTTGCATACGTGATGTATAAACGTCGCACTGAACGCTGTTTTCAGGCATCAACATTGGTGCTTATCAGGAAGCCGCGGAACATCTGCTTAGTGCTTTGGCTTCACAGGATGTGGCTGGTGGTGAGAAGAGCGAGCAATTGTGGCTCACTCTCGTACGCGCTTTCATGGAGATGGTAAGCAGGCAGCCTATGAGCGTTGTGCCATTTGACTGAACAACGTGGCGCCCCAGAAACGACCTGATCTTGTGGAGAAGGCTCGTGCACATGCGCCTGTGGAGGAGTTCCGTGTGGAAGGTCTCGACTTCTAGGCCGACTTGGAGTTGACTAGACGCCTCTGTATGACTATTTGCTACTGCCGTTCGAATGCCGCATGCGTTTGCTTTCCCTTGGTCCATCGCAAAGAACCTGCGGCATGAGCGGCACGGCGTTCCGGAGGTCCTCATGCATCACGTGTGCACCCAAATACAGCGTTGTGGTGGTCATGGGTGACCCGCGGGTTCAGCATCCAGATCACCCAATAGATGGGGTGGAGGTGTGTGAGGGCAGGCGTCGCATCTTTCACTTAGCTATCATGGCCTCCTCAGATGTACAGATGTGAGTCTACGACATTGTTCAGTACGATTCAACTAATAATCTCCGTCCAAGCCATCCTGTTTCAAGAGTCAACAATGGCGACGTCAAGCTTAACAAGATTTCCTGTCAATTGACGCAGAATAAGGTATGCACTGTGTCGACATACATTGGTAGCTTCTGCTCATTATGTTATAGATGCGCGGAGGGGCGCAAGCAATGCGTAAGCATTTCTTGGATACAAACGAACATTGACGTGAGGTACGATGGTGCACAGTGTACGCCGTTGGGCTACAAGAGGAAGACATGAACAAGGCTCAGGTGCTTCGCCATGCTTTCGTCCGAAACCGAATCTAATCCGGGCCCTGTTAGATCGGGATATCCCCCATTTGGTGGGAGGGTAGGTGATATTTCATCTCCTCTATTGCTACTATATCGATTGGCCCATCAGGAAATCCTTGCAACGCGCATCTTGTACGTTGGACGCGACCTGAGGAGTCGATACCGCTCACTCATATCGTACTATCTTAGCTTGACCTAGCCAAGAAAGTGAAGGAAGGCTGCGAACAGGAAGATCTCGTGGGATTCATATTCAATACCATTGGGGTTAGGTATGACTCCTCCTCATTTTTAATTGTAGCATTCTTCCACATTTGACATGCAGCGATGCTATAACAATGGGAACAGACGGTACACAATATATTGATCAGTCCAGAACAATGATTAATGTCATCTCGTATATGCAGGGATGCGCTATTCGTTGGGTTCTTTGCTTTTATGTGTGCGGGCGCCTGTTCAGCAACATCATTTTCAGGCTTCCAAGCCGCGACATCATAGCCGACTCCATTGAAGCGGTACGATACACTACTGTTTTGTGAACTGAGATCTTTGAACTGACTGATAATAGGTCGTCATGGTCGGTGGACGGCATTGGGCACATCGTGCGTAGCTAACTTCGTGACCCTCAGGCCCAACATTACGATGGGAATATTGCTGTTCCCGGATGCGACAAAAACATGCCTGGCTGTGTCATCGCTGCTGCAAGGCACAATCGTCCTACAATCATAGTGTACGGAGGGACGATCCAACCGGGTGTCCGCCAGGTAGACTGCCCTCATCTGGGATACAAAGCGGGAGACACTGTCAATATTTCCGACGCCTTCGAGTCCTTCGGTTCGTTCAGTCGAGTATCCTTCCAATCAGTGCTATTGACCTCTTTCTGCAGGTGCCTTCGCAGTAGGGAAGATCAGTGATGCTGAGCGCCAGGATGTTGTTAGACACGCCTGCCCAGGTCCCGGAAGTTGCGGTAAGTGCCACAGCCGTGTGATTCAATGATACTCACACCATCACCAGGTGGAATGTATACGTACGCAGCTCCATGGTGACGGAATCCATTGAGCTTGATATATCGTTGCAGAGCCAACACCATGAGCTCTGCTTTGGAAGTGCTTGGATTGTCTCTTCCGTACTCGTCGGGAATCCCTGCAACCTATCCAGGTACGTCCAAACTCATTCCACGTGTGCCAGCGAATGATATCGCATCAGCAAAGATCCAGGAATGCTACAGAGCAGCGAAATATCTGAAAAAACTGCTCGAATTGGATTTGAAACCCAAGTGAGTCTCTTCTCCGTACGCGTGTCATCCGCTCAGCGTTATTGCCACATCGCAGGGATATCCTTACTCGGAACAGTTTCCTCAATGCCATCGCGATCGTGAATGTGATCGGTGGATCTACCAACGCGGTACGTTCCGATCTATCCTATCGCCACCATCTGACGTCGATGTTGTGCATGTTTAGGTCTTGCACTTTCTTGCTATGGCCAGAGCGGCGGACATTCACCTGACAATTGACGACTTCCAGGACGTAGCAGACCGTACACCGTACCTTGCGGACCTGAAGTGAGGTTTTCTGAGTAACCTCCGAAGCCTGATCTGATGCCAGGTAGACCCTCTGGCAAGTATTACATGGAGGATTTGCACAAAGTTGGCGGTATTCCTGCCTTGCTCAAATATTTGTTAAACCACACCAACTTGATCGATGGCTCACAACTGACTGTTACCGGCAAGGTACGAGATGAGATAAAGTTGTACTGGTCCGTTCGCTGACGTTACTACAGACACTTGCTGAGAACCTGGCAGATGTCGAAGAGCTGCGTTTTGATAATCAGGACGTAGTTAGGAGGCTCGAAGACCCTATCAAGCGTACCGGACATATCACCATCCTTCGCGGGAACCTGGCTCCTGACTCAGCGGTGGCGAAGATCACCGGAAAGGAGGGTACGAAGTTCGAAGGCGTCGCGATGTGCTTCGATACGTGAGTCCTCGCAACCAGCTTGCCAAGGAACAACTAGAAGTAAAAAAACGCCCTCAGCCTGGAACCCTTTTATACTGCACTTGAAGCAGGGAAAATCAAACCGGGTACGGTTCTGATATTCCGCTACCAAGGCCCGAAAGGGGCTCCAGGGATGCCAGAAGTGCGTTGAGTTCAGCTGATTCACAATATATATAAATATATATGTCTTGATCTCACTTTGCAAGATGCTTGGACCGACCGGAGCATTGATGGGCGCCGGATTGGGCAACACGACGGCTCTCATCACCGACGGCCGATTTTCCGGGGCATCTCGCGGATTCATCATCGGTATGGCGCATCATGGTCCAGCATACGGGAATCTAACCTCCTGCTTGGTCGTAAGGTCACGTAACCCCAGAAGCTCGTGTCGGAGGCCCAATTGCACTCGTACAGGATGGAGATAAAGTGGTCATCGACACGAACAGCAGGTCGATCAGCTGGCTTGTCGACGAGGCCGAGCAGCAGCGGCGCCTGCAAGAATGGCAAGCATCGGACAAAGGCGAACTGAAAGAGAAAAGGGGAATACTCTTCAGATACGCACGGGATGTCGCGGTAAGAGCTCATCACCGAGGACCAAGGGCTTTGACTCATCGTGATGTAGCCTGCCAACGTTGGAGCATACTGCGATTGAGGCGTGCAAGTTGTCAATGTGGTCGTAGCACGTTGGGTCGTGATCATATTAAGGGTGGCTAGGCACGACTCCGTGAAACGGGTTCTGTGTCAGCAATGTTTCGCAGCATGATTGGACGCCGAATGGCATCAGCAGAAGGCGGTCAACGCCCACGGCGTCCTTGCAATGACCATTTTCCGTGCTCCATTTTCCGTGCTCAGCAAGGATATTAGCTTGGTGATAGCAGCTTCGCGCGCTACCGTCCCGGTGAGCAGTAGCCGGCATGAGCGAATGTGATTGCATCTATCTATCGATACACGATGGGCTTGTTCAATACATGAAGGTGCGAGACTGTCCGGATCGTCCACAGCAATCCACATATCAATATGCAAGAAACTGAACTTATATTAGTCGAACAGTCTCCTCGCAGCCACTGAACGCAGCGTAATTCGACACTTGATTGGTTCTGGGTGACTACGACAATTTTAAGCCGGTGAAATCGCACGAGAGGGTGATGACCTACCTGACAACGCCGGAAGAATGCCGTGGTTCTGGGGTGATATCTTGCCCTGAATATTCGTCCAAGCCAGGTCTGATGATCAGCGCGGCGAGAATATGGGTAATGTTGACGAAAAGGGAAGCTTCTGCAAAGTACAAGCCTGTAAGACCATTGAGTATAGAGTATGAGGGCACCAAGGGGAGAGCAATGAATAATTACCGGGACAAGCACCTGGAACGGATAAATGAGATGATCAGAACGCGCCGGTCAAGCACTGCGCAAACTCACGCCGCCCGAAGCCGAAGGCAAACTTGCGACTGTCCAATTGGGGATTTGGTCCGAGGAACCTCTCCGGATTGAAAGTGTAAGGATCTGGGTAGGTTGCCTCATCATGGAGCAGCGCCCTGAACGGCATCAGTATAAGCCGGTGCTACTTGAGACGTTAGCAATCACCAAATGTTCGCGATGACCACTGAGTTCCTTGGTATATGTAACCCATTGTACACGTCGTCCTCCGTACATCTATGCGCTATGCCTTTCATGGACGAGACATGATCAACCTGCGACGTTTCATCACGATGGCACTCACCCATGTTGGCGACGGGATAACATCTCAAAATCTCCTTGATGGTCGCAACAACGTACGGCAGAGCATCGCGGTCGTCAAGGGTCGGGAGTCGCTCGTGGCCGCAGACCGCATCGATTTCGGCCTGACACCGAGATTGAATGTCGGGATACCTTGCCATAACCAGGAAGAAAGATCCCATAGCCGCTCCTGTCTGCGCAACAATATCACTACGCAGAAAATCAATGTTGACGACGGGACAAACCGTGTCAGACCCCCCTGCGTACAGGCCATTGGCCACCCACTTGACAATGTCCTCCTCTTCAGCTGTCAACCTTCGTCCATCCTCTCGAAGCAAGCATCGCGAGGTGAATGATGGGGTACATGTCCCTTTTGCCTGCACCGCATCATCGTCAATTGATACTCTTCCCCATGTGCGCAGGCGAGGAACAAACTATTTGCTCCTTCGTCCACGCGAACGGAATGTCACGAAACCGGTCAAAGGTCGCTCGGAAACTTGCCCCGATACGCTTCCAAGAGGTGCCCGGTAACCATTCGGGGAAGAATTGCAAGATCGGAAACGAGTCCACCATCCATCGGCCAGGTTTCACAGCCTCCTCCACGGAAAGTGATGCATCACGCACTAATTGCAGCATTGCATCATTTCCGTCTTGGACGGAGTAGCCGTAGGCAAGGTACAAGATTACGCTCGCGGCGTTCCTCCGGATATGCTCGTCGTAGGCGTCGGGGGATTCTAAAAGCCGACGAACGAGAGCACGAGCTTCCGATGCTTGCACGTCGCGGTAGCCTACAATGGCACGCGGGTTGAGATTCGTGGCGAGCAGCCTTCGATAAACCTTGAAACGAGGATGCTTGTCGGATATGGAGAACACGGCGTGTTTGCGGTTGCATATGTTGCCGTTAAAGGGTGCTTCTGGTCGCGCGGAGTAGATCTCAGCTCGTGCATCAAGAAGATCGTATGCAGATTTCGCAGTGTTGAGGATAACGAGCTGTCGGGTGAAGAGACGAAGGTATAGTATTGGGCCTAGCAAGAGTCTACCATGAGCAAGGGGTAACATATTTTGCTATTGCATTCAATCACCGTAGACTTTCGACCACTCAGCCCATGTAAGCCATGGATGACTCTCGGGTAGTTGGTGCAGATTTCCTGAGGATCATGAATACTTGGAAAATCGCACGATCGCTAGCTATAACGAACCAAGTACAGGTTTGCGAGGCGGTCCTGGAGGATAAGGCTCTCGGTGTGACGACGTTTTATAACACCAAGCGAACAAAGGTAAGAGAGCAGCGACAGCTTCCAGGAGCTCCAGCGCAGATAACATCTTCAGGCGAGGCGACACAACTGCAACCAAGCCTGACGCTAAATATGCGGTTGGCTTCGCCGGTCCCTGAGGGCTGAGCACTTTTACTATTGCCGGAGGGCTTCTGTCAACCATCCGAGTAGCAGAGAAGAACACCGTTTCAGAGGCCGATTCACGTGGTTCATATCACCAAGCACGCAGGTACGAAAATGGGCGCCTTGAGAACCCAGATTGTGTCGCGATGGAGGCAAAAGCCAGGGGGCACACGCGGGCGGTCGGACTTCGCGATTCGGGGCATTCGGGACACAGGAGAAATAAGCAGATAAAGCCGAGACCAAAGCGGTGATAGAAGCCGGTGGATGGTGAGATCGTTTCGCGACTCTCCAGGCAATGAGTCGGAATCTGTTCATCCATGAGCACCGACCACCTGCCGACCACTTTAGGAGTCAAAACCCGAGGCGCCGTTGACCGTTACCCACCAGGCTAACGGTGATATGATCCTCAACCAGAGCGTATTTAGCTCCGGTTCGGGGAGGTACCAGCACGGCCGCATCGGCAACCTGGACAAGCGGTCACAGAGGAGCCACCATGATCCTCCATGCAATTGAAGATTTGGAGTACCGGTGCCTGATGCAGTGTCCCTAGGCCGATGATGTCGCTTGGAGTATAGCCTTTACCGCTCGTATGCAAACGGCACCCGTCCTCCTCCGCAAGCCGTCCCAGATGATGGTCAATTTGAAGGAAAATCTTCTTCTGGAGATTGTAAGCTCAATTTGCCCGTCGGTGTTCGCTGAGGCCAGAGGATGTATGGAGGTAAGCAGTTGCAACGTCGGCACCTGGGGTTTCCCACGCGCCGTTCTTGACAACCAACCGAACGCACAGGTCACCGACTACCTCAATGAAGCTACAACAGGTCGCCCTGGGCGATATCGTCAGAGCTCTGATCTCGTTGCATGATGCCTGCAAGCCCTGCCGTAGAACGAGCGCTGAGTGCACCCAAGACGACCTGATTGAGAGGCTTCCGACCCCTTCAAAGGGCAAATCGACATCCGTACACCTATGCAGAGGGCGTCAATTGCGATACCCATGATGCCACAATTGTACCACCTGATGTGCTCGCTACCCTGATCTTTTTTACTCTCAGATATCTTATGGAAAATGCAGGTCCGGAGGCCATCGCGAGACGCATCCGGCCTTCCTGGATGGTCTCGCAGCACGAACGCCATTCACGATTCGGATCAGGAATTCTCCAGCTGCTCCAACCTGTCCCCGTATCCCGACGATCCAGCGTCGTCCATCATACCGCCATCTCAGAAGTCTCCCTCTGCTCAATGTTTGATTCGCCGCACTTATGCGGTTATCTCACGGGCATAATGCGCTTTGCAATCTCTCCTCGGAACATGCAGAATTCTACTATCAAACTCTCGTTACCATCTCACTACCCGATAACGATCACGCCCGTGAGCTGCCCGCGAGTGCCATTCCTTCAATTGCTGGCAACCTGTCGCTATCCACTCCCGCGCAGTGTTGTCATTCGCGTATTCTGATGACCAGAGCAACGCAGATACTGCAGAATTCATCTACGCCACCTGCCTACGAATATACGTGTTACATGAATCCTATGGGAGTTTCGCCTCCTTACTTTGGTATGGCACTGGCGAAGGCCCGCCTCGAGGTCGGCCCGGTGACGCGGGAACCAAGAGGACAATCCCGAAAGCTCGCCACCATCGCTGATACACTCTCAAGGTCCAGAAATATACCAACTCAAATGGCGATAACTTGCCCTACGTCGATTTTCGAGCGCACAGCGGGGTGACTTCCGATGGGTGATCTGTGTTATCAGGCTGCATGCATATTACATCATGTACCGCAACCTTCAGGATCGTGCTTGCGCCGGATCGCTAGTCCGACAGCCACTTTGCTGCGCCAGGCCTCGGCACGAATTGACACTTGAACGGTTCTGGACGACTACAGTCCGGTCTCAGTCGACGAACGACACGATCACGAGAGCTTCTCTCACCTGACGAGATTCGCCGTGTAGGCATACTTGAGATATTCTCCTTCGGACGTCGGCTTGATAACAAAACTGGCCAACATGTACGTGATGTTCAGGAATACCGATGCTTCGGCGAAATGCATTCCAGGGCACGAACGCCGACCGAATCCGAACGCAAACTTCTTACTGTCTGGCTGAGCATTGTCGCCGAGGAAACGGTCGGGGTTGAATGTTTCCGGATCGGGATACATCGTTTCGTCTCGCATAATCGCCCTGTGTGAACGAGCATTCAGTGATGAATGACGCCGTTGCGTATTTAGAGGACATAGTTGAGGCTCACCAGATATTGGCAAACACGACCGAGCCCTTGGGGATCGAATATTTCTTGTATATGTCATCTTCGAGGGCCATATGCGGTAGACCAATAGGAGCAGGTGGCTTCCATCTGTACAGTTCTTTGATCACAGCTTGCACATACGGCATGTCATCTTTATCGGCCAGCGTTGGCAATCGTTCTCCACATCCGCCGATGGCAGCATCAATCTCGGCTTGCGCGTGAGCTTGGATAGAAGGATTCAGGAGCATGGCGAGAACAAATGTTCCGATGGGCGCGACGGTCTAAACGTACGGCAGCGTATAGTAGAACAAGCTAGATCCACGAGATGAAGAGCTTACCGTATCAGCGGCACCTGCGAAGAGCGCGTCAGCGGCCCACCGGACGGTGTTTTCCTCCTCCTCATCCATTTCATGACCGTCCTCGGGTAAGAGGCAACTCGATACGAAGCAAGGGTTGTACGTCCCCTTGGCCTATCAGTGTCGATCTTCATCTTAGCGCAAATGGAGAATCAAAGACCTGACTCACGATTTCGTCCTTGCACCTCTGAAACGGCACGAGCGAGAACTGGACCATCTTGTGCCTCCATTCCTTTGCCACCTTTTTCCATTCTGCCCCAGGTACCCAGTCCGGTACGTATCGTAAAGCAGGGATCACGTCGACCATCCACCTTCCGGTTTGACCTGCCTGGCTCGCGATATTGCCAGCCTCTTCTATTACGTCCATCATCGGGTCTTCTCCTTCTTCCTGTAGTGGATATCCGTAGGCGAGGAGGAGAGCAATGGCGGCTGCGTCTCGGCGAACGTGTCGAAGCCATTCGTCGGGAGAGACGGCGATCCGTCGCATCAACACGAGAGCCTCCTTTTGCGGGAGTTCCCTATACTTGACGACGGTACGAGAGTTCAGGGTGGCAGTGAGGAGTTTGCGGTAGGGCTTGAACCTAGGGTGTGTGTCCGATATTGAGAACAGCTCCAGTTCGCGTCCTATCATTTCGCAGTAGAACACGGACGACGGCCGACCAGAGTATATTTCCGATCGATTGTCCAGAAGGTCAGAGACGGTCTGCGCGGAGGACAGAATGATAATGGTCCTCGAGAAGACGCGTAAACATATGACGGGCCCGAAAACCTTTGTCCATTCAGTCCAAGTTAACCAGGGGTGGGATTTGGGAACTTGGCGCAGGTTACCTAGAGACGACTGTCTTCAGCGGCAGAGTCGTCTGAGAGAGCAGATGGCACATACCGATCAACATATGCCGAGGAGGTCCAGGCGGGTACGGGAGCCGTTTGTAGGAACGGCGATACCACACAAGTACGGGCGCAAATGCCACGATGATACCCAGTATCTCCGAAGACGATATCATGGCGGGAAGAGTTGATCTAGGGTCCATAGATGACAGCGATAGCTATGGGGTTTGAGTATATGAGCACGATGCCCATATGGCATCCGCGCGCAGGACATAGAGTTCGCGGTTTGCATTGTGCTCAGCGAACTTCTCTCATAGCATTCGTTATTGCGTCGTGGGTGCGTACACACGGGGTTCGAGTGGGCTGCAGAGCCAATAATCGACCGCACAGTCTATGGATGAGAGCCGTCGAACTCGAAGCAGAGACAAGAGGCGTAAGGCCAGCCTACCCTCCCTCCAGAGCCGCGTTTCCCAGGCCTTCTGTCTCAATGAGATGACCTTATCGTTTTCTCGCATGTATACTCGAGAATTGTTTACGAAGTATGTGGATCCAAAGGATCGGTACCACTTTCTGGAAGTTTTTCGATAGAGTTGCTCTTCGCCATAAGTATCCGGTGCCTCAAGCTCAGCGGCCTCGATATGCTTGGCGTGTACCATGCGTTGGCCTTGACGCACACTGCATAATGTCAGAGAACGAGAGTCGCGCCGGACAAGGACGACAGGGAGGGGAAAACTAGGATGGCAAAAGGCAATGTACAGCATATTGCAGGACAACTTAGACGTATTGTATTCGCCATCACTTCACCGACATTCCGCCATACACCACGAACTTCAACTTCCCGCTTGCCCTAGTCCGACAGCCACTTTGCTGAGCTAGATTTTAGCACGAATTGACATTTGAATGGCTTGGGGCGACTGTATCGAAGTCTCAGCGCCGCGATTCGAAGCGGCATGATGTTGCGCTCACCTGATAACACCGGCTGCCTTATTCGAGCGAACATTCAATGGTCATTACTAGGCTTTCACGGAGGGCGTAATTGCGGATCACCAGATGTTCGCTAATACGATTGGTTTCTTGGGAATTGAATAAGCCTGATGTATGTCGTCGCTGGAGGTCATGTGTGGCAGGCCGATAGGTGATGCTGGCTTCCATCTGTATACCTCCTTCATCGCAGCCTGCCCATACGTCATACTATCCTTGTCGCTTAGCGTCGGAAGCGCTCTCCACATCCGCCAATAACAGCATCGATCCCAGCTTGAGCACGGGGTCGGATAGAAGGATGCAGGAGCATAGCGAGAATGAATGTACCCATAGCAGCGACAATCTTTATGCATACGAACAGAGCGCAGGATGAGTATATGCGAAACCAATGAGAGCAAATAGCTCACCGTATCGGCGGCGCCTGCGAAGAGCGCATCAGCGGCCCACCTTACGGTACTCTCTTCCTCGGCATCCAATTCGTGACCATCTTCAGATAGGAGGCAGCTTGATACGAAACACGGGATGTATGTGCCCTCAGCCTGGAAATGTCCAGCGTCAGCTGCTGGACCTTGCGGAGGAATGGACACTGGCTCACGATTCGACTCTTGTACCTTCGGAAAGGTACAAGAGAACACTCGTCCATCTTGCGCCTCCATTCTTTTCCCAACTTCTTCCATCCAGTACCGGGCACCCATTCCGGAACGTATCGTAGGGTCGGTATCATGTCCACCATCCAGCTTCCTGTCTCACCTGCCTCACCAGCGACCTCGAAAGGTTCCTTATGATACCGATCATCGGTTCTTCGCCTTCCTCTTGCAGGGATTATCCATAGGACATCCGTCGGGGGAGACCGTGAGTCGTCGCAACAATCCGAGGGCTTCCTTGTGCTGCAACTCCCTGTATGCCACGATGGCGCGAGGGTTCATGGTGAGTGTGAGGAGTTTCCGGTAAGGCTTGAACCTCGGATGGGGATCCGACACGTAGAACAGTTAAAGTTCGCGCCCCAGCATCTCAAAATAGAGAATGGATGTCCGTTGTCCAGAGTGTATCTCCGCGCGTTTATCCAAGAGGTCGAACACGGCTTGCGCGGACGATAGGATGATGATGTACTTCGATAGGAAGCGCAAGCGTATGATGGGTCCATAATCCTTAGCCTACTCGGTCCAGGTTAACCACGGCGACAATTTTGGGACCTGGCGTAAATTGCCTGATGATGGCGTACTACGAGACCCGTCATCTTGGAGAAGAAGATGAGAGTACCGATGAACATCTGTCTAGGAGGACCGGGTGGGTATGAAAGCCGGAGGCAGGAACGGTGGTACCGTATGAGCACGGGCGCGAACGCCGCGATAATGCCCAGCATCTCAAGGGGCGACAGCATGGTAGGAGGAGCTCAACTATGTTTCAGAGGTGGCAGCTCCAACAAGTTGTATTTATATATGAACACCCATATCCGTCCACAGGCCCAGTGTGACATAAATTTCGATGCCGGGCACATCGCGCTTAGCTAGCTGTTGTCGTGTCGCGTCCGTGTCTGCCCTGCGTCGTGGGCGAACGAGTGGCGGATGCAAATGCGATGAGAGGGCAAGGAATTGACGGCAGGGTGCGCAGAGTAACCATAGAGGACAATGGTCGGGTTTGGCCAAGGAAGAGAAGTCATGAGGCAGAGATGGAGGACGGCGGAAAGATCAAGATCAATTCTGCCTATTGAATCCACCGTCCACTCAGGATGGCCGCGCGACCGCCGCCCGCACGCCCGCATCTTGGGATGCGTCCCAGCAGCTACTTCGGCTCGTACGCAAAGGTCGACTGGGCAGAGGACGACGCCTGGGACAGCGCGTCCGACGAGGAGGACACCCGCTCGCTGCAGCGCCCGTTGGCAACGACCTCACCTGCGATCCCCGCTCCGTCCGGCCCTGCGGCGGCTGGCTCGGCACCCAAACCAATCAACCAGGGGAAGAAGAGCTCGGCCACTTCTCTGGCACTGAGCTACACCCACATCACCGCCCCGAGCCCGAGCTCATACCCGCGGAATGGGACTCCTGAAGGTGCCGTTCCGCCCGCGATCAAAGCCGGTTGGACCATCGTCCGCAAGTCTCCCGATCGTAAAAGCCACGACCACCCCGAACCTGGAGATGCCCACCCCCGCGAACCCCAACACGAACAAGACGTAGACGACATGGTCGTCGGGGAATTGGACCCCGAACCCGGCACGTCCTCCTCTGCTCACCACGCGCACACCAAACCACGACAAGATCACGACGCCATGACCGCCTCCATCCGTGCAGATGCGGACGCAATCGTCACTGGTACTTGCTCTCATTTTTGCGCATCATGTCAGAAGACCTACATGCCGCATGATATGTAGATCCTATGCGTCTCGTTACCTCGAAGTTTCGCACTGGAAGAGTAGACCGTGACGACGAGCCAGACAGACAGAGATCCAGGACGCGTTCACCCGACAGTCCAGCGAAAGTGGCGAGAGAACGGAGCATACGGTCTAGCAAGCGGCGCAAGTTCGTGGAGTGCATAACTGCCGACGATGTCGACATGGGTACGTCTGATCTCGTCTTGCCTCTCGGTTCCCTTCTAAATCCAGTTTTTTTATTCAGCGCAACTTCGCAAGCAGTCTTGGGGAGGGATACCCGAAGACCTTCGCCCCATAGCCTGGCCTCTCCTCCTAGTCAGTCTCTTTTCATATCATCCTAATCTACATGTTAACCTTCTCGTGTGCAGGGATACTTCTCCCTCCCATCCTCCAATCGTCTTGCCTCTCTCGCCCGTAAACGTTCCGAATATCAGTCACTCGTCTCCCTCACCTTTGCTCGCGGCCGTGACTCGCTCGACCAGCAAATATGGCATCAGATCGAAATTGACGTACCCAGGACGCGACCGGGTGTGCGTCTGTGGATGCGAGAGTCCGCTCAAAGAGTTAGCATACACTGCATATACGTTGACATGGTATCGACCTTGAATCTCATCACAGAGCCTCGAGAGGATATTGTACGTGTGGGCGATCCGTCATCCAGCCAGTGGTTACGTACAGGGTATCAACGATCTCGTTACTCCGTTTTTCCAAGTCTTCCTATCAGCTTACATCGGTGAGCACCATCGGAACCATATCGTTGATATACTCATCCTTGCTATCATCAGACTCGGACCCAGAAGACTTCGATCCGGCCCTCCTCCCGCCCCACGTCCTCGAAGCAATCGAAGCCGATTCATTCTGGTGTCTGTCGAGACTCTTGGACGGTATCCAAGATAACTACATCGCTGGCCAGCCAGGCATTCAGAGAAGCATGAAGCGCATGGCCGAACTGGTGGCGAGGATCGATCGTACGCTCATCTGTTTTTTAGTATCGCGGCAGAATATTTATTCTAGTGGTACAGCATTGCTATTCAATCATCTGCACTCGCAGAATGTAGAGTTCATGCAGTTTGCCTTCCGGTGGATGAATTGCCTCCTCATGCGTGAGATCAGCGTCAAGAACACGATTCGCATGTGGGACACATACCTGGTGAGGCGTGTGTTCTTATTGCTCTCACGGTTTGCTCACGAGCAACCCTTTCATGTGTTCGCGTCCCATAGTCAGAGGGTCCGGACGCGTTTTCTCAATTCCACCTCTACGTGTGCTGTGCTTTCCTCACGCACTGGAGCGAAAAGCTGCAGCGAATGGATTTCCAAGTACGCATCCTTTTCGGCTGAACAGGATTGTACTGATATGGGCATGCAGGGCATAATCATGTTCCTACAATCCTTGCCGACGCAGGATTGGACAGACCACGACATGGAACTCTTGCTCAGCAAGGCGTTCGAGCTCAGCTGGATCTGGCAGGACGCAGACAGCCATTTCGGCCGCAGGTGATACTCTGTATGACCTGAGGCTCGTGGAAAATATTACGCCTCTATCTCGCAGTCAATATAATAATGGAAGGAATACGGATCAGTCAGGCAGTCGTGGATGATGCTACGTTCTACAATCATGCGGGACCGAATGCAGCATGGGTGCTAGCGGAGGCTACGGTCTCTGTAACTGAATGTCGGGGGAGCGATTCGAGTGCACCGAACGACTAAAGCAGCAAATGTGCGGAATGATACAGCATGTTACTAGCAGAAAGTATGCGATGAGAGAGCTAAGGTGTGCCGCACGACCACTGACACGGGGCTGAAGGCTAGATCCTCGGGACTATTTCTCCGTACCGCCTTTGACGAAGGCGATTTCCCGGTCCATCGCCTCCTTGAGTTCCGCTGCCTGCTCTAACGTCTTCAAGCGAATCTTGAAGGACGCCGCACCCGATCCATTTGGTCCAACAAACGCTACCACCTTCTCCTTCTCCGCCAATGTAGGCTTCAGGCCGGAATGCAGCTTGAAGTTCTGTTGCGAGAGCAGGTACATGAGCACAGAGAACAACACCGAATATGGAAGATGTGAAAGGATACGTACGACGAGGACCTTGCCCGTACTGCTGTTCCGCATCAGCACCCGCCTCACCCCCGTCTCCTTGTGCTTCTTCAGCCTCAATATGCCGACGCCCATGTCCGTCCAGCTGGACTCTTCTTCCTGCTTCACAAACTTGTACAACTTGCTCTTAATCGCGTGCGTAGTCTCCTCGTCCTCCTCTCCCGCTCCTTCTCCATCGTGCGGGTTGTTCCCCAGCAGCTTCGCCGCGTTGCCCCTCGCCCCGGCGCCTGCGTCAGCACCCTCCGCCGATCCCTCCTTATCCTCGCTTTTGGGCGCCGCCGCGGGGTCAGGCGGCCGCGCAAAGTTGAACCCGCTATTGCCGAACGCGGACGACGCTGGCGGCTTGGGGTCCGCGTCCGGCGTCTTAGGCGGGCTTCCGAACGCGAATCCAACCGCGTTGCCCAGCGCGCCACCGATAGGCTTCGGCGGAGAGAAGCCACCGAAGGTCGTGCCAGCGCCGGCGCCGAACGTGAACGCGGGCTTGTTGTCGGGGGAGGAAGTCGCCGCCGCGCCGTCTTTCGTCACGCCAAAGGCGGGCGCCGGATCCGCGGGCTTGTTGCCAAAGGTGAAGGCGGACGGTGGCGCGCCCCCGCCGAAGGCGGTCGAGGTCGACGCGCCGTTCGAGCCGAAAAAGCTTGGCTTGGAGGCGGCGTCTGAGGATACGCCAAAGAAGGGCGGCGGCTTCGATGCTTCCTTACTGCCGAAGGTGAAAGGTGCTTCGGTCCGCCCGGATGTTCCGGCAAAGTGGAAGAGTGGTTTGGGAGGTGCATCTGATGAGGAGCCTTCGGTTGATGTGCTGGCGGGGAACGCAGATTTGGGAGGCGCCGCCGGGGCCGCGGGCGCGGGCGCATCGGAGGATTCGCCGCTCTTCGAGCTGGCGGAAGCGGAGAAGCCGGTGAAACTGGGCGGTGGCGCAGGCATCGCCGTGGATGTGCTGGGCGGCTGAACATCAGGAGTGGAAGTAGAGGCCGCAGGTGCTGGTGGCGTCGGGGCTGTTGAAGCTGGATGGCTATCCCCAGACTTCGGCCTCTCGTCGTACTCCTTTTGGGCGGTCACGCGGAATTGGCGGTATTGTTCGAGGAGGTTGCTGATGTCGGCGAACGGGTCCTTCTCTACCGCCTTAGATATGGCGGATAGAAGAGACACGTTGATACCGCGCAGAGATTTATATAGTTTGAGCGCGGCTTCTTCGTCTTTGCTTGTACTCGTGCTGGATGCGGGTGTGGCAGATGCAGAGGTGGACGTGGATGGGAAGGCAGATGCAGGGTTAGGTGGTGGAAGAGTAGGTGTAGGATCAGTCGGAGCAGACAGAAACGAAGCAAAGGTTTTGGTCGCTGTCGAGGCAGATGTAGAGACACTCGGGGCTGCAGCGTCTGTGCCATTCGTAGTAGCAGGAGGAGCCGGAACTTTGAAGGAGAAGGGAGTTGCGGCGGCGGCAGGCACCCCAAAGCCGGCAAAGCCACTAAACCGAGGAGCAGCAGGGGCCTTCTAAAGATGTCAACACATGTCTCTGATGCGTTATACGACAATGCGCACCTCTGACCCGCTGGTTGCCGCCGGATTAGTTGCAGCAGCCGGTTGCGCGAAGCGCTTAGGAAGGGCGCGTATCCTTCACAATCATCAGTATATGAAAGAGACCGTCCACAATGAGTACCGACTTTCGGGTGGCCAGGACGGTTTCGTCTGCCCTTTGTATGCCCGTGACGGGGGGAGCTACTTCCTGCGTGCGGGAGCGTTCACAAGCTGTAGACGTAAAGTAGCAATCACACGTACCTCCACATCATCTTCGTCAGCGTTGTCCTGCGTCAACTGCTTCTCGCTGGCACGCTTCATGTTCACCAAAGCAATACGGAGAGACTCAAGAGTGTCGTGAATACAACAACGGCATTCAAAGCCACACTAAATGAGGCGCTGGGCACCTTATTCACGTGGCGAGTCAATGGTTAAGTCGGGCGCGGCCCGGACTTCGTCGCAAACTCGAGTTAGCTTCATGATCAGCTTTTGGGTCTCATTGTCACCTGGTATGCGACATCGGAAGCACACTGAAGGGAGATGGGCGGTATCGCAAGACACGTCGGGCATGCATATACAAGAATTGAAAACAACATCCGAAACCGAAGAGAGTTTCCTTCCTATTCGGTGGATCATCGTGGATGTGGAAGAAGACGACGCCGATTCTCTCCCTACACAAGAAACGAATCTATCTATACAACTTGTCTATGTTACAGGCGTCTAGCAATCATCTATGCTTCTCGGATCGACTACACACAACTACTGCGAATCAAATGGATACCCCCACGCCTTTCCAGGCGTGGTCCACGTCGACGTTTGGACCCCCCGCACCGACAGGCTGCGCCTCCTGCACATGCGACCCGCCGATCTTCCCAACATCCGCCCCCGCCGCGTCGCCCAGCCTCTCCTCCTTGGCCCTCGCCTTCTCAGCCTGCACAACCGGCACGCCCGCTGCGCCCTTGATCCCGTCCGCCGCGATCCTCGCCCCGCTCGTGATGCCCGCGACGTTCCCCGTCACGCTCGTCACGTTCCCGACCGTGTCCCCGACGTGGGCCGTCACCTGCGCCGCCTCGTCGCCGTAGTCGTGCCGTGTGACGTGCTGGAGCGACTCGGAGAGCGAGTTGGTGACGCTCGAGGTTGCGGATGAGATTCCGTCGGCGGTCGATTGGTATGCAGAGGAGAGGGAGTTGATGGCCTGTGCGGAGGACGGGGTTTGAAGGGAGGAGAGGTGAGAGGCGATGTAGGCGCCCGCGCTGTGCGCCGCGTTTGACACTGCGGAGCTCGCACGAGTAGCGTACGATGCGGCGGTACCTGACAAACGAGCTCGCGACAACATTTGGGAACGGAGGGGCCCATTCTACTTGCCGGAGTATTCTGCAGCACCGGATGTGGCCTCGTGAGTGGTCGACGAGAACGTCGCCGGTGAGTCGGTTGGTGGATGTTCGCGTGTATATCTGAATTCATGCCGTGAACAGAGACGACCGACGACGTGATGCACTGCACTTACTCGACCGCTGCACCTTTGATAGCTTCGGAGGCTGCGGCGGCGTCCTCCTGAACGCTGCGTCCCAGCTCATCGCCGATAGCCTCTATGCCATCTTTCAACAAGCCGTACTTGATCAGCACTTCTTCGAAGCGTTCCTGGAGCTTCGCAAGCTCGCTATCGGGCTCTGCAACACCAGACGGCAGGATCAACTTGACATAGCTTCGCATGCAAGTCCATGAGCGTGCAACACGAAAGTCTAGCCAAGTGGATCCTCACCTGCCCTTGTCGCCTCCCAACTCTGGCTTGAACACGTACACGTTCGGTTCGTCCGCCAATGTCCCGAAGAGGGTACTCTGGTACAAAGCAAAAGACGCGCCTCCAACGCTGAGGGTACAAATTACTCTGATGTCCTCGGGGTTGGGTGCGTTCAGCCCGGGAACGGGTCCCTCGATGGCGTCGGAAGCCGCAAGGATTAGCGTGAGGTCGCCTTCGCCGAGGTCGGCTACTGTCTGGGTTTCTTCGTCTCCTCGAAGGTTCGTCGACAGAACATGAACAGCCTTGCAATTCGGAATGGTGACGAGCGTAGTGGCAGGATTTGACATGATGGTAGGGAGTTGGGCGATATACGCGACGTGTTTTGTTCAGTAGCATCTCTCCGTTTGACGTCATGCATCAGGTATTTATTTATCCTGTTCATCGCGTGCTCAAGTATATCTGTATTGATGTTGCTACAGCCTTTTATGCCCGTAAATAATACATTCGTTTACAGCTGCTATCCCAGCGATACCCCTTAACCACGTCAACATTCAGTTGGTGGACGAACCATCGAGGCCGACAGCGTTCTTAGCCTTCTGAAGCAAAGATTCCTAAAAAAAATTCCGACGATCAGGACACGCAGGGAATATGATCATAATCCAGGAATACTGACGCTGTTCTCGTTCTGGTTGCCGCTGACCGTATCTCCGACCCGCTGCGAGGTAGACTTCTCCGAGTTGGGCTGGACGGTGGACCCGGCAGAGTCCATCTTGCCCTTGGTCCAGTCACCGAACTGCTCGGTGGTCGTCTTCTGCGAGTCGGGCTGCGACGCAGATTGTAAATCCACACATTTCTCGAAACGTGGAAGGTGACGGGCTTACTTTCAGGGCGGCGCCGGCCTTGTCGGTGAAAGATTGGCGTCCGGCGTCAGACATGATTATTGTTCGTGAAAGTGGGGTGGGTAGAGAAGTTGGTTTGGTTGGGAGTGTTTGGATGATCTGGATTGCTATCGTTTGCGTTCGCACTCCATGGGTTATATAGGAAATCTCACTCCAGTCCAAGAAGGCAATCCGAGAGCCAGCTACCAGGAATATGACGCGTACATGACATTCGAGGCACGCGAGACGCGTCATGACGTCAGACATGTGGTTCGCGATTCTTGAGAAGCGCGCCGAAGACCGAGATCATAGACCCGTCTTCGGTTCTTACGCGACGGTCGAGGAGCGAGAGGCGACATAACGGCGCTCTGTGGTAACACTCCTGCGATGTTCGAACCAAACGGGAACGTTGCCGTGAGTGAACCTGGCATGTTGCAGGATCCGGCCACGTATCACGGGAGATAAGCGCATGAATGAACAGCATTGGTTCCGGATCAAGTATTTGCTCCTCCTCAGAGCGACGCTTCGTTCTTGCACTCCATAACACGCGCGTCATAAGAATCCCGACTCCATACCATGCCATACCATACCCGAACGTAACTGGGTCTCTCGGGGTTCATGCTGTTCGATCATCGCCCGGTTGTCTCGCGCTGCGCGCAAAGTCACCTGTTTCCTTCGTCATGAGAAACCTCGACATAAGTTGGAACTCGTCCTGCTCCATGCTGATTTGGAGCGTCGTGAAGCCATCTAGGCGCCGGCTTTCTCTGGTGATGTCATGAGCCTCCACCACACGCAGCTATAAAGTAAGGGCGTTAGCTTTCCAGACAGGCATCACGTCCTCCAACCGCACTCAAATCAACTACTCACCTCTTACGAATACCCTTACGAATCTTTAATCATGTCTCAAGGCGGTCGTCAATCTTTCACCGATAAGGCTGGAGCTGCCCTCAAGGTACGAGTGCCGTTGTGTACATATTTTCGCGTTTGCTAACGCATCTGCGGTCAGCCCGACTCGCAGAAGTCAAACACCGAGCACGCCGGTGACTGGACCAAGGGCAAGATGGACTCCGCTGCATCCACCGTCCAGCCGCAGTCCGAGAAGTCTGGAACCCAGAAGATGGGTGACACCTTCAGCGGTAACTCTAACAACAACGACGTAAGCCCTCGAGATAACTCAACATTAATTTGTGTAATTGACGACACGCCTTTTGATCAGGAGTCCATGATGCAGAAGGCGAAGAATGCCGTCGGTCTCGGTAACAATTAAGACCTGTCTTCATACCCTGCAGTAATCATCGGAGCATAATATGTACTAGTAACATGCATTCAGTCGATGAACAGTATCTGCTTTGCGTCATAAGAAATGCGAATTTTCATACGAGAGAAAATCATGATCACTTCCGACGCACCACGAGTAGTCGAGGGATTCTCCATGGCAGTCAAAGCGTACATTGTGCATCTGCGTTCCATCGTACACTCATTTACACCGGAATCAACCACCGAACCTCGCAAGCCGCTTCCTCCTCATCTCATCATGATCGACGGCGACGGCAGCCGCCGCTTCGGATTCAGCCGGCGTCGTAGAATCGAAATCAGAGCTGATCTCAGACTCCACGTCTGACTCCTTGGATGCCGACCTCGAGATCCCGGGCCGAGCAGGCTCTGCCGTGGTCGGAACGGACATGGCGGGAGGCTGAGGTGCAGGTACAGCCGCTCGCGGTGGAGGACTGGGCACCCTGAACCCTTCCGGCAGGGTTTCCAGGGACGCCCGAAGCGCGGCCTGCAGCTCTTCGTCTTCGTCATCATAGTTGCGATACGACTCCGGGCCGCGTCTCGTGGTGTCCAGGGCGGGATGAATGGGCTCCGCGGACGTACCCGCAATTTCCGGGGGCACGTAATCAGGATCGTGCATGTCGTCGTCACCATCATCGTCGTCCCCCGTTCTCCTAGATTGCTCGATCGCCCTTCGAATCATCTCCTGCTCCTCTTCGAGCGTGTTTGCCCCCCGCGTGGGCTGCCTCGACGCTAGTGTTGGGGGCAAAACTCGTCCAGAGTTTTGCCGTTGCCGGCAAACTTCACGCAAGTCTGGGGCGCGTGGCAGAACTCTGGCAAGCTGGCAATAGCTGGCAATACTCTCGTGTGCACATAAATGTTGTAGTATCAAATATGTACATGTTATCAACTACAATTTGACGCCCATTTCCGCAAGGAGAGCCTCCGGGTTCCAAGTTCTCTTACCCGAAACATCGGTATGTAGTGCGAGCTCCTCCGATGGGGTCAGAGGAACCACACCAGCACGGATCCCGTCGAGTTCGCGAAGATCGAAGATTTGGTCGAGGGAGGTGCTGGGATCTAGTCCGTCTCCGAGCTCTAAGCCCGGTGATGGCACTGTAGAACCGGCAGCGAGGGGGGCAGCAGTGTGGAGCATGGACGATGATCCATCTGTTACTCTTGTTCTCGAGCTGTTTGACCTTGGTAAAATTGTTCGCGAAGAACTCGTTCTCTGGCCGGCCTCCAGGGCCTTTCTTTGAGAGGTTGGGCATTGAGGTAGGCAGAAGTTTATTTTATTTGTAATGCTACTGATACAAAAAATATCATCACGCAACACGCAAGCCGGCCTGTGGCGTTGAGTATTGCCAGGGCTTGCCACGTCCTTTCGGGCCCGTGAGTTCTGCCACCTGGCAATCGCCGGCAGGCGACCGCCGGCAGCGTGGTTGGCAGGGACTTGCCAACCACACTACTCGACGCTATCGCCTCGTAGCGCGCGATTTCCTCGTCGTAGCTGTCTCGCAGAGCCGCCTCCTGCTGCCGCCTCATCATCTCGAACGTAGCCCGATTCCGCGCCATGCTCGCCGCGATCACGTCTTCGTTCATGCCGCTGGGTCCAGTCTCGCGGAGCCTGGACGCCAGGTCGCTCGATCCTCTCCGTGGTACAAGGATGTGATCGTCGTCATCGTCGTCGTCTTCCGCGAATAAGGTGCCAGGCATGCGCGACTGAGTGGGCGTCCGCGTCCCGGTGGCAGTCGAAGGGACCGATGACGGCGGGGGCATCATCAACTCATCCGCTGTACCACCCAGAAGCGAGGCTTGCAGAGCCCGCTGTAGCTCAAGATCCTCGTCTTCGAAGCCTTCCACGACATCGGCCTGCGGCGTTGACGTGGAAGCCGACGAGGCGGTTCGCGACGGAAATGCATGCCGAGTCAGATTTGCAGAAGTGGGCTCTGGGAGCGTCGCTGCGACATCGTCGGCTTCGGTACGTGGAAGCGCAAGAGGAGCGGACGGATCTATTTGCGTAACTGCAAAGACCGAATAACCTTACGCGAAAATGTCAATTAGATGAGTGCAGCCTGAATAAAGGAACAATAAAATAGTAACCTACCCTCGTCTTCGGCCTGGTGTAATACCATACCGAGGTACAGCTTCCCTACCCATTCTGGAGCCTTCGGGACGCGTTAAGGTAGATAGCGAGGGAAAAAGGGTGCGCTCACAGGAAGGGAGGAATTCAGGTTAAACCAGTGACCAATTCCAGGATCCTCGTCAAGCCTCGGAGATGCGGGTCCGAAGCGACGTATCGTGTACCAATGCTGTTGGTGATTGAGAATGAAGGCCAATTGCTTGCTACGAGTTCATTAGGCGCGAAGAAGGGACGTGGCGCCGGACGCACTGTGGTTGATCGTGGTAGGGTCGCATGGCTTCGCTACGCCATCTTACGAGACTGCAAAATATTCAGTGGGTGACGAGTCAGAGGTTTGCAGCTGTATGCACGTACCTCAAACCCCATACTTGCAACGCATTCTCCAGCACCTGAACGGAGAAGAACCCTACAGCATCCTGGATCAGCATGGCACATCGCATTACCCACGGGGATGGTACCTGTATCGTCCATGTTGGTGCTTTCTTGGCTGCGACGATCCTCGTTATATGCTCCTTCTAGCTCGTCTAGGGAGTGAGCGATCGCGGAGAGATCTGGAGCTGTAAACTATATGTAGGCTCATCGGCGCCTGCGGCAACGACCATGTATGTGGAAGAACTTACGTAGTTGCCCTCTGATAGTGATACGTATAAATCAGTCTCGGTAGTGCATGCATATACGAGCGCGTCGCGTACGAAGCAGGGAGTTCAAGGCATGCTGGGCGCAAAGCATCGAACCTGGTTGCTGCTTTTCATGGTATATCAGAGACGCTAGTCCTTCCAATCCAGCCATCGTCGTCGTGTCGTCGTAGTTTTACGGTCGCGGAGGGACTCCGTCAGCTTGAATCCTGTCGAAGACTATGAAGGACGCGTTTCCTTCAGACGCGCGTCCACCCGTGACCATCATCACCGCCTGTGCCGCGGAGTCGCGCGGAGACCGAGCACAGCGCGTCACCGTCACCGCCCAAGGCATACTTGACTAGAACGCTCACCAAGTCTCCGCCCGCTCAGCGCGCTCAGGGACTATCAAATGCTACTCGGGCAACAAACACTGTTTCCCGCCTCCCTGTGGCTTCTTCTCTGCCTCGTACTGGGTGCCAACGCGGCAGATGATGATTTCGACTGTCATGTCAAGCTCGGCGCGAGCCAATACGACTTGACCAAACTGGAGGGGTTACACTCACTCACGCACAACTGGGACTCTCCTCCATCGAAGGTGTCCGATCGCTTTGAGTGGAATCTATGCCAAGATCTGGAAGTACACGGGGACGTCAAGGAGGAAGACCAGGTAAGTCCTGGCACAGAGCTTCATGTCTCCGCCGGAATGCTACTAACCGCGCGTCAGTGCCCCTCAGGAACGCGGGTCTGCTTAACTAGGTCTTACCAAAAGGGCGAGGACCCGGATCGAATATATGCTGTTGTACCGCTGGCCAAGACTCCAGACCTTCGCCCGGAGTATAAGCAGCTGAAGTGTAAGCACCGGACATCCCTTCGTTCGCTACATATGTCTGATACCTTGGACAGCTCCAGACGGCCTTTCGGTGGTTCTTCATGGATCAAATTATGCTCTGAGCAACTCCACTGCAGTTCCTCAATCCGTCGCGTTCTCTCTGCTTTGCTCGTCCTCTTCATCAGAACCCGAGTTCGTTTCATATAATGGCAGCCAATTGGAGGTTACTTGGAGTAATCCGTCGGGCTGCTCGACGAAAGGCTCGGACACACCTGACAAACCTCAAGAGGACGATACGAGGGGAGGCAACAAAAGTAGCTCAGGAAGTAGCATCGGATGGTATGCACGCTTCCTTGCAACATCACCTTAGACGTGCTCACTCCTGCGCCTTAGGTTCTTCCTTGTGTACGATTGAGTCCACCTTCGGTTTTTCAATCTGCTCACCGCTTGTTCCCGCAGGATGCTACTCGCTCTCATTGCATATTTTGCGCTAGGGGCGTACTACAATTATTCCACGTACGGCGCGACTGGCAGCGACCTGATCCCGTACGTGGAATCAGGCTGTTGCAAATACCGCGCACCGCTGACCATTCCTACAGCCATCGCGACTTCTGGAGGGAAGTTCCATACATGCTCAGGGACGTGGTTTCCCACCTCTGCTCAACGTTCCGTACACGGCCCAGCTCGAGCAGAGGTGGGTACATCGCGGTATGATGAGACAGAGGCGATGGTATGCTACGCAAGCTGTGACTCGTTCTGTGCTTTTCATGTCGCGATACCCATAGCTTTCTGCCTAATCTCAACAAATATACTATGGTCGTGGACTCGCTCTTCCGCCTTACTGCCGTCTCTATACCAATTTGCTGTAGCGGCTGTCGTGAGAACGGAAGGTTGATGGGCGGGTCGCGTCAATATCTGATGAGTCGGCGCGCTACGCGTTGCATTTCGGTTCCGTCCTCAACCCCCCTCTCTGACTCGCTGTGTCATATACTGTTTTCCCTGTACTTTTTGTCATTGCGCTGCGTGAACACGGTGATCGATGGCCAAACACAAGTGGTACGCTGTCATAGTAGGTACTGCACCCGGAGTGTATAGCAGATGGTGAGTCGCCATCCGCCCGAGGCGCCACATGGTCACCGTGCGGGGCATCTCGGGCTTGGTCGTCGTCACACGTCAACCAGCGTACTCGAGAGCACTCACCGGCTACGTTTCGATAAACAGGACCGATGTCAGCCCTCTGGTTACGAATGTCCCTGGTCAACTTCAGCAGGCCTTCTCCACTGAGCGGGAGGCGCGCCGGGCCTTCGAAGATGCTCGAAGAAACGGGAATGTCCGCAGGGTTAGGATGAGAGCTGCTGGTTCAGATAGTGACGATGACGACGACGACGACGCACATTACGCGCTCCTGGCAAGTACAAGCTCTGCCAGACAGTCGGACGTGCGCTCGTTGCAAAGGGGCCAAGGATCTCGGGCCGCGGCGAGCGTACAAGGCAATGGCGGCTCCTCCGGAGCGCACAGCGCGAGGACCTCTGGATCTTCTTCGCCCAGAACCGGCGTCACCTTCGACGTGCCCGACCCGTCACAAGTGGGAGACGCGCCGCGTGTCCCTGCGATGACCGCCCCAGGCACGCGTGGTACCGTTTCGAACAGAGCACCCCGGGGACCGTCGTCTATGGGTAGCAGATCTCTATCATCTCCTGCAACTGGAGTGTCGTACGAGATCACTGAGTCGTTGCGCGCCGTCCAGATTTCCACTGCACACACGCGTATCAGTGAAAGTACAAGCCGTCCTCCAAGCGCAGAGCCTCCTCGCATGGCCAGGGCCGAATCTGCGCCCGCGGCTTATCCCGACGACGTTCAAGGCCCGATAGATGTTACCGCCCCTCGTCCCCTTCGCCCGACGGACTGGTCTTCTGTTACGGGGGAGGCGGCGAGGGTTCTTTGGAGTCGAGGCTTCGGAAACAGACCTCAGCTGCCCGTCGTCCCTGAAGCGAGCCATTCGTCGGGAGGCTCAGTTCCAATGTCTTCCTCGTCACCTCCCACGGAAGTCACTCAACGAGGGCCAGCGCAGTTCGCCTCCAGCTCTGGATCGCTGCAGCCTCGAGCCTTAGAAGCGTTTTCGACTTATTCAGACATATCGTTAGCGGCTCCTCCCCCAACGCCGTCTCGCGTTCCTCGGAACACCGGGAGGATGCAGGATACTGATGAGCGGGGTTTTGACGAACCTCCGTCGTTACACGCCGTGGAGGACTCTCCTAGGGATGAGCGCGCGTGCCCGATCTCTCGGCAGACGCGAAACATCGCTATCCAGGCGGAGCGACTCTCGTCCAGCAGCAGGTCGTCGAGCCCATACGATCCCGAGAGGCGTCAAACTATACGCGAGGGGAAGCGAAGGGCTAGGGACTTACCGTCTCCCTCCTCGGCCTTGAGGGAGAATATGGCGACGGTTCCCAACTCGCCGGCTGTTAGCCTTCGTAGAGAGTACGCGGGCAATCGCAACACCGCGAGCGTCCCGGTCTCGTTCCCGAGACCAGAGGACCAGCGCATCAAAGTACCTCTCTCTGTCTACTGCATCTGCCATCCGCGCCCCGAGTATGCCCCCAGCGACGAGCCCATCATGGAGTTGAAGATCAACCAGTTTTGCAAATGTCGTTGCGCGGCAGGATGCGGGCACCTCATCCCCCCTTGGGAGATCCACGAGTGTCTTGAGAGGGAAGATAGCAGGCAGGCGCCTCGCAACACCCTTGGTCTGGATATCAACCGTTTCCCGCGGGATCCGGGTTCGATCAGCTCCGGCCCAGGTCGGTATGGCTTTCAGCAGTCATCCTCATCCTTCGTAGTGTACCCAAGTCGGGCCGATCCTCGGTCGCCCGCACGCACTAGCCAGATCATTCCAATGTCCATGGAGGCTGCTTTCCCTCGTCCTTCGCCGCCCCCTTCCTTGCTGTCCCTTCCGGCTCTTGATGCCGGCTCCAGAGCGAGCATGGCGATGCACTAATGTGAATCAATATTTCAGTATGTCTCAATCCTTGGCTTGCTTTCGAACGTTCCCCGCTGAGGCCTATTTCAGGTCTATATGTACCATTTCCAGAGACCTGGGTCGATGTGCGATCTTGCTTCTTCACCCCTTGCGATACCTATGCGATACCTCCCGTTACGATGCTCCGCTGTCATGCTTACTATGGAAATGAATGTTCTTGATATTTCTCCGGAAATCGGTCGTGGGCCTGAACTGCATGACCATCATGGTCGACGGTGGATACAAGATGCGATTACGAGAGACTGAACGGACGCAGAAGCTGATCCTGAATGAAGGCGGACGTTTTTAGGGTTAGGGTTATCGCCATCACGCGTGGTCACCGAACGCGACCTCAGTGAACGCGTCGGAATCTTCATCGTTGTGCACTACACGCCCGACGAGGCTTCAGATGTGGGACGAATCAAGCGTGCTCGTGAATGCGCCTGGAGGCTCGCGCTTACTCTCGGAATCGTCTCTGGGATCGCCTGAAGTGTCTCAAAACGCGGATCTATCCCTCTCGGAGCTGTCTATAGATCCGACGCCCAAACCGAAAGCAGCTCGGACACGAAGGCCGCCCAAGTTTAGTCTGCTTGCCCCCAGAGACGATACGGAAGTTTACGACGAAGATAACGAAGAGGATCCGGATCCGGACGAGAACGATGCTGAAGGAACTGGACGTGCAGGACAGGAAGAGGCGGCTGAGCAACAAGGAGCGGCGCGTCAGGTGCCGTCGCGGACGAGAGAGGAGAAGCTTCAGCACGATCTGGTCGTTTTGCAAAAGCTGAACACGACGCTCGCCGCCTACAACGAAGTGCTCAAAGAGGCGAAGTCGCAGACCGATGTACGCATGAACTACATTACATCAACGGTGCTTCTACACTTACATATCTGGTTGGCATAGATGGTTTCAGAACAGCTGACAGTCACGAATGCATTGCTTGACAAGTACATGCGACTCATGTCTCGGTCCGAGAAGATCACGAACATTCTCTTAGACGAGGACTTTCATGGCGCAGACGCAGTACGTTTACGTGGTCATGCATCAGAACAGTCTAATTGTTTCATGTTTATGATCGCAGGACGAGGAAACGCTTGAACGCGAGAGGAAGGAGGAGGAGGAGAGGTTAAGAAGAGAGGAAGAGAGGCGTTTGATAGATGAGAGGAGAGAGAGGGAGCGGCAAGAGCTGGAGGAGAGGGAGCGTCTAGCCAAGGTGGAAGCAGAACAGGCACGAAGAGAGCGGGAAGAGAAGGCTCGGGGGAGGGGACGGGGCAGCGGTGTACGAGGGGTCAGAGGAACGAGAGCTTCGATACGGGCCGCTGCTGCGAGGACCACCTTTACCCGTGGTGGTACGATCTTCTCCTTCTGATTCAGCAGACTACCATTAATTGACATATATGCAGGCTCACCAGGGTCCACAAGTGGTATTGCTCGGGGAACAAGTACGAGAGCCCGTGCAACGCCGTCTGGTCCTTCGCGCGGTACACCACCCTCCCTACGAGGTCGCGGCAAGTGAATCTGTCGAGGGGCGGACTTCCAGATGCCCCGCCGCCCCATTATTCATATTATACCCTACTATGGTGTATCCTTAGTGTATAGGTTGTTGTTTTGTAGTGGTGAATTCGTGCTCCATTTCCCAGAAGCGGGGCAGAATCCATGACAAACGAAGTTGGGAGACCTTGTGGAACGTAGGCCTCAGCCTCTGTCATCGCTACTGAGATCGACCTTCTTCGTGCGGCATCGCACAAAGAGGACTGAGAAAGATAAACGAGCATTTACGGCCAGCGCGGTGCCATGGCCATTGCGTCAATGTTGTGCTAGAGGCTTGGCCTAGCGTAGTCGATCGCTGGAGGAAGACCTTGAAATAGGGACGGCCAATATGCGGCCTTACGTAGTCGATGAGAGTAATTGAGAGAGAAGTGGCAGACTGACAGCGTGCTCGACGGTCGACCACGACTTGGACACCCCCCACCCTTCACCACCGACGACCTGGCTGCACTGTGCACTCTAGGCATCTCATACCAGGCCCTACGTGATAACTGAGATATACAGTACTGGCTGTCGTTTAATCTGTTATGTCCTCCGGCGGGTGGTTACTTAGAGTTGGGTTACTTGCAACCTCGCTAGCCTCATGCGCCCATGCGTTCTATCTGCCTGGTGCCGCACCCCATGACTACGCCAAGGGCGAACAAGTGGACGTGCTTGTGAACGCTTTGACACCGATGCTTTCGGGTAAAGACGACGCGAAACTGGTGCGTCAATCGTACTTCTCATTCCAGCGTGTACACGACTAACAAGACACGCGCCCGAGCAGAAATCTCTCATCAACTGTGCGTCTGCCAGCAACGGCGTTGGATTATCCAATGTACTTACCTCACCCTGTAGATGATTACTACAATCCGAAATTCCACTTTTGCGAGCCTGCGGGTGGTCCGAAGAGCCGACCTGAATCCTTAGGGAGCATCCTGTTCGGAGATCGTATATTCAACTCTCCTTTTGACGTACGCAGTTAACTGCACATTGTAACTCGGTTCTCCCTCACTTGAGACGATAGGTGAAAATGCTCGAGAACAATGGGACGTGTCAAACGCTATGTGTGGTTCGGGACGTTCCAGGCGAAGATGCAAAGTTCATCAACGATCGCATACGCGAAGATTACGCGATAAACTGGCTGGTGGATGGTTTGCCGGCTGCCGAGATGAAGCAAGATCGCAGGACGGGGGACATATTCTTCGACATGGGCTTCAACCTTGGCAACGACGAGGAGCCGTACTCAGAGGAGAACCCGGCCTTGAACAATCACTTCGAGATTGTGATGAGATACCACACTCCCAGTACGGGAAACCATCGAATAGTCGGTGTGCTCGTGTGGCCAAGTAGGTACGTGCCCGCTTGATTATATTCCGGGATGGTCTGCTTACCCATGTTGCAGTCGCGGAGGCTCTCAGGAAGAGTCCCCTGATTGCGACAGCGAAGCGCCTGCCTTGATCCTCAACGAAAAGGGCCCCAACACCATCCGGTATACTTATAGAGTCAACTGGAATGTTAGTCGCTCGCAATGCACCTTGTGATCGTCCGCGCGTGCTAATCTATGGCTTCAGGCATCCGACACGCCGTGGGCTACGCGATGGGACAACTATCTGCATATTTTCGACCCCAGGATACATTGGTTCAGTCTGATCAATTCTCTGATCATTGTGATGTTCCTCTGCGTTATGGTCTCCATGATCCTGTTGCGAAGCGTGTCTCGGGATGTCAGTGCCCTTCTGCTTCCATCACTGCACCAGTTTGCTCATCTCATCCAGATTTCGAGATACAACGCCATTGACCTCAGCGAGGATGTCTCCGAAGATTTCGGTTGGAAACTCGTACATGGCGAGGTGTTCCGTACACCACAAAATCCAATGATTCTCTCTGTCATGGTTGGAAACGGCGCTCAGCTATGTGCCATGGTCGTTGTCACCCTCGGTAATTCCCCGCGCATCGTTGGCATGGTTCGGTTCGCTCATGGCGCTCTACAGTCTTTGCGTTACTCGGTTTCCTCTCGCCTTCCAACCGAGGTTCGTTGGCGACGGTGATGATGGTTTGTTGGACGTTCTTCGGCAGGTCAGAGCTCGGTATGGTCAATGGTGCACATCCTTAACCTGCCATATCTCCAGTGTTGGTGGGTACTTCTCAAGTCGTGTATATGCATCCTTGGGAGGCACGAACAAAAGGAAGAACTCCTTCGTCACTGCCACGGCCCTGCCAACGTAAGTCGATCTCCCCGTCAGCACGAGGGTATATCTGACTAGTTATCCGAAGTGTGGTGTTCGCCATTGTCTTCTTGCTCAACCTTTTCCTCATCATTGCTGGGTCCTCCGGCGCTGTGCCATTCGGTGAGTCGATATGTAATTGTTACCAGCTCGTCGCGCTGACGCTAGCTGCGCAGGGACGATGTTTTTGATCGTGGTCTTATGGTTCGGTATTTCAGCACCATTGTCTGCCATCGGAGCTTACTTCGGTTCCAAACATGGGGTTGGTTTGCCCCTGCTCTAACTTTGGCATGGGACTCACATCTTGCATCCTCCAGGCCATTTCGCATCCTGTGAGGGTGAACCAGATACCCAGGCAGATCCCGCCCCCGCCGAAGTATCTCCGTCCATGGGTGAGCGTTCACTACCTTCCGCACGTTCCCATCGCTGATCGCTTGCTTTGGCAGGCCTCCACATTGCTCGCTGGCATCCTGCCATTCGGTATGCCGTCCTGACCAATCGCCACAAGGTCCCTTGATGACAGTATACGTTGCAGGTGCTGCGTTTGTAGAGCTCTACTTTGTCCTCTCCAGCCTCTTCGCCTCGCGGGCGTACTACGCCTTCGGCTTTCTTGCGCTGACCGCAGGCGTATTCGCACTCACAACAGCCACGGTTTCTATCCTCTTTACGTACTTCCTACTTTGCGCGGAGGACTATAGGTGGCACTGGCGAGCCTTCTTTGCCGGAGGCGGGAGTGCGTTCTGGTTATTGGCGTACGGTCTGTTCTACTGGATCTCCCGGTTATCCCTGGGATCGACCACGAGCTTTATGTTGTATCTCGGGTACCTGCTTCTACTTGCGCTTCTCGATTTCTTGGTGACTGGTGCGTTCTTGTGTTTTGTTTGTTGCATTCAACATATTTGACAACCCTATTATTAACAGGCACTATTGGTTTCCTCGCGACATATTGGGCGGTCCGTCGATTATACACCGCGATCCGCGTGGACTAGGTTTACGTCGTGCATCCTGTTCAGACCATGGCGCAAAGCATTAGGGACTATCAAATTATACGGCCACTATTGTGCAAGCAGTCGTCTACGCGCGCTCCCGCAACTTCGGGGAGCGAACACCACGGATCATTCCCGGACGAGGACCACCGTGTTCCTCTTCCCGGTTCGCATGACTGCGACGCGCCCGTCAATGAGTTCATCGGGCTTCAACTTGACGTACACATCCGACCGCCGGTGGCCGTTCACATAGAACCCGTTAGTTTTCGCGAGTGTCTTGGCCGCGCCGCCGGAACGCGTCAGCCCGTGGGTCTTTGAGAGCACCATGAGCGGCTTGCTGAAAAGCTCTGCCTCGGACACGAAGCGGAGCCGGCCGTCACCCTCCATCGAGGCAATGATTTGATCGGCGGTCACGGACTCGAATTGGTCGCCGGAGCCGTAGAGGACGTCGGTCATTGAGAGCGCGCGGCTGGTACCCGTCGCGCCGTGCACGAGTTCGGACACTTCGCGCGCCAGCAGTTGCTGAGCGGGGCGCTTCTGCGGGTGTGCCTAGTAGGTAAGACGATCGTGAGAGGTGCTGCGTAGGGAGATACAATGGGACAAAACCATACTCGTTGTTCTGCCATCACGTCTTCGATACGGGTAAGGGGTAGTAGGGTGAACAGCTTCAGGTAGCGTTCCACGTCCGCGTCAGCTGTTCGAAGCCAGAACTGTTCATTTGACCGACGCTTGAGCCCACTATACGACGCCACATGAAGGAAAACCTCATACCTGATAGAAGTCGAATGGACTCGTTTTTTCCTTGTCCAGCCATACCGCGTTACCCGCGCTCTTGCCGAACTTTTCGCCGTTCGCCGTAGTGAGCAGCGGTGTGGTAATACCGTACGCCCTAGGGGTCGTATCGGTCTGTGGACTGGCACCCTCGCTTGTCTGAAGCGAGGGATCCATCTTTTCGTTCGGTGGCCCGAGGCGGTTGATGAGGTCGATGCCAGCGACAATGTTACCCCACTGGTCGGAGCCGCCGATTTGGATCCGACACCCGACCTGGCGCCGGAGCTCGTAGAAGTCATAGGCTTGCAGGAGCTGGTAAGTGAATTCAGTGAAGGTGAGGCCGGACGCGGAGTTCATCCGGGTCTGGACGCTGTAATTAAGATAAAAGCGTCTACATAGGTACGGGTGATAGCGAATGATAGGCACCACTCTTACCTCTCCCTCGCTAGCATGGTGTTGACGCGGTTCACGCTCCCGACTTCCCTCAAGAAGCGCAACATGCTCATGTCTTTGTGCCACGTCAAGTTGTTCAGGATCTCTGGTTTGGTGCATTCCTTCGGGTCAACGCGTGTTCGAGATGACGCGTATTTGAGGGCCTTTTCGAAGAACTTCTCAATGCCGGAGGTAAGCTTGGAGACGTTGCCTTCGATGGCACTGGTGCGCGCGAGCTGGCGCTCAATTATACGTCCGGAGGGGTCACCGACGAGGCCCGTCGCACCGCCAATCTAACAACAAATTCGAACATGAGAGTTCGCCCAGATTACATTATGCAGCAGTAACGTACAAGGGAAATGATTCGGTGACCATGTATCTGAAAATGCAACAAGCACATGAGGGGTACCAAATGCCCGACATGAAATGCGTCGGCGGTCGGGTCTACACCCGAGTACGCGACCAGCCTATGGGGACGAGGCCGTTGGGATTCCTTCTCGAATTCATCTCGACTTTGTGATGTATCCCATATAAAAGATGTGTGTGTCCGTCCTTGTCAGTCCAATTGGAAGCAGGGGTGCAGTGGTCTTAATAGATGTACTGACTGCGTTATGTCTGCGATGAAGCCGCGAGCAGTCAGCGCGCTCAGAAGTTGATGCCTCGACGCGCTGGTTGCTACCCCTCTGCAAATCAGGCGTCGTGCTGCACGGTGCCGTGTGCTTGTCAACGAGAAAGACGCATAGTGCCGGAGAGACAACATCGGGCAGGTCGAGCGCGCCGGGCTTCATCCTGTATCCTGAGGCTCACAGCCACCGGCATCTTCCTTCACACCCGACGATATAACGTAGGGCTTCCTTTTTGAACTCCATGTGTTGGACCCTATGGCCCCTTCCGTGCTGGGGAATGCTTTTGCGCTACGGAATGCTTTTGCGCTACGGAAGCTTCCGTAGCGCAAAAGCATTCCCCAGCATGCCGAGACAGGTTATGATGGTTACAACTTGATGCTAATCACCCAACGGTTTATCGTCGCATTTGAGACTCCGCCCCCTTTCAGCCAATGAAGTCTCTTCATTTTTCAAGCTCCACCTGAATGACTTCAACGCAAAGACTGCAGAGTCAGACCTCAAATCTGCTCTCTTCGGCTTTCCTTCTGTGTTTTTCTGCACCAACGAATCCCATAAGCACCCAAACTAGCCTTGCTAACCCTAACTAACCTCTAAGCTAACCTCCTAACCTCCTAAAACTAACCCTAAAGCCAACCCGCTGCGCGGGAGGCGCAAGAGGTGGGGCGGGTCGGAGTTCCAAATGCGAGAACGGACGTTAGTTACGTTCACCAATAATGCATACTTACCATAAACTGGGCTCCGTCAGTCAATCCCCTGCGCTTTGGTCTGCCACTCAACGCGGCCAGGAAATGCTACAAATTGATATACATCTGTTCTGCACTGGGGTTCTCTCAACGCGCGACGCTGGTCGAAGTCTGCGGCACCATTTGTGAATGAACACGAGCCCCCCGTGTTTCTGCGGCGGGCGCGGATATAATATCTATATACGAGGCCCAGCCTCCACACGCTCTCCCGGCGCGAATTGTCCTTGCCAAGTTGCCAACACGAGGCGAATAGAATAGGCGATTACAGAAGTACGTGTAGACGAAAGATCCGACTCAGATCATCAAAGCTTGGACCGTGCCATCCGCGCGCAGCGTCTCGATTTGTACGTAGCATCGCGATATAGAGTATATAAGGGCATTTCTGCATCTTGCATCCAGCGAACTCATCAACGCCGTCGGTTGCAGACACGCAGGAGGGTCGCAGAAGGTTAAATCACGACAAAGCAAGACTGCGACGTTCGTCGTCCACTAATTATAAGTATATTTGGGGGGTGCGACCGGGTGAACTAGAGAAGTTAACGCTCATGTAAGGAATAAGGACCATCCCAAGCTTGAAGTGGAGCTGAATTGTCCGCTGGGCAGTTGCAATGGCGATACTGCACAAACATAGCCAATCATGAGTCAAAACGGCTGGAATGAAACCCGTATACTGTTGCGTCCTTCGCTCGCACCGGATCAGAAAGGTCCGATCAAAGAGACAAGTACGTATCGACGCCGAATGGACAAAATACCAGTGCTTCGAGCCGACAAGCTTGGCATCAATGTTTTCGACACTCACATCCACCCAACCCTGATCTACTCGAATCCGAAGGACACGGAGCCGGTGTGGCAGTATGATTTCTGCTCCCGACGAACTTCGACTTCGAATTGCTGCATCTCCGCAATATCTACCATGCTTGCGTCCTGTTTATATTCGGTCCTGATGGTTCCGCAACTGGCAACTGCATGGCTTGCTGATTATCTCGGGAGCCACACTTGAGGATGGCAATATAGTCACCATTTCCAGCGCTCCGCAATAACTGCACCCCCTGGCATCCTGATCTCTTCCCGAGCCTGGATCGAACACACTGCCCGGACGGGTTCAATAGACCGCAATTTCACCGTCAAGGTTCCAGCGGCGAACTGATCGTAGCGCTCTCGTTACTGCGCCGCGCGCTCATATTTACGTGAGCCTGTAAACGAGCCGGGTCTCGATTACGCCGTTCTGCTGCCAGCCCTGTCTCCGTCCAAGCCCCCGCCCCCCGGCCCCGTCTGCACCCCTCATGTGGCCGCCCGTCAACTGGAAAGCAAAGCGGGGTCAGTCTCGCTCAGGAATCCTACCGAGCTACCGCCAGGGCGCCCTCAACGTCCGCATGCAGCGCATCGTCCGTTGGTCCCTGGCCGTTTCTGTCTTTCTCGCCGTGTCGTACACGCTCGCCTATGTCCCGCGGTGGTACCGCAACGTCCAACGCTCGGGAAGACTCGACCCTCGGCCCGTCCGCTGGGAGGGAGGCCACCTCAAGTCGCCGCCGGAGCCGTCGTGGGACGCGGTCAGAAGATGGGAGGACAACCTCCCGCAGCATAATCTGTCGCTGCCCTTCCCGGAAGGCCGGAACGGGCGTTACGTCAAGTTTTCTACGCAGCCCGGAGGCCTGGGGTGGAACAACGTCTTCACCGAACTGTGAGCCGCATAAGCCACCTGAAACAAGGAAGATTTACGAGGGACACGTCCTTTCTTTTCCGCAGGATACTATGTGCGCACCTCGCGTACGACTCGGGGCGTGCTTATGTATTCCGTGACTGTGGGTCGCAAGCCTAATATACAGTTCATCGTAACCACCTGACGCTGCGATACCGCACAGATAGCTGGGCGATCAACCATTATCCGTGGCCGATCCCCGTGTGGAAAAAAGGCGAAGGCGCCGCCACACCCCGCACGCCGCTGAGCGCGCTGATATCCGGGCCGACCGCGGGCGGAAACTGGCCGGCGGGGGACGACGCTCCACGGTCGATCAGCGAGCGCTGGTGGGATACCGTCTGCGAAGACCCGAACGACGTCGAGATCTTATGGTCCGACGACGCAAAGCGGGACGTCGGGAACGCGCCGGGCGACGAGGTCCTCCGGCACTGGTCACGCCTCCTCCGCGAGTCGCCAAAAAAGTGCATCGATGTCCGTGCGGGGCCGTCGGGCAACGACGGGTTTCCACAGGTGCGTAAACGCGAGAGGCCACCAGCTCACGGCAGGATTCGCGGGAGCTGACGACAGTGTCGCGATTTTGTCAGACCTTTGACCTCTGGCTCGTCGGCTCGTCGCGGATGGTGCCCCTATGGGACATATTCAAAGACTCGCCGACGTCGCGCCTGCTCGCTGCGTCCCCGATCGTGGCATCCGCCGTCACGCGGAACGAACATCTCTTCCTCCCGCGCGGCCCGCGCGCGCGCGAAGGGTCCCCGGACCCGTTCGCGCGCATGATGGCCGTGCACATGCGTCGAGGGGATTACGAGGGCTCGTGCCGCCATTTTGCGAAGTGGAGCTCGAGCTTCTACGGCTGGAACCAGCTGCCGGTCCTCCCCGACCCGCTCGTGACCGAGCCCGGGGGAGAATCCGAGGCAAATACGGCGATCGTGATGCGGAGGTGTTGGCCGACGGTCAAGCAGGCGCTGGAGAGGGTGAGGGAGGCGAGGGAGGCGTACGAGTGGGATCGCGATAGAGGCGAGGCGAGGCCGTTGGACGTAATACATGTGCTATCTGAGGGAGACGGTGGGTGGTTAAGGGATTTCCAGGACGGGTTGAGGGCGGATGGCTGGGGCACCGTCATCCTGTCCAAGGATTTGGTGCTTGATAGCGAGCAAACCGGGGTGGGTATGGCGGTGGATATGGAGATCGCAAGAAAGGCGGCAGTTTTCATTGGGAATGGGGTGAGTCCTTCGTATGGGGATTTTGAATGATCTTGCGCATATACTGATGAATTGCCGTGCAGTGGTCTTCGTTCACTAGTAATATCATCCATAGGCGACTAGTAGATGGTAGAGAGCCGATAGCAAATCGCTTTTGGTAGTCTCAAGCACCACATTCTTGTTTAGCTTCGTTACAGTGAGGATCATGAAGCCAGGCAAAGAACATCCGCATTTCATAACCTCACCATGTAGCACCAACAGCGACAGTCACAGCGGCCAAGGCAATATCTCTAGGCAGCTGATTATGTATGCGTACAGAGCGAGGACAAGATGTGTATTCGCTTACAAGCCTGATCATGATCCGAGATGCCCTCTGCACGGTGGTGGTACTTAGGTGGTGGTGGTGGTGGTACATGGAGTGGCTATGTTCATGATCATCCCTTGCTTTTCATTGCTCTTCAGTCGAAAACCTCTTCATCTAGGCTGAGCGTCTGAGTATTGGCGACATGCAGTTTGAGGTCCTCGCGCGATGCCCCACGACTAGGGCGCGGGTGTCGAAGATGACTCTGGCTCGTGCGTCTCTTTCTCCGGAAGGCGACCCGCGCTCGAGCATCCGTAGATAACTATGGCTCTCAGATGGGACGACGATGTTACCAACCTTCATGCCCGTGGCGACGCAAGCGGCCATCAAAGGTCTCACGGCTCAGCAAGTTGAAGCCCTCGGCGTCACCCTGATCTTGAACAACACGTACCACCTCAACCTCCGACCAGGGATCAAGGTTCTGCAGGAGGCAGGCGGGGCACACAAGTTCCAAGGATGGAAGCATAACCTGCTGACTGTGAGCTAATCATCCTGCGAACGATTTCGGAGTCGTCGAATTATGTGTCTCAATGATCGGCAGGACAGCGGCGGCTTTCAACTCGTTTCCCTAAGCAAGTTCACTAAGATTACGGAGGAAGGCGCCATGTTCGCCTCGCCTTTCACCGGGGAGCCTACGATGCTCACCCCAGAGGAAAGCATCTCCATCCAACATGCCATCGGCGCAGATATCATCATGCAGCTCGATGATGTAGGTCTGTCCACTAGCGTATGAAGCGGATCTCCAAACGGGGCTGAAGGTCCCTCATCGTCGCTCGCAGTCTCCAGCTTGACCGTTGGTCCGCGTGTAGAGGAGGCTTCGGAACGCTCCGTGCGATGGCTGGACCGGTGCATTGCCCACCACAAACAATCCGGAAGAAGAGAAGTCCAGAACCTCTTCGCCATCGTGCAAGGAGGACTGAGCCCCGAGCTACGAGATCGTTGCTTGGACGAGATGATCAAGCGGAAGGACGAAGTAGCTGGATATGCGATTGGTGGCCTCAGCGGGGGTGAGGAGAAAGGTAGGCCTCTCATTGTCCGTTGTGTTGAATGCGTTGACTGATGGTTACCTAAGATGTATTTTGGAGGATGTGCGCTTCTCCAACTCGGTATCTGATTAGGCGCTAACGAGACGCATAGAATCGCTCAGTGTGCGCAACGGTTACCCGATGACCGTGAGTAGACAGGATGTATACGAAGCACGATGCACAGTGAGCTGACTACCAAACAGGGCCGCGGTATTCAATGGGCATTGGTTTCGCCGAAGGTATGCCGTGGTTCGTGGCTTGAGATGTCTCACTAACGCGCTCTCGTAGATCTGCTTGTATGTGTTGCCCTCGGGGTCGATATGGTGCGCCTTATGACAGGTCGCTACATCCGTCGAGGCTAAACTGCGACAGGCCGATTGCGTGTTTCCTACCCGCACAGCTCGGTTTGGGGTCGCATTGACCTTCAAAGGCCCACTCAATTTACGTGCGTCATGACATCCTAGTATCATCTGTGCTCCAGAACTAATCTCCAGCTCAGGTCTGAGCAAACATGCTAAATCATTTGAACCAATCGAAGCGGATTGTCCTTGTCCAACGTGCAGTTCAGGAGTATCTCGAGCTGCTTTGCACCATTCCGTGACCCTCGAAACGGCCACAGCCCATGGTTCGTCACACCTGATCAACATGATGACCCTACCCTGAACGTCTTTCGTCAGCGATCACACAACATAACATTGTCTTCCAAGCGCGAGTAATGGGCGGTGCTCGCGATGCTATCATGGAAACTCGCTTCCCTGAATACCTCCGAACGTTCTTCACGAATTACTTTGGCGACGAGGGGTACCCTGAGTGGTGTGTGAATGCGCTCAGGAGCGTGGGCGTCGATCTCCTTGAGGGCAAACCGAACGCAAAGGTGCAAAAGGGTGATGGGGTGAAATGGGAATACTCGGACGTTGCATAGCCCTTGACGGGGTCCATACACCATGATCTCCGTCCAGAGGCCGGAGCAACAGCAGTTTGCAGTGGTATAATATACAAACCCGAGTTGATATACTTCTTTTAATGCCTGCCTTTTCTCTTGGCAGGGCGTCGAGCATTCTTCGCCTTCTTCTGCTCGTGCACTTTCCGAGCCTTCCGAATCTGCTCTGCGCTCTTGAGTTCGCTCCTGACCCTCGACATGCTCTTGCCAGCATTGCGGCCTTTGCCTTGCACCTTCCCTGGGGCTCTGCCTTTCCCCTTCGGACTCGGCCCTGCCTGTTCCTCTCCCTTCTCCGCTCTCTTCACCTGCTTCACCTTCCGCTCGTAGTCCTTAGACAATTTATCGAGCGGCTTCGCCTCCGTCACCTTGTTGTGCTTGAACTTGCGCCCGCCTGGTCCACCTGAGCGCCGCGCTCGCGACCCCTCCTGTTCCATCTCGCCGACGCGAGGCAGGTTATTCCGCGTCTTCGCCTTCCACTCGTCGAACCGCCCGCTCCGGTAGGTCGCAGGCAGTTTCGTCCCGCTCTCGGTCTTAACCATCTTCACGTTATCCGCGCCGGCGCCGTCGCCTTTCACAAACTTCTTTTTCTTCTGGTCCCAGCGCAGCTGTTGTCGCTTCTGTGATTTGAGGCCCTCGTCGCCCGTGAGATCAAAGGTCGCGTTGCGCGCCTGCTCAGCAAACGACGCGCCGTCTGTGAGAGAGTATCTGCGCAGCAATGTCAGGGACCTGTCATGCATGGATATATAGAGGATTTACCCCTTTTCTGCCGCGTTGCCCTTCTGGACATACGACAGATAGTACTCGGAGTCACGATATGACCCTTTACCGCGATTCTTGTGCTCCGTACCGAAGACAGCCTAGAGGTAACAATGAGCGGTATCGCGATACGGAGAAACATACTGAATACCTCGATATCCTCCTCGTCCGCCATTTCAATACTGGTTGCATTTTCGCCCGCGTCCTCCTGCTCTCCTTCATCCTGACCCTCCACCAGAGCTTGCGAAGTAGAGGTGAGCGCGGCTCGCTGCTTCGCCTTCTCCAGCGCTTTCCTCCGCTGCTTCATTAACGCCGCCGTCTCTCCGCTTCCCTGGCCCTTCTTTCCTATCTCGAACACGGTCTCCGCCGGCCTGAACGAGTTAACCGCCTTCAGCAGCGCCTTCTTTGCGTCCTCTGTGTGGCGCGCCTCCATCTGGGCTTCGCTTCGCCCCCGTAGAAGCACAGGATGCACGCCTGCCTCGGCCGAGCCCGCGAGACCCCACTTCCCCGGGATGTCCTTCGTCATCGCTTTCGCGCGTTTGTACGATGCAGGGCTGGCTTTGCCTTTGGAGCGCTCGTACATTGATTGACCCTTCCGCATCACTTCGCGAAGGGTGTACAGTGAGTGGTTGATCTCGTCCAAACCCCGGATGGACTCGACTTCCTGGTCTATCTTGTCGCGATGGAATGTGCCCAGAACCAGGTTCTCAGCATAAACCGAGTCACCGACCCCGGCGTCGTCGACCTCGGACTTGAGCGGTCTGCCGAGGAAGAGTTGCAAGTCCAATAGGTAGGGCAACTCGGTGTTGGTGACGAAAGACCACGCCCAACCGGGTCGACCCGCACGCGCCGTTCGCCCGACACGGTGGACGAATACTCTTGCGCCCTGCGGGAAATCGTAGTTGATCACGTTTTCGAGCACGGGAATATCGATCCCACGCGCGGCAACATCTGTGACGACTAGGATGCTCGTCTGTCCCCGACGGAACTGGTCCATTTGAATCGTGCGTGCGGTCTGGTCGAGCGAGCCGTAGATGTGGGAGACGGCATAGCCGGCTGTGGCAAGGAGCGTCGTGAGATACTCGACATGGTGTTTCGTCGCGACGAAGACAAGCGTCTGGTGGGGTGCAGTTTGTATCTCGTGAGACTTAGCTTTCGCCTTGCCCTTCCCTTTCTTGTCCGTAGGCTCCTCGTGCGCGGAATTGCTGCTGCTCCCTAGAGGGACCTGAATCACGTCACGTAACAGAGTCAGCAGGCACGCGTCTTTCTCAGCTTGCTTCACAGAGAAGAACGCCATTTTGAGATCGCTGCTGATCTTGCTCTCTGCGTCCAGTCGGACAAGTTTAGGGTCTTGCAGACCGGCCTTGGCAAATTCAACGAGAGACTTGGGCAACGTGGCCGAAAAAAGCAGAGTTTGACGAGAGGCCGGTAGGCGGTGGAGGATCTCGGTCATGGCGGTCTCGAAGCCCATCTCGAAGAGTCGGTCGGCTTCGTCAAACACGACGTATTCCACGGATCGGAGGTCAAGGTTCATCTCGACAATGAGATGCAGCAAACGACCCGGCGTAGCTATAATACTAAGAAGGGATATGAGTCGCGTTGTTTCTGCGGCATGTAATCCGAAGGCTTACACATCTGGGTTGTTCGTCATCATCTCGAACTGTTCGTCCAGGCCTTCACCACCCACGACCAGCGCCCATCGCAGACCTTGACCCTTCTTGGATTGTTCGGCATCACCAGCGGTGTCGCCGGCATGTTCGCCGCCACCTGCAAAGCGGCCACGAGCGAGTTCCTTCCCCACTCGGAGAATCTGCAGCGCCAGTTCGCGGGTCGGAAGCAGGATCAGGGCGCGTGCGCCAAAGGTGGAGGAGTGCATGCCGTCAAGGCGCTGGATGAGCGGTATCATGTATGCCAGCGACTTGCCGGAGCCGGTACGTGCCATGCCGACGAGGTCTCTGGGAGGATTGGAGAGAAGAGATGGGATGGAAAGCCTTTGGATAGGAGTAGGGATGCGGAAGCCCTGTAGTGAAAGGGACCGTAGTATCCATGGGTGCAGTCCTAGCCCGCATGTCAGACCGTGCTCCAGAGGCGGATGAGATGCAGAGAAACGCACCCATGCTTTGGAAGCTACCTCCACCCACTTCACCCTTCGCGATCTTTGTTTTGCCCTTCGTGCGCTTGACGACCTCCGTGCCGAGTTTGACATTCCTCTTGGATACCGACGCTTTGATGAAGTCCGCAAGCGCTTCATCATCGTCTTCGTCCTGCTCCGCCATATTCTTGCTGGAGGGTGCACTCAGCTTTCTCTTCTTTTTCCCAGCCAAGACATTGGAGATATCCACTTCGTCCTCTGATGTCCCAGAATCATAACGACGTTCTTCGCTCTCCCAGTCGTCGCCTTTGCCCTTGACATTTGAAAGGCGATGCCTCTTGAGTGAAGCTTGCATCCTGATCCCGACCGAAGAGAGAACGAGGAGGTAAAATATGCACAGCCACCGTTATGACTACGCATGGCTCTTCTCGGACAGACTTGGCGGAGACCATCATAGGCTCGAGTACTTGCAGACCTCTCGAAGTTTCTGTTGTTATCAATGTGAAGCGGCAACGACGGCTCGTTCCACCTGCTCTTGCTGACTCCGGCTGGTCTTTCAGCAAGATGTGCTGTTGCTCATGGACTCTCGAGCTATACACCATATTGTCAGCACCAAGCCTAATGACTATTACAAGCCCGCCAACATCACCTATATGCTGGCTGAGCTCCTCGGTAGAGGTGATTATCCCATATCAATATGTGGGGACCATTTCTCACGCCGTACTCGGCGGTAGGTGTGTTACTAGTTGAAGGTACATATTCATGGGCTGTGTGGTTATCCTTCGCTGAGAGATCTTGTGAATTAATGAAAGGTGAACAACATCATCGCCAGGTACGTCATCCGGACCATGGTCTTACACAGTGTCTGACGTGCGATATAGCGCAGAATCATGGTAGATCACTTGAATTTCAGCTTCTATCCCCAAGAAATCGCCAACTGATGACTGCCTTGAAGAATGGTGCATTCGGACCATCCCAAATTCGCGACCTCACGGAAATATTCGTGGAGAAAGCTAACCAGGTAAACGCAATTGCCTTATAGCAACACAGCGAGGCCTTAGTGCATGGGTTCTTGTTATATTCTTGTGCAGTTGCGGGATAATTTCACATCCCTTACCGAGCGCAACGGCGCCGCACGCGTCGACGTCTTGCATTGGATGAGCAAAGCGACCCTGGATATCATCGGTGCAGCAGGTACTGCCGTGATCCGATGCATTCAATGTCTTTCGCTGACGCAATATCCGTCTATCAGGCTTCAATTACTCGTTCGACTCGTTGGATACCACGAAAGGTCCTAATGAGCTCAGTGCGTGTCTTTCGGAGTAGTTACAAACCCCGCGACGCTTATCCACTGCGCGTAGACGTTGCTTTCAGCACGGTATTTAAGGCCACCCAAAAGTATGATTTCATGAGCGTACTCACCTCAATAGCTCCACCACTCAGGCGCCTGGTATGGATACACTGATTTCAACCTCGCTTCGTTGACGGTGTGCTCTGTTACAGCCAACTGAGCGCCTTCGTCGGATTCGGGAGGCCAAAGCCACTATGGATCGCCTCGGGTTGCAACTCGTAAAGGAGAAGAAAGCCGCTTTGCAGGCGGAGAGCGTCGGCGTCGAGAAGAAGAATATTCTGAGCCGTGATATGCTGAGTCTGTTGATCAAGGCTAACATAGCGAGCGATGTTCCGGAAAATCAACGGCTTTCCGATGAGGAGGTTCTGGCTCGTGAGCTTGTCACATATGAACCCATATCAGGTTGTCGCTGATGATGCATGATAGAAATCCCGACTTTCCTAGGTTCGTAAGATTTAATGATTACGAACTGGCCACCCTGATGCAATCGCTCACAGGAGCGGGGCATGAGACAACCAGGTAATTCCGCGATGAGCATGCCTTGCTCTCAACTCTGATGTCCTCTGCAGCACCAGCACGACTTGGTGTCTCTTCCTCCTAGCATCTCATCCAGACGTTCAAATGAAGTTGCGCGATGAGCTCTGGAGTCTGGCCACGAACGAACCGACTATGGACCAGCTGAACTCCCTTCGTAAGGCCCGATAAATGATGCGTTTGTGTGATAAACCGGTCTAACAATTGAGCTCAGCGTACCTCGACAGCGTTTGCAGGGAAACATTGAGAGTCAGAGCTCCGGTTCCAAGCGCCATTAGGGTGGCACAGAAGGACGACGTGATTCCGCTCGAGAGACCTTTCGTCGACACCCGCGGTCAGGTTTGTTCTGAGATTCGGTAGGTTCTTTCCGTTTCGATACCACTTGGGGTATCTTTGCTTTCTTTGCTTAAGCGCCCATGAATAGGGTCAAGAAAGGTCAAACTGTCATACTGCCTATCCTGGCCCTCAACAGGTCGTCGCGACTGTGGGGCCCTGATGCTTCGGAGTTTATGTGAGTGGTGCTTCGATGATGACCCCAAGAGTAAGACAGTACGATGTCACTGAGAATCGTCGTAGACCAGAAAGATGGCAACACCTTCCGCAAGCTGTGAACTCTATCCCTGGAGTGTGGAGCAACATCATGACTTTCCTGGGTTAGTCGCCGATTACTAGGTGATCTTATAGGCAGACACAGCTTACCGGACCCTTTTTAGCGGGCCCGCACGCCTGCATTGGCTACCGGTTTTCTATCGTCGAGTAAGCAACTCGATCTCATCCTGCAACATCTGCCTAGACAAGGGCACGACAGGATGAAAGCCCTCCTCTTCGCACTTGTTAAATCGTTCGAGTTCGAGCTTGCCACGCGGAAAGAAGATATCGTGGTGAACTACATGCAGCTCGTAACGCGACCCTCCGTAGCGGGCGAACTTGAAAAGGGCAACCAAATGCCACTGATCGTCAAGCCTGCCCATCGTGTGTGATTCTATTGCGCCAGGAAGATCTCCCGTGTCCAATATGCTACTTGTACAATACATGTGTGATTAGTATTACTACTGAGATTGTATGTCCGATGTGTCCGAGGCTATATCTCATCTACGTATACAGTATGCGCTTTCTTGCGAACAGTTATCTGGATCCAATGCTACCAAAAACGGTTGGAGATGTTCTCCCTCCCATCCACTAGTCTTCGGTGGATGATGTTACTGGTGAAGGATGACCACTGATGAGAAAACGGTCGGTGATACGTTCACTTCGAGCTATATGAGACATGACCTACCCCATTGCCGATAAACACTGCGGCCTTGCGCGCGATCTCCATGTCCACGGTCATGCCGACGCCGGTCTGCTCGCTGTCCAACGCGAGGTCCTTGGAAGTGACCACCGTTCCCCACCCACTGTCACGCAAGCCTCTTTCGAGCGCCCTAAGCCACTCTTCGTCGCCATCAGACAAAACGTGCACGACGTCGAGCACCGTGGTAGAACCCAATGCGGGATCGTGCTCCCGAATATACGCGTCCCTCGCCTCGCGCACCTTCTCTAGCGTTTGCTCCAGCGTCGGCCAGCACCTCCGCATGTAAATATCCGTCCTCTCCGGCGTCTCCCCGCCAGACGGAACTTCAAACCGGTCGGGCAAGAACGGCAGCTGATTCCAACCATAGAAGCTCGAGCCGTACCTAGCAAAATGGCGGCACTGGCCGACGTAGTCCCCGCGACGCATGTGGAGGGCCATCATGCGGTCGTAGGGATTGGGGGATCCGCGCCGGGCGCTGGCACCCCGCGGGAGGAAGAGGTGTTCATTGCGCGCGACGGCGGACGCGACGATGGGCGACACGGAGAGCAGCCGGGACGTGGGTGAATCTTTGAACATGTCCCAGAGCGGCAATATGCGCTTCGAGCCCAGTATCCAAAGGTCAAACACCTAGCGCGATTCGTAACGGTCAACATACACCCTGTTGCTCCCGCAGTCCGGATTCGCAGCCTACCTGGGGCGTCCCATCGTCCCCTGACGGCCCTTCCTTGACTTCGACGCACTTCTTCGTGGACCGACGCAAAAGCGAAGACCAGTGGCGGAATACCTCGTCCCCGGGCACGTCCCGCATGCCCTTCTTTGCGTCATCCGACCAGATGATCTCGACGTCATCCGGGTCTGCGCATACGGTATTCCACCACCTGTCGCTGACGGACCGAGGCGCTTCATCCCCGTCGTCCCAGTTCCCGCCCGCGGTGGGACCGGAAACGAGCGCGTTCAGCGGCGTGCGCGGTTTGCTCGGACCGCCCTGCCATGGCCAGACGCGGACCGGCCAAGGATAATGCTCGGCAGCCCATTTATCTGCGAGCGAGAGCGGTCAGCTTGAGACTTCGGGATATCAAGACGGATCATTCACATTCTTGGAAGACGTAAGCCCGACCGGAGTCATACGCTAGATGCGCGCATAGTAGTCTGTAGCACGGTCATTCAGCCAACGCGTTCAACGAATGGGTTCCGATAGCTCATATCGACCCACAGCTCGTTGAGGACGTTGTTCCATCCCAAACCCGCGACCTGTGTCGAGAACTTGACATAGCGCCCGTTTTCTCCTTCCGGATAAGGCAGGGATAGGTTATGCTGTGGCAAGTTGTCCTCCCACAGCCTGACGTCGCGGTATGTGGGCTCCGGGGGCGACCTCAGGCTTCCACCCGCCCACCGCATGGGCGGCGGATCCCATCGCCCCGATCGTTGTACGTTTTGCGACCATGCACGTATAAAACTGCAGCCGCAGCCTACGAGGAACACAAACACGAGCCAAGCGAACACACGTTGCAGCCGGGCCGTCAACGGAGGGTGGTGGTAGTGGGAGGGCAGGACGCCCTCGCGCCGCTTGGGGGAGCGTAGCAGATGGTACATGGAGGTATGCGAAGGGAGAAAAACTATTCCTCGCATATCACCCAGTGGTTGAAGTATTCCCGCCGCCGGCCCTTCGCAGAGAATTGCCATTTGACTGGGACCGCAGGCCGCAGGTATGATGAACGCCGTGCCTACGTATTGTGCAATGCATCGACGTTCAGAACGGGGGGCTTCTCAGATATCCGAGCGTTGCAGGGGACAGCTCTTGCTGCGGAGTGTCTGTGCAAGGCGGCTTGCTCGCCGGCATCGAGTATCAACATGAGCAATGAGCATGACATCTGTCGTTTACTTCCTGCCACCCGAGGAGATACTTGTTCGGTTTTGGCCACTAAATCCGGGAATGTGATGATTTACAAGCTTAGCAGTAGCGCGTCTTGAAGCAGTCGCAGAATATCAAGGACGGCCTCGGGGGCCGTGACACGGGCCGCACCGAAGTCCGGGCGCCTCGCAAGTCATCTCTTCGTTGCTGAGCTTACGAGGCATCTTCAACGTTTCGGCGCAAGCCGGTGCCAACGTGTTGAGTATGTAGCGCATGGAAGGTGTCTTGGTTGCCGAGAGTCCAAGCTCGTCAAGGCGGAAGCAACGAAGCAAGTACTCTCGAATAGTAGTAGGAAACACAGCCCCCAGAGCTGTGTGAGAATTAGCGAAAGAAAAGAGGGTATTCCCGAATGTATCGCGGAGTGCATAGCATCCAAACCCACAGCACCATCCACAGCAAATCCTCGATACACATGTATGCGTGACAGGTCAAGCGAGACACAAGGCGACAGACACAGTTGCTTTCGTCCTTCACGGCAACCAATGTGAGAGCAAGGTTTATTGCATTGCATACATGCTGATGGTACAAAGATTGCATCGAAACCTCAAGAATGTTCAAGCCTTGGTTTGAAGACCCTGAGTCAATTTGATCTGATGCAAACAATCAGCGAACATCAAGTATGTGAGATAGGGCCACTCGCCTCATCCGATGTGATAATCCTCAGTTCACCAGGGGCACCCCCCTTTCCGGTCACAGTACTGTACACAGCCTGCGCAGAACGCACAATGGAAGACGACGTTCCGACCCAGTATCGGATCTCGCATGGCACGACCTCGATGATGCTCACGCGCGGGTCGTGTTCGTCACCCTTATGGACGCCGTCGTCGAGGTTGCCGAAATATCCGGGGTGGTAGGCTCGATTCCAGTGCTTTTTGATCAGCTCACGATCTTGAGACAATGTTGCTATTCCGTCGTACGACGCCCAACTGGTCGTGGCCGGATCAAAGAAGCTAGCGACAATTCATGACAAGTATGCTCGAGCTTGTAGACAAAAATCGCTCACGATACATTGACATGGTTGTCGTTCTCGATCTCGTCGGACTTGTGAGTGACATTGTTCGCGATGAAGTAAAGCGTCGTCTGAGATGGTGACACAGCTGCTTGCAATCATGAGAGTATGGCATAGGAGAGAATAGCTTGGACCTACGTCCGCTCGGCGCCATGGCACGGGCATGTAAATGCCCATCGGCAGCACGAGTGGTTAGCATACCCGCATGGGCAGCTTTCACTATCTTGTGAAGACCTACGATTGTTGTCAGTCTCGCAAGCGGGAACCTTAATTCCTCAAGCCAACCTTCTATCTTCTCCTGCGGAGTTAGATTGTGGTTTTGAGTCTTGGCGGTAGGATCCAAGTGAGCATCGGCGGTAGACATCACAAAATAAGTAGGCTAGCGATTATGATGTAGAAAACGGGGATGAGAGTGGTGTGAGTAAGACGGTGGATGACCAGACTTTATAGGCAATCTGTGTGACATGACAGCGATTGGAGGAGTGTGTTGACGTAGCCTCTGCGCATTGGGCTGCTGAGCGGGGTAAGTGTCAAGCCTTGCGAAGTGCACTGGGAAATGAAATGACGTGAGGACATGTGACTTCTTTGCGAGCGCGTATTACACAGCCACTTCAGCCACTTCTTGTCTGCAACGGTGTCGCATTCTTGGCAACGCTTCTGCTCTTCCGAAGTTGGTGTCAAAGGAGGCAGAAACGAACGTACCTAAGAAAGATCATCCAGACGACGATTATTTCAGCTTTTATCTAACACTCTGTGCCAACCAATCTAAGATACACCTGAGTGCCCGTCCATTGATACTAGACATTACCCATGGCTTTCATATGTCAGCAATGCAAGAAGTCGCTCCAGGTAAGTCCTACCGTCCTCAATCTACGTACGCTCATTACCACCACTTCACTTTGTTAGCCGGATGCATCCCTTGTAGATCTTACGCCCTCGGCGTATGACATGATAGCGACCTCTCTGCCTGCTTCCCCGACCACACCATCGCTACAACTCAACGATACGGAGAGAACCGACCAGCCGAGGTCATCCAACCATGAAAAGACGGCCTGGCCACATTCAGCGCACCCTGACCCTGCGCCAGGATCATTGTCCCCTCGAGCGCAAGGCAAGCAGCCCCATCGGCCCCTCCTTCCGCACGAGTCGTTCGTGCTACTACAGGACAGCATAATACGCACCATCCCTCCACCTTCCTCTGCGCCACCATCCCGACCCACTTCTGGAAAGAAGACCGCTCCTCGACCGCGTGCAGGCGGCAAGGCCCAGCCAGCCGCTGCGCCGGAAATCACCCCAGTCCCGGATCCACCGAGCCCGTCACCCATGTCCCATCACCTGCAGTCCTCTCTCCGGCTCTTCAACCTTATGTCGAGCCGGACGGACATCGACCACCCGCTCTGCGCCGAATGTACGCATATACTCCTGACCAACCTGGAGCGGCAGCTGGAGGAGACGAAGAAGGAGCGCGACGGCTATCTGGCATTCGAGAAGGAGGTGCGGAAGGAGAAGGAGAGGGAGAAGGAGCGAATCGCGAAGGGTCTGGCGATGGGGAAGGACGAGGCGGAGAGGAAGATCGACATGCTGAAGCAAGAGGAGTGGGTGGCTACGGAGCAGCTGAAGGAGGCGGAACGAGAGCGGGAGCAGCTTGAGGAGGAGCTAAGGGCCCTGGAGCTTGAGGAGAAGGCGTTGGAAGAGGAGGAAGCGGAGTGAGTCTAGCAATTATCCGGGGCTTGCTGCATTGTGACGTTCGTTCCTTCAGTTTCTGGCGAGCACACAACGCCCAGCTCCTAGTGGCCTCGCAGCAAAGTTCGCAGTTGGCGGCGCTTCGCGCAGCATACGCAGCGGACTCTGCGACGCTTGAGAAGCTGGAGCGGACGAATGTCTATAACGATGCGTTCTGCATTGGACACGACGGTGTCTTCGGCACAATCAACGGTCTTAGGCTCGGACGGGTACCAGGAGTACCTGTGCGTAGTTTCCAGATTTCATTATACCACATTGATCTGACATTTGAGTCCAGGTAGAATGGACCGAGATCAACGCTGCATGGGGCCAAACGTTGCTGTTGCTATATACTATCTCACGCAAACTGGAGTTCACCTTCGAGCAGTGAGTTCCATAGATTGATTATCCTGGTTCGCAATTCAATAGCCCAATCTTTTGCCAGCTATCGTTTAGTGCCGATGGGCTCCTTCTCACGCATAGAGCGGATTAGCGGGGATAAGGCCAGCTACGAGCTGTACGGTTCCGGAGACCTGCATATCGGCCGGTTGCTGCACAACCGCAGGTTCGACTTTGCGATGGTGGCGTTTCTGGAGTGCCTGAAGCAGGTCACGGACTACGCCAAGGGACAAGATCCGAATCTTGACTTCCCACATCAGTAAGCCATATTGGTCTCCAGATGCTGCATAGATGGTGCTGATAAGTCGATGGTATAGGATTGTGAAGGACAAGATTGGCGAAGCGAGCGTGAAGTTGCAATTCAGTCAGGAAGAGCAATGGACGCGTGCCCTGCGGCATGTGCTTCTGGCGCTCAAGATTCTCTTGAAGTGGACGACGAGCGGAAGCAATGGGTGAGAACGCGCTACTTATGGATAGCTCCGTTCTGAGGTTAGAGGTGCATGTGCTGCTCATCGTTCTCTCGCGGGGAATCTGTACTCCGTCTAGGTGCACGTGGTTATCAGTCGGCATGCCGTGCTAACTCGAGATGGCTTCATATCCGAGCGTGTAGCATCCCTAGAGCACCTTGAGTGGGAACGACACACATGCTATCCTTCTTAGATGAGCGTCTCGATCTCCGATTTCGCGTCGGCACGGCTTGGTCAGAGCTTGTGCCGGTGTCGCAATCAGTGAATCATGTAGCGTTTGTCATCCCTATAGAAGTTCAGCCACACAATCTATATTCCATGGCCTGCATCCCAGCTCAACGACTTGCCTTCTCCTTCTCCGGAGCTCCGCTGGGAACGATCCTATCCTAGCGGCGATCCCGCCGTCTACAGCGATCGTCGGTCGAAATCCCAAACCTTGAACGTACTCCATGGGCTTGCTCTCGCTGGGAACACCGCTACCTTGGGAGGAAGCGAAGAAATATGCAGATCATGTCCGCGAGCACGGCATCACGCAGTTTCTCAGTATTTGGGACAAGCTGAAGGATAGGCAGGGTGATGAACTCTTGTGGGGAGACGAGGTACTTGCCTACATCGTCTATTAACCTTTTTTTCTCGGTCGCTTATGAGATTTTCTATCTGTATGTTTGCTGTACGCGCATGTTTAGATCGAATATATGGTGGTCGTCTTCGATAACGAGGAGAAGAATGCCAAACTCTCCCTGCGCCAGTCTGAAATCTTAGCCAAGCTTCGTGCGGAAGAAGGTGGGGTATCAGCGGCCTTGAATCGATGCGGCGAGCCGTAAGTTCGTAAATATGCGCTGGCTATACAGAATCAGAGCCTGCAGATAGGATGGTGATGCCCACGTTTCACCCTGAATATGGACGTTATATGCTCGAGTCAACTCCAGGGGCTCCTTACTCAGGAGCGATATGCGATTTACTCTCCGTCGAAGATAACATGCGATTCCGGTGAGCGCCAAAGGTCGTCATCCATGTATCTGGACCTGACACGGAAACAAGGCGACACTTCGCACGGAAATATCTCAAGCCCAACGAGCTTCCCTTAACCTTTACCTCCTTCCCTCGATTGGGTACTCCAGGTGTCTTCACGGAGCCGCACTTCGATCCGTCGAACGCCGTCTCCAGTCACAGCCTGTTCTTGCCGCAGGAAATCACCAACCCTCATGCTCGTTTCCCGTGGGTACCACGTTTTCCCATGTACAACGCGACTGACCACGGGCAACAGAACCCTCACTGCGAACATACGTGAGCGACGCGGGTCCAAGGTCTCGATAAACCTACCAATATTCATCGACGAGAAGACGCCCCGGCCGTTCGTCGACCCGACGATACCATGGCACCGCAATGTTTACAAGGAGGATCACGAAGCAAAGGACGGCGCTGCGAAGATAGATCATATTTACATGGACGCCATGGGCTTCGGGATGGGCTGTTGCTGCCTTCAATTGACGCTCCAATCGTGTAATGTGAACGAGGCACGCCGAACGTACGATGCATTGGTACCAATCGCACCCATCCTGGTGGGTTTAATCACGTAAACGAATCGTTGCTCTGCGTTAACACTTGGTTCAGCTCGCTCTCACGGCTGCCAGCCCGATCTATCGCGGATATCTCGCTGATGTTGACTGTCGATGGAACGTCATTGCTGGTAGCGTTGATGACCGCACGGATGAAGAGCGTGGGCTGAAGGTGAAACGATCCGCTGAGTCAACGCGCCGGGGAACTGATGTCGGTCGTCCAGCCTTTGAAGAAAAATCGCTTCCGGATACCGAAGTCGCGTTACGACAGCGTGGAACGATACATCTCGAATCACTGGACCAACCGGCCTGAATATAATGATCACCCTCCGTTGTACGATGAAGCTATCGTGAAGCGCCTACGAGATCACGGTCTGTACGCTCATTTTCGCCCTGTGCGCTGCCGACGAATGTCTCAAGTCGGCTCCTAAGGTATCGACGAGCTGTTGGCGAAACACATTGGCTATCTCTTCATTCGGGACCCACTCGTCATCTTCTCGGAGACAATCGATCAGAACGACGAGGTGGACAATGACCACTTTGAGGTCCGTGCCTTCGTTCGGATTGGCTGTACATTCTCATTCATGACTGACGCCATTTTCCAGAACATCCAATCAACAAACTGGCAAACTATCCGATTCAAGCCCCCGGGAAATGCTTCGATTGGTTGGCGTGTCGAATTCCGGAGCATGGAGGTCCAACTTACCGACTTCGAGAATGCCGCTTTTGCTGTATTCCTTGTCCTGCTGACTCGAGCCATCCTTGCTTTCAACCTCAACTTCTACTTGCCGATATCCAAGGTACACTAATCTTTTCATGCGCTTGCCGAACGCGCCACCTGAAACTACATTCAGGTGGATGACAATATGCAGCGAGCGCAGAAGCGGGACGCGGCGCGCGCACAGAAATTCTTCTTCAGGAAGGACGTGTTCCCGGTCGGTCAGGAGTCACGGACTCCAAGTATAGCATCTTCTTCTGGCGTGTCCTCGCCAGTGGATGGCGCTGGCAATCTGCCGCGGAAGGACAGACGTCTGAGAAATTGCTATCCCGCAGCACCACCTCCACCGCAAGGACTTCCGCATGATAGAATAGAGGATGAGTACGAAGAGATGACACTAGAGGAGATCATGACTGGCAAGGCAAGCGTTTTTGTTCCTGGAAGAAGTCTCACACTAACCGATTCTCTGTAGGGCCCAGACTTCCCTGGTCTTATTGGTCTTGTAGATGCGTTCATAACAACGCTAGACGTCGATGCTAGTGACTTGGAGAGGATACAGCGATACCTCGACTTGGTCAGGAAACGCTCGACAGGTGCGTGGCAAACTTTAGACGGCGACGCGAAGCTAATGAAGTGTCAGGCGCGTATAAGACCACCGCGACATGGATAAGGGATTTTGTGCGATCGCATCCGGCTTACAAGCACGACTCGGTTGTCAATCAAGAGATCAATTACGATCTCATGGTCGCAGTGGACGAGATGTGAGCCATGACAGTCTGCGGTCCGTGCCTTCCGGCTCATCGTTTCCACAGCGAGCGTGGTTTGCGCAAGGTTCCGGATCTGCTACCTAAGGAATATTCGTGCCCGGAGGCCGCTTCAGGGGCACTAGCAGGGTTGAAATCACCCCAGTAGATGGACTCAATAATACAAATGTATCTTTATACTCTGTCGAAACGATCAGTTCGCATTGCATTGGGCCAAGTCTCGTAACCCTAATTTAGGTCTCCCGGCTGCTCCCGACGCCAAATTCGTGTTGCTCATCGTCCACAACGACGACCATGTCTGCTCTCCGCTTTCTGTCTGCTGCCGCCAGGCGCGCGCCCGCGACTCTTGCGGCTCAGCGTCGAGGATATGCCGAGGCTGTTTCCAACAAACTGAAGCTCTCGCTTGCCCTGCCTCATCAGGTGGGTTGACACGCCTACATCCCCGATCCTTCGACGAAGCAACTGCCCTCATGTTCGGAGGGCAATGGATTCTGATAAAGGTTGTGCAGGCTATCTATACGTCGACAGACGTGACTCAGGTGAACCTGTCGGCCGCGACCGGTGATATGGGTGTCCTCGCGAACCACGTACCGACGGTTGAGGCTCTCCGACCTGGCATTGTCGAGGTCGTTGAGTCTGCTGGCAGCTCGAAAAAGTGGTTCGGTACGTGCTATAACCTGACATCATCCTGGAAATCACTGAGACGTGCTTGGCTGCGTTCACTATGCAGTCTCTGGCGGCTTCGCAATTGTCCACCCGAACAACAAGATGACGATCAACGCCGTTGAGGCCGCCCCCATCGAAGACTTCTCCCTCGAGGTGGGTAGTCATTCAGTGGCATCGCTCCTGCTTCTTCCAGTTGTGTGGTTCATCCGACCATGTGCCTGAATGATGCCGCTGGGCATCATCCACGTCCTTCCCTCCTCCGTTTGTGCATGCAAAACGTGGTCAAGCTAACGTCACAATTCACTAGGCTGTTCGTGCCAACCTCGCTGAAGCCAACAAGGTGCTTGCCGGTAGCGGCTCTGAGGAGGACAAGGCGGAGGCGCGGATAGAAGCAGATGTTTACGAGGCCATCCAACGCCACCTTTAGAGTATGGGTCATACGTGTCCAGTTCGCTCCTTGATGTGCATTAATCATCTTCATTATCCTCCTCATTGCCGACGCAGTCGCGTTCAAACTACATAACGAGCCGCTCCCTGCCAAGACTACAGTTATCCCAAAATCCTTCGCATTCATCCGCGTCACCGGTTCGGTGGTGGGAAAGGTTGTTGGCCAGCTCGTGCATACGGATGCATCTGTTGCTGCACAGACGTAGAAGACGGCAGCGTACCCGGAAGTTGCGCGAATTGTCCCTGACTATCAGATGCGGCAGGGACTTTCTTGTGACCATAAGAAAGTGATGCAACCCGAGGCAATTCCGAGCGACTCCGGGCCAGTGGAAATTGCTAAGGCGACGTCAGGTTCTACGCTCGATATGACCAGGGCAGAGTCGCTGAGGACATGTACGCACCCCAGTAACAGCGCCCGCTTGCTGCCTCCGTGCATAAAACGCGAAGAGCTCGGCGATCTGCTGCTCCAGCGCTTGCCGTTCGGTTTGAAGCCGGTTCACTTCCTGCGTCATTGAAAGGACCTCGCGTGTCAGTTCCTTCTTGAACTGTTCGACGTGAACTATGTACGTATGAGCGGCAAGCACCCGGGCAGACAGTAATACTTGGAGGTGAAACACGTACTTCCGACGTTGATCGCGGTGGCTTCTTTCATCGCATCCACGAAACGCAGCCTTTCTCCCTTGATTTCGGCCTTGAGCTCTGTTGCCAGATGATCAGCGTGATGACAGCGGGCGGACGGGGTGCACTCACCGCCAGCAAGGTCACGCAGCATCTTTTCTTGTTGCTCTCGTTGACGCTCACCCTCCTTTACTGTTACATATCAATCTAAATGCAGGGCTCGCGTGTCGGCATGCCAAGGAATACGTACCGAACCAATTTCTTGCGTTAGCGCTATCTTGCAGGTCCTCCGCTACCAGGGCAGACAGGCCATCCAACGACGCTTGAATCGCGGCTTGACCCTGAACGCGTGCGATCACTGGGTTTGGTTGTCCGGAATTTGGAGCGCCTGCTTGGTCTGGTGTCGTTTCTAGACCAAGCTGCTCGGATATCTGCTGGACGTTCGCGGCAAGCCCTTGGATTTGAGAAATGCCACCATTGACAAAAGATTCAAGCCACTGCACACGCGCTCGTCAGCAGACATCAGCCAGTCAGACAGAGACCGCGCACCGCATTAAGTTCCGCAAGGTAGCGTGCAGAGTCCTTCTGTTGATCAAACTGGCTAATTTTGAATTGCTGGTCTGCGCGCAACAGGTTCAAGACCTCTTGGAACTGTGATGAAATACTCTTCGTTAACCAGATACCCAACGCGCCAAACCAACTCAATAGGGCACCTCCAACTCGCTAGGATTTACGCCGTTTCCAGCCTGTGAGGGAGGCAAAGGCAAGATCTTCTGCGTCAGTAGTGCATCCAGCTTTGCATGTACTGCCGATATATCGCTCGAAGTGCCATCGGCTGGAGCAGCCATAGACTGCTTATCCAGAAGACTCCGGATGTTGTGAAGTATGTTTGGCATGTCCGTGTTCCACTTTGTCTGCAGCTGGTCCACTTTCTCCGCGACCTCGCTCGTTCCTTGGCAAAGACTCGAACTCATTTCTGCTACACCACGAAGCCCGCCTTGAATATTTCCCAGCGTCATCTGCGTTTGATGGGTGTCGCCAATTGTGCCGACGACGGACTCTACTCTACTGAGCAAATCCCCAACGAATTGCAGCAGATGCCTTGTATCTTCAGCGGCCGTCTCCTTGATACCGGTAGTGGCAGTTCCAAGCTCCGTCATCATTCCTCGCACTTCCTGTCTCAAGCCGCTGAGCTGCTCCTTGAGGTCAGCTTCTTGACTTGCCCATCGAGCGACTTGGTCATGGGCAACCTCAAGTGAACGTGGAGCATCGAACGCTTCCACGACTGCATCTTCGTCGATGGCATGTAGAAATCCAGGGTCGGCAGCTTCATAAATCCCGCGATCACCACACATCTGGCCGCTTCGCTGCATGGGGGAGTTATACGCGGACGAAGCGTAAGAATCGACGATTGCATCGGCGACGTCAGAGGCGCTGCTTGCTTGACGTTCCATCGGTGTAGGCTGAGCCGCGAGTGTGTGACTTCTCTGTATGGGCGGTATCGATTTAGGCGGAGGCACGGGGGCAGACTTCGCCCTTTGAAGATCCGCGAGACGCTTCTTGACCATCGACAGTTCGCCCAAATTTCTGACAGAAGGACGTGCACTGCGTGATGGAGAATCCACATACAGACTAGGGCGATCTTCGGGGAGAACCGATGGCATGTCGTAGTTGCTTCGGGCCTCTGACGCCGAAGGATGTGACTCCAAGGGAGTCTGAGGTATTGGTGGCAGATCACGATCCTCCGAGCTCTCCTCTGCTTCAAAGGCATCATGAGAAGGTTGATGCCGTTTCACAAACGCCGACGACGCGGAATCCAGACCGAGCATATGCACGTTGTGATCGCCTGCGTCGTATGAACAACCTGGAGTTCGTGGTTGCAATACGGCATCCCTACAAAGATAATTGTCTCAGTTTCCGTCTCCGGTTAGTCACGCGATTACGATGTACTCGCCAAATCGCACTGATCCAGTTCGCCCTATCCTGAACGGAGGAAGCTCCGAACACCTCTCGACTCGGCCGTTCGTCGATAACGAGACATAGTTCGAAAAATAGCAGATGAGGGACGCCGGAGCGATTCTGAAGAGCCGACAAGTCGTCCCGTCTGGGGTCCAAAGATCGCACATCGTCACAATTGGCGAGGGGTATGAGCAGTTCCGTAGGACCTGAGGCAGTGACAAGAAGGTGACCCGGGAGGAGCTCCACCGAACAGTGCGCCCCTGCGGGGCCATCGACCTGCGTCGGAGATGCAAAGTACCACAAATTTCCGGTCCTGATCATGCGCCGGGAGGGAACGGAGGAAGTACTAGGTTCATTGCGTGGTGGTGGACGCACTTCGACTTCCTTCGGAGGCGGAGGAGGAACGAACTGAGGCGCCGGGATAGGAGGCGGTTCGGCTATGTGGGAGCCCCGTTTTCCCATTTTGTTGATGACCGACATCAGATTTCGAAACGAACGACGGATGGGAGACTGCTTCTTTGGTTTTTTTGGAGAGGGAGGAAGCGGTAGATGTGACGATACGGGGTCCGGCTGTGGATTACCGTGCCAGCCTTCCGACCGAATTGCAGTGAGCGAGCGATCTCCCAAGGGTCGTCCGGTATGTATAGAGTGGAAACTGTCTTGGCGAGGGGGTGGTGTGGCTAATGATTCATAACGGCGAATAAGCTCAGCTGCTGAAGAGGGTCGTTCTGGTGTCCTAGGCGGCGGCGAGAAGGAACGCATGCGAGCAGATGCCACAGAGACCGGAGAGCCACGGTATTGGGACACGCCTTCTTCGACCTCCGTCACCGTCGTAAGTCTCGAAGAGGTGCGGGGAATAGCCCCAGAGGGCTCTGGAATGGCACTAGAGAAAGCATACGTCCCGTACTCGTCCACAGGAGTGGGTAAATCAAAGTCTGTGTCCATCTGGGCGGCCGGAGTATTCGTCATCGTCGAGTAGTCGCTCGTAGAGCTCTGGCGAGACAATGGGTACGAATTTACCGACATCATGTCCGAAGGAGCGTATTGTCGGAGGGGCATATTGCTCAACGATGGTCGTTTGCCGACGGTAGCTTGTCGTCAGTTGTTCAACCAGCGAGAGCACTCAATGCAGCCCTTTGGTCGTAGTTACGGGAGACTAGAAGAATTCAGGCGTCAAGACGCAGCAGTTGCACTCCAAGCCTTCTGTTGTTGACATTCTGTCGAATATCTGTCTTGATGTCAATTTGGTCGATGACCTGAACTGGACTGAATAGTCACGTCATCTCGGCTTTTCAGTGATGTACTCATCCTCATCCAAAGATCCGTATATGTCACTTGAGGGGTTGTTTTCACCTATGATTGAGGTGGACCGCTCAGTCGTGGTCGTGAGCTAAGAGTATGTAGGATGCGCTGCGTGACCGCGGCGGCGGACTCGGCATCCGCCGTCGCCGGGTTCCCATTGAGCTCTGCCCTTCCTTCCACTGCCATGACGTACTATTGCTCTCCACTCAACAACAACCTCAGGACTCCGAACTGAGAACCCAAAAATCTGAGCATCTAATGCCGGCATTCAGCTCTCGTGGACAGCGGCGGCGCCTCGCGGACCGTCTCGGTCGTTGTTGTAGCCATCTTAGATGGCCAGTACCGTGAATTGACCGAAGTTCTTGAGCGTCACCATCTGCTTTGCCCTGTACCATCGCTCCCATGACCGCGTTTAAGCCGATTTTGGACCGTCGCCTCGCTTCACATGCGACAGATGCCGTCCACGCATCTTTCATTAAGGAACTGAATCCATCGGGTACAAATTAGATGCGTGAGCAGGGCTAGTTTCGCGCCTGGACATCATGATCTCCCTCCCCTCGTGCGGGAAGTTATTGGTTGCACTGTCTCTCGCAGGGTCAACGTTTGCACAAGCTTCTGGATATGGCAAGTCTACTGCGCTCATTCTTACGCCTGTGTCGTTGACTGCTCATTCTCAGGTCAATGCGGAGGCGAAGGCTGGACGGGTGACACGACGTGTATCTCAGGGTACGCGCTACGAACCCTTTCTGTACCTATCATGCCGATGGGGGTTATGTTGGCAGATGGGCTTGTACCGAACAAAACTCGTACGTATAGGTAGAATATCGTGTTTGTGCTGGCTTCAAGACTGATCCTCTCTTTTAGGTACTACTGGCAATGTCTACCTGCCAGCAGCGCTAGTCCGAGCTCTGCGGCAACGAGTACCGGGACCTCTGCCACTTCCAAGCCTGCCACGACTACGACCCCGATTACCACTACGACGCTTGCGTCCTCAAGTTCCACGAGCTCCACGAGCTCCAGCGCCACCCTCACCGGGATTGCGGCAACTGCCCCTACCACCCCGCCTTCCAAGCTTACAGGACGGTTGCCTGCACTAGGGTATGACTCATCGGGATCATTCGGTGTCTACTCACTTTTCCCATAGATGGAACTCATGGAATGCTTACGGATGCAGTACGTTTATCAATCCGCATGTTGGGAGCATTTGAATAGCGAGATGTGTGGCTTTTAGATATCAATGAGACCAAAGTTACAGCAGCAGCAAATCAATTCATCTCTCTTGGACTGAAGGACGCTGGATATGAATACGTCAATATAGACGTACGTCACTATTAACCGGGGCTTCAAGCTTTAGATACCCACTTGACGCACCCAGGACTGCTGGGCGCTGATGGCCCGCGACAGCGCCACCGGGAAGATAGTCCCTGACCCAGCCAAGTTCCCTAACGGCCTGACCTCGGTGTCCTCCCAGGTCCATGATCTCGGCCTGAAGTTCGGGATTTACAGGTATGTGGGCTCGTGCAGACCACACCTGGTGTTCATCTCGATGCAGTGATGCTGGCACGGCTACGTGTGCTGGCTTCCCTGGGTCTTTGGGCAATGAGAATCTGGACGCATCGACCTTCAGCTCATGGGGCGTCGACTGTAAGACACGATCGCATCTACTAAATCAGCACGATTGACCGTATCCTAGATCTGAAATACGGTAAGTCTGCGGGAGAGGGAATTCGTCCGAAACCGCCGTCTCAACACGACCCCGGCTGGTAGACAATTGCAATGTCCCTGGAAACTGGAGCGATACGTATGCAAGTATACTGATCTTCTGACTACTCCGCGCGACCTTGCTTATTCCTCATCCAGCCTGTCCCCGGCAACGATGAGTAGTAAGTTCAGAGTTATGTGAGCCATGACCGGTGTCACCTCATGCGTGGCCTAGCAATTCCAACACCGCAATTCGCTATCGTCAAATGGGGTGAGTCTTGACATGTACATGTCTCACGAGCCTGTCTCATCGTCATTGTAGTGCGGAACTCGCGGTGCAAGCGAACCCTATACAGTTCAGTTTATGCATATGGGGAGTTGACTCGCCGTGGCTTTGGGGTTCCCGTGTTGGGTGCGCTAGACTGCCAGGACTTCCATCTTCCATACTGAGATGCATATAGACATAGTTGGAGAATGTCTGGAGATTCGAGGTATGTTAATGCTTAAACCAATGTGCCATATCGTGTTCACTGAAGGTATCGCTATTCAGTGCCAGCTGGAGCTACATCACCTCTATTATCAACCTCAACGCGCAATACCTGGACTACGTCACGTTCTTTTCGCATAACGACATGGACATGATGGAAATCGGCAATGGTGATCTCACCATTGAGGAACAACGTACTCATTTCGCGGCTTGGTAAGAGTTGGTCGTTGGGCAATACAGAACGACACTCATGTTTGACCAGGGCATTCATGAAATCACCGATTCTTCTAGGTACAGACGTAAGTCTTGGATAAGGTTGGCAATTCATTGGGATGCAAACCTGCTGCGTTTGCAGCTCTCCACGTTAAGCACCGACCAGCTGGCGATCATTAAGAATACGGAGCTACTTGCCTTCAGTCAAGATGATACAGTGCGCACGTCATGGTCTTCACCCGCTCTGATTACTAACGTCTTCGTTAGGTGGGTGAGCCAGCGAAGCCGTTTACTCCAGATGGTGCGACCGCGACAAGCCCTCCCTCGTTCTACGTTGGCAAGTCGTCCAAGGGCACCCACGTCTTCATCATCAACTTCGGAAACGATACCTCCACGATGTCCTTCGATTTCGCCAGCGCGGGTATCAGCGGCACTTCATTCCAGGTGCACGACATGTGGGCAGGAAAAGATTTGGGAACGGCGTCCGAAACGTATTCCGTCAGCATCGCTAGCCACGATACCGCGGCCTTCCTCATTACGAGCGCGTGAAAGGCGGCCCTGCGTAGTGTAACGTTGGACATTCGTTTCGTTTGGGTGGTTACTTCTCTACAGGATGTATCTGAATGATTGTCCCCGATTGTCGACACCGCTGCTCGTCCCATATGCACCCCTCTCCGCCGATTCGCTCGGCTCCTGCTCGTCTAGTTTCTTGTTCTCGGCAGCGAGCAACAACCTCATCGACAGCGCTCCGCAGGCGCACAAGACGCACACGGCCGCAATCGTTGCACCACCTGTCAAATACCTCGGCGCATCATCCGAGGGCCAGAGGAACGAGCCATACACCGACGCGAGGTTGCCAAGCATGTTGACCCTGTGCAGCTTTCAGTAAGGTTCATGTGCGGAATACAACTGCTACGGCTCACATTGATATGGCTGCTGCACGTTTAGTCAGTGGTTTCGGGAAGGAATTCGATACCCAAGTCAGAATCATCCTGTTATGCATTCATGAGGGGGTCTGGTATATGCTTTCGGAAGCGACAGAGACTCACTGAAAGGCCGGAAGTGCGCCCATAGGCAACAGAAACATCGCTACAAACCGGGCAGCCGTATTGAGTGTTGAGACCATGATGATGTTACCGACAGCGCTGGCCAACATCGGCACGACGACGTGGAAACAGCGCTCGTTGGTATGTGCAGCGTGTGCGGTGACCAGGAGAGATGCCAAGAATGCGGCAAACCAAGGCGGAGCCGTGAGCAGGAGGGTTTGCGTCTTGTTATATCCCAGAGAAGACACAATCGTCGGATAGAAGCTGCGATCCTTCATGAGTCAATGCGGTGAGGGTGATCTGCCCACAGGACTGACTATGTGAATGTTTGAGACAACAGATTGCAATGCTGTATCACAATGAACAAGTATAGCTTGTAGTCGCACAGACTATTGCAAGGGTAATATAGGTGTCAGCGACGCTTTATCCTTCTAAGGGCTAACGCTTACGCCATCTTGATCGCCTCCAATAGCGGGACTCGCTGATCGGTGTTGTCGCCCTGATCTCGTTGCAGGCGATAGACCGCGAACTCCTTCTCGCGGTCCGTGAGCCAGCGCGTGGTACGTGGATAGTCCGGGAGAACAAGTGCAGACATCATCGCAAAGAATATCGTGAGAGGGCCGGCAATGATGAAGATCCATCTGGGCACGTCAACGCCTTGAGATTGGACTGCAAATGCACGGAAAGCCAAGAAAGACCCACTGCCAGCCTCTCTTTCCCATGTGCCCATCAAGGTTCGCAAGGATGGCTGCGGAAATCAATCCTGCAAATCTCTAAGTGAATCACGGAGCGCATGATTGACAATCGCAAGCGTTCCATACCATTGAACATGTTTGCCAATACGGATCCGGCATATCTAAGATACTCTCGTGAGTAATATCACCATGTCTATTACATATCTAGACTTACAGAAGAGCGTATCTCTTGCCAAGCTCAGCGCGTGTGTACCACGAAGACATGACGAACATAGCGCCAGGGAAAAACGGGGCTTCTGCGAAACTGAATCCGTATGGTCAGGGACTGTCAGCATGTGGTCAAAGTGCGTGGACCTACCCGAGCCAGAACCTGACCAAGAGGAGGCCCTTGAAGGAGCTCGCGGCTGCGGTGCAGGTGGTCAAGGCGCCCCAAACCACCATGACGGTGGAGAGAAACAGCGAAGGCCGAGCGATGGTCAGCACTGGCACAGGTATGTCAGCGGTTGTGTCTATTCGTACGGGAACTTCACAGACATAAGTTCGCCGGGAGTTGCATTCTGTCAATGCAGACTTTAGGATTCCATCGCCAGCAAATTCGGTGAGTGACTGACATGAGATATCCAATGAATAGGATACTGGTGGCAAGGTTGAAATCTGATCCTGACATGTGGAGGTCTTTCTCAAGCCCTCCCAGTCGAGCGTTCGCGAGATTTGATCTATCGACAAAGTTGAAGAAGTACATGACAATCAAGATTGGGAGAAGGCGGCTAAAAGCACATGAGTAATCCATCAATAGAGACAACTGGGGAAGAGGACACACAGGTCTAATTTCCTGAGCAAGCGCCGATTGAGTTCCTCTCGCTCTTCCTCGGGCAACAAATCGAAATCGATGGATAATCCAGGATCGCCGTCAGCGGCTGCTGCAGAGAGACCCTTGCTATCATTGACGCTATCAATGACCTTCTCAGTGTACTCCTCCGTCGGTTTCTCGTCGAGATCATGAAGCGAAGGGTGTGCGGGAGTCGCCATCTCAGAGGTTCTTGCAACAGCAGCAGCAACGAGAGATAAGAGGCACCAAGACTGTCATTTTATGCCCTGCATTGGCTTTTGAACAGTGGGAGGTTCGACCCTGCTTGACGTTCTTAGCGTCACGAGTTCAGTCCAAGATGGGGCTAGAGGCGATCAGAAGGTAGGCGTGGCGGAGCGACGGGCCGATATGGAGCCACGATACTCTGAACGTCGAACGGTGAATGTACTCAAAAGATCTGAGGGGCGCAACGCGTAGTGATAAACAGTGCGGACCATCGGCTCCCCAGGCAAGATATGTTAAAGGAACGTACAGTAGATGTAAGGCTTGTCCCGACACTCCCGATTCCGAGGCTCACGGATAATCGGATGCCAGGTCAAACTGTGAGGCTGCGTTTGGCAACACCTGATTCTGACCTGATTCTGACCTGATTTGACTTTTGTCGCACCAAAGTGGCAAGCCCCTGTCCAGTTATGTCTATCTGATCTCACAGTCCTGCCTAGTATGGCAAGTAAATCAAGTCAAATCATCTGATTCTTGCAGAATCAAGTGTTCCCAAACGCAGCCTGACAGATTGTCCAAATACGACGGCTGACGTGACTCTGCTGCGCCGGTTATATCCAGCACTGCGATGCTGTCGCTACTCCTCCTTTGCTTGGCGGAATCACCTGCGAGTCTAGCGTCCAGTGCAGTAATAAATAGGCGATAGGAGGTCATGGGGTGACAAGGGTGGGAGCACCCGCCCGCCGTAGTTGGTTTGAGTTCGGGGCGGGCGTCGGTGCATCCCACCTTTTGTCGCCGCCGCCACTTCGGTTTTTGGTCGCCCACCCACCCAACCCTTTCGATAGCACCTTGGCACGAGTGGGTCCAAAATCATTGGACCACTGCGTGCCTTGGAGCTCAAGGTCCTCCTTTCGCAGGTGGGGTATACCCACCCAGCGCAGCAGACCTTCGCCCACCATCCCTCTCTACTGGTACTGTACTCTTCGTGTTCTACTTCGGTAATAGAGTGTATCTGCAGGTGGTAATAGTTCTCCGCAGTAGCCAAAGATGTCCGCGGGGAGCCCCGCCAAAAGATGCAGTGCCTGGTAAAAGTTCCACCCCACCTCGCCTGTGCTGCAGATACACTCTAATCTCACACATAGCCCATAGTGATCCTGTCGTCGCCATGGGCAGATCTGTTCTTCGTCGTTGTCCCAAGCCAGTCGTGATATCAGTATTTTAGGCCTTCCGTGGGAGGCCGCCCATCCAGTTGGCACTCATAGGCGCCCGTGTTCCGCAACGACCCTCGGCAACTGAATGCGTCTCAGAACGCGGAAAACATCAGGACAACATGATTGGCCTAGCCCCGATTTACACGCTCCCGGCTAGTACAAACAAAGGTGATACCGCGCTGCTCTGCGTTTCCAGCATCCCCAACGCTTTGCAGGGACTCTCTGCCAGTCTCCCCGACGACGACGGGTCACCTTGTGCTCAGGACCCGTTGAGATGCTCTCTTTGCTCTCCTGCTGCAGCGGCCGACATTATGACGCGGACGTCATCCATCCCGTGCCCATCAAGCACCGCAAGAACTTATCTGACATTGACGGGCGGACGATCGTTCCGACCCCCACGTTTGCGACCCAGACACTCTCGACACTTTCCCCATCCGGGCGAGAGCCCGTACCGGGGCCTTCCAAAAGTCATCCCAAAGGGGAACACTACCAGTCCCAGGTCTCCCTGGGCGCCACATCGTCGTCCTCCAACGACAAGAACTCGTCCTCGGCGCGCAGCCGCGCCGAATTCATCAGCCAGAACATGGCGACGCTATACCCTCATGCCGCCGCGCCTGCGGCACGATCCACGCACACGGCAGCGCCGGAGACAGACAGGCGAAGGCAGCAGGAACGAGAAAAAGAAAGGTTCTTGGCGAAGAAAGTGGAGGCGCTGGAGAAAGAGGTGGAGGCCTTGCGGAGGGAACGAGAACGGGAATTATACCGCGAACGAGCAGAAGGCCTCACGCATGTGCACAAGGCGTACGTCGTCAACGGACCACCTGCGTCAGTATTCTCGGGGATTACGGAGGATCGATGACGACCTCAAGAACATTGCCTACCGCTGCAATCTGTCCTGCCCACTCCAGATTCACGACTGTGAACCGCCAAAACGACCTCATCGCAGTTTCACTTCCGGGAGTGCCGTACGCCATGGTCCCAAGATTCCACGCCTTTTGACGACTTGCTGGACGACGCAATCGGACGGGACTGCTCTGCTTTTGTATCATTACTCCCTACACTCCCTTCTATCCATAGAGACGCTTATACTTGTACAAATGTGATCGACAGATAATGGACCATGTGCGACATCGTATACCCCGAGAAAAGAGAAGCAACGTAGTTATCGTCCGGACTTACGTATTCGTTTGCTCGTATTCGAGAATAGCCGTTCCCATCTCGCCTTTGCATCGTCGTTCATCTCATCGGTCCCGCCACGGTCTGCCAGCCCGCTGGAAGATTTCGTTGGCTTCGTGTGCTCGACACGTTTGGTTGGAATGCTCTGAGGTCCTTCCGTCGTCGCCGCCTCCAGGATCGCACCTCTGCTCAAGCACCAGTCGATATGCGTATTGAGACCGTCGTTGTCCGTTTGCAAGATCTTGCTGCATATCGGACATGTCAGCCCCGGTGGTTCCGCTGCTGGATGCTCATCGGTTTCTCCATGATTCCGTTGTCCATCGTCGGGTTCGCTCGTGTGAGGGCTCTCGCTTTCTGATATAACGCTGCCCTCGCGATCGCGCCGTGTGTCGGACACCTTCCGCCGTTTGCGTGGCGACGCGGGCCCGCTACTTGCTGGTTTCAGAAACTAGTAGTACAGTGCATGTCAGCGATCGGATCGATGCATCAACGGCGATAACCGAGGCCCACTCGTTTTATCCCTGCGTCGCCCTGCTCCTCTGCTCTGAGATCCTTGAGTTTAGTCACTCTGAGGCCAATCAAGCGCAGTTCTAATGGCCAGTCATTGAGCAACAGCTCCTTCCCTATCTGTTGTCATGCATCAGTACATCCAGTGCAACGATACGGATCAGTACTCGCGGAAAAGAGGTCGTCCTTCTTTGATATCCACCGATCAAAAGACTTGGCCCGGGTGAAAACCTGATATGACGAGAGCTTGTACTTCAATGTGATCGTCTTGCCAACCCATCCGCCTCGGGTCATGTCTTCCTCCAACTCATGCGCTACCTCATCGAGCTTCTGCAACAACTTCTCCCTGTTCGAGATTGGATTGAACGTTCTGTGCGCCGGCAAATGGGATCAGGTTCGTACTCGATCGGGATCAGACGAAGATCCCCACCTTTCGGCTCCGATGCTTTTCCGTTCTTCCCTGGAGCCAGGTTGTACAACGTTCGAGGCTATCCCGAGATACGTCTGCAGAAGCCAATGCAAAGAGAAATGTTTGTCAAGCAGCGAAAGAGTCGCGCGGTGAGGATATATGTCGCCACAGGTTTTGACCCCTATCGAATCCAGTAGGCGTTCGCTAACTCGGCCAATCCCAGGGATCTTGCGAATCGGCAAGTCGCGCATGAAGTCCCTGATTTCCGTTCGCTCAAACGGCAAGTGGTATTGACCATTGGGCTTGTTCTATTTTTATTGTAAGGACACATGCTAAGATTAGGACAGCGCATTAATGAGCTCGCCTTATCAGAACAAATCTTCGTCACAGATAGGCTGTGTTAGAGCTATCAATCTTGGTAGAAAGGCATTTGCTCTACCTTAGCCAACATCTGCCATGAACGTGAGCTCGGAACCGTTTGCGACGGAGTGTGACATACCTTATTGGGAGCGATGCCGGCGCTGACAGTGAGCTTAATCTCTTCATGTACACGCTTGCGCATTTGCTGTACGCATTCGTCCGGATCAAGGTCATGCTCTGCGCAATACGATGTTATACTAGAGACAATTGTTCAGGGCCGTCAAGTCGTAAACCGCCAACCGATCACGGTGGACCCACTTGAGATAGCCTTCGTCACAACTGGCTGCCAACATGTTAGGATCATAGTCCCTGAATACAGTCATGATTCGTTGCGAGATCTCAGAATATCGTTCGTGGTGAATTGGAACCAAGATGAGCTCAGGGCACAGTTTCTTAGCGACGAATCCTTGAAAAGGCATGGTGTTACGACTGATTCTGGTGCAAGTGGAGCGACTGACCTGCCATGCCAGACCTTACGCCAAATTTCCGAGCCTCGTAGGACGCAGTCGTCAACACTCCATGCCCGACCTGCTCGTCCACGCAGTCAGGCAACGTACTGTTCTCGGAGAGCGTGAAATCAACGTACCCCAAAAGGTTTTCCAGCCAGAGCGGGATTATCCAGCATTTCAACATTGGCAAAAAATGCGTCCATGTCGACGTGGACTATGACTTGAGATAGGTCCCGTTCTGCTTCGAGTTCGTTGATCTGACGGGGTCTTCAGACCGGATCATGGTAAGGTGCATACAAGATGCATACTAGACGATCGACTCCTCGTTCAATCGACGCTGGACATGCCAGTTGTGAGCATTCGAGCATAGTGCATGGAATGACATACGTATGTCAGCTTGCTTAAGCAGTTCATCTCGCTCCTTTAGGATCTTCTCGATCTTCTCCGTGAGTTCCTTGTCCTTTCGTTTCTCGTTCTGATCCACCTTGAGATAGCCGCTTTCCACAGTAAGAATAACCTCTTGCATACCTCGTAGAATTTGGACCCCTGGAGTTACACGGTTTAACTGCTTGCGATACGAAGCTCCAAAGAAATCTAACCTTGGACACCTCCGCAATAATACGGTTGATCTCAGACTGATCCTTGGCAAGCCTGGCGAATCCATAATATGAAACGGTAATACGACAGCAGCCTTCGTGAGGTTGCTTACCCAGCTTTCTCAGTGGATGGACCCGCCAGGCGATGGAGCAGGCTCGCAGAATCTGGTGACGAACTCGGAGGTTTCGCGCTTTTTGTGGGCGAAGCGGAGGTGCTCATGTGAGTCCGTTCAACTGTCGCGGCCGCTCGCGCTCGTCGCGCATCTCAAACTCGGCCGCGGCACCGACCTCGGTAACAGCCACATCATCTCATGCCGTGATGCCGAGCGTCCGACTTCGTCACCATTTTGGGCGAAGCTCGAACTCAGATATCTTGCTCTCCTCCATTTTCACCCAAAGATCCCCTTTGAGACGCTCCTTTTTTATTCGTACGGCTCGGAAAGTAAGGCAATAACTATTATATAGCAAAACCACTTGCAATCACAGACAAACGGCGCGTGGATTCTAATGAGATAATTCTGTGGACTCAATACTTAGCCTAAACATGGTGCTTGCGCTCCAGCTGCAGGTCAAAGACAGAGCGACGAAGATCAATCGATGCAATGATGTACAGTAGTACGTGTTTACTTCGGTGGAGAGACCACTATCTGGGGCGTGCGGACTTCATGCTCCTCGTCGCTGTCCCCGCCGATATCGAAGATATCCTCTCGCTCATCCCACACGTCGCCTAGCCTGTCCTGACGTTTAGGGGGCACATTCGGTTTTGACGCGCTCTGAGGTGTGGCTGGCGCGCCTGCATGAGATGGATAGGGAGAAGGATTATAGGGCTGGTAATGCGTCGGGAGGGTGCCCTCTAACGCGTCGTCGTCGTCATCAGACAACTGATCGGCATTCAGCGGCTGGTACAAGCGAGATATCTGTAGGAGCCGGTGAGTGAGTCGGGTCTGTGCTAGAGAAACATAGCGCACCTCGCGTCGATGCCGGTAATACTTCTCGAGATAGTACGAAGTATAAAGCCCGACAGCGGATCCAAGGATATTGGCCTGGAATGAAATCGAGTTTGCTCGTACACTTTCCACCGGCGAGGAGAAGGCACTCACTATGACATCGCCAATTTGAAATTGCTTGTACTAACTGACGATGAGCATTATCCCGGGAAGCTGGAAGGATGTATGGACGCACAGGAAGAAGAGACTGGACGATCTCTGACATAATCCCCCCAAACAGGAAGCAGATGATCCCCGTCAGTATGAGTCCCGCATGACGCCAGATCCATATTCTTCGAGCGTCCCTGCGCGAGTCGGATTCAACCACAGACAGAAATCTTCGAGCGGGTTACTCACTCTTCCACGTCCCATATGAAGTAGAACACCCCGGTTGCTATTGCAAGGCATATAAAGTGCAACAGCTTGTCATTTAGAGGCAGCGCGTGGCTGAAGTTTGTGAATCCGAGGAACGCAAGCGCAAGCATCACGCCGAAGGTGATTGCTATAAACCACTACCCAAGGGAGCATGGGCCAAGAACGATGGTAAGTTGCAGGCAGCTGCGGAAGTAACATCGAGAATCGGACCGGACGTATGCGTATAGGCATGTCGTATTTTGGTATTCGTAGGTGGTACGATCGCATTACGGCCTTGACGATCTTTCGCATATATCTCTGGTGGTTTTGAGACGAGTTCGACATGGTTGGCAGACCGAGCATGCCAGTGTTCGGCCCAGCGTGCCTAGAGGAAGTGAAGGAGAAACTGCAGCGCCGCGGCGAGCCGGCGCGCGTATCCAGCCGTCGTCATCTCTTGCCTGCGATGTGACATGTACTCTACTTATTCGTGGGACTTTCCGAATCTGCCTCTTACACTTGTCCATGATATCCCGAGCTACTGCTCGCCTCCAAACCACTGTTAGAGCTATGTCCACGTCTACGCCGTCGCCGTTGGCAGCGTTCTCAACTTGCGAGATATCCGACGCGTTGGCCAAGCTGGGCATCGCTCACGGTGGCCACATCCCTGATATACATCAGGTGTCCGCCGGGCGAACTCCTACGATCTGCGCTCCAGCCTACACCGTCAAGATGGTTCTCGCATCCGATAAAGATGCGCCTAAATCGGACGTTCACTTCGTGGATGCTGCCCCGGAGGGCCATGTGGTGGTCATCGACGCGCCCCCCCGTCCGTAGTCTTGCCAGCTCTAACTCCGGCTGCTGGATCTGACAAGCCCTTAACTCCGCATGCACCTCTCCCCGATTGTCTGCGATGCATAAAGAGGCCAAAAACGCTGTGTGGGGAGGATTGATGACTGCCGGAGCACAAGCTCGCGGCGCCGTTGGCGTGATCATCTCGGGACGTTGTCGAGATTTGGCTGAGCACCGCGAAGCTCAATTCCCCGTCTTCGCTCGCGGGACGTCTACGGTTGGACAATCACCACACACCCGCCCTTCCGCGATTAATGTTACTGTCACCATTGGAGATGAGACGCAAGCCTCGTTCCCTCCCGTCACTATTCAACCCGGCGACTGGATGGTCGCGGATGAGAACGGGATCGTCTGCGTTCCCCGGGCCATTGTTACCGAGGTAGTTGACGCTGCGAGACGTGGACGCGAGATTGACGCCAAGTGCATGGAAGATATAAAAGAGGGGCTGGGTGTGCAGGCGTCCTTCAAGAAGCATAGAGGCAAATAAGTACTCCAACCTCCCATACCATAGCAGAACCAACACACTGTATGTACCAATACAGAAAAGAGGGTATGCGCAAAGACTATCGTAGCTGAAATTCTTAGCGAAGATGACCTCAGGTCGGACGCGTCACGACTCACGCGGCCCGAACCTCCTCTACTTTCGTCTCCTCTACTGATATACATGCCGCCGTGCTGGTCTCGGGTGTCCGTGCAACGGTCGTCTGCCGGTTACCGTACTGTACTACCTGAGACAGGGACTCGCATAATACGCAGGAAGCTCTCGAGCCGTGCAGGGAAGTCGCCGGAACCAGTGCCCACAATCGTTCATCGGTGTAATACGGTTGCGCATAAAACAAAAGCCCTTCTCTCGCGTGTTCTTTCCTCAGAATCTGGTGGCTCGGAGACGCAACAACGCGGTAGAAGGTGGAGGGAGGCATTGGATGAGCTGTCCTCCGATAACTTGCCGGCCAACTCGGCTCGGGTGGTTGGTATGTCAATATTCTGCACACTGCGGCGTTCAAAGCTCGACTAACATGCATGCAGTTCACGGGCTGGGTGAATACTCAGGCAGTGACTCACTCGTAGCTGCACTCCTCACAGACCCGTTTGCACCCCATGACGAAGCGCTGTGCACTCCGGGCCCAAGGACGTTCGCGTACGTTCGGCTTTCGACAACTACTTGTGAGCATAATCGCTGAGGAGAATTGTAGGTCGACCTCATACTCTACGACTCCAGAACCCGGAATCATTTCGGTCTCCTCTTCCTGGCTTCGAAGATTCTCTATCCCCGTCGAGGTGTCGGTCCTTGCTAAGGATGACCCTCTTGGCGCCACAAAACTCGCTCTCGCTGATGTTCCCATCCTCGTCACCAACCCGTTGGTCACCTCAATCTCTGATGTCCTCAACGACCCCGATCTCCAACCCATGCTGCAACACCAGCACGCCATCTTGGTTATTTTAGGCACGGTTGCCAAAGACGAGCTGCGCGACAACATCACCAACCGGATTACGTCCAAGACGTCTGTAAAGAAGGAGCGAATCCTTTTCGTCGACCCATCACGGGCGCTCGCTGCGGTGGACGCCCTAAGGTCCGACCCATCTTCGTCTCTGGCTGTCCAGAGGTATCAGGACGACTACATCGCATCTCACGTTTCTACAGTCACCGATGCCGTCTCACGATCCCTCGGCTCGGCGCTGGAACCTGCTCAGACTCCTTCGCTACGTCAACTTCGCGCGCGCGCTGGTCTGTCCACCGCTCGGGGCGCACTCCTCACTGCGCGCGCAGTTCTGGCGGAGGCAGAGGACGAGATTCGCTCCGTTCACGCCCAGTGCTCGGAGCTCGAGGGCGAGGTTGAGCTTGTGATTGCCAAATCTCAGCACGACACTCTCGGCTCCTCTGACATCGAGGCTGATGAGGCCAGCAGAGCTTGGAACCCCCTCATGAAAACCTTCAAAGATGGAGACACGCAACTCCAAGAACTACTACGCAGTATCACGTGGTGGAAGCTCCCGGTGCAATCAGATGGAGTAGCGACTACCGTCAGCTTGTGTTTCAAGCGCCCTTGGTTCCGAGAGGTCGAGAAGCATGTGCGTGTTGTCATTTCCGTGTGGCTGGATATTTCGGTCTGATGACGTGTGTAGCTGCTGCTTCAGACCGGCCGCCTCAGTGCCATCCAAGAGGCCCAGGACCGTGAGACGCAGCGTAGATTAGCCCGCTTCAAGAAAACATCTCCATTTCATTCGCCCGTCCTCGAGAATTCCATAGCGCAGACCATTAAGTCACCTTCGCATCCGGTGACGACAAACGCCCTTCTGGAACCATTCAATCATAGACACGCCCAAGTCATGTGGAACAACGGTCGATTACACTCCGAGGGTCAGAAGGTCGTCGTGGGCTCTGGGACAGGCTTGGTGACGGGCGCTGCGGTGACGTATGCCGGATGGGCAGGCTGGCTAAGCTCAGGTCTCCTGGGCAGCTTCAGCGGGCTGGAAGCAGAGAGCGCCAGCGTCCTGGGCGTGGTCGTGACGCTGTCCAGCTTCCGTTGGGCTGTGGGCAAGTGGGAGAAAGCGAAGAGCAGATGGTGGGAGGACTGGCAAAGGGTGAAAGAGACGCTAATACGGGACATACATGTGCGCCATGCTGCCATTCTCTGTGCATACCTACTGATCCTGAACATCGTTATAGACGACGATAAGCAACGCGATACGTCAACAGGTTTTTGCCGCACCAATGCAAGCCCGCGAGGCGCTCTTAGCCTTATCTTCCCGAAGATCTCAGGAAATAGAGGAACTGGTGGAAGAAATTGAGATTCTGTCCAAGGAGTGTGATGACGCACAGAAATAGGTATTGCCAACGCATGCGCATACATTGTATCCTGGGTCGGACAGCCTACCGTGCAAGCATTTCTGCAGTCTATTTCTTAATATGAGCGTTGAATGCAAGGAGAGGCATCGAAGAAGAAAATGGTGAAAAGAGAGTAAAAAGAAAAAACTTCTCTTGATATTTCCGTTGCGCAACCATTCAGCAGGAACGGAAGAGAACACTCCGAACAACTAGCATGCGATCCTCTCACCTCCATCCGTGTATACAACGGACAGTTGCACGGACGTCATCCAAAACGAAGGTTGCCAGGTATGATTCTCTAGTTGAAACGCGGCTTGACCATACACACACGAGATTATTGTCTTCTACCATGATATACCGTTCCATCCTTGCCATCTAATACGCGATCATCCGAGTCAGCGCGCCTCACAATCCATGGACCCCCAAGAACTCGTTGATTGCGCGGAAGGCTCCGGTCGCGTTCAAGTGCAGGTTCAAGGCGTGGCCGGTGTTCGGCTGGACGAGCACGTTGAATGCGGACGCTTTCGGAAGGTTTCGTCCAGTGAGCTCTGGAATGCTCGACACGTTCGGCAATCCGTCGGTATAGTAGCAGTTAATGCCGCAGAAGATCGCGTCCTGCTGGCCAGTAACAACCATAGCCGGTCCGGTGAAGTCGGGAGCCATAGAAGGGGAAGATGCCATGGTGAGCAACTCCCCAACAGTGAATGGTTGTTTAGTTGCTTCGGCGTAGCGATGAACGTCACGCATGCTTCCGGGAGGATAGTAGAAGTCCATGATGTTGGCTACGTGCGTGCGTTCATAAGCCCTAACAGAACCGCGAACTCGGCGAATACTCACAGTAGACGTCATTCCACGTTAGATAGCCTGGGTCGAGGTTGAGACCAGCTTTGCCCCATAGAGTTGAATTATCGCTGCGCGCCATTTTCTTGGTCAAAAATGAGTGACATGCCTGACCTGTCACCAAGTTCCTTTTGACATACCGCGTTGAAAGCAGCAGTGGTGATGAGCGACGCTTCCTTGCTCGGCGATTGACTAAAACCGGTCAGGATGATGCCATCGGTGTTCTTGGGATACTTCGCGGCGAGAGCGAAAGTCAAGATGGAGCCGAACGAATGGCCGACGTGAACAACCGACGAGGATTTGCCAATATCGAGGAGTTGTCCGGTGCGGACCAGAGTAGTCAGCTTGTCGAGGATGGCAAGCTCGACTTCCAGCTGCACTACGCTATACGGGTTTGGACGGCTGGAGTCGCCAGTAGAAAGCCGGTCATATGATACAGTCCTATAGCCGAAGGTGTCGGTAGCGATGTCTATGTACGAATACAGCTGGGGGTCAATCGAGGGATCCCAGTATCTGTCTGGTCATTAGTCACGGAATTGAACACGTCTGCAGACTTGCCTTTGATCAAATCCTATGCCGTGCGTAAGCACTTGGACCACGGGTTTCGTGTCCACAGCTGTCGGCTCGCAGACTCGCACGGAGATGCTGTATGTGTCCTCAATGCTCGTGTATCCTGTAAGGACATCTCCGGTATAGTTGCGGCCTGGAGTCGTCATGTTTTGCATGAAGAAAGTTACGTCGAGGTCGTCCACCAGACGTTCCTGCTTCCCGAATACAGCATTCCGCGCGCTGACGGCTACAGGAACCGATTGTTCCCTGCACTGTTTTGACAGCACCAAAGCCACATGGAGAAACGAAACCAGGAGAGACGCGCGTGCGAGCACCATGATCTGCACCTGGTAGACTCGCATTTAGTGCTTTACAGAGTCTGTCGGCGGGAAGGGCGTAGACTCACCTTGGGGAGTGGGGTAGTTTGTGGGGTAGTTTGTGTATGCTGAGGGCTATTGCAGCACAGAGACGCTCTCGAACCCAGCGGTTTATAAACCCTCTTCCTTAGTTCATGGCGGATCGATTAGACAGCTTCGCTGTCGCGAGACCGGCTCTGGAATGACAGGTTCGCTTCGACGACACCTTTATGCCGGACAGAAACGAGCTGATTCGCGGATCGGATGACGCACCGAGCGAAATAACGCGTTCTAACGATACATGAGCGATCAACGACCTGTAAAACGCGTGTTGGTTCATGGCCCATTCATAATCGTGGTTCCGCCAACTATCCGTTCATTGGGCACCCATACCCGAGCAGCATGACTATGACCAGTCACTAGAAACTGGAGTTACGGCGGGCACGTTCGTTGAGAAGGTATGTATTTTGAGCGCGTGCCGCGTCGTGAGCCGTTCGACATGAATTTTCTCGGTCACGAAGTGACATTCCACCTTCCAGTGTGCATTCGGCAGTGAAGCATCGTGGCATTTTCTTCGGATATCGATTCATTACACAAACAGCTCGGGAATTGCGCGTGGGCAAGTCGTTATACGCCGTAGGGGCGCCAAAGGAGCGTGGATGGGATTGACTCGAATGGGGGACGGAGGAAGCGTAAAATAGTTGTCTCGGGACTTTCCGGTTTCTCCTGATTACAGCCGTTTTCAAAAATCATGAGCGCGGCACCAGAAACGAGACGCGCGTCGTGAACGACCCCAAAGCTGGGTTTGCCGCCAGCACATCGTGTCCGACGACGAACTCTACGATGATGCGCCCCAGGACAGCATCGAAACGCTCAGAGTACGCGTGAGGAGCTCAGGATGATTCTTGAGAGTGGTAAACATGATATTCAAAGGGATTAACGAGCAATTTCCCAGTAGCAGGCAAGGACAGTGTCAGCGATTGTAAACCGTGATTATGGACGCTACGCCCAGCAAACCTGGACACAGTCCAGCCTCTGTATGATCAAATACGTGTCCCAGAAGTCTGCTGATGTTTTCTTCCACGACTCATCATCGACTCGTCGGGGAGCATTGGGTAAGACCCTTATATTAGGGTTACTGCCAGCAGGCACACAGGGGCAGCCATTGTACAAGGGTACTGCACCAAATCAAGGTGTAACCCGCTATCAAGGAGATCCCATAGGCGAGTGGAAGTTGACAGAATCGGTGAAAGACAATCCGCCGGGAGCATCAAGTTGAGGGAACCAGAAACCCCCAGAGACATTTCACATCGTATCTCGAGCTCAAGATCGGGCTAACCTTCGGCTCTCCTATGCTCGGGCACTCCTCAGACAACAACAGCGATACGATCCCGTCGAGATGCTTGAGCTGGCTGACCTCCTGAGCTCGCCGGCGTCGCTGATCTGGCGGTGACCCCACTTTAGGGTCGTTCACGACGTTCTGGTGCCGCGCTCATGATTTTTGAAAACGGCTGTAGATTTAGGTGTTCCCTCGACTCATCGCTGCCCCTAATACCTCTACGAAACGTGCCTCTGAAGAAACTCGTTGATTGCGTGATAGGCAGCGGTAGCGTTATGATGCAGGTTCAAAGCATGGCCGGTGTCTGGTTGAATCAGCACCTCGAATGCCGACGCATGAGGAAGGTTCTGCCCGGCGAGTTCTGGGATGCTCGAGACGTTGCCTAGTCCAACGACATTCCCGCAGTTGCCGCCGCAGAATATCGCATCTTGATTGCCAGTCACGATCATGGCCGGCCCTGTGAATCCAGTGGCTGGTAACGGCGCCGCCACAATCGTCAGGAGTTCTCCCACAGGGAAAGGCTGTTTGTTGGCTTCAGCGAACTCCTGCACATCACGCGTACTTGTCGGTGGGTAAAAGAAGTCTATGATGTTGGCTGCAATGCGCCGTTAGGTCGTCCATGACATGATGAATGGCGTCCAAATGTCGACCCTCACCATAAACATCATTCCATGTCAGATAACCGGGATCAAGGTTAAGGCCGTTTTTGCCCCAGAGGGTGGCGTGGTTGCTACGCGCCGTTTTCTGCGATTCATAGTCAGTATCGTGTTAGAGTAAAGAGTATCATGCACTTGCCGCATTAAAGGCGGCAAAGCTGATCAGTACGCTGGGAAAGGTCGGTGGCGGTTGACTAAAACCCGTCAAAACGAGTCCGTCCGTGTTGCTGGGGTGTTGGGCGGCGAGCTCATACGACAACACAGAGCCATAGGAATGCCCGATGTGTACGACTGAGGCGATATGTCCGGTATTGAACAGTTTTCCAGCGCGGACCATCGTGGTGAGCGTGTTCAAGATCTCAAGCTCGACGCCAATTTGAACTACGTTGTAAGGATCCGGGTGAGTCGAATTTCCCGTGGAGATTCTGTCATAGGACAGCGTGCTGTAGCCAAAGATATCGGTGGCCACATCCACGTATGAATATAACTCAGGATGAAGCGGAAAATCCCAGTATCTGTAGGGTCATTCGATAGCAAATCAAATTTTCCGTTTGATTCGTACAGGACGAGACGCTCACATCTTGTCAAACCCGATGCCGTGCGTGAGCACCTGGACAGTAGATTTCTTGACCGCAGCTGTCGGTTCGCAAAACCGCACCGAGATATCATATGTGTCATGAATCGTCGTATACCCGGTGGTAACCTGGTCGGTGTAGTTAAGCCCGACGGTCGTCGCGTTCTGGATGAAGTACGTGACGTCCAAGTCGTCTACGAGGCGTTTCTGATTTCCAAAGACAGCATTGCGAGCAGTGATGGACACTGGGACAATCTTTTCGTTGCAGCTTTTCGCCGGAACAACTGGAATGGCGTGTAGTAGTGCAATCGCAGGCGCGAATAGTGACCGAAAGAAGACCATGGCCTATACCTACTTAATGGTGGGGCTCGTTAGTACAACACCGCAGACCTCAATGCCACTGGTAAACTTACTGTTTAGGGGGGTTTCAGAGCGAACGCCCGGGGTGCAACCACAGCACATCAAAATCCTCGCAATTTATACATATCATATGCGCATCATGAACGTGCACCACGATGAAACCAATTGTAGTTCTCGAAGGTCACGAATAAGGAAGTGTGCGGGAGCAGTACACTGTTGAATGGAATTTTTCCCTGTAGTTCCCATACTGCATGGAATCCAGAGTTAGCCATACACATCGGGGCGCCAATTCCGAGATCGTTGATCAACTGTCAGGCATGGATTCTGGCCAGGCTCACTCGCTGGTCGCCATGTGAAGGTTAGGCGGAGATATATTCATTTCTGTCAAGATGGAATTTCGAAGTCAAGAGAGGTTTCGCCATTAAAGCCAGTAACAGCGGGATTCTACACAGACTCAACTGCTTTCGCCTCTGAGCTTCGGAAGATATCCCCGGTTGGGCTTGATAGAAGCGGACAATATTCCAGTGCCCTCATCGGAATTGAATAGCGGTCCGCCAGTTTCGGAAGCGATAGCCTTCTTGTCCGCCTTAAGTACGCGCTGCTCCTCAGGTGCGATCCTTGCCACACTTGGATTCGACACGCGACTGGCACACGGCAAGGTCATAGACCAGAAGTTCATCGACAAGTGGCGAGCAGCACCTCTTGCATCTGTCTTTATCCACGAGTTCGGCTATTCGTTCACTGGATCAACAAGCCCTAGTACATGGCGTCGGCGTTCAGTTTCAGGCTGTGCTGACTGACCTGATGAGACGCCCCAACGCCGAGAGCGCGCACACACGGCCAACAATAGCATAGTATCGTCTCTTATTAGTCCGTCTCAGCTCGCTTGCAACACCTGACATCATATATGCACTCACACTGCAGGTGGGTTGAGTCGAGCCATCGCAGGGCACAACTGACCGCTGGTGCGGATTGTGACAGCGAATACGAGCTACAAAACCGACACGCTGGGCATTCCGACTCTGCGATCATTCATCTACCCGCCTGTACTACCCCGCCGATCACGGGCTTCGCCATTGCAAGAAGTCATGAATCGCGTTATAGTGGAGGTTGAGGCCATGACCCGTGTTCTGCTGAATCAGCACCTCCAAGGCGGAAGCGTTGGGGAGGTTGCGTCCGACAAGTTCGGGAATGCTCGAGACGTTCTCTCCGGTTGTATACGAACAGTTACTGCCACAGAACGATAAGTCCTTTTCGCCGATGACCAGCATTGCTGGTCCGGTGAAGTCGTAGGCTGGTTTCGGAGTCGCGCCGATGGTCAGCATCTCGCCGACGGTGAAGGGTTGCTTGTACGTATCCGCTAATTCAATGATGGTGCGATTGCTCCCGGGCGGGTAATAGAAGTTCAGGAAGTTCGCTGTGTTGCGCATGAACAGTTAGACTACGTGTGAGATTAATGAAAAGCGTACAGTAGATGTTATCCCAGATGACGTAGCCATCGTCAAGATCAACCCCTCGTTGCTCTTGCTCGTTTTCTGAGGGAACGCATTCAAACGAGTCTTGCTTGGAATAGTCGCACATGTGTCCGCATGAGTGAAACACACCATGTTGAAAGCCGCCCAAACGACCGCCACGTAAGCAGCTGCACTAGGCGGCTGGCTATAGCCCGTCAGGATGATGGCGACTGTATTGTTCGGATGCTGCGCGGCCAGAAAGTACGAGAGGACGGAACCCCATGAATGCCCCACGTGAACGACTGTCGGCGAAGGGCTGCAGCTGAACAACGCTCGATGGCGAACAGCGGTGGTCAGCTCGTTGAGAATGGCGAGCTCTACACCGAGCTGGATATCATCGTAAGGGTCCGGGTGGCTCGAGTTGCCCGTGCCGAGTCGATCGTAAGACAGCGTACTGTAGTCGTGAACGTCGGTGGCGACGTCCACGTACGAGTACAAGTGCGAATCAACCGGGAAGTCCCAATATCTGGCGAGCGTTCGTATCAGCACAACGTACACGGGGTCAGCAAAACATCGCATACATTTTGTCGATGCCAAGCCCATGCGATAGGATCTGAACTGTCGGCTTCTTCGCGACGGCGGTCGGTTCACATAGCTGAGTCGAAATGCTGTACGTGTCGTGGACCGTGGTGTACCCGGTGGTCACGTCCGCGCTGTAGTTGCGGCCAAAGGTGGTGATGTTTTGCGTCAAGTAAGCCGCATCATAGTTGTCGACGAGGCGATCCTGTTTACCAAAGACCACGTTGCGAGACGGGTATGATGCGTTCGGTGCATTTCTTCGACAAGGCAACGCTTGCAAGGAGCAGCGCAACGAAAACCAATGAACGAGCCATCTTGAAGACCGTTTAATCCGTGCCCTTGAGGAGCTAGAGGGGCTACATACCGGAGATACGTTTCACTGGGGCGTTCTCGACGTTCTGCTGAAACGAGACGGCGCTGTTTCTTATAATCATCTCTCGACCCACATCAGGAGACATCTCGTCATATGCGAGTGTCTTACCAAGATGCATTAGGTTACCCCGTGGATAATCTGGAGTCACTGGCGTCGTGCCTTCCGTCACCGGCTAAGCGACGTTTTGATCCGAACACCTCTCGGAAGAACAGAATATATGAGCCCGGAATGATCCTGCCACGAACCTGCTAGGCCGATGGGCCTTGGCACTTCATCGCCCTGCTCACTCTCAACATTGACCATGGAACGGAGAGAGCGCCTGATCGACTGAAAGCAAGGGAAAAGCAGATGCATTGTGAGCAATAGTGGTGGGGTAACAAAGCCAGAAATATGCCGGATGTAAGGTATCGATACAGTGTATAGGTCTAGTGAGCTGGTGCTGATGGTGATGGCGACATCGTCTCTGGTACTGCAAACATACATGTCAGGATCAGAGAGTAGCGGATTTGGGATGGGGAGCGGCAAACGGGTCGTGCGGAGAAGTTCCAACGACTTACGGACAGGCATCTGAGCTCTCGTTCCCTCCGAGAATACCCGGTTCAGTAGTACACCCACACCCTCGAACACGCCGAGTAAGATACCGCAAGCAACTGCGCTGCCGAGCGCAGACCGTGGACCGCTCCGCGCGGCTAGACATCCACCCGTCATGAAGCCGGAGATGATGGCATTCCAAGCATCTTCCTTTTGTCGATAGCCCTTGACGGCACAGTCGAACGTCGAAAACATTCCACCCCATACACCGAAGTTGCCTCCGGTTACTGGTGCGCGGGCTTTTATTGATGTTATGGCACCCGTGAGGCGCTCGCCCTGTAGGTTACGTGTTCTATTAGAAGAGGCAGATACCCAGCGCCCAGGGAGATGACGCACCCGAGGTGAGTTCCTGCTCCCTTTTATGCCATACCAGATGCCTCCACCGATGGCACCCATGGAGAAAGCACCACCAAAATCGCTGAGGATGACCCAAGGGCTGTAGGACGGGTATCGTGTGATTAGCGTTGCGCTTTCTCATAGCGAACACCAGCGAGCAACTCGCCATGGGTCTCTTGTGTGGTCAGCGTGGGCCATGGCGTCTCGTACGAAGAAGGGGAAAAAGTAGCAAAGGATACAGCGGGGGTGAACGGTGGCGCGTAAGCAAGGCGCCAGCGAAACCCGAATCCGATTCGGTGGTCGAAAATCTGACCGTGGGAAGCCAAACTATATACGGCACATTATGGAGCGGACCGCTACCTTGCCTTGACGTTCAACTCTGTAAGCTCGAAACGAGAAGTTGCTCATTATCTATACGTGCCAGTTTTCCCTGCCTAGTCAGAGATGGCGAAGTTGTACTGCCCATGACCAAGGCCATAATACGCCAATTGATACGCGACCGCGATGACGCGCACGTGATCGCATATATTGCGTCCTCGGATCGCGACTGACTTGTTGAGTTCGTCTCATCACTTGGCCGGAACTACCTCGTCGGATGACGATGCGTCCACCCTCGCGTCGTCCATCTGAGGTTTACGTCGACGTCCCCTCCTCCTCGTTCCACAAGCCCTTCCCGCTGCACGCCACCACCGCAAGCAAGGAGAACGCTGTCCCAGGCATGGCGCGCAGCCCCAGCCTCCTCGCGCAAACCGAGCCTAACACTCCTGCGGTCTCATCTACTACCAAGCGCAAGCGCACCCTTTCCGAGACACAACCAGCTCGGGACTCTGGCGACGCGACCACTAGCTCGCGCACATCCAAGAAGACGAAAGCGAGGGATGCTGAACAAGATAAAGAGGTGAACCGAGATTCCACCGCCCCTAAGAGGCGCAAGACACACGAGGGGACCCTCGGCACAGCTCAGCCCTCTACCGGGGCTCGCAAATCAAAGCCCAAGGATGCTCGCTCTGTGAGCACTGTTGCCAAAGGAAAAGACCTCGATGCCAGTAACGCGAACGAGGAATTCCCTAATGGTTTCTTCTACTGCCATCAATGTGCCAAGAAACGTGACGCCACAGGTACGTTGTTGGCTGTGTCTTTTGATCCACTTACTGATTAGTTCCTGCACGCAGTGGGCGTGCAATGCACGCTCCTTCTAGCTGAGTCGACCAAAGAGGAACGATGCAAAGCCAAATATTGCAAGGCATGTCTTAAGAATCGGTACGTCCAAGCCGTCAATGTGTCGCAATATGGTACCCATTATCCCTCAGCTATGGCAAGGATGTGGATGCTATCCATGAGGAAGGCGAGCCGGAAGCCACTCGAAAGAAGAACAAAAGCGAGCATGTAAGCGGTTGTGGTTATGTATTCAGGTACGGGACACATTGTGTATGGCGTTATTCATTATCTCAACCGCATCCCAGGTGTCCGAAGTGCGAAGATATCTGCAATTGCTGTCGGTGTCGCAAGGCTAAGGGTCTGGACCCTGTTGGGTACGCATAAGTCTTATGTGGATATCAAGTACCCATGGCTTATATCTCAATGCAGTAATTTGACCCTTGCAGCTCGTAAAGCAGGAGCAGGCTCTGTGGCTGCCATGCTTTCCGACGACCCCACTGCATCAGTACGTTCTTGCACGTGCGTTTGCGGAAATTCATACTGACGCGGTTATGCGTGCAGGGCATACTTCCTGGAAAGGGAGCGCAGGTTGCTCGTGGGGAAAAGTTACAGAAAGCGCAGAAAGCGAAGGATAAGGATGCGAAACCGAAAGGAGACACCGCCGAAGCGGCCTCGAAGAAACGAGGACGTCCTCGGAAAGACGTGGAAGCCGTGCCCTCTTCCAATCGCCCCACGGGAGGTGACAAGAAGAGGCAGCGAGCCAAGCCCAAGAAGACCGCGCCTATCCCCAATCCGACGTGGACGAGGATCCCTACACCGCTGAACCTTGATGAGGCTGAGGCGCGGATGCACATCCGTGAGTTCATGCTGAGGTTCGCCGAGGTCATGGGGAGCGGCAAGCGCGACACAATCTCGAAGGCGTTGCTCGAGGAGCTCGAGGTGATTGATACCGACGGTCATATTCGGGAAGACGACGACAATCCGCAGCTTCCTGAATCTGTAGGATGGGTCAGCGAGGCTTGCATCAAAGCCATGTTGATAGGCTTACTCAGCCTTATCGCCGAAGACCATAATATCAAGGTACGTCTACAATATTACCATGCGAAAGGTACTCACGCGTCCGTTGTTCGTTTTCAAAGGACAAGGCTGCGGAAGCCATCAAGGAGATTAGGGCATCCAGTGCGAACCTCAACAAGATGTGGGTAGCGGTCTCCGGTCTGCGATCGTCGACCTTCGTGCTGCCGGATCCGCTGCCTCCTCCGGCTTACGCGGCAGTTCGCACTACCCGTTCCGTGAATGTAAATGAGGGGGTGCTGGTCGCGAACACGGCCCAGTTCGTCCCTGTGATCGCCGCGCTGATAGATCGTGCTATGGGTACAGAGGCCGTGCGCGAAGAGATTAACGAGGGCATTAAGGAGCTGGTGGAGAAGGCCAGGGAAGCGAGGGAGACGCGGAAGAAAGAAGAAACGAGATGGGAGGTCGTGCCGAAAGGCAACGGGCAAGGCAACCATGTAGGTCCTCATTTCGAGAAATTCGACGCTCAACATTGATGTATCTTTCTCCATAGATCAGAAATTTGAAGGCTCAGCATCTGCACATGCTCGAGGATATCGAGCAGAGCCTGAATGTGGTGACGAACAGCGTTTCTATGATTCGATTTGCGCCTTTGGGTCGAGATATCGATGGGCGTATCTACTACGCCCTGCACCCAGGCGTTGTCGAGCGCGACGCGGCTCTCGAGACCATCAAAAGCGACACATCGTCCGATCGTGGCCGAGCTGGCAAAGGTGGCGGCAGACGCACGGCGCACAAGAAGATCACCGCAGAGGAACGGGAGGAAACGTCGCTTTGGAGTTGGCAGGTAGCTGTCTGGGGCCCCTTGCCGGAGGGCGCTCTGAAGCAGGACGGCTCCACCACTGTGACCTCCGTGAACCTGGATGACGGCAAGACCCGATGGTGGGCGTTCTGCCACCCGGACGAGATCAGGAAGCTCGCGCAATGGGTCGCGGCGCAGGGCGGGGTGGCGACGGACGGCCTTGACGCTGACGCCGAGGAAGGCTCCGGGGCGAATGGCCACGCTCGCAACGGGGTCGCAAGCTCGAGCGCTACGGGTAAATCCTCGAGCCTTTCTTCCTCGCTTTCCTCTTCGCCCGACTCCGAGGACGACGACATGATGAGCGAGTTATCCGATTTATCAGCGCCGGCTGATATCAAGATGGACATAGAGTCGTCCCGGCCCAGCAAGGGTGAAGTGCAGGGCCTCGTGCAAGGCTTGCAGGAATATGCAGATGCCTTGCAATGGAGGATTAGGAGGTGGGGCGAGGAGGTTGAGCCTGAGCCATCGAAAGGCGTGACCAAGAAGAAAGCTACGGAGGGGCCAATCGAACCATCCAAGTTCTATTCTTAGCGGGGCGAAGTGTGCGCTGTAGACGATCATATTATAGTACCAGTATTACCGATAGACAGAAAGATTATGTACATGCATAGCTTGCATCATGTACTCTACAGGAGTTTATATTTATCATTATATACCTCGTAGAACGTACGCGCTGACTGCACGGATATGCATTGCTAGCGTACGACGCATCGTCCATAAGCCGGCTGTGGCCTCATCCGAATTGACGAGCTATGATGAATGCGAGACCGTCGAGGCCTAACTGCCTCTCGACGCACTTGTCCAGACGTTCTGCCAGACGGATAGCCAGAACGTGCTTGCACTAGCGCGGTTATGTCATGAGCCGGCCAACTCTCCAGCAGAGAAGACCTGCCGCTCTCACCATGGGATGCGATCCGGCCACCAAGACGGTATATGTGAATGCTGGGCAAGGACAGTAGAAGCCCAAAGTTGAATCGCTCCCGAGCTTCGGATGTACCAAGTATGTGCCCTGAGAACAGACAGCCTCATAGTGAACGCGACCCCATGGGGTAGTGTATTTGATGACTGTGAATCATACGAGCGCATTAGCCATATGCATGCCAAGGACTCGCATGCACTCCAAGGATTGGAAACTAGGAGCAACACTAAATGATGCGCACCACCTTCGCAGTCGATCAAATCAAGAGCAGCAAGGAGAAGAGACTCAGAAAAGATCGATTCGAGCTTGGTGATCGTTTCCTCGTCCACTGTTCACAATGGAACGGGTTTCGTCCGAAAAGGCGAAGAGATCAATATGGTTTGTATGAACTGCAGCTTGCAAAGGTCCCTCACAGTCCCCTGGTGGGATGGATTCGATTACAGCATCCGCAATGAGTACCAGCTCTTGTCGTAGCATGCCGCACAATCAAGTTCCATTCGGCGAAGCTCATCTAAGTTACCCCAGCGTCGAGACCCCAGTGCTGGAAAGACGAAGGAAGATTGATGAAGCCAAGTCCGTTGGGACGTTCATCTGCCAGAATGAACATTGGATGAGCACGTGAGCCGCTGAGTCCTCCCGCGGCGAAAGGGAACTGGCAGTGGGAATGGGATGCAAAGCAGAACACAACCACGAACGCGCGCAAGTCGTGCAACCGAGTACATGTTGTGCGATTTGTACCAGTACCGACACTCATGTAACAACCTATCTTCGGAAGATGGCGTCGCAGCCGCAACAATAGCGAACATTGAAAAGAGAGCACCGTGCATGAAGTGAAAGCGAACCACACTTCAGGCCCAGGGTCAATGAGTATCAAGAGGGCAGCAATGTCGTAGACAGCCTTGGCTCGTCCAATAGGCAACAGCGCCTCGTCAACCGGGGCGGGCTATGTCTTCAGATGCGCCATACCAAGTGCATGGTATTACTAGGTCTGTATGAAGGTGTGTTGTTGACGCGAGGAGATCCGCGCTCCAGCGACCGAGCGCTGCGCAGAGAGCTGTATCCGTATGGTATCAGTGATTAGAATGCAGAGACGACAATGGATTTGCCTGTCAATCGCCACACGTAGTCGCCCATGGACGAGTGTAGCAAGCTACAATTCGCAACAACTTGACTAGGCACGTCGTCCTCTGCCTCCTCCAGCCGGTACCTTCCTCTTGCGGAACACAGGTGCTTCGGTGGTGGCTTGAGCCTTCGTTTCGGATTCCTCGACCTTCAGCGCTACTTCCTCTTGCTTGACGTCACCTGCACCCTCCTGCGCTTTGGAAGATACATCCCCCTGCTTCAGAGTATCGAGTCCGTCTTCCTGCTTCACGTCCTGTGCTGACTCCCCAGGGCGTTTCCAGCCACTCGAGGTCCATCTTGGGCCGTTCGTGGCGTTGGTCTCCGACGGCCTAGACTGCGCGCTTGCACCTTCCATCGAGGGTTCTTCTTTCTTCGTCTTCAGTTTGATCGGTATGAGCCCGGGGTCGTATATCTGACCCAAGCCGGGGCCGACGGTTTTCTTCCGCAGTTTGAACTCACGGGCGTCCTCGTCCTCGTCCACAGCTTCCGCTACCCTCTTTTGCCCTACCGCCGTTTCGGCAGGTATAGCCCCCTCCTCTGCCTCAACTTCAGGGGCCACTGGGCGCTCCGTGGACTGGACCAGTTGCCATTCCCCCGCGACCCCTTGCGTTTTCCTACGTTCCGCCTCCGCCTTCGCACGCTCAGCATCCGGATCGACGTATCCTAACGACTCGGCGGTCGAGTAGTTCGCCCACGGGCTGGCCGGCTTCGCAGCCGGCTTCTTCGCCGTCGCTGCAGCGCTGGAGGATGCGACCGAGGGACCCGAGCTGCCTTTCGCCAGTCCAGCGCCGACATCGCGCGCGAATGCCGCTTGTGCCGCCTGGAAACAGGAACATGAGCTCACGCCCTGCCCCTGGGATAAGCCTGATGAACCAAGTGTGAACACGTACCCGCTCAACCCTGGCCATCTCCCTCTGCTCCTCTTCGGCATCTTGCTTTTTCTTCTCGCTGGTCTTGTAGAGGTTCCTAACGAACCGCTCTTTATTGCCTTTATGCCTCAGTCCATTTTCGTGTTGGCTGCGCGATGGTGCATCGTCGGCGATGTAGATCTCGCAGTATTTGCAGTAGTACTTGTTCTTCGAAACCTGTATAGGGGTCGTTTAGTTCGATTAAGCAGGAAGCATAGGCCTAAGACGCGCCCAGTATTCAGACATGACGAAAGGAAAGGATCGTGGCTCGTTTACCGGCTCGCGTGGCGGCAGGTACAGTCTCGGACGCCGCGGAGGCACAGAACCGATGCGCCGGCATAGGCGCCGGTCAGGAGCCGATTAAGATGACGGGGGCGCCATGTGAAACCTCCACCTTCCGAAACCACGAATGCCTCACATACATTATCTACGGCCGGGCCAAGCACGTCCGCGCGAAGCGCGACTGCATTTGCCTTCCTCTCGCACCGTGACGAGGGAGTAACCATGCCCGACGCCGTGCAGCTCAACGAGCTGACCCGGGGATCCAACGACTCGCAATCGGACAGCGCGGTGGAGAAGCGATCGAACAAGGTTGAATTCGCGCCAGAGGTGTCTGCAGTCGAGGCGGGGATCGCGCAGGAGCCCGTACCATATCGGTTGTACAGGTGGCGATGGGTAGGACTCTTCGCGATGGTGAGCTGCGCCTGTATACCCTGGATTATGACAATCTAACAGTGCGTAGTTTTGCCTGAACGGTGTCGGAGGCATGGTGCAGCCATGGTTTGGCCCGATTGCCAACGACGGTACGTGTTGTTCCCCATATGCTCCCGGCGGTCGCTCATATGTTTTTCTCAGTTTCATCGGACTTCCACATCTCGCTCACACGTGTAAACTGGCTCATGAACATTGTTGTGCTCTGTTATCTTCCCGTGGCAAGTTTCACGCCGCTGCTCGTGGAACGATATGGCCTTCGCCGAGTGGTACGCCCGCGTGTTTTCCTTCCACAACTGCCCGCGCGAACTCAACATGGCCTGCTTTCAGTGCGATATTGGTGCCCTGTCTCTTATCACCTCGGCCTGGATCCGGTTTGCCGCAACACCCAAGTCCCTCTCCGTCAACGGCGCCTACGCGATATTTTTCATCGCACAGTTGATTGGAGCGATCGCGCAAGCGGTTTATCAAGTGATTATACCTAAGTATTCGGAGAATTGGTTTGACCTCAAGTCTCGCACGACGGCAACAATGATTATGGCCGTCGGTAAATCTGAACCTTTTTGTCTCTACACGCAGTGACGCTCAACCGATTTCTATGACATAGCTAATCCTGTGGGTGGTGCCATTGGGACTATCATATCGCCAGAAATAGGCGATACCCGGCGTTCGGTGCGTTCCACCGTGATTGCGCGTTTGGGCGGGATGCTCATGAGGGCACTCCAGATTCTCGTACTCGCGATCATCACCACTGTCGCATGCCCCACGACTTTCCTCGTCAGAAACTACCCACCTTCGCCGCCAAGTACGTTTGCAATGCTCATTAGCCTTGTATATCTTATTCATGGTCCCCGTAGCCTTCTCGGGAGGTCAACCATCGCAGCCATTCCGATCTCTGGTGGATGCGCTGCGCGGCAAGGAAACGATTCCGGAGGCTCACATGACCACTCGCGAACGCATAGACTTTGGTATCTTGACGTTCACGTTTGCAGTCCTCGTAACTGCTACCAACGTGTTCTCCATCCTCAATGCCCAGTACATCGTACGTTTTGCTAGCGGCTGCCTTTCTAGGGACATATCTCTGAGATGATGCCGTATAGCAACCTTATGGATACTCGTCCGATGTCGCTGGGCTGATGGGCGCTACCCTGCTCGTCGTTGGCCTCGTCTGCGCGTTCATAACATCACCACTGTTTGATCGCGTCATGACACACCACCTTGGAATAACCATAAAGACACTATGCCCCATCGTCGGGGCTGGATGGTTGTCGTTGATCTGGGCCAGTACGTATCTTTGCGCGTTATTCGCAATTGCTCATTCTCATATAACTGCTCTTTGCAGTCAGACCCAACAACACTGCAGCGTTGTTCGTGATCATGGCCGTCATCGGCGCGTGCTCGGTTACCATCCTTCCGGTTGGCCTCGAGATGGGCTGCGAGTTAACGCGGAACGCAGAAGGCAGCTCCGCCATCATGTGGTTCATGGCGAACGCCCTCAGCTTCATCTTCCTGCTTGGTGCGCATACCTCAGGCCTTTTCCCCGCGTCACAAGCGACTAAACATCCGTAATCTTTGCAGTCGAAGACGCGATGCGTGCAGGCAAGAACGCCAATCCGCCTCTGAACATGCACCGTGCCATCATCTTCAATGGCGTATGGGTGTTCGCATTGTCGCTTAGCGTGCTGTTCTTCCAAGGAAAGCAAGCGCGTAGGGCGGTCGACGAGCAGCGCCAGCGCGCCCAGACGAGCTGATCATATCGATACTTATTACGGAACTGAAGGATAATTATTAGGATGTACTAGAGGGACCCCCTCACAGTTGTTGTAATGGCCTGTTTACGTACGTTAGGCTTGACGTAGCATTGGAATCATGAACCTCTGAACTGGTTCAAGTGGACATGTTGTTGTATGTGCGAAGTATCTATGCCTTAGAGGTTGCCTAGCTGTCGGTACCCATGCTGTCACCGGCCAGGCCTGCGAGTGAGTCAAGTTCCCACGGCTTGGTCTGCTATAGATTCATTACTGGTGCAAGTCATCCGCGGCACACCTCAGCTATGCCCAACATGATGGACCTCTCTGTTCCCCATACTGCCCATACGATGCAGACCGGCACCCCTCTGAAGATCAGCGAAGGACCCGTTCCGATGTCGTTCCCTGCTATCCTGCGCAACCCAGGCATCGCCGACCGCTACGCACACATTCGCCCCGCCAGCGTTCATGCATCGGTCCCTCCGGTAACGAGGAAGCTGCGCGCCGACACGAAAGAAGGCAAGCGTTGGGTGCGAAGGAGCGAGAACGGTCCGTGGTAGCCCTCCGTGCCGCTGAGTGACTGAACCGAGTGCACCTCCCCCCTGTGTAGCCCGGTTCGTCGGCAACCCGCACATCGTTCCGGCGACGAGGAAGGACTATTCCCTGACCCTCCCCGATGTACGATCGACGTTCCCGAAGCCGCTCCCGCCGTACCTCCCTCGGACCGCGCAGGTCCCCACTCGGGTCGCCCCCGCTCGGGAGCCTATCTCCGCGAACGCCGGACGGTTCACGCTCAGTCTCAAGGGGATGCGGAAGACGCTTCGACGGGCTGGCGGACCGAGGACGCAGCAACTCGTACGGGACGTCGAGACCGAAATAATTGCTTGGCTTCGCCACGGCGGCGTCGTGTTATCTCCCGATGGCGAGCAGCCCGTTCAGGCCGCAAGACCCCTTTTCGACTGCGTCTCCGAGGTATCGCGGAGCGTGCATCAGCTCGTCTGGTCCGTCGAGGAGGACGCGTTCGTACGCTACGTCGTGCACTGCTGCGCCCGATACCACGACATAGTCAGCTTCAGTACGGGCTTTTTCCCTCCCGCGTTTGCGTGCATCCCGTCGGTGTACTGACGGACACTGGGACCAGGTAAAGAAGTGAACGGGCAGCGCCTGACGTATCTCCTGCGACCGAACGTGGCCCAGCCGGACTTCCGGGCGATATCAGCCCTGGACACGCCGCCGGCGACCGACCTCTCCACGCATGAGTTTGACTCCGAGTCGGACGTGCTGTCGCTCTCCGGTATTGAGTCCGGAATGGACTCCGAGGTCGAACCGGCGGGACACGCCGATGGTTTGAGCGCCATCGCCGAGGATGCGTCCAGACCGCCCTCATCTCTGGGCTTGGGCGGGGTTCCTCCTACGTTGCTTGAAGAGGACGAGCAGTGGTCGGTCATCGGAGGGTCGGATATTGATGGTGACGAGTCGGGACACGAGGGCGACATAGCGCAAAGCATCGGCTCTTTGTCGTTGCGGGATGATGTTGACGAGACGCCGCGACCGGCCACATTGCGTCAGGCCGCGCTCCGCTCGCGCATGCTCGATCGTGGCAGACACAATCGCTCGACATCTTCCCCGTCTCCTTCCCCCGTACGACGCTCTCAGAGACCCACCCTTCGCCAGCCGCGGATTGAACCGCCCACGGTGAAAAGATCGCGATCCTTTTACGATTATCTGTTCGCTTGATTGCGCATGTGCGACGCACGGACAGCTATCCATGTTTTTTCTATATGTATAAGATATGTAACACAAGTAAAGTGTCCTGCCAAGGTTAGATAGAGCATGAAGCAGAGTGCAGATGAGATGTTGTACAGGTTTATCCGGTGAATAAGTATATGATGAGATACATTGTCGAGCATGCAAATCGCTATGTAACGATCTTCAGAACGCGCATGAGGGACGTTGTGCCTGATACACGCACAATGATGTTGGCGGCCGCGACGAAGACGAGGATGAAGACCATGTAGACTTTGGGTCGACTGAGCCCATGGCCGAACGCAGAGCTCGTACTGCTGCCTCCCAAGATACCCACGAGCAAAAGGCCCTGCAGAGACGCAAATGAGCAGGCATCAATATGCGTTAAGGAGTGAGAAGAACTGCGCACGTTCGATAGCACCCAAGCCAGTAGGACCTGCAACCAAGAAAGTCCGACATTCTGAGAAACAGCGTGTTCCAGATTCCAATTGTCGACCCACATTTGTTCGCACGCTCGCGTAGTAGTCTTTTGCAGCTTGTTCTCGGTCGGCGTCAGTCGTCTTGGGTTTAGGCTTGTATACTGGTTTTCGCGTCTTGAGGTTCTCGAGCGATTCGTTGTACACGTCGTTGATGTCTTCCATGTCGTCGAGGACTTCTACCTCAACTTGAGCGCGAAAATCTTGCACCACGGCGCGGAGGTCGTTCTCCACAACCGTGTCTTCTTTGGTACCCCATGATATCTACGAGATCACATTCAGTAACGACTTGATACTGGAACGACCAGGGACGTACATCATCAAGATTTGAGAACGCATAGCTAATAGGGAGCACAAATAAGTGGCAGATATTGCCAAAAAGAGAATGGGCGCGTACACGTTCAGGATATTGACATAAGTCGGGAGCAGAAACATGTAGGGAACGAAGCTCGTGAGCATGTGCCAAGGTTCGAGAGCCAGCACGCTTGACACAGTGTACACTGGAATGGATGTTATCGTCGACCAGTGAGGCGTGCACACGTCGGCAGGAATAATCACCTCCGTATGTCATGATCAAGGAGAACAACATGATCTGGTAGGCATGTCCGCCCTGCTGAGCCGCCACTAGACAGCACTTGATAGCACCGAAGAACACATAGATCATCAAGAGTGCCATGATGATAGATGAGGCCTTATATTTCCATCGTGATCTGTTGGGAGGGGCGACCAAATGTCAGTCCCGGATGTGTATCTCAGAGCAGAGGCGCATGGACGTACACCGTAGGTTTGGTGCCCACGGAAAACAAGAAGCTGCCCACAACCAAAGACGCCATGAGATACTGTAGGTCATGTTAGTCTGCGAAACGCAAAAGATGCCCTAATGTCCACCTGTGAGACCCAATTCCACCCAGCGATACCTTTCAGCCCGAAGGACGGCTCTTCAAGAGACGACGTCAAAATCACCTGCGATGATCCACGTCAATCTCGGTGCACATAGTCAAAGTTGAAGCAAAGCCTCACGAAGAACAGATAGAAATTTCCGATGGAGAACCAAGAGAACAGCAGATTGACGACGTTGTAGACCATCTCGAACATCAGCGCCGTCTTACGTCCGAAAGAGTGCCCGGACCGCAGGATCTGGCCGACGTGCGCAACCGCGTACGTCGCCGCGAAGAACGACCCGTTGAGCCACCGTCGGCGCTGGCCAATGAACTCCGGCAGTGCATCCGGGACATCCGTGTGCGCCTTTGCCGATTTGACGTACTTGAGCACCCTGGGTAGACTATCAGCATATCACTGTACAGGGGAAAAAAGGGCGAGCCTACCAGTTGGAGTTCGCTTTGGCGATCAGCTCAAAGCACAGGATACGCTGAAACGACGACTTATGTCAGCGTCGCATTGTGAGGGCAGGTCGAATACACACATCTTCAGCGAGGTCTAAGAAGCCCGGTAAGCAAGGTGCATGGGCACGACAAATTTTTGACATACACATGTTCGACGTAAATATATCCGTGTCCCGTCCATGAAGGACCTCGCCCTTGAAGTAGGACGCCAATGGTCCGACGCCTGTTTTGTCGTTCAACAGGGCATGATACCGATATGCCGAAAACGCTCCGGGCTAGATCCACAAAAGACATGTCTTCAGTTCATCCCAGATGTAAGGAGTTAGGAAACGAAAAATTCACCAGCACACTGATGTAGCCAAATATAGACTCTGTCGGCTTGTCGAGGATGTTTGCAATCTTGTATTCGAAATCCTGGGCGGCAACAAGCGGGTTGAGGAGCTCGATCCAGTTCTTGCCCTTGTACGCTGCGATCTCGCCGCACGCGCCGGCTACGTTCGAGTTAAGGTCGAACGCTTTCCAAAGATGGTAGATGCTCTTTGGGCTTGGGCGTGTGCCGACGTCTAGCAGGACGCATACGTTAGGCTGTTAAGTACGTCACAACATTAACTTTAAGAAGTGCGCATTGGCGGGGTAAAGGCGGTGTTCTTACCTGCAACATGTTAGCGAACGCGTTGAAGAACCATCGATGGCTGTTGATTTTTTTCGCGTTCTTCTCCTTCATGCAGAATAGGATCTGGGTCGGAACCACACCCTTGTCCGGGTAGCGGAAGTGCAGGTTCGAGTCGAGGCCGAACGAGGCCGTGTACTCGAAGACGTGCGCCTGCGTGTCCTGTCGATTGATGGCGGACTTCATGTGATCTCCGGATTGGTACACGCCGAGAAGCGTGAGGCAGTCGAGCACGCGGGGGTGGATTTTGTGGCGTCCATCGGCGATGATGCAGACGACGACCTTTTGGATGAGACGATGTCAATTTTTTCCGAAGCGTACATGCGTTATGTTGTATATCGGGATTCTTACCTTCTTCCATGACTCGGGACCCCATGTCCGGGAGTTTTTCCGCGTACACAGGTGGGAAATGTTCTGCATGACGCCGTAGAGCGTACGCGTGAACAACACCTCGTCTTCCTGCCAACATTCAATCAGCATAGGACCGTCTACTTTGCTGTTTGTTCAGCGACAGCAAGAAGCTCACGTTGAACATCGTGATCGCGATAAATAACTCCGTCTGGCGCCCGTACTCGTTCTGGCGGAGGAAGAACCCGCGCCGCTCAAAGTCATCTGGGTCGCACGTCACGGCCGTGTACCGCGTCCTCCGCATTTCGGGCTCGTTGCCCCGCCCGAGCGGGAGGAGAAGCTTGGGAGGAACGTCGAGCTCAACGACGAGGTTACCCTTCGTGAGCGCGACCTTCTTCTTCACTTTGCGTAGCCGGCGCGTGATCCGCCCCGCAGGCGCGGGCCCGAAGTGGCGCGTGGTCGGGAGCGGCGTCGCGGGCTCGGTGCCTGAACGCGCCGCGGAGGACGCGTGCGAGCGCCCGGATTTTAAAGAGGGTTTGGTCATCTGCGACGCCGCGTCCGAGTCGGTCACGGACCCGTCGTCGTCTTCGTACGGCAGCTCCGGGACGACGTGGAGCACGGCGGGGCCCGTTCGAAGGAGCGGCTGCTGCTGCTTAGACGCAAACTTCTGCTGCAGGACGACGGCGGCCTTCTCGTAGTCCGCGTCCGGGTCGTGCGAGTACGCGGTCTCATACCCGGTCCACTGAGGGGCGAGCCCGGGCTGGTGACCGGCGTCGAACGAGTTGTCCTCACGGAGGGGCGTGGGTGATCGGGAACGCGCAGGTTGGTAAGACGCGCGGGAGTGTACGCCGGACGCGTAGGCTTCGACGTCGTACCGGAAGGAGTCGAAAGGGCTGCCTGTCGGCGTTGCGCCCTTCGCAGGTGAGCGGCGGAAAGGTGTAGAGGGCTGTTGTTGTTGTTGTTGTTGTTGTTGTTGTTGTTGTTGTTGCTGGTGTGGGGCGACGGAGGGGTAGCGGGATGTGAGCTCTGGGCTGTTGAGGTGGGTGAGGCCGGTGAGGTGTGAGGTGGCGGGCGGGACAGAGGGGTATCGTATTGATGGCGCATCGTTGTGAGACACGAGCCTGGGCGACTGCGTTGGGGGTACAGACGAGAAGCGTACGGCGCTAGAAGGTCGACTGGGGGTTGTGTCAAGAAATGGGTCCGCGCGCGGCGAATGGCCGGTCTTTTGGTGCTCCCATAGCAGTGGCTCACCCATGTCGATGGTGGGGAGACGCGGTGTGCGGTTGCCCCTGGCAAGCATGGCATAGTGTTCATCCTCGTCATCGTCTTTTGGTTCGGCGAGGTCGAGCTCCTGGCTGACGGCCGTCGCGCTCGTGCCGGACTCGGTGCTCTGAAGCGAGTTCGTCTCGGGGTCGTGGTTGGGCATAGCGGCTGTCTCCATCAAGCTGAACTGCATCGTCCGCGACGACGGACTAGTGGAGAGCAGCGCAGCACGTTCATTCTGTGCGTCGTTTGGTCTGACTGTTGTCGACGAGCGGGCGGAGGTGCCTGAGCGTGTTGATGGCGCTGGGGATCGCGAGAGGGGCAGGGGGATGTTGCGGGGACTAGTCATGTCTCGGTCTCGGAATTAAACGTGCAGGGGTTAGGTTGGCATTCAGCCAAGACCAGGGCAAGATAAACGCAAGCTGTTGCACTGCGCGCCAATTCAGGCGCGTTGAGTAGCATGTGATCGCGTTTTACCTTCCCACCCGTTCCTCTGTTTTCCTCGATCAATATACCCTCAGGATAGTTGTGCATCAAAACTCGATCTCTGGTCTCTGACATATATAGTACATGCTACACGCACCGCATCACGAACTACGAACTGCTCAGCAAGAACCTGCTTTCGACTCGTTATCCCTTGCTACCGGAGAGATCACGAAATACGGCGTTGTCAACACCAATGGAGCAAAATCGACTCGTCCGGCCGGGATTCAAAATCAGATTCCTATATGAATATACTGCGCCCATCGACTTGGATCGGGATTGCTCTCGCGCAGGCCCTGTACTGCCTTGTCCAACGCATATGGGACGTCGTCCGGTTCAAGACATTCCGTGTCGTCGCGCAATAAATCCTGGTACACAGACCTTGCGATGACTGGACCATCCATGTCTTCCATTGACCTGGTATGATTGATGTGAGTAGGCTACGAGTTACAACTTACGAGGCGCATCTGCATCCGCTCGTGATCGCTCACCACAGTGTAGCAATCACGCTCTTGAATCCGGCAAATAGCAAGGTCGCCGCCAGGTGGACGGCCTGATCCGGCTGATCCTGTAAAGTGCGTGTCACAACATAACTGAGGGGAACCCGCTCGAGCCTTACCTTATCTCCTCTAGCGGTCTCGCAGGCGCTCAAGAACGCCATGAACGCGTGCGGAAGAGGGATTGGCATCAGCATCTCTATCGTCAGCATCTTGTCTTGCATCACGAATCCGCTCTGTAACGGGTCCTCCGAGTGTTGATGGCCATGACACGCGAGGTGTAAGATTGTCGCATGAGGTAGTTTCTCCACCAGTTCCTCGGCCGTTACCCCTCTAACACCTTCATCGTTAACATTATCCGCAAATGTGATTGGGACGTTCGCCTCTACGGGAAGTATCGCGCGAATGACACCAACTTCCTCGCACGTAGAAAGGAGGTCACTCCAACCCTCCATGTCCGGCCGCGGGACGGCCACGACCAGCGCTCGAATGCCGTGCTTCTTCACTGGCGTGAACGATCTACGAGCATCGAGCAGGGCACCGAGGGTTGGCGTATAGGATGATACAATATAGTCTGAACACCATGTACCCTCAAAGCCCGCTGCATGGAGTGGAAGGTGCATGAACTGTCCCGTGGGGCACCACCATATGCGGGGACGAAGGCGACCCTTGGCCGGCTGCATGGTTGCAAGTGAACTCGTGCATGGACACGCGAGGGCGGATAATGACATACCTTCAGCTGAAGTAGGTCAAGGATCGGGCGTACCACGTCAACCCACAAGCAGCGCAGGATCTCGCCGGGGTCCGTTTGCCGATACTTGTGTTGCTTCTTCGAGATCTTCAGACGGTCTCTGAGAGCTGACCTTGCGTCCGCCATAGCCGACCGCCATAATGCGCCAGAGCTAACGAGCCATGTCTCTGTCAAATGCACGAGTGGTATGCTGATTGCGTCGCCGGACTGCTTGATAACGATGGCATGGCAGGCTATCATGCTAGATACCAGCACTACGACAGGGCCCCGCTCCGCAGTCCTTGCCAGTGACGAAAATTCGTCCGGAAGAAGAAAACGCCCCATGCCCTCCAGATTACGCACTTCTGCGAGGAGCGAATTGAACTCGTCTGTCTGTCGCCTCCTCTGAATGGCTTCTGCCTCCATGACTCGGGAATCCTGATCCGAATGATCGTTGACACGCTCGAGCTGTCGTGCCAAGGCCGATAGGCGACTTCGGTATGACTCTGGCACGTCATCGAAAGGAGAGCGCAGGCGTAGACTGTGAGTCCAAAAGACCGAGCGACCTTGTTCAAGCATCTCTAGTGCTTTCTCCGGAAATCCCAGGTTCAGCGCGTGGGATGCCCCTGCAAGAGTTACCTCTTGGCCTGCGGCTAAGGACCGGAGTCGCGATCGCAAGTGGAGGCCGAAGAATGCGACACGAGGGAGGAGGCCGATTATCTGGTCATAGACGTCAAGGAGCTGCAACGACGTTGTGCGATCGCTGATGGTATAGAAGTCCTGGTGGTGTTTCTGCATGGCACTGAGGATGCGCGTGGCACTTTGGACAACCAACCGAACATCGCGAAGTTGATCCTCTACTGACTCTGCGACATATTTCAAGGCAGATGAAAGGCTCCGGTAGGGTGTGCCGTGCTGAATGTATAGTTCGGCCATATCCACGAGAAATTGGTGTCGGTCATGACTGCCAGGGGGCACGCTGGCCCTTGCCGAGAGGTCGGTCATTATATTCCACGCGCGCATAGCATTGGTGGGATCCGCAGTCAAGCGAAACCTTGTCAAATGACATTTGGCAAACATTCGTAGAGAACGCGTGGCATGGCTAGGGTGCAGGGGTTGGCTAACAATCAGCTCCAACTGTTGAATAGCACGTTCCACGTCGCCGATATTGTCCCAATATTGACCACGCAGCAGTAACGCATTGGCCCAATGGTTAGCCGCTTCGGCTCTGTTAATATTATCCATGGGCAGTACGTCGAGTAATTCTTCAGCGCGTAGAACGGCCTCATCCAAATCCTTCGTCGTCTTCAGGATCTCGAATCGCGTGCACAGATGGGAGATAAAGTTGAGAGCCGCTGCGCTGTAATCCAAGTGTGTAGAAGGTATGTTCTTCGAGGCATGGCGATCCCATTCAATGCCTTCATCGAGATCCGCCATTTCTCTACCTTCGTTGAAGCGAAGAATCAATGCATCTGCCAAGTTCCGCGCAGAGTATTGCCGATGCGGGTGGCTAATTGGAAGGGCATCCACAGATGTTCGACTTAGCTGTATCGCTTCTTCCAAATCATCCGGGTGTCCGCTCCAGGCAAATCGCAAACGCAAAGTATTGGCAAGGTTGAGATTTACCTGCCATCTGGACGCGGCTTGAGGAGGCGTGACTGCGAAGCATTCCCTGAGTAATTTGACCGACTCATTGACATCGTGTCCGTCCGTGTTGGATAACATGAGCTGGTGGCGAACATTCAAGAGATTAGCCACTGTATTTAAGACTGATGGAGACGGATGGCGATTAGATGAATGGAAGATTTGGAGTGCTTGTTGGCCAAGTTGAATAGCTTTGTCCATATCATCGAGGTTCCCTGACTGGAGTGATTTAAGATACAACGGCGCGAGCATATAGCTCATTATCCCTCCCCTGTCGATGTGCGTGGCGGGGCAGAGTCTCAGGGCCTCCTCAAGAGCAGAAATAGCCTGTTCGAGGTCATGCACATCACCCAATGATTCATAACGACGAGACCGGTACCAGCCAAGGCGACGCAGATGCCGATGCTTGTATTGACTCTGGTACGGCAGCATTTCTGCTAGTGCACGCTGCTGTACTTCAATGGCTTCGTCGAGATAGTTTGCTGAACCAAGTTCCTCGAAGCTCCGATAGATGATCGAACTCAGTGAACCCAAGGCCCATACTCTCCGAGCATGCCCAGCCTCGCATGCGGCTATGGCGTCTTGACATAGCGAAGCGGCGATCTTCCGTTCTTCAATTCTAGACGTGTTGTTGGCGTGGAACTCCAGTATTTGCGCATACCGCTCGAAGACGATCGGACAAACCAACTGCTCCGCCTTGCATAGGTCAAGGGCTGCTTGGCCAAAAATCACCGCAGAGTCCAAGTCACTGCGGTCATCAGCGTAGCTGAAGCGGTCGATATACGCGCCCGCAAGTCCAATGAGAACATGATATTTCTTGAAGAGTAGCCGGGATGACCTGATGCCATCTGGCTGTTGAAGGGCAAGGGGGCACGGCGGCGCCGCGTTGTCAAGTTCTGCTAAGAGTGCCCTGAAGGTTTCAATGCAGCGCCTTGCCGAGTTAAGGTCACTTTGCTGACAAAACCGTTCATGGAGGTCTAAGGCTTCAGCGAGACGACCCGCAGGTTCTCGACGTTTCACTGCCGTATAAGTATGTACAGTGTTGATCGCGAAGGGTATGCGCAAAAGCAAGGGCGTACCTGCAGCACACCCACATCGGACACGTCGCTGATTGCCTGGGTCGTGGAGAGAATCGGGTTCTTGAGGGCGAATGTTATGGTTGAGCTCATTCGTTGTATACGATGGGCAAGCTATGGATGACAGAGATGTTTGCACCGTGAGCTCATGTCACCAGAGGAGGGCGGAATGAGACGTACGGTCCACCACAAGGGTTTGGCCCCCAAGTACGTCGTTCAAAGCCATTGGGGGAGTTGGTGAGCCATGGAAAGACGTCCACACGCATGTATTATACCCGATAGTCGCCTGCTCCCACTGCCCTACACAGATAGGCACAGTACGAAGTGTTGGTGCCAGGACCGTAACAATGGCAATGCTGGTACTTCTCTCCGGTAAGACACGGGCATCGTGATATCAGTCTATCCGAAGGCGCAGCAGACCAAACCAAGTCCAGGTTGCGAACATCCATCCAAAATGGTCACCAGCAAGTGCAGTATCGGAACAGGGAACACAGCCAAGCAAGATCAGAAGCATCCGATGACCCGCGCGCGGTCCAATGAACAATCGCTGACGCCAACACATCGAACAAACCTGATTCTATAGGTTATTGATGGAGGTTATTGTTAGTAGTATTGAGTACTGAGTACTTGCACATGCAAGCGGCGATGACCGAGGCGCGCGATGTTGACTTTTGTTTGTTTAGCCATAACCCGCGTATCACTCACTTGTATGTTGTAACTTGTCTGACTGACTACTGTACTAGTAGACAACCATCGCTGATCCCTCGGAGAGTTCCAAAACTATGGATCACACCGCATGTTAGCTCTCCCATGGACCGACGGAAGGCGGCGAAACCGTGTACAGCGAATCCTGTTTTTGAGTTCAGGCAGTTCCCAAAGTGCACCTTCGCTCGTGCATGTGCAACATACTAAGATACGGAATGTCCACGGGCGGCAGAGTTGATAAGAGCCTAGGCCGTGAGCAGAGGGCAGGGACTCATTGACTAGCGAGAGGAACCCGTACGGCGACTTGATTGAGCTGCGTTTCCACGTACTCATGAAGTAAGTTACCTCAATCCACAGCTGGGTCGACATCGATGTATTCCTTGCTAGGAGTGGTGTGAGGCGGCGGACGGGACGGAGAAGTATTGAACCAATGGCACATCATCCGAGTCGGTAGAGACCAACATGAACGATTGCGCTAGGAATACGGTGCACGGCGCCGGTCGACTGGGGATTGTGTCGAAAAACGAATCCTCGCGGTCCGAATGGCCGGTCTGTTGATTTCCTGACGGCTGCTCGCCCATAAGATATATGGCATTTCGCTTATAATCCTCCTGGCCCTTCGGTTCGGTGAGGACGCGCGCCTAGCTGACGGCCGTCGCGCTCGTGTCGGACTCGGTACTCTGGCTTGAGAGCGAATTCGTTTTGGGGCCGCGGATAGGCATGCCGGTGTATCGTTCGCGACGATGAGCTTGTGTATAGAAGAGCAGCGCGTTCATTGTGGGTGTCGCTTGGTCTGGCTGTTGTCGTCGGTCGACGAGCGGGTGGAGGTGCCTGAGGGTGTCGAGAGCACTGGGATTGCGAGAGGCAGGGAGACGTTGCGGGGGCTAGCCATTTGTGTGTCTCAGAAGTAGTTACGCACGAGTTAGCTCGGCATCCAGGTAAGACCAGACAAACGCAGGCTGTTGCAGGCTGTTGCACTGCACAACCTCCGCGAACGGACTCGGACGTTGAGTAATCGCGTTTCATGTCCCACCTAATTACCACACCCCGCGCTCTGTCTCTGTGTCCTTCTTGAACTTCACGATAACCCTTGGCTCCACATATCCAAACTCCGGGCATTTATATAGCAGATGTTACACACAGCGCATAACGAACACGCAGCGACTCCACTGCTCAACAAGAACATGCTTTCGACTGCTTCTCGCAGGAACAGTTGCTACCAGACCCTCCACAGGAGCACTAGTTGAAAACATAGTATCGTCAAAAGGCACGCATATATGCATTGCCACGGACTCACGTTCTGCGAGTGAGCCTTGTTCGTGCATTCCTTGCAGTTGCAGGTTCCTTTGGCGCACGCGCAGCCTGTGCCCTGAGGACCGCAGGACCTAAAGCACGCCGGCGTATCGGTCGCCAGGCCCTGAATATCGTCGGCGACAAGCACTCACTGGCAAGCGTTCTGGCAAGTGCAAGTGTTGACCATGACGTCGTATATTGTAGTGATTGGGAGTTAATGAGTTGCTCAGTAACTTGACGGGTTGGGGAAACTGCTCTGAAACCCCTCCTCTCCAGGTTATATACCTCTTCCCCCACAGCACCTGCATACTCTACTCCATCGTGTGGCGTGCGCTCCCACGAAGCGCCTCAGAGACATCATACATGCATCACAGGGGTCAACGGGGGCAGAGATGAGGCCAAGGTTTCTCTCCGAATTGTCCTCGGCGTAGAATGGATTCTGAAGAGGTCGGGCATCTTCCAAAGTCTGCAGACAACATCATGGTCAGGCAGTGCTCTCTGTCCCGGTTGGTCGCCGCAAAGCTGTCAAGCTTGCGTCGAACGAAAGCATATCGTAACTTCGGCGGTGAGTCCCAATACATGTCCTGCATACGTCATACCGCGCCCCAAGTCACTGAGAGCGCGCTCGGCTGGCTTCAGGTTAGCTCGTGACCCGCCGAATCGCCCTCCTCCAGTTGCCGCATCCACTTACAGCAGAGCACACATCACTGCGAGACCGCGCCTCGGGTCTCTCACACTGAGGGCTCGCCGATACAAACGAGTAGGATGATGACCTCGTTCGACGTGGCCCTGCAAGCCGACCTTCCAGACGGCACGCACATTCGATGGTACGACAGCTGGGCGGGAAGACGGGATACCCCTGCGAGATACCGCACTATCCTCGGGGTCCACGGAGTCTGCTTCAACTCCAGTTGAGCGCTGTCCACGGCCCCCCTGCGTGAACCGGGCATTCACCTCGATCCGCACTACAGACATTTGGAGGCCGATTCTGCCCCACCTTCCCCTGGATGTCCGATTCATAGCGTTCAATCAGCGGGGGTACGACGGGTCGTCCCCGTCTCTTGAAGGCAGCGGCATGCCTAAGCGGCAGATGACAGAGGAATACGCCACTGGTTTCGCGTTGTTCATTGACCATATCGTGCACACCCTCGGGCTGCCGTCGACTTCGGATGGAGGAGGGATCATCCTCTTAGCCTGGTGAGCCGTGAAGCTCATTCGCATGATGCGTACGTATCGCTAACATTTCCTGTATCGTCAGGTCCAAAGGCTCCGTCCTAACTACAGCGCTCCTCTCCCGGATGCTCGATCCGACCCAGCCTCCCCTTCCTTCCCCCATCCACACGCACCTCGCGGCCGTGCTTCTCTTTGAGCCCCCCAGCTCACTCCTCGCCCGACGCACGCCCGACCTCGACAGCGCCCTCGGCCCGCCAGGCAGCACCCCCGCCGAGGCCGCCTCTTCTTTCCTCGGGTGGTGCGCGTCCAACCCTCTGTCGGACGAACAAGCGGCCCTGGCGCGCGCCGCGTTCGAGCCCCGCAACATCACGCACGGGTTCGAGTGGGGGCTTGCGGCTGAGACAGCGGCGCGCACGCTGCGCGACGCTGCGGTGCCGATCGGTCTGCTCGTCGGCACGGCGACGCGCGGGTATTTCGTCGATGCGGCGGGGGCGATCGCTCGGGCTTGGAGCGGTGCCCCGAACGCGCGCGTGCGGGTCGGGCTAGAAGGGGCCGATCACGTCGCTATGGTCGCGATGCCAGAGCGGTTTGCCAGAGCGGTGGTTAGTGTCAGCGAGACGGTGGCGCCTGGTAAGCTCAGTAAGTCGCGCTTATGAGATAAGGGATTGGGGTGTTTCAGGCAGCCGCTGTTCATAAAAGAGTACTGGAAGTGCAGACGACAGACGCCGTGGGCACGCATGGCAAGCAATATACGAGTACAACACCCTTTGTGAGTCCGGGCTATCGCGAGCATGTTCATTATATGCATAAGGTCTTCCACCCAAGGCCTCGCAGGTCAAGATGGTGTCAAGCAGTGTAGAAAGCGCAAGTACAACAGTCCCTACGCAGCGTTTTGAAACTGTAAGCTGGAGCAAAGTAGAAAATGGCTATAACGACGTGTTTGTGCGACATAATTACGCAACTCAGCGCAGCCTCCTTGAGTGATGTCGTCGATTAGTCTAATCTGGCGAGCGACGCATCAAAAATGTCCAATGTTTGACAAACCCGTTGAGCAGCCTGCTCTTTTGCGGCATCTTGACTCTGTCCCTCGCCTCTCCCAAGGGTCATACCACCGATTGAAAATGGTATGCGTCAAGTCATCTGCCGCTGAGGAAAGTGCAAACGAGCATGCTGACCCGTTGCTTGAGCCGACCAACCATTGCCGTTCGGGACAGTCATCCATTGCAGAACTGTCGCATTGCCGTAAGTCGCTTCCAAGTAATCAACGAGAATCTTTCTATAGCTACTGCCTAGATATTCCTGTGTCAGAATTTGCTCGCAAGAACCGGGCGTGGTCGTGAGGGCGATCTCACTACGTTCGAAGATCAATGTTGCAACTAAATTACCATGATCAATTTCCGCCAGACTCAACGATGCGTTGAGAGTACGCGCATTGCCCTGCTACGCGCGTTGGGCTGCGATATGCGAAGGTATCTATCCATATCTTCGCTGATCATTCCCTAACGAAGCGTTAGCACCCTGAGAAACTCAATTTATAGGAAGTATCGTTGCCTACTGCTGTCAATAGTCGCAGCTCTTCATGGGATGTAAGGGTATATTGAGCTTCAGGTTGACACTGGTGATACCGTGAGCAGCTGCACAGAACACAACATCGCGGTAAGGTACCTCAAGTAAGTAGTCAAGCAAGCAATCCAAGGGGCCGCGGTTCTATCAGAAGTCAGTGCCTGAAAATCAGATTCATGCGAAGTTCAATTCACTTGTTCATCATGTGGTTCATTCCCTATTCCCAATCCGCTTTCATCCGAGGCAGCTAAAGGATGTGGACGCCCGAGGCTGTCTCTTCTTTTCCCTTCATCATCGGTGTCCGCAGCGGCTTTGACCGAGATCCCCACCCACCGGCGCCGGCGCGCTATGTAGTATCGGACGAAAACAGTTTGGTCTCCACGCCGCTCCGTATGCAAGGGTAAATCCTTAAGATCGTGAGTAAAATGTGCTGAAAGGACGAAGGGAAAGTGTTCACTAGAATGACGACATGTTTAGAGGCATGGGCATGGATCTGTAAACAGGCTGTGCTACCTACCCGTAGAGATGCTATCTGGGTTTGCGATATCGCTCCCTCTAGTAATGGCCAGCGATGGGAGTGGTCCTGAGAGATGCACCACGGACACAGCACCGTGCCATATATGCATGAAACAGTCGGTAAAAGCCGCCGTCGTTTGCATCCACAAAGCCAACGTCGCCTATAAGCACTTCTCCAGGACCATGCCCTTCAATTAATACCGGTTCTCCGGCGCGGATCTTGACGATCAAACGTCGATCGCAGGCGAGTCGCACTCACGGCTTCCACATCGGTCTACCGAGGCCTTTGCGTTCGAGTTCTTCTGCGTAGATATGCCACGCCGCCGAGGTAGCCATGAACCGCACAGAGAACTATGCAGGTAGACGCGTAGGAGAATGAATTCAGTCACGTCTGCATCGACCTCCATATAAATACCGGGGGCGGGCGCCAGGCGATTGCCGGCGTTACATAGCATACACAGCACATATCAATGAATGTGGAAATAATTCCAAAGCAGGTTGCGGCGCGCTGGCAGTCTCGCGGCCTCAGTCCGGGGGACAAGACGCTCAGCTGGTTAGAAGTAGCGACGGACTCCATGTGTATTGAGTAGTGGATAGACTGGTTATCGTTCGCTTCGATGTTGGAGGTAAGGTTGGAGTCGCCGAGAGATCAAGAGAGAATCACCCTGGCGTTAAGAAGGAATAGGACACCCGCACTGCCCCAATATTCTCTTTGAGCGTTACTTCATGCAGAGCGCTCTCGCTTTGTACAAGACATGCGAAGGAGTCCAAGGAACGAATCCGACGTGTCTAGTAGAAGGAGTGTGTCATACGCTATGAAAGACCCCATTCATTCTTGATCAGGTCAGAACCACGTTCCTGTGAAGCTGAAAAGTCGATGTATGTCCGAAATGAATGCCCGACGTACCGCTATGATGTAGATGGGAACCTGAGTATGAGCACTGGGAATAAATGGCTGCGCAACGTGAGCATAGCAAGGAAGGAAGGAATGCGGAGGCTTTACCAAGACGCTGCCGTCGATGATGCGCAATCCCTGTGCCCCTTTGACTTTGAGGTCAGGGTCCACGCATCCGCTGACCGCATCTCTGGCTGTCATCCGACAAGACCCTACTGCATGCCAGATCTTCTCATGATCAGAAGTTGCGCGTTGGTCATAATGGTTGTAAAGCGTACCGTTCTTGCGTTAGCGCGTGCATATGCAATGATTTCGACATCATTCGAAGCATTCTTAAAAGCGCCAAACTCAGAGATGATATACCCGTCCCATGCGGGGGTTGCTTCGACAAAGCGACGAGCTGATTTAATGGCGCGCAACATGATCTGGGCATCAAACTCGCTGGCCAAGAGTCCGGGATCGATGACCGGCGGGTGGAACGGATCCGAGGAGTTTATCGTGATGGTTCCTCCTACAGGCAATGTCAAGATTGTTGCTATCGCGTAACGGCTCTACGAGACCTTACGTGATGTGGGAGATATCAGCGCCGTATTGATAGTGAAGAAGTTCCCAGGACCCGGTGGGTTAGCAGTAAATCCGCTCTGAGAAATCTACTAAGTAGGTTAATGTCAGAGAGATAACTAGACACTCACCGAGAAGAGAAATTCATAATGCGCGGAATGCGGCCCTGAAGATGGGTCGGGCGCATTGGCGAATATTGGATCTCGATCTGCTACGCGTAGCCAGGCCACCTGTGTGGAGCCAGAGAATGCAAACGGGCCAGTCCTGCTCGCGTTCCACTCGGCAAGTGCCGCGTCGAAATTCGTTTGGTTGTCGAGGAATTTCGCGAACGTTAAGTTCGTGTTTACCGTCCACGGAAGGGCCACGAGGGGTTGATCAGATACGTGCTGCCCAACGTCAGGCAGATCGATAACGGGAGTGATGTTGAGATTCGATAATGTCACTGGATCACCGACACCGGACAGGAGGAGTAGCTGAATATAGAAGAATTAGTGCCTACAGTAAGGATATACATATTAATTACCTGTGGCGTATTGAACGTCCCAGCAGCAAGTATAACCTCCTTACTGGCAATCGAGATATGTCGAGTGTCTGGAAGTCGTTGAGCATTCATCATGGGTTTCTGCAACATAACACTCACCAATATCATTCGATGCAAACTCAACAGCATCAAATCGCGGCGGATTATCCGAACTTCTTGACTGAATTTTCGTAACTTGAGCACGTAACACAATGTGGAGGTTCCTGCGTAAGAGAACTTCCTTAGGAAGATACGCAGTTGCAGAGCTACTGCGCTCCCCGTTGTCAATCGTGGCCTGAACCCAGCCTGCCAAACATACATCAGCGTGGCAAGAAACATCGGGTGACTAGGGGTAGGCTGACCGACTCCCAAGGGATTCCCGTCATTGTAATCCAATTTGAATGGATACTCCACCGGGAGGTAATTGAGTGTTTCTTGCACGTGAGTAACTTGGGGCCATAGGAACTCCGGCAAGCTGACGCTGACGCGACCAGAGTAGGAGTGAACGCGCGGATTGTAACGGGGATCATATTTGGTCGGTCTTGGAGCCATAAACCCTTCATTCTAGGACATACATGTGACAACAGACGTGCTCGCATTGGGGAAGGTCAGCTTACGCGAAGGAAGTAGGTTTGAACATTGTTCCAATTCCATCCTTCGTCTTGAGTTAGCTCTGCGTACTTGTTCCAGTCGTCATCCGATCCCCTGGTATACACCATAAGATCTGTATATCTGAGTTAACGTACGACGGTTCGGTACATGAACTCACTAATGGAGCTGCTCCCTCCGAGCAGCTTGCCACGGGCGTATGGGATCTGTCGACCATTCAAGCCTGGCTGGGGCACGGTCGTGTAATTCCAGTCGTACTGAGTTCCCCAGAGGCGCGCCGCCAGGAGCGGTACTTCTGAGTCAAGCACGCCCGTGTTCCTATTGTGAATGACCATCGTTACCTCAAGACAGATCGAAAGGATCATGGCTACATACGATGCGCCCGCTTCTAGCACGAGGACTGAGATGCGAGGATCCTCGGACAACCTGACATGCCCCATGAGCGCAAGGACAAACACTGAATTGTTGAGTACCTGTTGGCAACAACAAGGCCTGCAGTCCCGCCTGCCCAGTTCAAGCTCAGCAAAGCGTACGGAGAGTAGGGACTCGAAGGGAGTTCGTTACCACCAACAACGATGAAGTCAAAAGTCTTATTCGAGACCTCAGAAGGATCTGCATAGAGCAGAGCATACGTTGAAAACACGAAGAACAACATAACCACCAAGAGCAGCATGGTGGACCTTGCTGGACACGCTGCAGCTTAAACGCTCCGTATTATGCGCGCTGTACCACTCCGAGTTCCACGGACCATGCGAGAAGCCTGACCATGTGCGCTCCCCAGTCTTGGCTCTGAGATGCACCGGAAGGTGCCAATTGTTGGGTGGAATCCGCGACAGAATGAGCGGGGTTGATTGAGTTCGCAGTGCGGGATGTAACGTGACTATGCTGTGGCTCGATGCAGATGGAAGTGCCTCAGATAGTGAAGAAGTCCATGTAGTCATTGGGGATCAATAGTGATTGTGAACCACATGATACTGACCACGATACCTGGTAGGTAGTAGGTAGGTAGTTAGGTAGTATTAACCGGCGCGGTCCCAATACCGGAACAGCCGGGCCCCAGGGCCTCGCACTAGTGGCGAGCCGGGACACCCTGGTATTCCGTGTCTTGCTCAATCAGCTTTATTCAAAGTCCCCTTTCTCAAGCCTAAGTATATGCTCCGTGTCGCCCTACTTGCTATCCGCGGGCCATAAGATGACCGAAGCAAGCACAAAACAGTGTGTCCAGTTATATGCATAGCTGCTGCATGGGAATAGGAGGAAAACTTTGGTGAACGAGTGTAACCGCAAGGTGCTCAGTTTTGTTGGAATAGTCGAGCATATCGTTCCGACGCAGCAGAGAGATGACCAGCCATCCATTGCTTCAACTTCAAAAGCGAAGGTCAGAGTCGCTTATGAGGGACCGTCTCAGGAAAGTCTCGTTCGCGTCTAAACGCGTGTCAAATCAAGACAAAACAGGACGAAATCAGCCTCCAAATTCCATCCATGACGGCAACGCATGGCCCCATTACATCGTTCAATCATTCGCTGCTGAAAATCTGCCACAATTTGCCATAGATCAAAGCGCATATCATGGCCTATATACTATGCTTCTCTATTGTCTATCATCTGTTCAGCTTAGAGGGCCTGTTCGAAATGTCCCCCCGATTTCACGTCCCAGAGCCGCCTCGAGACGTCGTCGACGCCTTGTTCCTCCTCGAACTCGATAAGCACCCTGTATTCTTCGCTGAAGTCAAACCTCCGGTCAGCTTCATCCTTAGTTCCAAACGAAAGCAGACGGACGAGCAAATGCGGGACCGCTCAGTGTCATCACTCTCCTCGTCTTTTTACCACGAATTCGTTCGCGTTCTCCTGGGTTATCCGGATGTGTGTGCCCATTCCATGGCCTAAGTCCTGGCACTTCCCGCTCGCAAAACGGCCTTTGGTACCGCTTCGAAAGTCGTCTGACGCTCTAACTTGTCATCCAACGTCTCGATGCACGTGGTGAGGTTGACTGCTGGCTGCATGCTTGCAATTGGCCGCGATGCGCCCGCCATATTAGCCCCATTCGCGCTTGAACTGCAGGCGGTCGTCGTATGCATATGCATCCCAATATAACGATGTGCCAGTATGGTATGGTTATACTTGCCAATCGTTAACCCTGGAGCTTGTGGTGCAGAGTAGTGCGGACTGATACACACCAGACACCTGGCGAGACTGTGTTGACACCACCAGTGACATTATTGCCAGAAACGCGAAGCGCCGTATTATATCGGGGCATTAACGCACCATAGACTAGCGGTACATCCAGAAAAGAGGGAGGGTATCAAATATATAACACATCGGTCTATGTAGCGGCGAAGCAAATCCAAACGAGGGATCCGTGGTGGATGGCATAACCTCAAGCAGCGGCCCTCGTCACAAACAGGGAGATAGGGGGGGCTACGGCGGATGCGACGCCCCCGAACTCGAACTCGACCTCGCCGCGAGCGGCGGCGGGCTCCTCGGCGTCAGCTGCGTCTGGCTGAACACCTTCAGCCAGTCCTCGCCCATATCCTTCCTCAGCGCCTCGATCCGCGCCCGGTACGCGTCCGCCTCCTTCACGGGGTCCACCGCCTCCGCCTCCCCGTCCGCCGGCTCCGGCTCGCGCTCGAACGTGCTCGCCGACACGCGCTGCCGCCGCTTGGCCGAGCGCGACGCGAGCGTCGCCGAGCGCTGGTGCTGGCCCTTCGTGCCCTTGAACGCGAGCGACGTCGTCGGCGAAGACGCCTCCGGGATCGCGGCGTCCGGGCCGTTGAACGGAGAGGCCGTCGACGGGAGGGGGGCGTACTCGGTGCCGTAGCGGCTATGCCTGTGGCCCAGCTTGGGACGGATGCGAGGCGAGGAAGGACCGGGGTCCGGCAGCGGTCGGAGAGACTTGGGCGCGGGGGGCGGGTCCTTGGGCGGCGAGGACGGACCGGGCGCGGGCGGCGTCGGGCTCCGCGCGCTCTTACCGTTTCCCAGCGCCGTCGGCGCCGCCGCCGCTTGACGCGGCCTGACAGGGGCGGGAGACCCCGCGTCTCCGCCGGCCGACAGCACGCGCGCGTGCGCCGGCCCGCGGCTCCCGCTGCGCGACCGCGCCGCGTCCGCGTCCGCCTCGCTGTGCAGGTCCACGATCCGCTTGATTTTCTTCTTCCTGCCGCGGGGCGCGGCGGAGGCGGCGAGGTGCGGCGAGGGCGCGGCCGTGGACGGCGGCGAGGCGGTGCTCGGCGCGCCGCTGGGGCCGACGCGGGGCGTGTGCGACGGGGAGCGCGAGCCGACGGCGACGACGGGCGGGGACTGCGCGACGGACATGGGGCGGGAGGACGCCATCTGCTCCGGCGGGAGCGCGGGCATGTAGCGCCGCTCGTAGAAGCCGGCCGGGGCGCCGTCGAGGAGGACGTCCTTGCCCTCGCGCCAGAAGAACTCGAAGCAGCGGACGCGGTGCGGCTCCTCGAGCTCGACGAGCGGGTTGCCGGCGACCCAGACCTCGCGGACGTTGGGGAGCGTCGCGAGCCGGCCGACTTCGGCCGCCTCCTCGACGCGGTTGTGGCGGATGTCGACGCGCTCGAGCGCGCGGAGGCGTTCGAGGCCGCAGAGCGAGTCGAGCCGGTTGCGGGAGAGGTTGAGGGCGGTGACGGAGCCGAGATGGGTGTAGATGCCGAGGACGGAGTCGATCATGTTGTCGGAGAGGTCGAGCGAAGCAAGCGAGTAGAGCGCGGCGAGGCCGGGCGGGACGGAGACGAGGAGGTTGGAGGAGAGGTCGAGGTGGGTGAGGGCGGTGAAGTAGGTGAGCGGGGCGGAGGGGATGAAGGTGAGCGCGTTGTCGGCGAGGGAGAGATGTCGGAGGGAGGACCATTTGTACGGCGGGAGCTTCTTCTCGTCGGAAGGGTCGTGCTCCCCGTCCTCGTCTTGCTCGGCGACGGTTTCGGGGAGGGTGGTGCTGTAGAACGACGCTTTGGACGAGAGACGGCGATGGCGCATGCGGCTGCCCGTTTCCTCCCGTCGGGCGATGTCGTCCAATACCGCAGCGACGAACACGTCGCTCACGTCCTCGACCCCGCTGCGTGTGATCGTGAGACTGACGAGGGGGTCGGCGAGCCTGTCCCAGCCGAGGAGCGCGCGGGGGTCGATATCGGCGCACTCGAGCGTTTGCAGGTTGCGGAAGGCGTAAAGCGGGAGCGCGTTCTCGTTCGGCGGGTCGTCGGCGAGCTCCGCGATGACCTTGGGTCCTGGCGCGCGAAGTGCGAGGGCGGGGACCTTGTTGAAGCAGCTGAAGAGGTACTTGAGCTCGGCATCGACCGAGGGCACGGCGGTCTTGCCGGCGGACCACCAGCCGCCGCCGAGGGAAAGCTTGGAGATGCCGGAGAGAGAGGAGCGGAAAGAGGAGGCGAGGGAGATCGCGTCCGACGGCGGTTTCTCGGCGAGGGGAACGGCGTGGTAGGCGAGCGGACGGGAGGGGTTGTCGACGCGGGTGTCGAGCGAGCCGACGTCGAGCCCGAGGGCCTCGAAGCGCATGAGGACGTAGAAGAGCCGGTGGGTATCGAGGGTGAGCGTGACGGGCTTGACGGCGGAGGGGTCGGGTGCGGCGAACCAGGCGAGGGGGTTGAGCGCGGAGGCGGCGGCGTCGAAGGGCGAGGAGGGCGGCTGCTTCGTGGGCGGGCGACGCCGCTTGGTGAAGCCGCCCTGTGCGAGGGCTTGCTCGTTGTTGCGCACGAAGGACGCGAGGCGGCGGATGTAGTCGTCGCCTGGCTCGCGGTCCATGGCTGGTCACTGGGCGTCGGTGGTCAGGAAGGACGGGGTGAATGAGGACGGCAGGGCCATGGAGAGAGAGCACGCACGTCACTGCCGCGCGGGTAGCGTCGATGCGGGCGGGAGCAGCTGCCGCCGCGAGTCGAGTCGGCCCAGTGAGCCCAACAAGGCCCTGGGTGTAGCCCGATGAGACAGCTGGAGGCGACGAGGGAGACCACACGGTAGTGCACACAACAGCGAAAGCAGGCGAGGGCAGCACAATCCGGCTCTGCTCAGCCGCTCCTGCAGGCGCGAGGATAACACACCACCGAGCACGTGCGCGCTATGGCGTCTGCAGAGGACTACGCGTCCACCCTGTGTCCGTCTGCGATCTCGACTTGGACCACCACCTCCTTCATCACCCACCATCCCACGACGGCCTGATACCCGGGCACGATCCGATCCGAACGACGACCAGAGCCAGAGTCCCTGATCATCATGGTCAAGCTCACCGTGAAGACGCTGCAGCAGAAGGTGTTCACGGTACGTAGGTGCAACGGCGCGATCGCGATTGGAACATGCCGCGCATCGCAACAAACTCTGATTTGGCTGTGGATTGCAGATTGAGGCGGAGGGCACGGAGACGGTCGGCGATCTGAAGAAGAAGATCCAGGCGGAGCAAGGGCACGATGCCGCTACCCAAAAGCTCATCTTCTCCGGTCAGCGTCCTCTCTCCCATCCCCACCCTCATCTCTTCCCGGTCGCTTCTGCTGACCCGCATATATGCTACCACAGGCAAAGTCCTTCCCGACGAGAAGGTGGTGGAGACGCTCAACATTAAGGACAAGGATTTCCTCGTCTTGATGGTGGCGAAGGTACGCAGGCTGCTGCCGAATGTGCTCCCTCGTACTCAGGCTCGCACCCATCTATAGCCCAAACCCACACCCGTCACACCCGCCGCAGGCTCATCAAGCACACCCGCCGCCGTACCCGCCGCCGCGCCCGCTCAGCCAGCGCCCGCACCGGCAGCGCCCGCACCGGCAGCGCCCGCACCGGCGCCGGCAGCCCCGTCACCAGCGCCTGCCGCGGAGGCCGCTGCCCCTGCTGCCCCCGCCGCAGCGCTGCCGGCGTTCGGCGACATGTCCTCCTTCGTCACGGGCGACGCGCTGCAGCAGAGCATCAACGGCATGATCGAGATGGGCTTCGAGCGCGAGCAGGTCATGCGCGCACTCCGCGCCAGCTTCAACAACCCCGATCGCGCCGTCGAGTACCTCTTCAACGTACGTCGCGTTTTCCTCCGTTAAACCCAGAATACGGTCTAATCTGGATACATCGTCGTAGGGCATCCCCGCGCACCTCGAGCAAGCGGCCGCAGGAAACGTGCCCCCGCCTGCAGCACCGGCAACAGCAGGCGGCGAGGCCGCTCCTGCAGCAGCCCCCGCCCCCGCCCCCGCAGCCCCCGCGCCTGCGGCCGCCCCGCAACCTGCCCCGGCGTCGAACGCGCCCCAGAACCTCTTCCAGCTCGCACAGCAGCAGCAGCAACAACAACACCAGCACCACCACGGCCCTGGCGCCGGCCTCGCCGGCCTGGGCGGCGCGGGGGGCCCCGGCGGCGCGTCGGTGCAGCAGCTGCGGGAGCTGGTGGCGCAGAACCCGGCGCTGCTCCAGGGCTTGATCCAGCAGCTGGCGGAGAACAACCCGGAGCTCGCGAACCAGCTCGCGAACAACCCGGAGATGCTGCTCCAGGTGCTCGCCGCCGCGGGCGCGGAGGGGCTCGGCGACGACGACGAGGGCCCGTTGCCGCCCGGGGCGCAGGTCGTGCAGCTCACGCAGGAGGAGATGCAGTCCGTGCAGAGGGTGCGTGTTTCGGTTCAGGTCTCTTTTCTTCCGAACGCGTCTCGCTGACGACGTTTACGGCGGGGCGTTTGGGTTTATTGTAGCTCGAGCAATTGGGATTCTCGAGGCAGGCGGTGTTGGAGGCCTACCTCGCGTGCGACAAGAACGAGGAGCTGGCGGCGAATTACCTGTTCGAGAACGGCGGGTTCGACGGTTGAGTGTGGCTTTGTCCTGAGAGTGTCGTGTGGCGTGTCTGGCTGCGGGACAGTTGCCTCTTTGGGTGCCGTGGGGGGGAAGGCTCGAAGGAGACGGTTATTGTTGGCTGCCTGCGCCGATGCATATGGCTATCCTGTGCGCTTGTCTCTCTCTCTCTTGTGTCGATAAGTAATGGAAGTACGAGCTGTCGTAAAGATGTGTAAAAAGCTGGTATGCGTGTGGTCACTGCAATGCTTAATGAGCCCGGTGTGCCCGAGGAGGATCGCCCAGCGGCGGTGAGACAGCGAGAGTCAGACAGCATCGCCCCAAGGCGGAGGTTACCACGCGAGCGCCTACTGCCACACTCTGGACGCGCGCACGACGGCAGGGTCACCATCATTGTTCTCGCTACAAAAGGGCACCAGGACCGCAAATATGACCGGCCCTCCGCCGTCTCACTCACGCCCTTCTCGTTCCACCACCACCATCACCACCACCGCCCCGCCCCGATGCTCGGGCGCTTGCCTTTCGGACTGTTAGCCCTCGTCGTCGGCGCGCTCGCCGCCGCCGACTCGAAGGAGGGCTCCGTCGCGGACTACGCACCGCAGACCAACCTCGCCTGCCCGGACGTCTCCGCGCAGCCGCTCGTCCGGATCTTCACGCCGAACACGCAGGAGCTGAACGCGCACGAGCAGGCGTACGTCGCCGCGCGGGAGGCGCAGGCGATCCCGCGCGCGTGGACGGACTGGGTCGGCGACGGCTCGGCGATCGGGTACGACGTGAGCGCGTTCGCCGGCGGCGGGAAAAACTGGAGCCGGGTCGGGATCGCGATCAGCGGGGGCGGGTACAGGGCGGCGCAGTACGGCGCGGGCGTGTTGAGCGGCCTGGACGCGCGGAACGAGAGCGCGAAGGCGGCGGGCACCGGCGGGCTGTTGCAGGTCGCGTCGTATCTCTCGGCGCTGTCGGGTACGCTGAACGCATCCGTTGCTGCTCGGGAACGGGCAAACGTGTTGAACGAGACTCGCTTATGACGTTGCAGGCGGATCGTGGCTGACGGGCTCGCTGTTTCTCAATAACTGGCCGACGGTGAAGGACATGGTGTACGGCAACGGCGGCAATCTTACCGGGTGGTTGCTCGACTTGCCTCTCGCTACGCCGGACGGAGACGACTTGTTCAATGACAAGAACCAGGCGTGGTTCGGTAGTGTTCTCTGGAGCGTCGAGGCCAAGGCGAACAAGAGCATGTCGGTCACCTCCCGCCGTTCTTGCCATTCACGCAGACCACTGACTTGCTCCCCTATAGCGACACTTCTATCACGGATCCGTGGGGTCGCATGATCGCCTATCACTTCCTCAACCAGACGACGCGCGGCAACTTCTTCACCAACGACACCGCGCACGGAGCTGGTGCGCGGGCATATATATGCACCCTCGGATCCGTTTCCTGACGTCGTTTGCGCACTATAGGGCAGCTCTGGTCTCACATACCGCAGACTCCGGCATGGCAAGCCCTCCAACCGCCGTACCCACTCATCTGTGCCGACTCACGACCGGTGGGCTCTAACTCTACCGCCGCGCTCACTCCAGAACCGGTTGTGTACGAGGTTCGTCGTCTGTGCGATTCGGTAAACCCCCCTATCCTGCCATCTCATTCCGGTCAATCGCCAGATCACGCCGCACGAATTCGGTTCATGGGATCCCAACCTCAGCAGCATGGTGAACCTCACCTACGCGGGGACCCATTTCAATAACGGGCAGCCGGACAACAGCACCGCCTGCGTAACGGGCTTTGACGAAGCATCGTTCGTCATGGGGACGAGCGCCAGTTTATTCAATGTGGGTTCCTCGTTCCAAAATCCTGTGCTGCTATCCCGGAAGCTTACGCGTGGTAATAGCAAATCCTGGACTTTGGCCAAAATTTCCTGGGAAGCTTCGACAAGGACGACGGCGCGAGTTTATTGTATGTGCTCGCGAGGCAGTTGAGGAGTGTTCGGACGAGGGCGGACGACGTCGCGAATTGGCCGAACGTAAGCTTCCCTTTCCCATTTGTTGAGCTGCTCGATACCCAATGCACGTAACACTAGCCCTTCCATAACGTGGCCAACTCGACGTTCGAAGACTCCAACTCTACCTGGCTCGAGCTCATCGATGGCTCTTCCAACCACGAGAACGTGCCACTCGGTGCGATGTTCGTCCGAGCTCGCGCGCTTGACGTCGTGGTGGCCGTTGACGGCTCCGCCGACCAGGCGACGATCAACTGGCCGAACGGCTCTTCGCCCATCTTCTCCTCGCAACGCATGGCGAACATCCTCCAGGCATCGCACCAGCCTTTCCCCCCGATCCCGACGACGCCCGAGCAGTTCCTCAGCACGGGAGTGAACCAACGCCCGACATTCTTCGGCTGCTATCCGCAGAAGAACCCGCCCGAGTGGCCGATGGTGATCTACTTCCCGAACTCGCCGCCGATCAGCGGCGAGGATCCGGTCAGCAAGTGCGTTCGTTCGGTCTCTGGCCGTCGGAGCGAGAGCGCGTATACTCACGGATCATCGTTGCAGCACGGGCACGTTCAAACTCTCCTACACCCCTAAGCACACCCGGCTCTTCCTCGACCAGGTGCACAACAACACCATCGGCGGCTTCACCAACGGCTCCACCGCCGCCGACCCGAACTTTGGCAAATGCCTCCAGTGCGCCGCCGTCGACCGCGCGCGGATCAGGTCGGGCGCGAACGTGGCCCGGTCCGACTTTTGCACGCAGTGCTTCTTCCAGTACTGCTACGACCCGAACAACCCGCCGAGCGTGAGCCAGATCGCGGGCCGCAAGTACGACTTTGTCGACCCGGACCCGCAGGGGGTGAGCAGGGTGAAGGGCTTCTTGGGCGACAACAAGGGGCCGCTCATCGGCGGCCTCGTCGGGCTGTTCGTCTTCATCGCCGCGTTGATCGGTTTCCTGTGAGTAACGTCCTCCGTATACTTTGGTGCCCCACGCTGATCCCCGTGTTCTTCGCGGTGGCAGGATCTGGTGGAAGAAGCGCAGTCGGCGTATCGAGTACCAGCGCGTGAACAACCTGCACGAGGAAGAGGACAAGGCGCCGTGGCGGCTCTTCAAGCGTGGGCCGTCGGCATCCTCTGGCCGGTATCCTCTTGCGTACGAGCTTCCTGAGCATAAATAAGGGTCGCTGGCGCTTGCATCGTCTTTTTTCTTCTATCGCATCTGTTCTCTGTGGGTTTGGGCCGGGCCTGTGTTTTCTTCGTTCACGCTTTGCATGTTTGTTTCACTTACGGACTGTGGTGTCATCTGCCTACCATACGAGAGGCTTCCTGTATCGTTAATGATCGTGATGCACGCAATAGATATATCTACATCTCCTATAAATTACCGGTTAAAATGCGATCCCGCACTCGCAGTGAGCGGAAGGCCATAGCTGGATTGTTACAGGAGCTCGTCGAGTGTCATGTCGTTCGCACTGGGCAGGTCTTCTTCAAAGAGCGAGGGTAATCTCGCCCCAGACTTTGTCCTAATAGTTGACGGAACCTCCGGCGTTTGAACTAGTGAGGCTAGACTCGCCCCGGAATTTGTTTTTACGGTCGTTGGTACCTCGGGTGTTTGAACGAGCGAACCGAGGTTGAGGCTCTGATTCGCCAGCGGAACCCGCGATACTCGCGTGATGTGTGTCCGCGGTTTGTGCTCCTGCGGGATCGCCACCGATCTGTACAGGTCGAGCTCCTGCAGCAGGTCCTGGTTCTGTTCCTGGGCGACCTCCTGTTGCCGCGCATATTGCGCCAATTTCTGCACAAGCTCGTCAGCTCTGACACGATCAGCGAATCGACGGTCGGAGAACCTACCAGCTTAGCCTCTGCCAGTTCCTTTCGTATCCGGTCGACGTACAGTATTCTCTGCGCCGGATTGTGGTGGCCCAAGATCTCCGCGTTGAATCGACTCAGCGCGCTCGCTTCCTCCTCCGCCAGCGCGTTTCTATCGATCAGCGCCTGCACCTGCTCCGTCAGGCCGCGGTACGCGTCCTCGTACTGCTGCGCGTGCGCGAGCTCCGCGCCGAGCGCTTCCATCTCGTCCCGCAGCGCCTCCTCCGCGGCCTTGCATCGCCGCGCCGTCTGCGCCATGCGCTCCCGCGAATCGCGCTCGAGCGCGAGCTGTCGGTCCTTCGCCGCCAAGTCGGACGCGAGGCGGGACTGGGTGTCCCGCGCGAGCGCTTCCGCGTCGGCGGCGCGCACTTCGGCGAGCTGGCGCGTGGTGAGCGCCTCAGCGAGTTGGACGGCTTGCTCCGCTAGCCGCTGCTTGGCGGAGAGGAGCTCAGGCGCGAGCGCGCGTGCCTCTTCTAGTTCCGACTCGCGCTCGTGTAGGTGCGCCTCGGTGTCGCGAAGCTGATGATCCAAGGACGAGTAGTGGAAGATCATCTGCTCGTCAAGAAGGCGTTGTCGTTCCGTCAGCAGCGCGTCCGTCGTCTCCAGTGTTGCGCCGATGCGACGACGGACAGCAGCGTCCTGCTCCTCCGCAGACGTCAGGTCGTCTTCCAGTGCTTGAATCCCGGCGTGGAAATTTGCAGGCTCCGACCGGTATGCATCTCTAAGTTGATGCCCATACCAGGACGCTTCCTGTTCCACTCGGGTCAGGCATTCCTTCAGCAGCGCGGAGTCCTCTCTGGCGTGCCTGACCAAGCTCGCCAGTTCCACGGCCTGTGCTTGGCTGTCCGCGAGCTTCCGTTCCAGCCTCGTACAATTCAATCGAAGGGACAGCTTCTCCGTTTTCAGGGCGTCGTATTCGGAGCGGAACACGCTGGACGCGCGTAGGCTAGCGTATTCCGCAATCGCGTGGTTGAGCAGCTCTTTCATGGAATCGAGCTGCGTGAGCAGAGAGTCCTGGGAGTCGACGGTCGTTTCTTTCAACGACATGAGGGCTGCTGAAGCGTCCTTGGTCTGTTGCCTTGCGGAACGCAGCTCCTCTGCGAGCGCTTGGTTGGCCTTCTTCGTCTCCGCAAGCTCCACCTCTACCTTGCCTCTCCCTTCTCTGACCCTAGCTTCAGCCGCCTCCCGTCTCTTCTTCTCCGACTCCAGCTCCCTCTGCAGTTCTGCGATTCGCCGTTCTCGTTCCCTGATCTCTTCCTTTCTCCGCGCGTCCATCCTCTTTGTGTCGCCCGCCTCCGCAGTTTTAGACCTGAGTTCCCGCACTTCGCGCTCGGCGGCGCGCAGCTTGTCTTTCCATTCCGTTATCTGCCCCTGTTCGGACGAATGCGATTTCTTCAGCTCGGATAGGCGGGCTTCGAGGGAGTCGTTCCGTTTCTTGAGCTTTTCCAGCTCGGCGGATTGGTCGGTGGCGATCTTCGACTTAAGCACCAGGTCGCCTTTCAGGCGTTCGAGTTCTGTCCGATGCTATACGAGCCGTGAGCTTCGACAAGGCCGTGAGTATCAACGATATTTACCGCTCGCTTATCGTCCGCGTGAACTTTTTCCAGATCCTCCAGACGCTTCTGGAGGTAAGTGTATCGATCGTGCGAGCCTGACGGCTGCCCGAGACCGGGCGTCTTTCTGCCATTCGAAGGGACCCTCGACATCGGGGCGCTAGGTCCTAAATGTGAGAGGGGGTTGTATGACTCGGATACGGAGACTTGACGGCTTCGCCCCACCTGATGTGTCCTTGCTGTTACAATGTCGCTGTAAACTCCAGCTTCTCCTTTCTTGCAGCCGCGGTTCGGTTCGTGATGAGCGGCAATCTGTTAACCTTCAGTCCAAAATATGTCGTAGGACCAGTGACTAAGGATAAAGCTCCCTCAGCGCAGTCGCTGGATATGAATGGAATAAGTACTACCGAAAGTGCTCTTCGGGGGAATATCAGAAGAAATCACCTTGCGCACGTTCGGAGTCGCGGCCAACGCGGTCAGGTGACCGCGTGACCGACTGGCAAAAACAGGGGGCTCCGTCTTCCCCGCATACGGTAACGCGGTCTATGCACATTACCTCTGCCCTGCTACTTAGAGCTCTGTAGATGAACACTATACGACACTGGATAAAAGACTACGTTATCTCAGTTGCAGAGAAACATGGGGGAAACCTAAGCAGTGTTCCAGTACACGACAAATCCGGGAAAGCGCAGCTGATCCAGGCATGCCTTTTTTGCGCATTTTGTGCTGCTCGCAGATTGTGATGACGACCCGGCATAGTTTCTGACGTATCCTACCTCCGACGCAGTCAACTCTTCCGAATCGCTCGATTCTTCAAGATCGACGCCCGAACCCACCGCAGTCGAGCCAATATGGGCCGTCATCTCGGACAAGGAGCACACCATACCGGTGCGCTTGACGCAGGAAGCCGTAGAACATCACAACATGTGAGCGGCCTACCTTTCCACGTACCAATAACGCACGGAATGCTCAAAGTGCCTTCACAGGACAGACCTCACCAAGAACCGCCTGACGAAACATCGGGGCGCCGTCGTCCGCGTCAAGTCGTTCAAACTCGTGTTTCGGCGCCGGCCATTGGGCGGACAGCAGAAGGGGATGACCGCCGAGCAAGTAATAACGCTCGATGTCGACGCCATCGAGGTCATCGGGAGCTCGGAAGAGGCGGTTTTCGGCGACCCGACCGAAATCAGCTGCGACCCGCTCGTCGCGCGGTGGATACAAGGCCTCCGAGATGGCGGAGGTGGAGGGTACGGCTCACCTGGCCCTGCATTTGGCATGAGCGCTGACGCTGACGTTGATTCCGACAGGAACGTGCTCAAATTGGAGAAGGTGGCTGGCATCTCCGCGACAGCAGCCGCCGGGCAACAGACACGCGTTAAGCTCCCACCTGGGACCACAGCTGAATCGCCCAGGAAGCTCGCAGCCAAGAAGCACACAGCTGCTCCGGCTATTTCGACATCTGCGACCACTACAAATGGAGGGCGGAAACTGGACAAACCCAATCCGCTAGTAAGAGATCTCGAACGGCCCTTCCGAGTGCGCTTGAACGCTCAAAATCCCTCGAGAATGATTTGGACTGATGGATCGACTCATTCCACAGAAGTACCTAATGCCAGAGAATCGGCAAAAATATTCTGAAATCCCTAAGGAGTATCTCAAGGCGCTAGCAAATATCCCAGGTGTGTTTTGCATGGAAAGCAAGATTGTGCAGTGTGATCTCTGATTTTTCGTCACAGATCCTTCGTCGATTTCAACTATCCAGGAAATCATGAATTTCGTATCAGAGACGGCATCCAAGCCCAAAGAGCATTCCGAGCCACAACCGCCCCCGCAGTCAACCATTTACGCGGGTAGCGAAGACCCCAGATTTGACGCAAGATCGAAACCTCACGAGGATCCCGTACCGGATCAACCCCTACCGTCAACCTCTTATATCGCGGACAGCCCCAGGGATGCAACAAAGTCGGATTCCCAAGAGCGTCTTGTGTCACAACAACCCGTGCCATCGATGTCTTCGTACCTTACAGCTAGTCAAACGAAGGCGGACGGTAGCATGCAAACCACTGATTTGCATCCTATGACGACGCCAGGACCCCGTGGAAGGGCGATGGATGGGCAGTCCAACGTGCCGAAGATTGTACAAACCAGCTCTACAGATCGCATGTACAGTGCGGCAAAGTCAACAGTCATCCCTGACGCTTTGCGCCTGGACGAGACTCCTGACGCTACGCAATTCGTTTCGAAAATCGGCATAACACAGCCTGGACAGTCCCAACCTACACCATCACTGGTACGTCAGAGGACACCGAGCGAATGGGCGTCCTCTCCGCCTCGTAGCCCGAAGCGCAGAAAAGTGACCCCGTTGGATCCTAATTCTGCAATGGACGACGATACCGCGGACACAGGAGAAGGAGACACCCCACAATCTGCAAAACCCACGAACGACATCCTCTCTTTATCTCAGCTCTCTCAGGACAGCGCCGAGAGCGATGAAGAGGACATCGCGTCGATCTTCGAGTCCTCTTCATCCCCCGTCCGCGTCGCCGGTCGCGCTCGCGACCCAACCTCCCCGTTCTATCCGGATCCCGGAAATCAGGACACTTGCACAAGGTCTTTGTCCTACCCGCGCCCGCTAGCCCAGCTGCCGCGCGAAGAGGTTTCGACACCGAGTTCGCCCCCTCCGCACGCATCGAGCACAGAGATAAGCCACCGCGATGGACCCCCCGCCGAAGCTTCCATGCCATCCCAGGCAATCAGCGGCTCTTCCGTGAAAAGCCAGGAATCGGAAGCACAGGAGACCGCAGCAGAGTCCGTGTCGTCCGCTACTCGTAGAGTGCGCGAGCGTGCCAGCGCGCTTTTGACGCCCGGCAGCTCGCCGCTTCCGAAGGGAAAGGTGCTTGTGCCCGCTTCGGACACGTCAGCGAGCATCTCGCAGAATCAAAGCCAAAATCGACCCGCCCCAGGGCCCCAGAACGTGGCGTCCGCTCATGCGGCCGGCACATCGGACGAAGGGACAAACCAGCATCCGGAACCGGATGCCAAGCAGAACAGACAACCGAAAACTCGCAAAGAAGAGCTACATCTCGGTCTAGACGTATCATCTGCTGGCGTTGGAGATTTAGCTACCCTGCTCAGCGTTGCGGTTGTGGACGATGTGAAGGACCTTGAAGGCGACGATGCTGGGACCCGCACCAGCTTGTACGGTCAGGACACATCGAAGAAATCAAAGGCACGGTCCGAAATGCCAGTCATACCAAAGGAACCCGACGTCTTCCTTGACGATACCTCCGCTCAGCTCAGAAAACACTCCGAAATCGGCCGCCACGAATCTGCCTCGTCTATGAAGACCGCGGAATGCATCCTCAATCCACTGGCTGAAAAGTCTCAAGATACGCTGGCGGCTTCTTATGCGTGCTCCAATCAACCCAAACGTCAACCATCCCCACGCCGCTCCGACGCGGTTGAGGTCGTTGACCCGGCTCCGGTTCGTGCGCACGTCCCGCGAAAATCGGATGGGCCAACTTCTCTGCCGCCGCACGCGAAGCGGATATTTAGGGCCGAACAACAAGCAGTCGTAGAGGACTCTCCACGTACCAAAGGACGCTTGACAAATCCTGAGCGCCTGTATGGGTCGGCATCCAAGGCAGAGGGTAGCCATAATCCGGATATGTGGGTGGAACCAAGTTTCATGCGCAAACGGGCTGCACGTCCTGCTGCCGGCTCCAGCGCTCGGGAAGATGGTTCGAAGCAACGCGCCCCTCAGACGCCATCGACGGAGCATGTCAATACATCCGCAGCACGACGGACTTATTCAGTCGTGCAGGCGCCGGGGTCATCTTCACGGCCAGGTTCGGATAGCGTTCCTCACATAAATCTGTCAATGGTACACGCCAGCTCCACGAGAACCCGGAAACGCAACCGACTCTTGGCAACCTCTTCCGACGAGCCCGTAACGGACGCGCGCACACCCCGATACTATGCGACTTCCAGCCGAACATACAAGCGGTTGAAAACCACGGAGTCCATCGAATCAGAGCACTCGCCCCTCACAAATCCACCTCCTGCTCAACGATCAGACGCCAGACCGAAACTCGGCGGGTTCAAACCTTTCTCATCAGAACCCTCACATGCAAATCCTAGCGATATTGGCTGGCCACGTTTGACAGAAATCTTGCTTACAACGGGTCAAACAAGGACCCGAGATGCGAAGAGGCACAGAGTTTCGTGAACGTTTGGCCGCTCAAACCTCGTACAGCCTCTCTCTTGCGGATTTGCATCGCACGTTATGTGCCCCTCGCTCACCAACGAATGGGTCGGCCAGGCGTAGGCCTAGGTCCCTGTACATGCTGACGCTTGCCTGTGGCGCACCCTGAGCCGAAGCACGCCTGCGCTTGCCGGATCGAGGAGACGAAGCCCCGTTGATGACCGTATTCGCGGCCCCTGATCGCCTCCGTTATGACAGCATCTCTGGCTTCAACGGTTCGGGCCGTTCGGGGCTGGTGGATGACGGCGCATCCTTTCGAAAACCCTTGAAGTACTTCTCCCGGAAGTCTCTGTGAGCGGGAACATGAACAGGATCACCTCCCGAGTCCGCGTTGAACGTTGGTGGAGGGTACTCCGCGCTCCCCGTCTTGCGTATAGTAATAAGCTATATAATTGTTAGTCGCCAAACGGCACCAAAGAATGTGAACCTTACCCGACGGCCCCACGAACCAAAATCTTGTAGCGAGTTAGCAATGACTTGCATACCGTCGCACATGAACGTGGCTACATCGATTTCTTGGTAATCCTCGTTGACAGTAGGCAGGAAGAAGACCAGTCGACCGCCGGGTTTCAAGAGATACCGCGCAAGGTGCACAAGATCAGAGGCAAGCTGGGAGAGCTCGTATGGACTTGTCGGGGGCACGTATGGTTGTTCGTCTCTGCCACACATCTCATTATACGCTTGCACAAATAGCGGTTTTGCCGTTCCGACTTACTTTCGCTGCGCGGGGTCGAAGGCGGGTCTGTTCGGGCGATCCTTTCTCCTCCCAAGTCTCTTTGCTCCTGCTCGAACACCATCTGCATTGCCAATCAGCGATAGCAGTACCTGTGAACAGCAGCACCTTACATGGAGGATCGGTGACTATGGCATCGAATATGCTTCCTTTTCCTGAGATCAAGGTTAAGTCTCAACCACCTTACGTGAAACACTCGCAGGATTTCTCACTCCATGGATGGTGGGTCATATCAAACGTCGACAAATCCATGATCCTTTGCGAAACCCCGTATTGCTCAGCAGCGCGACGAATGCCTGTAGTTTGGTCTGGAGTTTTATCTGCTATCAGCATCTGGATCAAAACCAATGGACTGATCGCACCTTTTCCCCGCATCTGCCTCCCGTCAATGTCGGAACCATAAACATAGGCGCCAAACCATGCCGCAGTGTAGAGCATACTACCGGTACCCGCGAAGGGATCATAAACGAGAGAGCCAGGTGTTGCCTACCGTCGAACATGAGCTGGATTTGCATCCGATTTGGAGGGACTATTACCATCGTCTGATTCGCCATTAACAACGAGACCTCTGCCTCCATGCTCGTGTTGCCGAAGAACACCCTTTTCTTCACATCGAAAGTGTGGATCAACGGGCGAGCGGACCCTTCCTCGATCTACGCACTCCGTCATTATCCTTCTCAAAACGAGATGTGGGCGAGGAGGTCTGCAAACCCACCAACCTGCCAAAGAAGACCTCGCGGAATTGTCCATCGCGCTTGTACTGATCTTCGGGATTGGCCCCAACTACGCCTCTTGGATCAGTATCTGCGAATGGAATTAGGTCTCGCGTTATGGAAGCGCCATCTATCGGCTTACACTCTTCAAACACACCGAGGACGAGCTCGGGTTTCTTCAGGTCGATCTTGCCCTGGAGATTCATGTAGGAGAAACCCTCACAGACTTCTCGTTGCCGTTTATTCGGGATCGTATGGTTGTAGCCCAAGATCGAGAATTTGAAGGAGGTATCCTCCGCATAGCGCAACCAACGGTCCGAGGCCTTGCGATTTTCGGCGTGCATATTTTCATACGTACTCCCTCGAGCGTAAAATTCGTAGACAGATCTGAGATGCATGAGCTTGCACGAACGATATTACGACGAAACATTGACGGACTTCACGAGAATGCATCGCCGTGCAAGTAGCCTCGCGTGTTCGTCGCTTTCCAGCTCGATGACTTGATATGGTCTCCCGATGTCGAAGTCCGAGGGCAGATAGATCTTGAACCCATGCAGTTCAGCGACCGACTGAAGTTCTGGTATCCGGAACTCGGCGTGTATTTGCGCAAATATGATCAAGTACGGTTGCATCACGGCAATATTAGAACGGGAAAAGCCCGGTATTGTCTTTGAACCGACGCAATAGAAGATCAAGTCCGAGTCGGTCGCCGCACTCTGCAAGTATATCGTCACAGCCACAGCTCCGCAGAAGGCCATTTGATTGCTATGGTGGTCCGTATCGGACAAAAATAAAGTCATTTTGAGAATTCATGCGAATTCACGCATTTTCATCCAAAATCATGCGGATTCACTCAAACTCATCCGTTTTCACTCGTTTTCACTCGTACTTTCACTCGTTTTCACTCGTTTTCATCCAAGTTCATCCGTGTTCACTCGTTTTCATTCCTTTTCACTCGTTTTCATTTTTCATTCACTTTCACTCGTTTTCATCTGTCTCAAGCACAGCCACAAGTTCTTATCTGTCCTTCACTCAAGTTCATTCAAATTCATTCAAATTCATTTCGCCACATAATCCACACGTTCATCCAATTTCATCCAAATTCATTCACTCGGTTTTTCATGTTTTCATTCAGATTCACACACTTTCATGCGGATTCATGCTGGATATTCATCCATTTTCACGCATCTTCATGCAAATTCATGTGAGCGCACTCGGTTCATGCACTTTCACCTAGATTCATTCACTTTCACTCGGATTCATTTGGATTCACCCAGATTCACCCACTTTCATCCACTTTCACTCAAATTCATCCATTTTCATTTGCTTTCCCAGATATCAGATGGTATTAAATGTGTGCGATCTGTTGATGCAAAGTCCTCACCCCAACCCTTCCCCTCTGTCATGTCGTCAACTGTTCTGGAGGAACGTGGAGCTTGTGTCATCTGCAGAGCGAGCAAACCTCCTGACCAGAGATGTGCTGGATTTGTGCTGTCTGGAGGACCTCAAACCCCTCACAGTCCATCCGTGGTCCGCTATGTATGTTCACACTATTGCGTGTTGGATGCCTGTTTTGATGCAGTGTTATTCAGCGCCCTACCCATGGCTCGGAACGTTGCTCCTTCTGTGATTGCCCTTACTACTGCCATACACTCAACGGCCTTCCCCTTGGAAGTTTAAACACTTCTATGGCCCGTGGTGGAACACAGCAATGCGGGGGGTTCTTCTCGGTACGCCTGCCTACCCATGTTCTGTATTCTCCACTATTAACTCTGTTACCTAGCTGGAGCCTGTCTGGAGGCTGACCTCCGCATGTATATGTGGCCGGCCCATTGGTGTCCACAATCTCCGGAATACTGGCAGTGCAATGTGAGTACGTCAACAACATCATTCCGCCCTGACCTTACATTTGTTATTAGTACATTGCCTGATCCCGACTTGCTCCCTTCTGTTGCCACCATCTCTCCCTCCGCACCAGCTCGGGCGACCACTGCCCTTGCCAGTATCCCCTCGGCTTCCCCTATCCAAGCATTCATCGGTCTTAGGGCAGCCATTGGTGGCGAGGCAGGACGTCGAACTGCAGCTGAGCGCCACCGTGAGCTCATCATCCGCCGCAGTGATGGCCGGCGGCTAACCAACCCCCGACCCTTTCCTCAAGGCTCGTCCAACACCAGAGCCATAGGCCCACCATCGGGTGTACCATCCACTACAACCTTCCGCGGACTGTTGTTTCCATGGGTGGTAAGTCATGTCTTCGCTATGGACTATACTGTTCTCTTATACGTAATTCAGCCTCGTGAGACAGGTTCCGACCTGGCTGGAATCTACGCTGCTCCAAAGGTTACATATAACAACGATCAATTTGGCCAGATGCAACTCCGTGCTCAGAACACGAACCTCACCTGGACATTCGAGCTTAGCGGCACCGATTCAGTGTGGCGACAGCTTAATGACTTGGTCTTAGCACGCTGCGAGGAACTTGGTGTCGTGGTGTCCCGCCGTCCCTCTGATATAACATATAGTGTCACGACCATGGAGTTTCTCTTGTTAGCCCCTGGTTCAACATCGCGTGCCACCGGCAACGTATCGTATAAGCCTGCATCACTAACTCCGGACACCTTCACCACTGCAACACTTCTCAAGAAGCCGTATGCCAGTACACAAAATCACCTTGACCGTCTTCCTATCCTTATCATCGGTTTGTCTGTTATAATATAAGCGCACACAGATGTTGATCATTGTTGTCTAGCTCCACGTTTTGGACATCTTAAGGGACCTCTTGGAGCGTTGGCTCAGGGTCACGATGATATTCTTCATCCCGATAAGACTCACAGCTGCTGGCCTCACCGTATCATGGGCATGCCAGTGGTATGCTTACCCAATTGTGTCCTGGAGCCTCAAGGTAGTCCTGAGCCTGGTGACAGGCCACACGCTGAGCCGCCCTCTCCTCCATCTGTTGTTGAGGATGATCATGTACGTATCCAATATCAGTAGCATAATCTCAGATTGCATTACTGACTGTATTATAGTTTCCTAATTCCGTCCACGAAATGCTACATCTTTTCACCCAAACGGCTACTACCGAACCTGTGGGGTCAAGGGGTTTGCTCCATGCTCTTGACCAGATATCGAGCATCCCAGCCTCTACATTTCCAGCTTCCCCCAATCTGCCTCCAACACCAGCCCTTACCAGCACAGATCAGGCTAACCGGCTTCCAACTCTTCCTGATATTATCGATCTGTCCTCTCCTGAGCAGCCGGAACGGATGTCAATACAACATTCCGGCCGCGCCGTTAGCCCAATTGTTGTTCATTCACGGTCGCCGTCGCCTCAGGTATGTACACATGCCATCTACGTCCTCACAGACCTTGCTTATTCTCTTGAAACCTATAGCAGCGTCGTACTCGCCGTCGTGTAGCACCTTCAGCAGTATTTGTTCCCAGCACCAACCCTCTGAGCAATACTACAATTACCGTATACCCGTCTCCTGTAAGTGTTATATATATGAGCTCCGAGAGTTTGAGCTTACGACCTGATAGGAACGCCAACGCTGGCCATTGGGTTTCGTACACTCGAGGGTCAAGTCATTTGTTCCATTCACAGGTCCTGATATCAACACCCCTGTCGTCTGGACCAAGCAGATCAGGGACAACATGCCTCATATTGCATACTCTGATTTCCCATACTTTTCTGGACCAACGGTCGATATTCTTGCACAAGCGCTCATCTTATTCATTGCTTATCAGCTTTTTCCTGGCAAGAAGCAGACCAACGTACTGTGGCAACAGATGTTACGGCAACATTTTCCGGAAGATAACGTCCAGGTCAAATTTGTCCCCTTGAACGCTCTTCTTGGACCAACGCGAACCTTTGTTGTGTAAGTCCTGCTCATCTAGAAGCAACCACATACCCATCGCCTGCTTTGATTCACAGTGGCCAGGGTATTGGGCAAGCCCCTGAAGCCGCGGTCTGGAGACATGCATGCCAGCTAATGGTCATTGAAGAATATCATTGGACGCAACGCGGTGACTTCTACACCCTTCGCTTCCATCCTGCCACCAACCAGATGCTTCACCGTGGCGTTATGTTGCAGGTTGCCGGATTTATGACCATGGCGCACTGTTTCCATCTGAAGGCTGCCCCACCGAGCGTGTCTCCCTTTCTCCTCCAGGCTGTCATTGATGGACGCGATTCACTCCAGATTGATGTACCATTTATCAAGTCTGTTGACCCGTCCATACTTCCTTCTCTTGCCTGCTGGACAGACCGCGATCCAGCTGCACCCTTGGTTGCAGATTCTCTTCGTGGACCGCTCGGTGCACTACTTGCCGAGGCTGATATTGATGTGCGCCGTCCCTTCGTCAACATTATCGATCACTGATTATGAGTGGTCTGACAGACACTTGCTTTGCGCTCGACTATGTCAGACATTGAGCTGCCAGGTATTGAGCGCAGCCTACTGTCGCTCATTACGATGGGCCACAAGGACCCACCGAGCCATCCCGACTTTCAGCAGTTTGCCATTGGCTTTAATTTTGATTTGGGAAATGGTGTTCGTGTATTTGATGTGCGGACCATCAACACCTTTATGCCAATGCCAATGACTCATTCTTGTTCCTTCAGACTATGTCTGGCTCAGCGAAGCCCCTTTTGTCAGCCCTCTATGGCCGGACGGTCATTGATGTCAAGCAGGTGACCTCAAGAATTTTTGCAGTCCATAACGAGAGAGCTGTAGAGTCGCGACGCTTTTGTGCTGCATTAACTCGGTACTGTCAAGGAGTGGGGCACCCTGACCACCCGTGGACGGCATCTGTCACCAGCGAGCAGCGCGAGTCTGTCCATGGCGATCGTCTACTTCGAGCTCGCCTACTTCTCAAGTTGATGCGTGGCACCGATCTCCTTCCAGTGGAGTCAGGTTGGACATTGAAGGTCTGCACATCTACTGTCGTCTTTTCTTATTCTCGTCTGAGAAACCGTTACCTAGTTCCGGTTCACGTTCTCTGACGAAGACCAGTCAAAGGTATGTTAGAGCCCGCTTGAAACCCGCAAAAACTGTTCTGACAACTTGGTTACGTAGGCTGACATGCCACCTCCCATTGCCTTCAAGGGATGCTTTGGCGAAGGGATTGTGACAATGGATAGGAGTCTGGCAAGGTTGCTCATGGAGTCCGATGCAGGCGAAGGCACAGACACAGCCTTCGATGCGTGGATCCACATGCAGCTCCTTGAGGACTCATTCAATAAAGAATAATCATAGGTGTATTGGAGTTGAACGGGGACGGTTATTTATTGACATTAATGTGCACCTCCTAGCAATGTGAGATCAACGGTGCCTATTGCAAGCGAGTGATGTGTGAATAAGGGAATGGCGGGAACTCGGTGCGTGATCAGAGCCTGTGTGGTCAAACACATCGTAAGGGCATGCGTATGGCCAGAAGCCAATGCATAAACTCACCTCCTAGCGTACAGCGTCACACCCGTTCTCAAGGCTTCACGGCGGCCATGCCCTAGCTGGACTATAACTGCACGAATCTTGAGCGCCCTCAAGCGGGCGGATACGCAGGCCCTCCTGATGCCTATGCCCGCCGGCTGATTGTGTGAGGGCATATCGGCGTTCGTGCAGGACGGATACAGCGAGTGAGAACCTGGTCCAAGCGCATCATGCGTTCAAGAACGCATAAGCGGAAGGTCAGTCATATCTACACGAATCAGCTACGATTGTACGACTCACGCACCTGATATGTCCAGCGCGGTATCTTCCTGACACGGTCGGCGTCGCCAGTAACCTTCGGAGTTGGTGTATTAAGTTGCCCTCCCGCCTGCAGACCTCTGGCGCACGACCTCAAGCTCGTCATGTAAGTAGGGGGACATGGTGTCCTTGTGACTGATAACTTGGTCCACTGCGGTTGTCGGATACGAGACGGCCGCGGAGTGCAAGGTCGGGAGATACAGTGCTTGAACTGCCTCAGTACATTGGTCTACCGTGATATAAGATTCAAACTCAGCAACATTGAAGCTGACGACTTGCAGAGTACACGGTATGTATCAACTAGATAAATGATTGGCCGCGCAAGGGCGGGTTGCAACGTTCCCACAAGGCGCGCACGGCAACCCGAGGACGTGCCCCAGGGGTCCTTACAACGAACCAAGCACAAATAAAAGGTTTGCACGTCTAATCGATGGGGAAGGACGATTTCGACGTCGTTGTTGTCGCGTTGAGGTTGGCGGCTGGACGAACAAGACGGTCTGATAGGAGGAACCACGCACCTTCCTGAACGGGCCGGACCAGCGGCTGCGCGATTGAGGGACGATATCAGGCAAATGCGAAGCGAGAACAGAAAGGTTTGACTCACCACAGTTCCACCGCCCGTGTTAAGGTGCCAACCCGATATGCCGGCAGCAAGGCTCGATGAGCGAGCGGCGGCACCTTGTGACCATGTCGTTAGGCCACATACGGTGAGGATAGATGACAAGAGCTCACCGTGGATCACGACCAGCCAGCCGCGCTCGCTGATCCAGTCTGGGAACACCGCATCGCCGGGCCACACCTGCCTCACGTACTCGCTCCCGCCCGGGTCCTTGACGAACCCGTTCCGCTCCGCCCCAGATCGTACACGTCCGTGTCGTCCACGACATGCGCCACGGCGGCGTCGTCAATCGGGATATACCTCTGATGGACCGCGTGCAAGCCCTCGACGAACGCGCGCATCTGTTCGTAGCCAGCACGTGGATCGGCCGTTCCCGTTGTGGATCGCATACAGCGGCGTGTTGAGCTCGACGTCGTCTGGCCGCCCGTTCCCAGGGCCCTCTTCCTCCTCGTCTTCTTCTCCGCTGCCGCCAGATCGGGGCTGAGCTCGGCGCGCGATGAGGGCGGAGGAGGTGGACGAGGTGGCGTTGCAGGTGAGGACACCATCGTCGCTGATCGGGGCTGAGCTCGGCGCGCGATGAGGGCGGAGGAGGTGGACGAGGTGGCGTTGCAGGTGAGGACACCATCGTCGCTGATGTTCCCGCTCGGTCCGAACCGGTCGACGTCGTAGCATTCGGGGTAGGTCGAGACCGGATTCCCGGTCACGCCGGGGAGGAGGAACAGCGTGCTCGTGTTCGAGATGTCAATGCCCTGCCGCTTCAAACCGATTTTTTCAGCCTGGCGGACTACAGAGAGAGGGGGGGAGAGGACGAGAAACCGCACCAGCTTCCCGCGCGCTCGCCGAACCAGTCCGGGAACACCATATAGCTGGGCCACACTTGCCCCACGTACTCGCTCCCGTCCGGGTCCTTGACGAACACGTCCCGCTCCGCCCCGCTCGTGTACAGACCGTTCACGACGTGCGCCACGGCGGCGTCGTCAATCGGGATATACCTCCGACGGTCCACGTGCAAGCCCTCGACGAACGCGTGCATCTCGTCGCCCGGGAACGAGACCGGGTCCGAGGTGAGGTCGCGGAAGGCGTGGTAGACGTGGATGTCGTTCCACATCACCTCGAGCGGGATCCCGGCCGCGCGCATCGCGCGCACCTGCTCCCTCGTCTCTTTCACGGTCGAGTAGTGTTTGCTGAGCTTCCGTGGCGCGAGGTATGTTCGACATCCGAACGATGGTGGCTATTTGACTCACCAAACATGGTGTCGTGTTCAGTTCACTGTGCAAGTCCCACAGCCGGTTATTGAGGTGCCGACTTGGTTTGCCAGCAGCAATGATCGATGAGCATGAGCGGTGGCACCTCACGAATGTGTCGTTAGGCCGTGTATGGTGAATGCAGATAGCAATCACTCACCGTGGATCGCGTAAGCCTCGAGGAACCGGTGGAGAATGGAGCCCGGACGGGCTATCCACTGGCGGTCGGTGCTCGTGGGCGTGTCCCCGTTATCATTGGCGATCGTAAGCGAGGGGCCCATGGTGCGGTGGAACGTAGCCGCAATGTTTGAGCTTGCATGATCGAATACATCGTAAGGGGTTGCGTGTGCCAAGAGCAGTATGGCAGTAACTCACCTCCTCGCGCACCTCCTCGCACTGTTCTACCGAACTTCGGGTGGCCCGCGTTAACTGTTGTGCGCGTAGGCCCACAGCCGAGCAGCCGAGCAGCCGAGCGAATCCAGGTCGCTGACGATGAATGCACCGCGCTTGTATGATGAGTGGAGGGCGTGTTCGAGCGGCTCAACACAAATAAAAGGTTAGTCAGGTATGCATGGATTTGATCGGACCGAACAATCTACGCACCTGTTATGTTCGACGCAGCTGTCCTCGCACACTGAGGGCCGTCATCCCCGGTTGGAGTATCGGTCGTCCTGTAAGCTCTTGCGAACGTCTGATGTGGCGGGGTGGGTTCGCGTGACTGTGACTGTACCCCTTTCGGATGCCGGCTGGTAGTAGGCGATATAGCCAATTATTTCCGTCGTTTTGGTGCGTTCTACGATTGCTCCTGTCTGGTGGGCGAGGTCGTGTTAGCGGGTCCAGTATGTTGTTTTTGACCAATGGCCAAGTCAAGCTGCAGTACGCGCCGTGGCACGTGACTGAAGCTTGTCGTTTTTCTGTTATGCGCTTGGTCCGCATAACAGAAAAACGACAAGCTTCAGTCACGTGTCACGGCGCGTACACGCCTTGCGGCGACATCGATCACCTTCCGGCCTTGTACTCTCTTGCGATCCACGACGATAGCCTTGTAGTTCAGAGTATCGACGCCCCTGTTACATCTGCATCAAATAATAGACGTCCCATGGACAACTCACTGGACCCAGAGCATGGCCCGGCTTCTCAGGAGCAGATATCAGGTCACAGCAGTACTAGGGCTCAAACCCGTCTCTTCGGTCAACAACTTGAGTCGCATCTCCTGTCTATGCCTCAGGCTCCTGACAGGTCTGAATTTGAGTGGCCAGAAGAGGACATTCTGCGAATTCCTTTGCAGCATTCATCCTCCTTTCCTCCCGCTATCGATGATCCTCCAGACGGTGCATATCCTAACACTCCCCGTTCATGGAGATACCTCAAATCCAAGACCTATCGTCGCGGATTCTACTACGAATGTCTCGTCAGACAGGTTGACTACCAACTCCGCCGAGATCGCATAACACGCACCATCACACCTCCGAATGTGAATGCGATTTGGGACGAGAAGTTCCGGGCGTACACCGTGCGCCCGATACCTGGCCTCTTGGAGATGTCACCAGGAGTCCCATATGCACAATCCAGGGATGGTGCCTTTCGCGAGACTATCGGCGCCGTGTTGACTCCGGAGAACCTGGTGGACGTTTACGGTGATACCGCGATTACCCCTCTCATCCATCAACTTCAGCGTTTGACATTCGGCGATGCTCGTCATTCTCCCGATCCCCGGTGTGCAATTTACGAGCTGCCAGGGTTCAAGCAGAACCTCCGTTCGGGAAAGCCATCCCCCGAACGTGAATACGATGGTTCCTACAGCATAGGTTCTACGCTCGGAGAGGGCGAAGGCATGGGCGATGTTAAGCCGGCTCTACAGACGTCTACACCAGCCAGTGCATTGCACATCAACGAGACGCTGACATGTCTTGCTCGTCTTCGGATGCTCATCGCCCCTCTCGTGGTGGACAAGTTCGAGTTGGACATCGGCGAGTTCGCCGACCTGGACAACAATACTTTTACTCTAGGAGGACCTGCGTTTGGGGCAACAGGTTGTCAGGTCAATGTCTGCTCACGGAACGTATCGAGCCTCAATGAGGCGTTTAGCTGGCAAGGTAGTTGGCATCCGGACATCCACGACGAAGGTAGCAACTGGACATTGGCGGTCATGCTACTCAATATCCCACCAGGTGCGTGATTCTAATCTCCATATGACCAGCTATGATTGCTCACCATGGTTAACAATAGGCAGCGACGGAGGAACATTCATTTTGGCGCAGCCTGGGCTTTACGCTCGCCTTCGCGAACATCCATGTGTCTTCTTATGGTTCCGCGGAAATGCACTGCATTCAGGATTTCTACCGTCATTCAACGATGCAGGTTATGACAAGTGGTTGTCGAGTGCGGCTGCAAATGCCATATACAACATTCATGCTACGGTTATCCGCGTCGCGTACATTCTTTATCCAAATCAGCATGCAAATCGACGGACCGCTGGGTTGCGCGTCTCACCACCTTTGGGCTTCGGAAATATTGAGAAGCCTGTTCCTTCCAGCGCAGTGCCCCTCAACTATTGTCTCAATGCACAGCCAATCCTAGGTTCTCCTTATGACCGCACGACACGGCTGTCGCGTGAGGTTGTTGCAATGTTCTATAACTTTCTGGAGCATGCAGGGATTGAAACAGATCTTGAACCCAATGAGATGCTCTCGCATCTATACGCTAGCCCCAACGGCCACGGTCCCATTCATCCACGTCTTTTCCCCAGAACCATTCGAGACTCGCCGGAGTACTTCATCAAAATGCGGGGCTATCTGAAATGGTACCGAGCCGAGTGTGCAAAGGAGAACTTCAACCTGAAACGGTATGAAGTGAGGTCGGTCCAGAACGAACGTTTGAAACATCGTGCACCCAAATCACTCTTCTCTATACTCGAGCGTCATGCAAGTACACGACCCCCTGTCCTACCAGATATATCTGCAGCACCTCCGGTTGGTGAGGATATTTTGATATCACAGGTTCTCTCAAAATGGTCCCAGCCTAATAACGGGCCAGAGGTAAGTCATAGCTTTTATACACTGATGCATGGTTATTGACTCCTACAATTTGTATAAGATATGGCGTGTAGTCCGTGAGGGACAGAATGAGCCAGAGGACCTTGAGGCAGGGACATGGTATGTGTATATCTTATCATAATAGCCACAACTAATCAACTTCTTAGGATGCGTATACCTCAGAACGCTGCTTTGCTCAACGCTGTGATCCATGAGGAAGCACAGCGTCAAGTTCAGAAAACACTGCCTGGTACTTCTCTGCAGTTTGCGCCTTTGCCGATGGTGCATCAATTCGAACCTGGACTACCACTACCCGAAGGCAAATTCCAATTTGGGTCAACAGTATGTGAGCAGGATGGTCCACCCAGCAAGCGACAAAGGACTTTGTCCTGCAACGTATGTCCAGTAACACATTCTGTCCATATCTGTGCTGATAATGAGTGGACGGTGTCAGCCTAAGGAGAGTACACACAATAACACTCCTGCTACGGAGTCCAACACATCCAGGTTGGATATGTCACAGAAAGTAACCAGGAGTAAGGTCAAACCTCCCACTACAACACATCCCACACCTGTTGCCACAGCCTCAGCACTCGATCCTCCCAAGGAGCCCCATAAGCCAGACACACCCCCTTCCCGCCGTAGGGGACGCTATGGTAAGAAGCCACCTAAATCTAAGAAGCAGGACAGGTCTGTAATATATTTTTGTCTTGGTATAAGAACTCATTACTTTACCTAGTTCATCGGTGGAGGTAAAAGCACCTCGCAAAGGCAGTACCACCGCTATCTTCCATGACAATGTGCCAGAGTATCATGTTTCAAAGATATTAACTCACCGGTTTCAGGATAAAACGGTGAGTCAGTGTTACAAGGCGATGACTTAGCAGATCTCTGATATGTGCTCAAGGGTGAAATTGAATGGAAAGTACGTTGGGCAGGCTACTCTGCTCTGCATGATACCTGGGAGCCCTATATCAGCCTGCGGTATGAATTTCTCAGAAAGTGTGGTCATTTAAACTGACATACACATAAATAGCGAGTGCGTGTACTTGGATCAGTATAACAAGAAGCGGAATATCATCATCAAGCCTGATGGATCAGTTTGATCGTATGCGATGGACAAGCCTTCCACCGTTCTCTCGTCTGAGGAGTCCGATGAGGACGAAGATGACCAATCTCGCTCCGAGTCTGAGGCAAGAGCTTTCCCAAGGCATGCCGAATACGCATCAATTTTAGAGGGCTATCGTCACACTCAGCGTAGTGAAGCACGCCAACAGCTTATGCCGCTCTTCTACGCCTTCACCTATGAGCAAGCATTGAATGCTATCCACACATCATCGCAGAGTACGAAGCATGACCTGAAGTTGGTTAACCTCAAGGAGCACCTGGAAGACTTGCGTACACTGGAAGAGCGCAATACGGTCTTGAGCAGCACACTTCAACATATGGAAAGCTTCGGAGATGACGCAGTGCATTCTCGTGCAAATAACATGGCACTCATACAGTTTGCGCAGATGCATGAAGCCTCCCAAGTTACCCCACATCTGATTGCAATTCTTGGCCAGCTCAAGATTGTTGAAATGTCGACTGCAGCACAGGCCGCAAGGGGATATCGGCGTATGTGGCATTGGTACAGCAAGATAGCACCATCTTTGGCCCATGATATTTTTGCTGCTCACAAGGAGGGGAAAGTGGATATGTTATTTCCCGCCTTTGCAAAATTGGCCGATCACATAGTGGGCTATTGCCATGCACGGCGGGAAGAGACTCGCCAACAATCTGGTCATGCATCGAGTAAGTGCAAATATATTTCAGGACTGTTAACTGAAATCTGGTTTGCAGAGGCGACCAAAGCAAAGCGCAAACAGTCTGGTGATGGTATAGTCTGCTTATATGATTTTATCTATCCACTTGTCTCAATATTCTCTTCATAGTACCGATAAGCTCAACGCGAGCTGAAGAGCTGAGATATATCTCTGCGGACCTATTGGGCCTTATTTCTGGCTGCTCTAGCAAGGGGCAAATCACGTTGAAGAGCATCAACATTGCAAAGCGCGCACCCGAGGAGGCTATCTATGAAAAGGCAGCAGAAGTATTCTGTGATGTTATCTCCTCCGCGGTCATTGTACCTCCTTTCCGTGCTCTGGACAAGAGGTTCAACAGGCCAATTATCAGTACCTTCACAGACGAGGCGGTCATGTACCGCATCATTGTTCGTGGAGCATTTGCAGACACTCTGGCTACACAATTTGGCACCGAAGGCATCTTTCTGCTTGAAGATGTCCATCGTGCACTTACATCTCCTTCCCATTTTGTGGACCAAGCCTGGCTGCAGGATTCCCGCTTTGCCTCAGCAGTTCTCAAAGATCCAGCCACGGTACTTGCTCCCCTTATCAATTTCCTGGAAACGAACATGACTGAACATGTGCAACAACTGGCTGAGGAGCTTGACCACGAGGTTCACAGACGCATGCTTGAACTTGCAACTGGAGAGCGCATCCCTCGAGATGTGTACTATGAAGGTGTTTCAGTGACAGATGCTCCTTTGAAGAACCCGGGAACACGCCGTGGAAAGCAGGCGAGTGCGCTCAGCAGGCAAAAGCTCACCGCAGACAACATGCTCACTCCTGATGCAAACCTTGGTCTGTTTGGACTGATACTGCGGGAGGGCCTTGCACATAAGCGTGGATATGGTGCAGTGAATGCAGAACTACGCAATATTCTCCTGGGGTGCCATCCCACAAACAATATACCCCGCTTCAACCCTGATCAGACCGATCCCATCCGGCAATACAATATTGGTACCACACTTCTACGCACTCACATTCCACCATCTATCCTTACAAAGCCTCATGGCATTTCAGTCATGCTCACTTGGATGGCCACCGGTCAGGGATATGGAACACAGACATTCCTTACTTCCGTAACCTTTGCGCAGGAGAGTCTTGAAGGACAAATCAGTGTGTTCTCCCGTGCCATTGCGCAGAACTCAACATTTCTTGCTGGAATCAGCATTCAGAACCAGAATTCCAGAAGAAAAGGCATCCGCTCCCTCGCCGGCTATGTCTGCTATGACGACCCTGCTGTATATGGCCAGTATAGCAACCATCTAGCGCTCCAACCAACGCTAGGCACAGGGCAGAGCAAGAAGTTTCAGACGGTTGAGGAGAAACTTGGTCCACTTTGGGCATGCGAGATTCAAGAGCATTGGACACATATGCTAGGAGATCTAGCCAACTCTAAATCACCGGAAACTGCTCTGAGTGCTGGTCGTCCTTCGTGGATAGACATGTTCAATTGGATTACCTCACAAGGCATTCCTGGATTCGGCTCAGGACTCAATCCTTTCCAAACCACAAATAACCTCGCTTTTATGCATATTTGCTCTGCACCTTCACCTGAGGAAGTTGCCAATTGGATTCACAACAATCAAAGCCTTGGTGCATTCAGAGGTCTTCAAAAGCTGGGCTTTATTCTGGACCGCCATGATGCCCGGCGTACCCGGGTTGCATTCCAAACTGTGTATGCCCACATGGACCGCCACATGAGTGATGCCGACAAGGCCACATTTGGCATACTCAGCATAGGTTGTGAACAGATGTTATGCAAATGCCCTCGTTGGGTCTCTCGTGCAGGCAAAGCAATCTCTCTCCTAAGCTTCGCTAAGGAAGCTGTGGACCAAGAGAAGAAGGCGAATTGGGTCAAGGGCGAAAATGTGACGAACATGGAGAGGTATCCATTCCCACTGACAATCAAGCCTGAACTTGTACAGGAGTTCATTGAGCAGCTGGTGTGTATATAGCTATAGTAAGAGCCCACACAGTAATACTGATGATGCTATACAGGTAATGTAGTACATACAATGGCGAACACGGCACGACGACGAGGGAGGACATGCCCGTGCGAGGATTGTACGAGTTTTGCTTGACGAAACCGGGGTCGATGACGAAGACGACGCCGTTGGTCGTGATACTCGTCTCGGCGATGTTCGTCGCGAGGACGACCTTGCGCGCGCCCTCTGGCGTAGGCTCGAAGATCTTTGCCTGCATGTCGGACGGGAGGTTGGCGTAAATCGGGCGGACGATGAGTTCCGGAATTTGTTACCCAGAGCACGCGCGGTCTTGGTCAAGTTCTCTTGCGCGGCGTCGATCTCGTCTTGTCCGGTGAAGAAGACAAGGATGTCGCCCTTGGGCTGCGTGGTGTGGATTTGGAAGACGGTGGTGATCGCGGCGTGAAGGTAGTTGGCTTCGGGTTGCGGCGTATAGTGGATGTCGACAGGGTATCGTCGGCCAGGAACTGCGTACCGTGTGAGCCAATGTGCGCGTATTGATGGAAAAACACAAGGACATACTGTAGAAGATAGGCGCGTCGTCAAAGTACTCGCCAAACTTTTCCGCGTCCATGGTTGCGCTCGATATCAGCAAGCGGAGCTCGGGCCGGAACCGCGCGATATCCTTCACGAATGCGAAGAGGATATCGGTGGCGAGTGTGCGTTCGTGCGCCTCGTCGATGATAAGCGCGCTGTAACCTGCGAGATCGGGCTCGGTGAGGAACTTGCAAAGGAGTATGCCGTCTGTCATGTACTTCACGACCGTCTTGTCGCTGGTGCAGTCCTCGAACCGGATCGAGTAGCCGACCTCGTGCCCGACCTTGGTGCCCATCTCTTCTGCTACACGCGCAGCGACGGACATGGCCGCCACGCGCCGCGGCTGCGTGCACCCGATCTTCTGCCCGTTTGCGGTGTAGCCTGCTTCGTGCAGGTACTGCGGGAGTTGGGTTGTCTTGCCTGAGCCAGTCTCGGCGACGACGATCAGGACCTGGTGCTCCTTGATTGCGTCCAGGAGTTGTTCGCGGAACTGGAAGATTGGGAGCGATTTGCGTGTCTCGTCAATCGTCTTGGCCGGAGAACGTTATTAACATGCATATATGCGTCGAGAACAGAATGGTAGGGCTCACCCCGCTTCTCCGCTTCCTCGATCTGCGCTTGCAGCAGCTTGTCCTTCGCACTCAGCATTCCCTGCCTGCCCATCGTGCTGTCCATGACGAACTTGATGGTCTGGCTCTCGTCGAACACATACTCGTAATCCTCCACCATTTCGTGCTTGTCCATCGCGCCGACCTTGAACGTACTGTGGGCCGTCTGCGCCGCCTCCCACTGGTCGATGTCGGTCGTAAACTGCTCCTTGTCCTTGTTCTTCGCCGCCTCCTCGTACTGCTTGTAGAGCACGCTCTCTTTGCGCTTGTCAATCTTGCCCTCGGCGGTGAAGTAGTCCTCAGGGAGCTGGTAGCCATCGTAGCCGTCGTCAAGCTTGAGACGCTCCTCGGCAAGGCGAAGGACCTCCTTCTTTTGTTCGAACGCCTCTCGCTCGCGCCGTGTGATTTTCATCCCGCGGAAGAGTGCCTCGTCGTCCGCAATCTCACGCCGAAGGAGCTCGAGCCGCTGCGCCTCACGCTTCTCGAGATACTGGTACCGCGAGCGTTTACGGAGGTCGGGGAGCGCAGCGTCGCGGGCGGCGGCGTCGTCTGCTAACTGTCGCCGGCGCGCGGGCTCGGCGGCTTCGCCCTTCGACGAACGATCCTCGACAAGCTTCTTCGTCGCGGCCTTGTCGCGTTCGCGCACGTATTCGGCGAAGGCATCGCACTCCTTAAGGTCATCCAACCGCTCACGCTCTCTCCGCGCGTCTTCATCTTCCTCGTCGTCGAGAGCCATGAGGTCGGAGGGGGGTGTGCGCCGATCGCGGTCGTCGTACGAGTCGGCTCGCCGTCACTTGCGAACCTGTGTATTGTCGTCCTCGCCATCGCTCTCCCAGCGCCCCGCGTCCGCCTCGCGCTTGCGCGTGTGCCGCTTCTTCTTTCCGCCCTCCGTACGCTTCTTCTTCTCCCGTGGTTGTTCAACCACGTCCTTGCCCGCGTCGTCGTCGTCGAGCACGAAAGAGTACTTTTGGGGTTGGAGGGAGGGGGTGTCTTTCGCGGCGGAGGACTTGTGTTTGTGCTTGCGCGGGACGCGAGAGTAAACCTCCGAGACGAAGGCGTGAGAGGACGGTGTGTCGGGGAAGCCGGAGGCGTTGAGTGCGGCAAAGAGGGATTCAGCCGACTTTGAAGACGATGCTGGGCAAATAATGAGCGACATGAGTGATTGGTAGAATATATGCAAGCGTACCAGACGCGATGACATAGTCGACTATGCTCTTGTCTGCGAGACCGAAGAACTGTGTGACTGGTCAGCATATCCTTGACGTTGTCGAGCATGTCGACGACGTACCTCGAGAGCATTGTCACTGATGTAGCGCTCGAGGTCCGAGGCCATCGTGGTGGACGATGGCGGCGTGAGCGAATGAGTCGGGTGGCAGCGTCGGAGATTACGCTCCCACCGAGATCGGCTAAACGAAGGCAGAAGAACAACGACCCAGGAGAATGCACCCGCCCTTTCCTCTTCTCCCGCCTCCCGCCCGTCCATGGTAAGCTCGTCGTCTCCGCCGTCCCCGACGACCCAAGTCCATGGCTGACGACGACGACGACATCGATGGCGACCCCACAGAGCACCGGCGCCACCCTCTTTTCTACCCGCGCGCGCTGTACGACTTCGACACCGCGGACCCGTCCTGCATCTCGTTTCGCACCAACGACGTACTCGAGATCCTCCGCACCGACACCGGCGCTGCCAACTCAGATGGCTGGTGGGACGTTGCTGGATCCCGTCCAACCACGTCGACGTAGCCACGAACCTGAGTTGTCGTCCATGATGTACAGATTACTCCAATCGGGCTGGGTACTCCCCAAGTCTAATCGCCGCTGCGGTAGCGGGGCACCATTTTGATCGTACATGACCTCGTTGGACGAGATCCCGTTGATAACCGTACGAGTTGCGTGAAAACGACGAGGACGTCGCCAGACGGGCCGCCAGGCGATCTTGCCATTCATTCGTTGGGGTCGGGAGGGCGTTGATATCTGTGCGGAATATGAGCGACGCACCGCCACGCGTGACAGTTTTGACGCCTGCCTGAATTGGAGGAGACGATCTCCCTTGACACACGAGATTGCCTTTGAGAACGACCGCCTTCCCGGTTCTGAGAAGCCTGATGGCTATGGAGGATGGATGCGAACATGTCCTCCTTTGTACTGAAGGCTGGGTGATGCAGCCGGCCGGAGGGACCCTGGATGCGCGGGTGAGTTGACCGGCATGGGCAGCGAGAAAGGGTTCAGGAAACGCACGAAGGGACCGGCGTCGACTCTATTCAAGATTTCCCGCGCGAGATCATCTCGGCGCAGGTCCGATATCAGGCCTTGGGCCCTCGGGTCGGGAGAGGCGAGGATGGCTCCGAGAATCGACTCGACGTGGTGCCACCGTTGTTCGATCGCGTGGATGTAGCCTTTCGGAGGGCCGCGTTTGTACCCGGGACCGAGGAAGGTGCATTCTAACGCGCGACGTATTAGCGTGGGTGTCCGAAGGCGAGGAACGGAGGAATCTGCTGACCGAGATCGGCGACCGCGCAGCTTTTGCAGGGTGCATTGTCGTTGAGCCCGCGCTCGCACTTGCTCTTGGTCTTCCGGCACTGGTCGCACGCTGGGACGGACGATGAGGGTGGGCCGGAGATGGACGGGGGGGCGGACGCTTACCGCGACTGCTGCGTTTCCTGCTCGCTGCCTCTGCCTGGGCCTCGTTGAGGGCTTCTTCGTCGGACGGGTCAGAGTAGCGCCGCTCGCTGGACGTCGGGCAGTGGTGGTACGAAGATGAAGCGGCCGAGTGCATGGCGTATTGGAGGGATGCCCCGCCCGTGCGTCACTTCTTAAACCTCTTTACTACCCCCGCCTTCGGACGCATGGTCCATGTAATCGCTCGTGGGGGACCAGGAATGCGGCGATAGGGACAAATACAAGCCCGAGCGACGGAGCGAATTTCCCGGTACGGACTGAGGCGGTATTCCTGGGCCTTGCCACACGTATTGGCCCGATGTGGGCGGATTCGAGACGCGGGCCCAGCTCTGGGGATGCGACTCGGGCGGGTAGGAGGCATATTGAGGCGATGGGACAGGCGGGAAGTGAGCGCTCACGGGGCTGTAATACTGCTGCGAACCCGACTTTAGGACAAGGTTTTGAGTGTCGTATGGGGTTTGCGACATCGCATGTGCGTCGCAGCTTGCTCTCCTGTGCACGTCGTTCACCTTGTGGCAGGCAAATATGATGCAGCCTGCGCGTTCGATTAGCGAGCCGGGTCCGACAAGCGGATCTTTTTTTTCGAGGGAACGCACCATAAGCGATAACCAGCAAGGGGGGTTTCCGCCAATCTTGGAGATGACGGCAATTCATGAACAAAGCATAATGGCCAAGATCTCCGGCCCCTGAGCCTGAACTCCAGCGCCAATCTGACCACGTGCCGAAAGCTTGTCGTTTTTTCGTTATATACGCAAAGAGCATAACAGAAAAGCGACAAGCTTCAGGCACGTGACTACGTTGGCATCGCAAGTTCAACTCCATGAGCATCAAGCTTAAGCAAAGTGACTCTGTGGTATCATTGTATACATTAGTGTTCTGGCTGTAGTGTCTCTTGATTGGTAGGTTCTCCTATACTTGTCAATGTGTGCCCAACCACAAAAAGTACACTTTCTTTGTATAGTTGATTGATCATGTGAACCTGGGAAATAAATGTGGGTATTCCGGGCATGACCCGTGTGTTGCATGTCGCCACATATCATACCTAATCGCTGACTCCATCGTCCTCTCAAAGCTGCAGCCCAGGTGCGCAAGTAGACTTGACCCGCACAATGCAGAAAGCTTACTGCCAGAATGTAGACATGAATGCTCTATACAGCTACCTTGGGAGCAGCACCAGTGATGGGGGGCGCAGAGCCAGCCGTCGGAGTGGCGACAGTGATGGTCCCAGTGAGTCTACACAGATCTTGAATCACCTATGCAACATACAGACCCACCTATTCTGCTGAGTCAGGTTGCCCGTACAGCACTTTTATGCGCATGAACCGCACTATCGTCCGACTCCAGGCAGAGAACTTCGCGCTGCAGGCAGAGAATCTGAGGCTGGCTGGGGTTGTGAAGTCTTGGGACAAGGAGCTGGCGCATAAGATTCGCAACCTGTAAAACCCATCGCATTGGCAACTATGTTCCTTCACTTGTCTTTGAAAGCAGGGATACAAGGATAGAACACAGGGTCGTGAACGCTCTGAAGCTGGCTGATTGCCTGGCTCAGGTTGCACAGTGTTATTTGTAGAGACGCACATGAGAACAACTACAGTCATAACATTTATGCTACATGTAAATGATGCACGAAGGGACACACTTGGCGAGAAGTGAAATGCAGAGAGGGTACATGGTCGACGAACAAGCCCGCTATGCCCACCCCCACCGCCTCAGCAAGGTGTCCACATCCAGTTCAGCATGCCGAATAGAATCATCATTTACGATCGAGCTTAGAAGGTGGTCTGGTGGACACGAGAGGTAGGATTGACAGTGCACTATAGTATACCATAGAACATAGCCGCTCTGGACTATTAACATGGATGAACAATAACACTATTTATGCTACCTCTGCGGTCTTCATCAGCTGCCTTTTTCCCCCGATTGGTTCGATGTATGCTGCAAGGAGAGCCTTGAGATCATTCACTCCAGCAGCGGCAACGCTAGCCTCCACCGGAGAGAGGCTACTACGATCTTCAGGCAGGCGCTCGGGCTTGACGATTACCTTCAACATATGATAGAGTCGACTTGTGTTCGTATCTAAGGAATTGAGATGAAGGGCCATGTGGTCGTGGGCCTTATGACAGTCGCGGACCAATGTCCGGCTATTGTTGAACGATCCCCTAGCGTTAATGCCCATCCAGGAAAGTACATGGTCGGATTGGATTGGATCACCGTGTGGCGTGATCCCAGGTCTTTTTGGATGGGTAGTGCTCATCCCGAGGCCATCAATGACCCTTTTCCAGGTACGCACGAGCTGAATGTTTGTGTAAGCGGTGCCATAGACAGCAGGGGATGTTTGAAGACGGATGGCGTAGGCCTTCTCATCAGGGAATCGTGCGTCCAGGTAAGCAAGTACCGCTTCTGGAATAGGTGATGTTGCTGTTGCCGTCCTGCCCGAGGTAGGTGGGACACTGGGAGTGTTCTACGGACAGCGACCGGAGATTAGCTATGGTATAGCGGTACGTATAACTGATTGCGTACCATGATAGGCCGTACTTCAAGCCAAAAGAGCTCGCGTTCCTCTGCCAAAGAGTAGCGTTGATAAAACTCTTGTGTACCAGCGACGGTCCTATCGCATGGTAGGCATGCCACCTGCTGGTCGTCCGAGGATAAAGGAAGGGGGCCGATGACGTGAAATTCAGATCCGGTTTCGGGCGAAGGAACGGTGCAGTAGCCAAGGTGATATCCACTTGCAGATAGGATAGAGGTTGATGACTCTCTGAAGCTGTCCAGTAACTGCAGAGCACCAATGATCTGGCTAACTGATGGTGAAAGCGAGATGGACGATGGAAGGTCAACGTGCCGGTAAACTCCATAGCGTGTTTCTCCCTGGATTTGCGAGCCAAAGACTATGGCAGCTGGGATGAGAAGAGGGGCATGGTTGGGAAGGAGCTCGTGCATAGCGGAAAAAGCGGCAAGTAAGTCTTGACCAATACGATCAAGGGAGATTGGAGGACGGGCCGGCACGGTATAATCTGGGACTACAGCAAGGGGGTGGTCTGATGTGTTGATGTTATCAGGGCGATCTGCCGTTTCTCCAGGTGTAGGGTCACCAGCAAGGTCCTCTGTGTCCTGGACATCGCCTAAGGTCGTAAACTCATTCCAGTATGTTGATCCCCCTGGATTGGATAGGTCAGTGTTCATCATGGTGTGGTAACTTGCTTGCGCTCACCATGTTCGCTATCTGGGCTGTAAGGTGCATCTGGCGTGATGTTCGACTGCATGCCAGTATTGATGAACAACGCAGTTGCATTATGGCAGGCCTCTTCGCTGTCAGATGAGGCTATAAGGTGGTCAGCATAATGCTAAGCTGGGATTGGTGATCCAACGTACGCTGTGTCAGAGGTGACATTGAAAGTGGTGAGGTGGGAGTTGGGGATGATTGCAAATGTTCTGCAGGTGATTGTGCATTGCGCCTACGATGGACTGCCACGGATGAAGGAGGAGCAGTAGAGTTGTTCTGAAGACGCCGCTGGGCACGGGCAGCTCGAGCAGCAGCTTGCTCGGATGAGCGGGGAGCCATACAAGAGAGAGCAGATTTTTTTTGAGCGAAGGGGGGGCCTAAGAATGTCGCACGCCACGGGAGGTCGAATCAGTGCGACCAAATTCAAAAGTGGGACAAATCTGGCCCTGCACCTTGACCTTCGCTAGCATTGTCTTCAAGCTTGCAGATATACTGATCCTATGTATAACCGCATCTTTTGCATGAGGTGGAGGCTTGTGCACGGTATGGGTTGAGCGAGACCGTATGGATTATGCTTACCTCCTGAGTGTAGCCCTCATGAAGGCTGGGATCACTGACGAGGATTGCCTATCGGTGATCACAACCTATCTTGGAAAGAGAATGGTCATGACCTACAGCATGTGGCAAGAAGGTGTCATTGGTAAGTAAATTGGAGGAAGGGTCAGACATGTCGGTACACAAGACTGACTTACCATGCAACGACTATCAGGAGGAAAAGCGGTTATCCCAGACATGGGTGGAGAGGCATTGGGAAGGTGTCATCCAAGGTACGCTTAAAGGTGATAGAGCAGGTGAGTAAATCAGAGGACATCCTGGACATCCTGTACACCGGACTGACATACCATACAGCGACAACGATGACATTTGGTGATGCCAGAGGTGGGCAAAGAGGCATTGGGGAAAGAGCATCAAAGTATAATTGGTGATAGGGTAGTTCTGAGGTTGACAATTGAGGAAAATGAGTTCTTGCATCGCCGCTGAAGCTATGTGCGAGGCAAAATATTTTGAAGCCAAGCCACTGATCAGTGCGCACACACCGCTGAGTTACTAATCTGAGAAAGAATGAGAGCAGACTGGAAGTATAATGTTGAATGTATGTAGACCAGACCAGGAGAAACACTTTGACGACATGCGGAAGCAAATTTGCTTCCGTGGGAGGAACGATTACCATCCTGAGAACAGAATGTCGGTGGCACAATCGTCATCCTGAGAACAGAATGTTGGTGGCTCACACAGTACAGCTCATTAAGGGTTATAATACATAAAGCTAGAGAATAGACGGTCGCCAAAACAGGGAGCAACATAGCAGAGCCTGCTGCCATAACATACGCCGTACTATCATATTTGATGAGTGTATGTCAACAGTCGCATGGAGATGCTGAGTTAGAGTAGCAAGCTCTTGCGCTGATAAGGGACAGTTGGGAGCGTCGCAAACAACCTCTGAGAGCTGGGAGGGAGTGGTGGTCGAGGAGAATGGATTTGTATCTTCCCATTGATCGGGATTATGCTCGAGGTGATGCTGCATGATCTCCGTGTCTGCCATGGCCTCCCAGTCAATACCATATGACTGCACTTCATCTGCATCAAGGTCGTCATCTTCGGGGGCTAATATGGTCGAGATTCCTCGTGGCCCCTGTTGAACCATTCCAAATGTGAACATGTCTCGAGGGCTACGTTCACGCTCGCCTGCAATCTGGAGCTTGTGGTTATTCCAGGTGCGTGCCCACTCATGTGCGTCTTGATTTATGCACTCCAGGAATAGAAAGTGTAAGAGCCAGATATGCTCGGAACGTGTTGGAATGAGGCCATAGTTTGCTTCTAGTTCAACAAAGAACTTCTTCCACTTTCTTCCAAAGCCGTTTGTAACATCGCACCACAGACGCTCGATGCGGGTATTGTGTACGCTTCTGTGACCAAGTGTTACTAGAATATTCATATATATGGTGTGATTTGCTTGTACTTACTTTCCCCATATATATGAGCCACGTCCATGGCCATGGTGCTCCTCCATCCACCGTGCGATGAGGACATTTTCAGTGCCATGGTCTCCACGAACCCGGCTAGGAATTCCATGTTGTAGAACTTCCTCGGTGAACAGAGCCAGGACAGTATCTGCACGATTGTTATTGCTTGCACGTATACCTGTCACGAATCGAGAAAAGCCGTCAATGAAGCAGTGTATGACAATTTTGTAACGTATAAGACCTGTGTATTGCATGTTAGTACGGCTACGGAGAGAAACTAAATATGTAATCCACCATGCTGTCCGTCATGATGAGCAAGTGAGTTAGGTCCAGGAACGCGATACCATTTACGTTCGATAGGACGGTGTCCAAATATTCCTGGGGCACCGTGAACCCGGAGATATGAAGCTGCAATGCGATTACGGGTAACATGGTGTCCATGAGCTTCAAGATAACCTGCGATCATCCGACGTCCAAACATTGGAAATGTGGTGAGAATGTTGGTCAAATACATATCGAGGTCGGTGTCGGTTAACTCGGAGTGTGAGGACTGCCTTCCAGGGTAAATCTGAACCTGAGATTGGTCCGGTTGGTGTATGGTGCGGCGTACAGCAGGCCCTGGTGTAGCAAGTCCAAGCTCAAGTAGCCGTCGGCGAATGGTACGCGCAGAACATTGGAACACCTCCGCTAGATGAGTGACACCACGGAGAGTTATGGCATGGGCAAGAAAGTTTGGGTCGATATGGACACGGGGACGACCACGTTCAGTTGTGTGAACACGTTCTGAAACTGTGATGGACGTCGAGTCTGGTGGGTCGCTAGAGCCATAGCATGCTTCGTCGAGATGCTCAAGCATACATGCAATGCTTGATTGGAGGGTAGCATATTCTTCGGCTGAGAATAGTGCCGAGTGCTTCACCGCATGGTGCTCAATCCAATGAAAACATAATAGAAGGCGACTCAAGCTTACTTGATCTGCGGCAATTGCGAGGGATATGGCTTGAGCTTGAACATGGCGCAAACGCTCTGCATCACCCACTTGGGTTCGTAATGCTGTTGATACCCACTCAACCAGGACAACATGAGCTGCTCGGATATGATTGACTTGGTCGCCCATAGCTTTAAGTGTAGTGTAGGACTCTACACTGGAGACTGCATTCATGAAGTCATCACATGGAGTACAGCCACATAAGGCATAATACACTTGGATGAAACCGAGTGAAAATCTACAGATATCAAAGGAGGATGCAGTGTTACACCTCATATTAATGTGCATGAAAACGAGTGAAAGTGAGTGAATTTGGATGAACACACGTTTGGAATGCAGAATGAAACTGCATGAAAATGGATGAAAACGGATGAAAGCAGATGAAAGCAGATGAAAGCAGATGACATTCCATGTTGATGAAAATGGATGAAAACGGATGAAAACGGATGAAAGTGGGTGATTATGAGTGAAAAGTGAAATGCGATGAAAATGTGTACACTGCCACAGGAGCACATCTCTACCAAACAGCAGATGAATCTGAGTGAATCGGAGTGAAATCAGATGAAATCAAGTGAATTTGGATGATTTGCAGTGAATATGAATGAAATCGAATGAATATGGATGAATTTGCGTGAATTACAGAAAAAACAGCTATTATTGTCCGATACGGCCCGGGAAAGATTGCCTCTTCGGTGCCAAGTAGCTACGGGTAGGTAGCTATGTTGCCAGCAGGATCCATTGATTACGGGAGCACGCGTGAACTGATGTTACAATACAAGATATTCGATTATTGTACAGGATGTTCCACAGAAAGACAGAGTCGATATACTACACACGCCGTATCATCCGAATCGTACCCTCACCTGATCCGGCAGATGTCTCCTAGTGCCCGTTGATCTTGATACCCTTCATACCGGCATCGGCGCCAGCCCGCTCAATTGGCGGCAAACCCAGCTTCTGCAAGTCCGCATTGACCTCGTCGAGGCGCTCAATGAACGTCGCCTTGAGCGGATTCCACATCTTCGGATCGTGCTCGTGCTGTACCGTCACCAGGGTGGTGGTGAACAATCTGCAGAGCGCGATAGATAGGCGCACCCGCTCACCTTGACCCCAGACCGGTTGAAGGCAAAATCTGTGATCGTAAATGGACGCGACGATTCGAACATGAACGCTATAGTGCCCTCCGAGATCCACTGCGGCGCGAGCTCCGTCTCCGTCGCGGCCTTCCACTCCTCGTACGCGACACCGTGCGGTACAAATCCGCACTCGTAGCTCATGCCACCTGGCTGCGAACAATTTCCGATCATTTTAAGATCACAAGACGATGCTGGCTCTTGGTCACCTTGAATTCGTCAGAGCGACCGCCGTAGTTGCCCCTGATCAATCCCATGAGCTCGGATGCGACGTTGCGATGGAAGTAAGGCGGGCGGCTGTATGGGCACCCAATCAGCACGGAGATGTAACAATAACACCAAGGGTACTTACTAGGTGTTGTTGGCGACATCCCATCTCGGGCTGAAGATTAGGAAGTCCGCCAGGGGCGTGCCGGGCACGGCAGAGGGCACGGTCAGCACGCAGACTATATGATATAAGGTGTTGTTGGTCAGATGAGGCCCTTGACGAAGCAATATCTGCTCACATATCGAGGGGTCAATGTGGTCCACGCTGATTGAGCCCACGTTCACGAAACGCTCGAGGTTATACTTGTACGGCGCGTAGTCGCCTGGCAGCGCGCATATCAGCGAGCATAGAAAAAAGGTTGCCACGAAGACATACCATGCCAAGCCACGACGTCGAAAGGAGAGTGCTCTTGCGTGCACTCGTGCAGCTCGCCCAGAATCTTGTACGCGATCCGCCAGCCTGACAGAACGTGGAATATAGCCCGCATCCCGCGACCGCGAAGGCGATTCATACTCACCCTCTTGATCGAGCTCGAACGCCGCGACGGGGTACTCAAAGTCGCGCTCAAGCGCGAGGCCGCTCCGACCCAGCGGCCCGCGCTCGGGCAGGTCGTACGCGGCTCCGAACACCTCCTGGATGTAGCCTCTCGCCTTCCCGTCCGGGAGCGCGATCCGGAACCGGATCCCGCGAGGAATGACACAAATCTCGCCGTTGTGGACCATGAGGCTGCCGAGCTCGGTCCGGACGTCCAACCGACCCAGTTCGGGCACGATGAGCATATGCCCGTCGTTGTTGCAGAACGCGCGCCTCGTCATCGAAGCGTTGCACATGTCTGAACACGCAGTCATGGCCGTGATCAGCTCAGGTGATGGCAACTATCGAAGGTAGATGCGTACATACGTGCACGGCGATTCCCTCCTTGTGCGAGGGCTCGCCGCTGCCTGCGCAGGTCTTGATGCCGTCAACAAAATCAACACTGACATCATCGGGAGGCATCTTGAAGGGCGTCCAGGCGAGCTGCGTAGGCGAGACGTGGACCTTGGGGTTCAGGGTGGAGAAGTTGGACTCGAGCTAGAACGACGGAACATGTAGAGTCAGTGTCATCGAAGGAAAGGTGCTGGGGAGACGGACATCGGGGTTCTGCTTCAGCTTGGTGAACCCTTGGTGTGCAACGGCAGGGCGGATGCGATACACCCAACTGATTCATAAGTGCAAGGTCAATTCGCACAGGCAAGCCAACATCGAGCTTGCTCACTCACGTGCGCTGGTTCTGTCTCCTCGGCGCGACGAATGCCGTACCGGACAGCTGCTCGCAATAGAGCGAGTCTAGATAGAGGCAGGTTGAGCACCCCTCGCATCCGATCCGGCGGGTTGAATCGCCTTACACTTAACCTTTAGAGGGTTGTTTTGGCCCTTGGGCAGCACCCCGGGGATGGCCTCGCTCGCGAACGAGTTGCCGAACCCGTTCTGGTAAATGTACGGATCGTTCTTCTCGAGGTTGGTAACGTGCAGCGCGCCCCTAGCGGACGTCATCTTGGCAAGGGTAGGAGAAGCGGAGAATTGGCGATCAGAGCAAACGGTTTGAAACCGGACAGCGCGTCTCAGATAGACAGGGGCAACGCGTCCCGGCAGCGGGGTCGCAAATCGGAGGTTGCTCATTCCTCGAGCACATCGCAGGGCTTTATGGGCCATGGCGGCCGGGAAGATGGTTTGTCACCCGGTGATTGTCGTTTCCAACGTACCAGCCACGAGCGATAGGTTTAAGTATGTTGCCGACGCATCGGTGAGAGCATCTGAACGCAGATGGACGCTACGTCAAGTGGACACCCTCACGGGACGCACGTCAACTGACAATCGCGGAGGGTTAAACAGTGACGCCGACGGGCGAGGACCGGAGCCAGGTGGCAGGAAGGTATGGTGGACAGAAGCGGCCAGGTTAGGCAAGCGTGATGCGTGAGTACATTCACGCTCATCAGCAGGCTTCTAGAGCAAGACCATGGCATTGCTCAGGGTAGGGCGACAATCTTGCCCGGAGAAAAGTTACCTAGTAACCTTGAGTGAATGGTCTCTAAGATGATGATCGATAGTCATCCGTGACAGGCTGTTGAAGGCCCGGGTGGACATACGTCGCAAATTCATTGAATGATTCGCCGGTGGGTGTTCGGTGAGAGTTCAACGGTCCAGAGCTATGACACAAGCTATTGAGACTGAAATCAACTGCACAAGGCAGAGTACTTGCTCTCCCAGCGATGTGTAGGTCGATATGTTTGGTGGCAGGACATGCAAACAGAAAAGCGGCATGGGCCGATGCCGGGGAAGGTGGGGAAGGGCAGGACCCCGAGTGAGGCGACAATGCACAGCGGGGATCCGGGGTCCCGTGGCCCTCCGTTTCGTTGACCAGAGCCGCATCGCGCGCGCACCGTTCGAGCCCTCCGCTGCATCCTTCCAAGTCGTTCCTTACATTCATCTCCTTCTCTACTACCAACACAGCAAACATGGGCGCAAATCTTTCCAAGGCATTGGGTGAGCCCTCCCTTCCGCCTTGGCGCCCTCACCCCGCGCGATGCGTGTGGGCTACCCACGGTTACCCGGCGGGCTAACCTCGTTTGCACGTTTGTTGCAGGGAAAATCTTTGGGAACAAAGAGATGAGGCTCCTTATGCTGGGTCTTGATGCGGCAGGAAAGACCAGTACGCAGTTTCGCGCTCCGCAAGATAATCAGGCGCTGACGCTTTTCCAGCTATCCTGTACAAGCTCAAGCTGAACCAGTCCGTCACCACCATCCCCACCGGTAAGAAAACGTTTCATGCTACTATGTTCCAATGCGCGCTCACCTTATTCCCTCCCGTTAGTCGGCTTCAATGTCGAGACCGTGACGTACAAGAACGTCAAGTTCAACGTTTGGGACGTCGGCGGACAGGACAAGATTCGCCCGCTATGGCGGCACTACTACACCGGAACCCAGGGCCTCGTATTCGTGGTCGACAGCCAGGATAGGGAGCGTATAGACGAGGCGAAGCAGGAACTGCATCGGATATTGAGTGACCGGGAGATGAAGGAGTGCTTGTTGCTGGTGTTCGCGAACAAGCAGGATCTGCCTGGCGGTACGTCCGTTGACTAACCCCCTTTAGTCGTGTTCATCGACGTCCTTCGCAGCCATGTCACCGGCGGAGGTCACTGAGAAGCTCGGCTTGCACCGGATGCGCGATCGGTCCTGGTATGTTCACCCCAGGTGCGTTCTGTTTCTCTTTTTGTCTTCTGTCTCCATACTTGTGCCTGACTCCACGTCCCTAGTTGTGCCACTACTGGCGAGGGTCTCTTCGAAGGTCTCCAATGGCTGTCGCAAAACGTCAAGAAGCGCCAGCAGTAGACGGCTAGCTCGTTCTTGCCCCTCCCGGATTCAATCACGCTATTTCTGGTCTTCCACAACTTCGTTTCGTGTTTGGTTCGATACCCCCGGTACCGTGTACATTTTTTCGACTACCCAACTGTCCTCTTCTTGCGTTACGACCCGCACGATGACGCAACGACACGGACGGTCTCCTACACGTCTTCCCCCATAGTATTCGGCCGCGCACCCGGAAATCATGTCCTCCACCCTCAACGTCTCGCCGACCCCGACTTGATATTTCCCTCTGCCTGCTTATTCCCTCGAGTACACATCGTTTCCTGACTTAATTGTAGTTGCACATACAATAATAGATGGTATGCGCTGGATGATGGGTCCTTCATAGTATCATACTATAAGCCCGGAGTCGTCAATGGTGTTCCGACCCTGCGATGATCCGCGCTCGGTGTTTGCGCCTGTGATCACCGAGAGCCGATGTACACCGGGGCGCGTCTAGTGCTCAAGATGACGCCTTCGCTCATGACAAGGTCTCGGGCTGCGTTCTCATGCACAACTGTTTCTTCTACTCAGTTGTTATCCTGCGCAGTGGAAGATGCTGTCTAGTGTCCTGAGGCCGTCGACCTGTGTCGCCAGGACGGCTTGGCGAGCGTTCACCTCACAACCTGTCGATGGGTTCACCGGCGCGGTCGGAAACACGCCCCTCGTAAGCATGAACGTGCCCTTACGCGATACGACGTTCATTTCTTGTCGCAGATCAGGCTGAAGCAATTGTCTGAACGGACCGGCTGCACGATCCTCGGCAAGGCCGAATTCCAGAACCCGGGCGGTAGCGTGAAGGACCGCGCCGCGCTGGGGGTCATCAAGGCGGCGGAGGAGTCAGGTCGGTGAGTGCTGCGCTGCTCTAACTCGGTTTTCTTGTCCACTCACTCGCTCCTCCTGACAGGCTTCAGCCAGGAGGAACGGTTGTTGAGGGTACGGCTGGCAACACCGGCATCGGCCTCGCTCACGTCTGCCGCGCAAAGGGCTACAAATGCGTCATCTACATGCCCGACACACAGGTATGTCCGGTTGCGCCCTCGAAATGGTCATCCTGAGCCCTCCACTCACGACCCTTCCACAGAGCAGAGAGAAGATCGAGCTGCTGAAGATGCTCGGCGCCGACGTCCGGCCCGTACCCGCCGTCGCGTACGACAACCCGAAGAACTACAACCACCAGGCGCGCGACTTCGCTGCGGGAACGCCGAACGCGGTCTGGACGGACCAATTCGACAACGTCGCGAACGCGCGCGCGCATTACGAGAGCACCGGCCCGGAGCTCTGGGCGCAGACGGACGGCAAGCTCGACGGCTTCGTGTGCGCAACGGGCACCGGTGGCACGCTCGCCGGCGCGGGGCGGTATCTGAAGGAGGCGAGCAAGGGCAAGACGCAGGTGTGGCTCGCGGACCCACCCGGTAGCGTGTTGTATAGCTACGTGACGAGCGGCGGGAAGCTGAACGAGCGCAGCGGAAGTTCTATCACGGAAGGTGGGTGCTGAGAAGGATCGGCCCAGTGGGTTCGCTCATATAGTCTGTTAGGCATCGGCCAGGGCCGCATCACCAACAACCTAGGAACGCTAGTCAAGGACCTCGACGGTGCACTTCATATTCCGGATGAGCAAACGATCGCCATGATCTACGAACTTCTGGACACAGCGGGGCTATACCTCGGCGCGTCGTCCGCTCTGAACGTCGTGGCTGCCGTGGAACTCGCGCAAAAGCTCGGCAAGGGTACGTCTACCGTCGCTGAATCGCGATCATCCGCTAACATGGACGCGTTCCAGGGTCGACCGTTGCCACCATTCTCTGCGACGGTGCATACCGGTATCAAAGCCGGTTGTTCTCCAAGACGTGGCTAAAAGCCAAGGGCCTCGAGGCTGCCATACCGGAACACTTGAGAAAGTACGCTGTGCTGGATTGAGTTCGCCGCAATATACATGTGTGCACCCATACTTCGACTAAACGCAAGAACTTGCGGGAAGCAACAACGATATTCAATTCATTCTCAACGGATCGGTCAGTGCTACATATAATAGCTACATAAGTAGGATAGATAAGTGTCAAATAGCGTGCAGCTTATCCAAAGCATGTGAAGATGTCCGAGAAGGGTAGAAAAGACAACCAAGAACAACCACAGATCAGTCTACAGTCATGAATGTCATCGTGAGGTGTCGCATCGGAGTCGTTAATGAAGAGGTCAAAGCGTAGAGGCCATGCTCACGGTACAAAGATTATAGGCCCATAGCAGACGCAATGGAAGGAGCCACCGATCCATGACGTTGTCGTTCCCAAAGCTTGTCCTTCGCGCGGACCTCGATATTGGCAAACGGCTCGTCTTGGGTGACCTTGACGCAGTCCCGTGTTGCCAGCACCAGAAGCTCAAAGAAGAACGACGACGCCGCCCGTCGAGATGCCTGCGAAATCCAAATCAGCTACGAGCAAACATCGAATGAGGGCTGCGGTTGGTTACCTTGTGCGACAACTGCTCAAAGCTCAACACCTTGTCGGCCTCCTCATCCTCCGCCGTTGGCCGCAGCTCCCTGCGAATGAGACCGAGCGCCTTCACCGTGTTCCTGCTGTAGCCCTTGCCCTCATCAACCACTTCGGCATCCCTGTCTAGCTCCGAGCTGGTCTGCTGTGACTGCTGGGATGGACGCGAGTCGAAGCTCGCGATGGGGCAGCTCGCGTCGGCATACGACGGTTCGGCATCGTCGAACAGCGCGGGGGTGGACAACCGCGACATGCGGCTGCGCTCGGACGGTGCGACAGACCCGCGCCCCAGGTCCTGATCCGCAGGAGGGATATCGAGCTGGAAGTCGTCGATAGCCATACCCGTGTCGTCTACGCCACCGAAGGTGATATCCTCCGGCGCGACGCTGCCTCGCCCTATGATGCTCCCCAACCCCATACTGGGCGCTACACTGGCCCTCCGCGCCTGCTCAATCTCGTCCTCGTCCTCCAAGCCGCTACCCTCGTCAAGCTTCGCCTTCTTCTTGCCCTTGTCCTTACCCGGCGACGCCGCGCGCTTCTTGCCGGCGGGGAACCCGACGGGCTCCATGAATAGCTCCGCAAGCTCGGGTGCCAGGCCCGGCGGCGCGCCGCAGAAGAAGGTTCCCTCAGCAGTGGTCCGGGTGGGCATGAAGTGCGCCAGGGGGTCCTCACGGATCTCCATCAGACGCATCACGATGGCAGAGCGGGGCAGGAACTGCGGCTCGGCGAGGATGTCGCTGATGTCCTTGTTGACGGGTCCGAGGCCGCCCCGCCCGCGACCGGTCTTGGGCCCCGGACCATCTGCAAGCTCGGTTACGCTGTCAATAATCTGCTTCTTCTCCTTAATTTTGCGCTGCTTCGTCGCCACCTCTTCCGCCGCTGCTTCGCCGTCGGCGACGGCCGTGGCGCGCGGTGTGAGGAGGACATCGGGTTCGGCTTCGTGAGGCGGAGGCGTGGCCGGAGGTTCGGAAAGGGGAGAGACTGTAGGCTAAGATTAGTATATGCGAAAAAGGGGTGCGCGATAGGGTTCCGTACGAGGTGAGCGCGTTTGACCCGGCGTTCCTGGTTGCTCCTCGTCGAAAGTGAGACCGAGGTCCAGATCCATTTGTTCACCGGGCGCAAAACCGAAGTCACCAAAGTCGTTTCCGAAAGGGTGCTCAGACGGTGCGCGGCTGCGGTTGCTCATCAAGTCGTCCATATCCACATCTGGTTTTCCGAGGAGCTCAGAGCCGAAACTTTCCCTCGGGCCTCTCCCCACCGCCGCATCTCGTCCCACTTCTATGCTGTCGGCATCTTCAGACCGTCGTTCTTCGTCGTCTTCGAAGGAGATACCCAGGTCGACCTCGAAATCGTTCGAACCAATGCCGTCGGAAGGTCCCAGGTCGAAGCCGAGACCACCATCTGAGAACTCGAACTGGAGGTCGTCGGCGGAGGCGAGGGTGATGTCCGCTTTGCGAGCGACATGTTGCTGGTTCGTAGGCTTGGGCGCGAACTGCTCGTCAAGGTCTAGATCCCTGTTGAAAAGGTTGAATAACGTCCAATGAAACAAGATTATGTCGGCTTGCCAGTTAAGGTCAGGGAGGACAAGGTCGATGTCGAACCCATCCCCTTGGAGAGTGATAGCGTTTTTGTTGACTTCCATCTCTCGGTCCGTCATATCCACAACACCTGGGCGGAAGGCCTTTGCAACGTTCAGCGAGTTGTCCACGTGCATCACACGACCCGGAGACAGACCATTTTAATCTTCAAGAGTGCTTCGTTACAGTCGTCGAGGAGGTATTTAGCCTTGCGGCTGTAGATCCGGACCACACCAAGGAGAAGTTGACCGCTCAATCGGAGTGCCATGACCTCGATCTCCTGCCCCATGATTGCGTCTGGACCAAAGATCAGTTAAGCACAGTTTTCAAGACGCGAATCAACGTACCAACTGATTGCTCAATATCCGTTTGTAATGTCTGCGCTTTCGAGAGCTTGCGCTCCATATGGGCCGCCAGCCATACTTTGGCTAGGGGCCCTCGCTTGGATAGAATTGCGTCCGAGTAGAACTGTTGCCTACGAGTCAGATGCAGTAGGCCTTGATCAAGTATTGCTGACCATGTTGGGTATATGGAATCAAGCCAAGAAGGTATCGCAGAGGCGGATGCGCCCGTCGCGGTTGTGGCGAAGGATAAGGCGCGAACGGTCACGCACAATGGCATCACGGACACGAGTCGAACCGCGCCCGGCCAGCCTCTGTCCCAGACGCTGACGCGCCCTCGACGCGCTAATTCGGACTCCGACGAAATTTACCCTTCGTCCTCCGACCGCCCCGCACCCGCCCCGGCCATCCGCGCTCGCTGTCCGCGCTTGCTCGAAGGTCGACCGATGCTCTCCAATGCCTCCAGGAACGCATTCAAGCGGTCCTCGAGACTAGCTTCGTCATCTTCCGCCGCCATCTCTGCGGCCGACCTTGGTGCGCACGCTTGGCGTTGTCTCCTCACAGCGCGTACTTACACGACGAGCCAGCGTGGCCTGGGAGGAATGCATCCTTCCGCTCACAAAACAGCGAGGGACGCGACACTCACCGCCCGGGACGGTTACGGGACCAAGTCTTCCATTTCGAGCCCGACACGGCATACCAGGGCGGAGACCGGGGTGCGGGATCCACTCAACGGTATAATTTCCAGATCGCCCGGGTGGTGGACGACCGCAATGCGATCAGAGCCCTGAGGATAGCTCTGGAGATGAAGCAAAATGGTGTAAAGCCTGACCTGACGACGTACAACCACCTACTGCGCGCGCTTGCTGCAGAAGGACGGTACGCGGAGGCTTGGGCGGTGGTGGAGGACATGCAACGCCTCGGTATCCGACCCAACCGTTTGTCGTGTCACCATCTCATGCATGTAACTATCACTACGCTCTTTCCCGTTGCCGCGGCTGATCAAGCGGTGCGCAGGCCGCACGGTTTGAGGACACCCGCCAGACTTGGCGCGTATTCCACTTCATGGAGGAGCAAGGAGAACAGATTAACGAGGAGTCGTACGGCCACCTGATAGACCGCAGCTGCCAGGCGAGGAACTTGGAGATGTGTCTGCGATTATGCGCAGAGGCCGAGAGCAGGGGTCTCGTACCTACTTTGCCTGCAGTAGAAGCCACCATCCGTCTCGCGGCGGAGCTAGGTTACGCTCGCCTCGCCATCGAGCTCGCAGAAGATTTTGAGACGAAGTCTGTTCGGAGGATATCACCGGCCACCTGGATTGCTTGTCTAGAATCATCGGCGGAAGCCTTATACGTACGTCCACTCGCCTCCTCTGTACACCGTATTTCCCTGATCTCCTTCACTCACAACAGAAAGAAGGCGTCGCGGAGTGCTGGCACAAGGTTGTCACCGAGTTCCACATCACCCCACACGAAGGCGTCTGCCTAGCCGTCCTCCACACCGCCGCACGACACGGTATCCCAGCGTTGGCCAACGACGTTCTCAAGCAACTCACCACCCTCCAAGTCCCGCTCCAGGAGTACCACCTCGCCCCCGTCCTCGAAGCGTTCGCCGCCGAAGGCGAGCTCAAGGCGGCATTCGGCGTGCTGAGCATGATGCGTTCGATCGGCGCAACTCCGACGTTGCAAACCACGACCACGGTTCAGAACCTCGTCGCGAAGGACGCCGACGCGGTCGACCGAGCGTGGACGGCGCTCGAGGAGATTCACGCAGGCGGCGAACCCGTAGACGTCGTCGCTCTCAACACCGTCTTGGAATGCTGCTCCCGGCTCCAAGATCTGCAACGCGCCATCGGCATCTATAAAGCGGCGAAGGACCTTGGCGTTGAGCCCGACGTCACGACGTACAACATCCTGTTCGCCGCCTGCACCCACCTAAAGCACCGCGAGCTCGGCGACAAGCTCCTAGAGGAGATGCGGGCTGCGGACATTCAGCCTAACCATGACACGTACCACCGCTTCATTCTGCTCTGCCTCACGCAGCACAACTACGAGGACGCGTTCTTCTACCTCGAGGAGATGAAAAAAGCCGGGTTCAAGCCGCCCATGGACGTCTACCAATCGATCATTCGCAAATGTGTCGCCCACAAAGATTCCAGGTACAACATCGCCGTGGAGGAAATGGTGGAGTGTGGGTATCCCCTCACCCAGGCGCTTCAGGACTATATCGACTCCGGTGGCAAGCCAACTAAGACTACTGCCCACCAGGAGACGGCGCCGGAAGAGGAAGAGGAAGAGACGAACCACGCTTCAATCGAGGAGAAGGCCAGTCAGTTTATGGCTGACCTTGCTGAGGCCGATCGAGCGCCGCAGCGAAGAGCGACTGCGTCAAGCTGACCAAATATATACATTCTACGATATAATAGCATGCTTCGTCTCTACATTATGGAATAGATGAATGTCCCCAGGTCATAGCAAGGGCAATGTCTACATGTGGGTCTAGAAAGTACGCGATTCATATAGCGGTGCGAGAGATGGTATGCAAGACGACACGTGGATGCAGCAAGCGATGTCATAGCGGGGTATAGACGTTCACGGAGTTCACCTCCCAGTAAGCCTTGGAAAATGCCTTGGGATTGCCATTCACGTCTGGCATCGGAATTCAGTGTCATGAAATGCAACAAAGGAAGCCAACACTGACGGTCAACACAGCTCCCTGCACCACACCCTGACATAGGCCATACAGCGCCTGCCCAGTCACCCTGCACCACGTATCAATATATATGTATAGGAAGGGTTCAGACAGTGACGCACGCAGAAGGTGAGATCGAAGACCATTCGATGCGCATCAAAATGTTGGTCATAATCACAGTTGTCCGGAGGGAAACTGGCTTCGGGTAATCCCCAGAGAGGCGTGGGGACGACCACAGGCGACCCGGCCTTGATGTCCAGAGGCAACAAAGGATCGCTTCTTCAGAAACATATCAATTCCACAACTGTACTGGCTGATGACGGGTGGCGTACCTCGACCAGAACCAAACCTGAACACCGTTTTGCTTGGTCCGCTGCATGACGTAGTAGCCTCCGCCAGCTTTGTTGAAGGCAGCGCCGTAAGAGTTCTTCTTGGAGAACGATACGCCACAACCTTGGTTGTAGTTTACTGCGGTATCGCAGTTGTTAGATGTTGGCGTTCTATTGAACGTATGAGTGCCATTCATGTATGCTCGTGTATTCGACAACGAACCCCTTCATCTGGCGATGATCGGACATCGTACATCCGGGTCGAGTGTGTTGCGAGGCTAGGTTTTGCTCCTGGAGATGCACGCCTAGATCTGTATCAGTCGTACTCGAGTAGATATGGCGGCACGCTATTCACCCTCCAAGATATCAATTTCGCCGCCGGTCGGCCAGGGACCTGCAGCACTCAATGTCCAGAAGGCCGGCCATGTAGCGCAGCCCTCTGGCATATGAGTCAGATCCAGAACGATCAGAGAGTCGGCCCAGGAGCCTTTGGAGGAGATGCGAACACTCTTGCGTCCGCGTGCGGACGTCGGGACTGTGCTGTAATCGTCCGCGGACATCAAGAACGCGCCGTCTTTCACTATCCGACGGTTTTATTTCGATGGTCAAACGCCGTAATCAAAGTCATGAATCACCTTCCGTCAAGTTCAGCTTTTTGGCGGTCTTCATGTCGACGTAATCGACGCGTCCATTGGTGGGATCGTTGAAGGTCTCCCAATTCCACTTGTGGTAGAAATCGTCGCCTCTGAACGCCTCCGCCAAGGAGAACGTCGCTCTTGCCGTTTCGAAGCCGCAAAGAAGCCAGACAGCAAGAACGATCAACCGTGTTGCAGACATGGTCGTGAAAATGTAGAGTGGATATTTACGATGGAAATTGGAATAGCTGCTCCGGTGGTTCGACCGCCCTGTCTAGGAAGGGCCGGGAGTACAGTAGGATGGATAGCGCAGTGAATACGGATGTTGCGGTGAAGACCCGACGAAGGGGGAACCTCTGCAGCCATCGCGTTGACGAGGAGGCATCAGGGCTTGACATGTTGGTTCCTTCCAGTCAAGTCGAAGTCAGGGTTGACGTGCGGTTCAGGCTGAGGCCCCTTCGGAACGCCTTGGCGAATCCGCGGACGACAGCAGGAGCGAGATCTATACTCCGGAACGGTGTCACTGAAAGGCGTGTCGGGGGATTGATGTAGTACAGCTGAGGATGGCGGATAGAAGCAAATGCGCGCGCGTCGCGGTCACGCACAGTGCGCTTAGCTACGACGCGACCTTTTCTTACGACCACGACCACGACCACGATGGCACGGCATCATGAACCAGTCAACGCAAAGAGAAGGGGTAAGGAGCAGTCTGCATGTGATCGTATCAAGGGGATCGCTCACAGCGGCATGTAGGTCCTACCACAGGTGTCAAATATTACCTCGTCACATACAACGTGCTCTCCGCTCTCGGGTGGTCATACGTGTTAATTGTCACCCTCATACATGTGTTTCGCCTGGACACCCCTCAGTCGACAACTAGCAATGCTGCTGAGCAAGCTAAATCGGCCCTGCAGAGGTTACTCGAGCTCATCCTTTCCTACATACCTTTCCTTCCGAAACCGCGCACGGTCGTCATCAAGGAGCACTTGCGCACCAGGCTTCCGGTAGCACTTTGGCCGTACATTGACCGGGCTGCGTCTGCCTTCTGGCGCGTTGGTAAACAGACCGCATTTGTGCAGAGCTTTGCCGCGCTGGAGGTCGTTCATGTTCTGCTGGGGTGGGTTCGGAGCCCGCTGGTTACTACCGCAATTCAAGTTGCTAGCCGGCTCTGGCTGGTGTGGGGAATATGTGATCAGTACGAATCAGTGCGTTCACGATCTTCCTTTCGCGTTGTCTTTGTTGATGATTAAATTTCTAAGGCCCGCACGAGCCCCCTATATGCGACCATGGTGTTCGCCTGGTCCGTGACGGAAGTCATCCGCTACTCCTTCTATGCCTTCAACCTCACCGGCAAAGAACCCTATCCTCTGGTGTGGCTGCGCTATACAACCTTCTACATTCTCTACCCGCTCGGCGCTGGCTCCGAAGCCTTCGTCATGTTCTCTACCCTGCCCAGTTCCTCGCCGTTACCGTCGGAGCAGACCGCATTCTCGCAAAAATGGGACTGGACGGATTACGGCCGCGGCGCTCTCTTCTTAGTATGGTGGCCAGGTAAGCCATCCTCATCGTTGCCCATGTATCTCCTAATGGCGAGTTTGCAGGGCTTTACGTGATGTATACCTACATGATCAAGCAGCGGCGTAAGGTCATAGGAGGCGGTGGTCAGAAGCTAAGGCCAAAATCGAAGTCAGAATGAAGCAATGGAGGATGCAATTTGCCAGCGGGGCGCTCAGGAACTCGTTACCGACACAGCACCGTTGATTATTTCTTGCTTTTCCCTCGATCCCGCTAAGCTGACTGAGCGTTATCATGAGAACAGCACTTCATATGTTTGTCACGGCACAAAGCATCTATTTATTGGCGCTTTTGCAATCAGAATGCAATAACATGCTTGTCCTCAAGCTCCGCACTATGCCGCGGTGACTGTATGAGGGGCTTTGTTTCATCATCGCCATAAATACCACATTGTCCCGGTTGCTTCCAAATGTTTTTTCGATAACAGTTCAATTATCGGGAGCACGGGATTGGGAAACTTCTGGTATTTGACGAGCAGCTAATCCCGTGTTTCGTGGTCATCCAGCATCGCCATGATCGTGTAGACGGTTCTGATAGACGTGCTGGTTGTCGAAGGATGAATATGTTCGAAGGGGTTGGCGATACCATTGTCCTTCGTTATGTCTAACGTTCCCGCCGGCGAAGACACCAATACGTAGTATTTTTGCTGCGATGTACGTACGATATGAAGAACAATATAATGACGGTCTTCTGATCTCATCCAGTCGATCCCACGATCAGGCCATCGCCTTCTAAAATGCACGTCAAGAGCTATCGGCGGGAACGGGTGTTCGATGGTGCTGCGCACGTCAGCAAACAATATTGCCAGCACGTTGCGGTTGCCGCAAACGCTCGCGCATGCATCATGTACATATCGCGACGACCCCGACGACTTGATCTCCGGCACAAATAGCCTCAGCGCCCATGTGTCGCGGCCAAGTCGCGGCGGCCATTTATCGATAACGAGCCCATCAATACATCAGTTCGGACTGGTCCTCGCAGACGGTTCGAGGAGCCATGAGTCTGTGAAAGTTTCCTCGAGAGTCCCACCTTCATGAACGGATTTCGATGCGCAGGTGCTGTAAGCCGGCTCTTCGGCGTCCTTTGGTAGTTTGATGCGCTCGCACGGTCGTCGACACAGGCGTAATCGAGTGGAGTCATTGTTTTGTTGTTCCTCGCGCGGATGTGTGCTGGTCGCGGTCGCCATGTACGCAGGAACGAGGACCAGCAGGTGCAAAAGACAATGAAAGGCCTGAACAAGGTTTTTTCGGGAGCTGCGCGAAAACGGCGCGGAGCCAATATAAGCCGAACGCCCAGATTTGGCCCGAAAAGGGAATTGCCAAGCCGGTGCAAACAAGTGCGGCGTGCCTCCCTGCTCTGCCGGCGAGTCGCCCGTTCTGCAGACGCCCAACGCTCTTACTCCCGCCCCCCGCACCGTCTGCTCCGCCATGGCCAGCAGCATGGCCGCACAGTCGCCCGGGACAACGACAAAGGACAGCAAATCCCCCTTCTCCAAGTCTTTCAAGCGCAAGTCGTCGACCAAGGGTTCAACATCGCCAGCGCCAGCGGCCCCACCCGTGCAGCAGCCGGCGGCCGCTTCGAACGGCGTCGTCGACAGAACGAAATCTACCGGGACGGGGACGAGCAAGCCTGCAGCAGGTGCGCAGGCGGGTCCTGCCTCCAGCGAGGGCAGCAGCGTCGCTCAACAACCCAAAGCGGGGCCCTCTATCACCCCGGGGCAGGCCCCGAACAACACCAGTATCCCGTCCGCATCGCAGCCGCCGTCATCCAACGTGGCGACTGCGACGAAGGCGGCGACGACGTCATCCGCACCCCACACGCCCGTCGACGCGCCCGTCGACGCCGACAAGGAGAAGGAGAAAGGCTCGCTCGCCACGTCCGAGACTGCCACTCATTCGCAGACCCGGCGGAAGGAGAACCAGTCGACGGCTACTACCAAGTCATCCACCACTGCAACGGAGAAGAAACCGGCGCCTCGCCCCGCCAAAGGAAATGCCCGTCGGCAGCCTAACGCGAACCCGAAGCCTTCCTTCATCGCCAAACTCCTGCGCTCCCTTGTGCCCTGCGTAGGCCCAAGCAAAGCCCACGAAACTATACCGGGCGACACTCAAGTGACGCCCAAACCCGCCGACAAGGCGCCCCCTGCTCCGCCCAAAGAAAAAGAAACGGCTCACGAGCCCGAGCCCTCCGCCCAACCCGCACCGAGTACGCTAACCGCCGCGACGGAGACCGTCGTCTCAAAGGAAGAACCGCCGTCTCCGCCTTCCGCCAAGCTGGTGGTTGTACCGCCATCACCGTCGGCGGACGACCCTGCCGTCGTCGTGCCGCCCACGCCGAAGAAGACTGTACCCGAGAACGCGCCCGAGAGCGTTCTAGCTAGCGGCGTTCAGCGCCCGGGAGAAACTGCAGGCGAGGTGGCGCAGACCCGGTCGCAGCAGCAGACATATGATGACGACGGTACCGATGGCAGCAGCGTGACTGACGACGAAGACGGAGAGGAGTCACATGCCATGGACGAGGTCGAGGACGACGAGGAGCGCCTCATCAGAGAGGGCGGCGCAGGTATCCCTGTTGGCCCGGTGAGCCGAACTCTGCGGGTTCATATATAATAAGTGTTCTCATGCCACCTACAGGATGGCATGCCCCGACCGCTCTTACCTCCAGTTGCGCCTCAGCATGCCGGCCGAAAATGTCTGGTCCTTGACTTGGACGAGACCCTCGTTCACAGTAGTTTCAAGGTGCGCTGATTTGAGGACGCATATATTCACACAACTAACACACCTTACAGTCGATACAGCAGGCGGACTACGTCGTGCCGGTGGAAATCGAGTATCACCTGCACAACGTCTATGTGATCAAGCGGCCAGGCGTGGACGCCTTCTTGAAGAAGATGGGCGAAATTTACGAGATCGTCGTCTTTACTGCCAGTTTAAGCAAGGTGAGATATTTGATTTCAAAAACGCTCTCGCAGCGCTGACGCCGGTTTCGTTTCAGTACGCCGATCCTGTACTTGATAAATTGGACGTTCACAGAGTAGTGACGCATCGCTTGTTCCGAGAAAGCTGCTATAACCATCGGGGCAGCTACGTGAAGGTCGGTCCGACATTCCGCCTCCATTTGTAACTCGCATCTCACGATGACACATCGTAGGATCTGTCACAGCTCGGGCGGCCTATAGCAGACACCATTATCCTCGACAATTCTCCGGCATCGTACATCTTCCACCCAAACAACGCCGTGCCTGTGTCATCTTGGTTCAACGACCCCCATGACACCGAACTGACCGACCTGTGCCCCTTCCTGGCGGATCTTGCCACCGTAGACGATGTGCGGGGAGTGCTAGATGGCGGAATATGACGAGAACAGTGACCATCTGCGCCGTTTACAAGCTAAACGTTGTACCACCCCTAGCGGTGTTCATGGGGGCGCGGCGGTCCGCCCGCCCTGCCGTGAGGAACCTTGTCGGCTTCTCGCGACCCGCGCCGACCCATTCCCTCTTCTTCGCCTCTTTCTTCCCTCGCGCGTCATTCGTCAGTATATACAGTCAAGCTAGCTCTCGTATACCCCCGCAACTGCACTGTCTCTGTTCCAACCATCGCCTCCTCGCATACGTCGGCGTCTCCTCCGCGCATTGCCACTCATGTTGGTTTTTGCGATCCCCTATGTTCCCGTCCGCCTGCCGTAGGTCTCGCTCCAACTGAAGCCCAACCTGGCTCATACACGTTCCAACTCGGGCTCTATAACGCTCCTTCGGTCCTCGCGCGCAGCGCGGGCTCATTCGGGAGAGGGGAATGCTCCTCGTAGCAGACCACCTCACCTCACCGAAATCCCCCTTCTTGGATGGGCTATCCACAGGAATTTCCCGCTCTCCTCCTTTATTATCTGTAACTTCCGCGGTACAACCCCGCCAAGCCCTCCTCAACCGCCATCCTCGACGATCTCCTCGCCTCGCCTTCATTTCCGTTGAACTGGGACTGGACTTGTTTTCCACTTTAAATAGTCTACAGCTAGGGCCTGCCGATCGTACACTCGCACACACCACATCCTTGTTATCACTGTCCCCCCCTCGCGTCTTTGTATTTACGAGATGGCACGAAAATAATGACGAATAGCAGTTTCAAGATTTCAAACTCGGCTCCCTAGACCAGCTGCACTCTTACGGTTTGGTTCCTATGTTTGTCGCTCCACCGCGACTTGTGATAGTGACTGCGGCGCTCCCAAGAGGGATTGTGAGCACACGCGGTGTATGCAAATAGCCCGCCTATGAACGGGGCGCAGGTTCGGGAGCATTGCCGCCTCTCACCCGCCGTGGACGTCCTCGAAGGCGGACCTCATGACCCCAGCTGCATGCTCGATAGCTCTTACATCCCGTCCTCGCGAATTCGCGTCGACCCGAAAGCAGGCAATCCCCCGACAAAGGGAAAACGCATGACTGGCATTCGCGCAACTTCGCCCAAGGTTCCTTCAAGAAGGCGGATGTCATCAAGAACAAATTCGTTTCATTTCTGCTTCAGTGACAAATAAACCACTCTTGTTATCAACGAGCACCCCCCTTCTTCAGCACCAGTGCTCTTTCTTCTTTGCTCCTACAACCCATACCCCACCCCCGCCTCAAGCGCGATGAACTTACACAGAGCCTCTCTACACCAGCAACGCGTTCTCTTCACTGCTCCATCACCACCAGCTTCTTCTCCTGCTCTCCGGCCCCTTCCTTCTCCATTACCGTCTCCTCGTCGTCCCACGGGCTGAACTTTGGCTTACGCGAGCCCATGAACCCAAAGTTGGACAGCCACGACGAGCGCTGAGGCTGCGTGGACAACCCAAACGCGCCGAGGTCTAGTGCAGGGCCAGGGCCAGGGAAGGCGACCGCGTGCACGTGGGGCGGCGTCGCGGGCAGGCTGCCAGGCACGTCGCTCAGCGTCGGCAGGCGGTCGAGGCTCGTGTTCGTCGACCCGCCGAGTGCGCGCTGAAGCGCCTCGCGCTCGGCCGGAGACGGCGCGAACGCGCGCATCGAGATCGTCGACCAGAGCGAGTGACCCGCGTCAGCGGGCGTGCCGGTGCTCGCGTGGATGGACGGATTGAGGCGATCGAACGTGTCGAGCGAGGCCGACGCGTTGTGCAGACTGCCAAGCGCGGATCCGGAGGTAGCCGGGTGAGGTCCAGGGAGCGGTATCGTCGGCGCCTTCTTGCGTGCGAGGGAGAAGACCTTCGCGTCCGGGTTGAGCCCGCGCTTCGGTTTCTCCTTGTCCTTATCCTTGGTCGAGGAAGTCGAGCTCGAGAACCAGCGGCGCGGGACAGTAACGCCCTTGTCGGCAACGACTGGTTCCTCTTCTACGAACATGTTCTGAAGAGCCTCGGGTGCGTGGCGGTGGAAGGTGGCGCGCTGCGTATCGAAGCAATCCGCACGCTCGCGCGGGGGCGGAGGCCGCACCTCGAATGGGTCGTAGTCGTCCGCGTCGGGACCAGGGAGGACGATCGGGAGCGAGGACGCATGGTGCGGGAGCTCAAACGGCGCAGGAGGCAGTGGCGCGTATCGCAGCGCAACTTCGGTCTCGCGTCCAACGATCGGATCATCGTCGGAGCGCACGAACTGCTCGCTGGCGTCGAGCGACTTGATGAGGCTGGTCGGGATCAACGAAGACGAGAGCGGCGTTATCGGCGGGTCACTCGGCGGTGCGCTGGAGTCGCTGTCGCGTTCCCCAAACGGCGTGAACGGCACATCGACGGCTGAGCGTTGCTGATGTTGAAGCGAGGCGAGGTCGTCGTTGAAGATCGAGTAGCCTTTGGCACGGAGGGCGATCTGGTTGTTCTCGGCCGGCTCGGAGTGGCTAAAATTCGAGGCGCTGCCAAGCGAAAGATGCTTAGGCCGGGGCGACATGGAGCTGTCCGTGCCCTCGGGCGAGCTCGACGCGCGATCGTGGTCGGGCTCGACAGCGAGGGAGCCCCAAGACGCGGGCTCGCCGGTCAACACGCTGTGACTCAAGATCGTCGTCGCCTGCTGCTCCAGGCTCCTGGCCTCCGCCTGCTCTCTTGCGCGCCTCAGCCTCTCCTTCTCCGCCGCAATCTTCTCCTCCAGCTGCCTTGCGCGCGCGTTGAGCGCCGCAACGACGTCCTCCGCGATTCCGATCTCCTTCCGCTTCTGCGCCAGCTGCTCCGCGTGTTCCTTCTCCGCGACCGCGGCTTCCTCCGCACCGGCGCGTCGCGCTGCTGCGTCACCCGCTGCACGCTGGCGCAGCTTGGCGATCTCCTTGTCTAAGTGTGCCATCCGCTGCGCCGCGTGGTCGCGTTGCGTGTGCGCCGCTTTGAGACGCTTCTCGGCATCGCGCTTGGCCGCGTCTGCGGCGCGTCGCTGATCCTCAATTGACTTCGTGCGAGCGCGTAGCTCGGCGCGCGCGGCCTCTTCCTGCCGCCGGCGTTCGCGGTGCTCGTCGAGCTCGCTCTGCAGGCCAGCGTGCGACTCAGCCGCAGCGTGCTGCAGGTCGGTGAGTTGGTTACGGAGGTCTTCAACGGTGGTCTTGGAAATGCCTATCTGGCGCAGCAGCTCCGAGATCATAGGCGAGGATGGATCAAGGCAAACTGTCGACGATGTGCGCGAGAGAGCGGGCGTGCTGCCCCGGATCGTATCGCATGCTGCAGCGGTGGGGACGGTGAGTGTTTGAACCTGTTGTTGTTGACTGGTGGACCGAAGGTTAGGCGCCGTGTGCAGCGGGAGAGAGGCCGACTTGGGGAGCGGCGGCGGAGACAAACTGCGCTGACGAAGGCTGCCCGGGAACTGGGGCGACGAAGCGCCTCGTGGCTGGCGGATCGACGTCGGCGTTATGCGGGAGAACAGGCGATTGGAATAGTAGGACGAGAGCGATAGACCTGGAAAAGATGATCGTCTCAGGATAACGTGTTTCTCCATTATCTAACTCTTTTATCGCTGCTCACCGGTGGCAGACGCAATGCGATCGAGGCTCTTGATGCCCAGTATTCCCGACGTCCATCCCTCCTCCGACTTGGACTTGGACATGGTCTCGAGCCACCACGCGTCGAGGGCTCCTCCGCGCCACCATTTTCCAAAGGCGCCAACGAACCAGGAGTCGGTGATGGCGGCCGATGCGCCCTCAAAATCATCCGTGCATGCAGCGCAGTCCGCGCGCGAGGTGCGGGTGTGCGCGTCGGGGACGACGGCGGCGACGGTGAGGATACCGAACGAGTGGGTGATGTGCTTGGGCGTGCGGAGGGAGACCGAGGCACGATTAGCAAAGTGGACCGGGCGTTCAAAGCCGAGACCTTTGTGCGTGTGCGGGAGGGCGTAGTCGTCGGCGTCGGCCGCGTCTTCGCTCGACTGGTCGAGGCGGCTCAGATGCTGGCGAAACGATTGTTCGGTGAGGAAAGTGCGAAAGGATGTCTCAGATGGATTGGTAAGGTGAGCTGTGGACGTGCATATGAGTATCGTAGTTTGTACACAGTTCGTATGATTATTGAAGCGCATATAGCCCTTTCATGTCGCGGAATTGACTCACCAAGGACGACAAAGACGACCAAGAAGAGAAAGGCAAACAACAACGATCTGATCTCGCCCTCTCCCGGGAGCTTGTTCCAGTCCCAGTCCGCAACCGGCGTGCGGACGGAGACGATGCCCAGGCCGCCGAAGAGGGCGCTCATGTAGAGAAAAAGCGAGAGGGAGCTCGCCCGGAGTGTGGCGGTGGCCGCGGGCGGGGGCCTGGGGCGGGAGCTCGTGTGGGTGGCAGGTTGATGTGACACGGCTGCGGGGGGACGGCAGCGGTGCGTCCCCGGTAGTCGCTGTGGATGACGGTGGTGGTGAGTGCGTGCACGACGACGACGACGACGACGGAAGGTGGTCGGAGAGCAAAAGACGTCCTCGGCGCGAAGGACGAATCGTACCCCCCGTGAGAAAATGGGAAACTAACTTACGTGAAAAAAAGACGATCGACTCGTCGGTTCGACCGTCAAACGACGGGCGTCCGCGGCGCGCTCCCGGGAAAACTGTCAGGCTGGGGCGGCGGCGAGCAGGACGTGCACGGCGACGAGCACGAAGAGGAGAGCCCGGGCAGTATCTCGAGATGTTATTCCATCTGACTATCAGCGCTCATCGACATCCGCCTCATCGCCTCCGTCGCGCCCGGTGGCTACCATCACACCGCACATCTCTCTGCTGGTAGTCGCCTGCAGGCTTACTATCAGCGTTCATCTAACCGCCTTCGGTCGTATCGATGTGCACGGCGTCGCGCACGCCCGCATACCAGGACGTCTCCTCTGCCTTTCGGGGCACAGCTGAGGCTTAACTTTCCCGGCCCACGCCCTCTTCTCGAGGTTGATCTCGCGCTTCTGATCTGCTCGGTTTTCCCGTGCTGCCAGCTCCTTGATTCCCGGCTCACCACGCCCGGTCAGTGCCGTCCGCTTGAACTCCTCCCGATCTTCCTTGCGGCCGCACGGCCCGTACGAACGTGCTCCGGCACATCACGGGACGCTGCGTTTTTCTTTCCGTGACGACGACGCTCGCTACGGAGAATCGTCCTCCAGCACCCTCGACGCGGGACGACGCCGGTATCCGCACAGCGGTGGATGCGATGCGAAGGCTCCGACATTCTGCCCTCACGATACGGTGTGCTCGGCGTTCAGAACGTGAATCTTATCGCGTCTTCTCCGGCTTCACTGTCGTAATCGTCCGTTCTATCGGCAGCACACTGACCTTTACATCAAGACACCAATACATTCCTACTCTCCCTTTTGAATAAAAGATCTCATGCTGGTGAGTTGCTGTCCCATCGATTTAACCCCTTTCCCAATCTTCATGATGAGCAACCTCGTCATAAATGGCATGTTAGACTACCGAGCCTGGGTATCTGGGCGTTGCGGATCACTATGACTCTGAACTTCCTTCTCGTAACTTTCTTTGGCATGCTGCCTCCTACTGGCGCCGGAGATAGCTGATACACTGTCCCTTCTCTTCTGCAGGGGGTGGAGATAGCCGTAAGACGACGTCAGGAATCGGTCTCGTGCCAGCGTACGGTTCAATCTTTGATCGACGATGAACTTCAAGCAGCGATCTTCTGCAGTGGAGAAGGCCTCGCTCCTACAAATTCGAGCTGGTCACTTGAGCTCTCTTTGAGCCCGTCAACTTCTATCTAACGGTTCGGATGCTAAGGTAACTCCATTCTGTACCCTCTTCTTGCGGATAGATTATGGGGTGACTCCATGTCCACTATGCCCACTGTACTCGTACACGCGGTTGCGCCTCTTTTCCGCCTGTATGTACAAGTGATGCACGGCAATAGAGAACCGATTACCATATGACCATCGCGGGTGTCCCACACTCCGTTTCACTGCATGACAATTCAACACGAGGCCAACTTTCCCTTGTAGCGGTAGCAGTAACGAACAGGAAAGCACAGAAAAGAATACGGTCCTGCATTGGCCAATACGCCATACACCCATGTACGTTCTTTTCATCTTGATAACGACCGCGACCAAGCGATGCAAAGCATGATATAGCAGTCCACGGTACCGCGGACTTGCGGTTACAGATTATGACGTCCGTTTCCTCTTGCTCCCTTCCCCCTCCTCTTGACGTTTCCGTTTCTTCTCTTTCTTCTCCTTCTTCGCAACCTTCGCTGCAGCCTCCTCTTGCTCCTTCAACCGCTCCCTCTCGAGCCTCTCCTCCTCCTCATCTGCAAACTCCTCCAACGGCCGCCCGTCGACGTCGAACCCATTGCCTGCTTCGTCTCCCTCTCCCTCCTCCTCTTCGTCCCAAGGATTCACTGGGGGAGGAGTCGACGGAGAAGGCCTGTGCTGCGATGACGCGGGCACATTCTGCGGTACGTGCGCGGGTGAGAACGGGTCCGGTTGTATGGACCCGATCAGTGAGAGCATTTGGTTTGCCACCGTTAACCTGTAGCGTATCGTATGGGCAACGTTGCGAGGAAATATAATGTTGAGATCTGAAATGCCCACCCGATAACGGTGAACTCCAGGATCCCGTCCTTGCCCCCCAGCCGGTCGCCCGTCGTGGAATGTATCCATCTCCCGGCCTCCGCCACTTTCTCCTCGCCTGCTTCTCCTTCCGCTCCTACTTCCTCCTCAGCCTGCACACCCGCCTCCGCACCATATTCCGGGTCGTTCTCTGCCGGGCCATACTCAAATTCCCAGCTGTCCGTCGGTATATGATGACGCGGGATGGATACGTTGAATGTGCGGTGGACGAGGAGCGCGATGTGGTCCGGTGACGATAGGTTTATCCGGGCAGCTAGGTATCCAATATGTTAGGGGCGAAACGATGTACGCAAGGAGAGAGAGCGAGGGCGATCACGCACACAGCTTCATGCCGACCTGCGGGCTCCACACTGTCGCGTCGAACTCTACGTCGCACACCGCGCACGGGCAGTCATTCACGATCCGCGCTGTCGGGGTGCGAAACGCGAGATTGGAGTGCGCGAGCACGACGCCGTCGAGGGCGGGCACGTATCTACGGAGCGCAGAAACACAATCTGACTATTCATTACGCCATACACGCATACAAGACGAAGGACAGGTTCCGTACCTCATGAGCATCGAGTCAAGCATCTCTTTGACGCCCGCGCGGGGGTTGGCCGCGAAGACGGGTGGGATAGACACCCGCAATGACGATCGCACAACAACAAACTCCGAGTCTTCGAGTCTCGTCGACGAGGAGGCGAGGGTCTTGGTCTTGTCCCTGTCCTTCTTCTTCTCCTTCTTGTCCTTGGACTTGGAGCCCTTCTTCGACTTCTTGGGCGTGTGCTCGGCGTCGTCCGCTGCGGCGTGCTTGCGTTTTTTGGCCTTCGCCTGGAGTTGCAGCGTTGGATCCGACATTATAGAGGGCGTGTACTAGTAAGAGATAGGAGATCGTGCGCTTCTTGTCCCCGGAATGAGGTCGCGTCCAATCCTGGTGAGCGGACACAAAGTTTTAGACGGTCGCACGTGACGTAACGGGGCGTATTCCTGCCGGTCGGAATTCGTGTCTGCACCCGCAGCTTGCTTGCATAACACACGACTCTGGACAGCAGTACTTCGCTGTGACTGTATTCATGGTTTGTTCCGAATTGATGAATGGTGAGCTTACAAGGGATACTCAAGAATGTATGGCAGGCATCTCCTCGCGTCCTCGTACAGATCGCTACGACAGGCGCACGCATACTTGGCAAGGCGTTCTACGAGGCAGGTCGGCAAGCCGTCAAGAGTATGTTTCACCCATATTGATAGGTCAACTCGAAATGCTGATCCGCAATACGGTGATAGATGCAAAGCATCGACCGGAGGGCGGCCTGGCGGGCGACGCGGCCGGCGTGTCGAACGCCACCTCGGGGTCCATAACGGACAAGCTCACCCGGGAGCACCGTATGACGTTAGATGAAGCACAGCTCATCCTCAACTTGAAGCGAACCGATCCGCTCGAGGTTGCGAGTAAAGTGCGTACACTTCCCTTTCCGGTGCCTCCTCTCTTCGCGTTCCCTTTCCCTATGGCCTTCTCACCTCCCCCCTAACCTTGCTTTCGGTTCCCGGAACGAGCTGGAGACAGAGGGCTGACGGACCTTGCAGCACTACGAGCACCTCTTCAAAGCCAACTCCCCACCGCCTCCGCCAGAAAAAGGCTCAGCAGCAACCTCGTCGCGCCTCAAGTCCAAATCGCAGCCCGTGTACTCGCATTACCTTCAGTCGAAGGTTGTACGCGCTCTCGAGCGAATACAGGCCGAGGCCAAGCTCGCGCAGCAGATCGAGGCGGAAGCGGCAGGCGCAGCGAAGGTAGAGGGTGGCGTGGCGAACGGTGCTGGGTCGACGACGTCTTCTAGCCAGGGTCCACCGCCGCCATCGTCATGACGATGCTGACGACCAGGATGGAGCTTTTCGTTCGTGCTTACTGTATCATTATAATGTCCATAATCGCTAGATACACTCACAACTCGCTCTCGTTGCATCGTATAATCGTGTTGATTAGGGGGACTCAAAGTTGGCGATTATGGGACGGATTATGGAGTCGATTAGAAAGTCGATTATGGACGCGGATTACGGGGTAATCGAGTGTAGCAGCTCCAGAGCTGCTACACTCGATTCGACCCATAATCTGATTCTGCTACGATGCTCCGCTACAGCGGAGTCTCAAAGTTCGGATGAGTCGATCACGGGCACGCTCTCCGCTTCCCTTCGTTCCTTCCACCATCAGCGTCGACGTTGGCTACCTACGCTATACTCCACCTCATTCCTTCTGTCTAACTTATACACGTATGGAACATGCCCGATTACTCACAGACTTGTAATGACGACGTCTGGTGCAACCTAGGGATTCGATTGCGGTCCAATAACGGTCCGCATTGCGCCGCCAGCGCATTCAGTAGATGGTGAACAAGTCGAAGAAGTCTGGTACGTCCCGCAGTGTGTTTGACTCGACATATTCACACCTATAAAGTAGTTTCGCCATTGCAGACCAATGCTGCTCCGGCAAGGCAGACTAGAAGTAGGAAGGCGAAAGCGGAGAAGATAGAAAAGCAGGAGAATGTAGAGAAGCGGGACGTCGAGTCCGTCATTCCAACTTCTTTATGTCCATGCACAGGCTCAACTGCATACAGATGGAGGCCGCCAGCCAACCATCACCTTACCGACAGCCTGTTGACAGCCGTGGAGGCTAGCTCGACGTACAAGCAAGCCTTCGGATTCGACAAAGGGCCAAATGGTACCCCAGTGTCGGGTGTAGGAAAGAACAGTACTCAGCTCTATCGACAACTTGCTCGCACCATTTTCTTCAATAATCAGCGGATCACCGAAGAGTACGTGGATGAAGACCTGGATCGCCTCTCAACGTGTATCAAGAACCGTGTCGCCAAGTATGTCTTGTTTGACTCTTATCTTAGCTACGTGTGACCCTTTTCTTGATATAGCCTCAAGAAAATATATCGAAAGCAGCGTCAGATGTTATCCGAGACTGGTCAAGGCCTCATCGACGATGATCGGGAGCATGAGATCACGCCCGGATCTACGCTTCAGAATATATGGGGTATGTTCTTCTTTGTGCTGCTCAGTACACTGTCTAATGGCATTACAGATAAAATCCAGACCGCATTCCCGTGGTACAAGCGCATGAATATCCTCATGGGTGCTAGTCCGATTGTGGATCGTTCTGCGATTGCACATAGTGGCACCAAATTGGATCTCTCCGCTCTTGGGTCATATGCAAAGCGATCCATTACCCAGGGCTCGAGTTCGGACATCGACGGGGGTGGTGGCGAAGACACGGGAAATGGTGACGGCACGGGCGATGGTGACAACGTGAGCGAAAGTGGTGGTGACGCGGGTGGCAGGTACGACACGAGCGATGGTCACGGCGAAAGCAACGGCACAGGCGACAGGCACCTTGCTGGCGGCGGGTACGTTGCGGGTGACAGCTACGACACGAATAACGGGTATGTCGTGGGCGGTGGGTACGACACGAATGGTGGATATGTCTTGGGCGACGTGTACAGCGTGGGCAGGGGGTATGGCGCGGATGATGGGTATACCCTGAGTGGTGGGTACGGCACGGGCAGCGGGAACGATCCGGGTGACACTGGAGCGGCAGCATTCGCAGACAAGGTACGACATGATGTTTACTGCACATTCCTCGTTCTCACCATGCCGCAGGATATACCGACGCCTTCTGCTCGTCACCGGAGCTTTCGCCGCTCCAGCGGGGATAGCAGCTCTTATTCTGGCCACCCCGGGTCAGAGATCTCATCCATCACTGACTCTCATGTGGGTTCGCCCCACTTGGATAACGTGCTGTCATCGCCAACTACCTCTAAGCCACAGGATCAGAAGCAGATAGAGACTGCAGTGTTGTTGGCGCCTGGAGTTAACAGTAACAGTGGCTCGGCCAAACGCAAATCTGACGAGCTGGATACCACGACTGGCAAGCTCGAGGATGCTCAGTCGAAACGGAAGAAGGAGAACAATCCTTTTGACCGTCTCGACAAGATCTCGGAGGCTGAGCATCGCGTCCGAATAGAGGTAGCAGCCTCACGGGCTGATAGTAAAGTCAGACGTGAGGCTGAGCGCACACGGCGTGATCTACAGCTCAATCAGCAGAAGAACAGATTCGAGGCAGAGGAGTCCGAACACCGTCGCCGGCATGAACTGCAGATGATGCAAGCTCAGATAGAGCTTGCACGGATCCAGCACGGTCTCAGTTCCAGCAGTGTCAACAACCCCGCATTGGGGTCCGATCCGGCGATGTCAGTGAGCCACGATAGTACGTCTTTGATGTTTGCGTGTCACCTCGAGTCTCATATTCTTGCATCAGATTCATGGAATACTCCGAATAGCTTTTCCATGACGGATGCATTGCCAAGTCATAACAATGCTGTGTTTGATCTCCCTGTGCTATTGGACTCTGGCATGTCGGACATGTGGCCGCATCCTTCAACTTAATCCCCCTGCACTGAATAACTTAGTAGTTCCTTGTCCTCCACACCCGCTTGATGGACATAGTAATGGATTGCATTGCATCACTTCGAACTGTGCATAGACTGTCTCGTTATAATATCTACAGTATATTGTGGCTAATCAAAGTGATAGCTGCTCGAATAGAACTCTCTTGAGCTGCTCACGTTTCTGCTGTCCCCTTTGTAATGCTGCATGCCTACTTGCAATGGTATAAGGTGCAACTTGCACCTCTTCTTGCGCCCCAGCCTCTTCCCTCATGATATCAAGTCCTGCAGCGTAGAATTCATCTGCAGCCAAGTCCGTACCAGCTTCATGTTTGATCGCAACTGCGTGGAGAATAACACATGTGTGTATCCACAATGCAGCAAACTGGATCTTCTTGGGATTGTCGATTTGAACACGAAGGCCTCGCAGTGATGAAAAGCGCCCTTTGAGGAAACCGACACAGTGTTCGCTCCGAACACGGATTTTAGAAACATAGTAATTGTGCTTCCTGTTTTCCGCAAGCTCACTTTCAGGCCTATAACACCTTTTTAGTCATATACACCGTGGTATATTGGTAATACTGACTTCTTGTATGGTGCCTGGCACCATGTTTCTAAGGGATATGCAGAATCACCCCAGACCCATTCATCACTGTTCAGGAGTTTCTCGTGCTCCTTATAGATTCTTGTCTCTGCCCATGCAGTGGAGTCATGCTGACTGCCAGGAAGCCCTACACTGTAGTCGATGATCTGGAGATCAGGTGTAGACACCAGCTGAGAACAAGTCAGTGTAAAGTGATTGCAGGGGCTCAGAGTGCACTAACCTGCAGGTTCATAGAATAGTTGCTTTTCCTGTCATACCACGTATTCCCAAAGAATGCCGGCCGCTCATACAAGGGAATAAGAGTCCCATCGACCATAAGCCAGCCATCGCGCCATCCTGAACATGACATGGTCTCGACCCAGGATTTTGCCTTCTCCTTTGCTTCTGCATCTGGGAAAGCAATAGCACCATGGCGAAGACCTGAGTCTCCGCAAACTGCAGCCATGACATGCTTGGTGACCCCAATCACGGTTCCCACAGAGACACCAGCCCACAGAGCTACCTTCAGCACGCTCACTGCATTGCCAAAGTGACGAAACCGGTACAATGCTATGGCCAATTGCTGATCCACAGGCATCTGAGGATTGTTGGAGTTGTTATGGAATGCAGGATCTGTGCCGATGCAGCATAGGATATTGTCGAAGCAGGCTGGAGATATGCCCGTGAAGCTGCGGAATATATCGGGAAAATCAACCTTGTATTGGTGAAGAAGAAGCTGTATGTTCTCGGGTGTTTTAATGATAGCCTCGCGTTCGTTCATGTACCGTGAGGCCTGGATTGCTGCAAGCTCACGAAGGTAGAGCTGCGAAAGCGGCTGATAGTCATCGGCCTGCTCTGATGAGCCCGATGAGCTCGAAGACTCCGATGCTGATGACCCGGAGGTGTCCATAGAGCTATCTGAGGATGATTGCTCTTCTGACCTGCCTTCTGCTAGCAATTGCAGTGTATATCCCTCTACGAGGTCGCGTATGCTTCGTGCTCGTACGGAGTGTCGAGGCATGGGGGAAAGCGACACACGCGGTATCTAACTCAATCTCGTGGCAAGCCCATTGTTCGGGATCCAATATATTGCAGCTCCGATGGACGTGCCGAAGTGTCGGCAGACAAGGAATCACGCACATAATACGGACATAATCAGCTGGTGTAGCGGGGGGTTCAAAGTTGAGAGTCGGATTATAGTCGTGTAGCGACACCAGAATCGACACAGAATCGACGCATAATCCAACACATAATCAGTGCATAATCGCCAACTTTGAGTCCCCCTATTGTTCTGCTGCAGCTCTGTTATCTATGTCATCATCGTCATCGGTGCTGAAAGTGATTATGTATGCAGTCGTCATGCATTCACATGTACCTGCGCTGCATAGAAGCGAACGTGCAGGAAGTGAATCAATGTATAATCGTGCGAACAACCTGCCCTTCTCGGACGTAGACGCTCGCACAGCATCTGCTGAGTCCAGGTGCTTGAAGTACAGTGTTCAATCACTCCTTGATGCAGTCACGTGAGAGGGGTCCATAGTACCTGCAATACCGCAGTTCATGGCAAAGTAAGCCTCTCATATGAAAGCTGCGAGCTGTAGCATCCTGAGGAATATTTTTTGGAGCAAAACGAACCGGAGGGCAGCGTCAGTGAGGCATTTTGTAAACGAGGTCGCCAGGTCGCCTCTATCACTCCTTGATGCACCGCTTACTGATCCCTCCGGTTACCCGGTGTGACTGTTCGAGTCACAGAATGTATTGGCGCGCGGTCAGTTGGCCGACGCGCGTCGGGCTCAGATGGGGTTCAAGCCTGAAAATGCAAGCTATGGACCCGGCATCGACGATTTGGAACTTGGTGTCATAGCAAAAAATGTAGCCAGGATGATGTTTCATAAGGAAGAGTCGAAAAAATGTGACTGCCAGCGATGTTGAGAGCAGTTCTGGGCCCAACTCCTTAGCGCAATGTGCCAGAATGTTCATTCTCAGGCACTCGATGATTTTTCAAAAATCGACCATTTGCCCCACGGACTAGAAAACTTGATACATTCTTGCAACAGTATGAAGGTACACTATGAATTAATTATAAGAGGGTTCTGAGCCAGTGAAAGGCGGGAGAGCCGATTGCATCAAGGAGTGATAGTGCATCAAGGAGTGATTCAACACTGTACCTCTCCCAGCTGCGCAAACCGCGCTCAATCTTGACTTCGACCATCCACCACCGTCATGAGTTCATCACCGTACACTGTTCCCCCGCCGTCCTACCAGAGCAAGCAGCCCGGCATTGAAGAAGAGGCGCGCCAGCCCCTCCTCTCCGGTTCACCCCGCGCGAGCACCAGCGGCGCCGCCATCTACGACCAGCCCCTCGCCGGCGACATCCCGGACGACTTCAAGTACGGCGTCACCGTGTCCGAGAGCTCGCTAGAAGTTCGGAACGCGTTTGTCCGCAAGGTTTACACTATCCTCTGTGAGTCTGCGCTGTGCTGTTGGAAGACCGGAGATCAGCCCCTGATGCGAAGCCCTTCCCAGTCTGTCAGATTGTACGTTGCACGCGCCTCTACCGGTGAACACAATAGTTAAATTGCTGATTTGGCTGAATAGCTAGCGACATGCATCGTTTCCGGTGGACTGTCACAGTCTCCGTCCGCGATCTTTTGGGTCCAGACGCAGTGAGTGTCAATTAGTCGTGCTCCCATCCGTGCCTAACCTCCCTTGCTCTTCAGCCCATGGTCGTTCTATGTCCCGCTCCTTGGAACGATCATCAACCTCGGTTTCCTCTACTGGAAGCGTCACTCACACCCTCTTGTGCGCTTCACCGCTTCCTGTTCTTAAGCGGCCCAATGCTCACCTTTAGTTTGCAGAACTTCGTCCTCCTGTCCACCTTCACCGCGATGGAAGCCTTTACCCTCGGTGTCGCGGTCTCGTTCTACGACAATGTCATCGTCCTACAGGCTCTGCTGATTACGCTCGGCGTCTTCCTCGGCCTCACCCTGTTCACCTTGCAGAGCAAGTACGATTTCTCGGGTATGGGTCCCTGGCTTTTCGGTGGCCTTATCGCGCTCGGTAAGCGACTTCTTCGCCCAGATCCCGCTGCAAGCGACTAACACGGGACATGTGTATAGTAATGGCTGGTTTCGTCGGTGTTTTCCTCCCCTTCAGCAAGACCACCGATCTGCTCTTCGCGATTGGCGGCACGCTCCTTTTCTCCGGTTATGTCGTCTACGATACGTGCGTCGCGATCCTTGTTTTGCCGTGTCCTGTGTATTCACTGTCTCATGCTCTCTCACAGCTACATTATCAACGCCCGCCTGTCACCCGACGAGTTCATCATGGGTGCCATCTCGCTCTATCTCGACTTCATCAACCTCTTCCTCAACATTCTTCGCCTCCTCAACAACGCCAGATCCGACTAAACCCGTCTGAGCAGTGCACGAAATCTTGAAAGAAGGGCATACTAATGAATGGTTGAATTCGGAAGCTAAATTGTCGCTGCTGTTACTTGGCTAGGATGATGTACTTTTATCGATATTGTGATTACATATACTACGCTAAAATTCCGGGAATAGTAATCCCTTTACTGTGTGACTCTGCGCCGTATAGTCTCCCAGTATCGTGGTAATAATGCATCGCTGGTTCCCCGTTCACGCTCGCCACACAGAAGAACAAAACGTAAGGCCCTGCCAGGACTCGAACCTGGGTTTCAAGAAAGCCAGAATTCAGAATCTTGAGTGATAACCTCTACACTACAGAGCCGCGCACGCAAGCCAGCGTGTATGCATTATATGATATTTGGTACCAGCGAGGAGTAGAAAGAAAAGAACAGGCCCTGCCAGGACTCGAACCTGGGTTACAAGAATCTTGGGATCAGAATCTTGAGTGATAACCTCTACACTACAGAGCCATGCTGAGCTTCGCGTGTTTGTCTTTATAGATGGGTAATCAGACAATCTTCGCCAATTAGCCACTACATAGTGCGAGGCCCTAGGGCCCGGTTGATCCGGTATTGGGACCGCGCTGGTTAATCCAGGTAGTCGTACGGTGCGATTCCAGAGAATTGAAGCAGCTGTAAGTTACGCGGTGCTGAGTTCCGGCTAATCTTACATCACTACGTGGTCTATTCATAATTTCGCCTCTGCCATGGCTTGTCCGGTATATATTCCATATAGTAGATAGATACATACGGCACATTTTGGTGATACCTCATTCGCCAACGTGGTCAGTGTGGCGTTGACCACGGTTGCCCGTCGTGTGTGATCCTCTCCTCCGGGTCCCACGACGCGCCCTCGCTTTGACGTGGTGCGGCCTTTATCTCAGCAGGTTCATGTGGACAGTATGCACATCCATCAACGCAGCGACCGAGCGCTAGAAATAGGCTGAGGCGACTGGCACGACCGTTCCGTGTCCGTTTTCCCCGATAGCGCACTCTCGAACTGCTGGCCATGTTGCTGCGCCGTATCGCTCCTCTATTCGGCCTCTTCGCCGCCGCTTCAGCATGGAACACGGACGTGCACAACCAGATTGGCGTAGGTCTCTCCTAGAATGTGTTACGGAACCGATCCTGAACGTGTTCTCTCGTGCTTTGTTCGCAGTTCATGGCCGAAAAGCTGATAAGCCACCACACGACCTCGGTCTTGCAGGAGATTCTGGAGCCCATGTACAATGGTTCCATAGGACAGGCTGCTGCATGGGCGGATAGCTTTGCCCACACTCCGGAAGGAGCGTTCAGCTTCCAGTGGCACTGGATGTACGTCCATTCTGCAACACAGAGGTTTGACCGTCCTAACGGTCTGCCCGTTTCATCAGCGACAGCTCGGACAACGTGCGCATCCTTGTTCTCAAAAGGGTTTTCCCGAAGCTGACAACGTTATCCCATACCAGCCGCCCGGTGTTTGCAACGTCTTCTACAACCGCGACTGCACGGCCGGCGGGTGCGTCGTCCGCGCCATCGCGAACCAGACCGAGATCCTCGCGGGTTGCGTGGATCAGGTGAAAGCCGGCAAGCTCAAGGGCGGCACAAACATCACCTGCTCCGAGGCGCTGAAGTGGGTCGTGCACTTCCTCGGGGACGTCGCGCAGCCGCTGCACGCGAGCGGAATCGCGGTCGGCGGTAACGACTTTGACGTGACCTTCGGCGGGGCGAAGACGGAGCTTCACGCGGTGAGTCGCCAGCTCTAGACACTTCGCCGCATGCTACGTTGCCGTGACTGACCGCGTTTCGCGAATATTTAGGTCTGGGACGGAAAGATCCTCTACTCGCTCGCGAACGTGACCCGGTTCTCCAACACGTCCATCTCGCCCTTCTTCACCTCGCTCCTCTCGCGCATCAAGGCCGACACGCTGTTCGTCCCCGTCTCCTCGATGCTGTCCTGCACGGACCCGTCCACCTCTCTCGGCTGCGCCCTCGAATGGGCGCGCGAGTCCAACGCCTGGACGTGCGACTTCGTGTACTCGCAGATCTATAACAACACGGATCTGCTCACGAGCGGGTACGCGCGTGGTGCTTACCCCATCGTCGAGGTGCAGGTCTCGAGGGCGGCCGTCCGGCTTGGAAAGTGGCTGGACCTGGTCGTGGCCGGGCACTACAAAAAGGACAGGGAGGTCGTGCTCGTCGAGAACCCGTCCTGGGTGCTGGGCCCTGATGCTGGCATCTAAAAAATTGTCGCTGGTCACTTGTTCCGGCGTTGCGCCTTGTCCGCCCTAGTAGCATAGAACCACGGACACACTAATACATCGACTGAACTAATCCTGGAGAAGTACGATTTAGAGTGATACCTGGCCTGTACCTAGGCTGTACAGTTTGCATCCGTGGTCATTACGCCCGGAATGACTAGGGGAAACGACATGAAGGAGTAGCAACAGGCATTCATACTGTCTCGGTCCTATGATAGATTCAGGCACTGGTGGTTGGACACTCAGTGGTGCGGAACCCCTTCGCATAATATGCAGACATCTTCACCGTTCACTCTCACCCACACCAGCGTTTCGAGTGCCTCGAACGCCGCGATCACGACCTCTTGGAACAGGAAGGATTGGAAATTTGACGACTCGATGGGTTGGGGTCTCTTCATAGCACCACCATCACGATTGTTGCTGGAATTGCGCTTCTCCACAAAGGTTGAGACAGAGCTCCGTGATGTCGACGAGTTCCGGAGACCTGAATGATTTCTCATCGATGAAAATGACCAGTGAAGAGCGGTTTGGAGCCGGGATGCCGCTATGTCCACGAGGGCAATCAGTGACCATCCCTTCGAGAACTCTCTGAGCCACAGCGCCGTCGCCCAGCAGCAATGTGCGCACTTGAGGATTTTGGCAAAGCAGAGTGCATTCCAATCCCGAACCCAGGATGCCTTGGTCGTATTCAAGAATCATTACCGTGGCTTGATGGCTCCCATCCGTGCTTGCAGCTTGCTCTAGCTGACACTGTGTGCAAGCGATTGAAAACGAAACGTGAGCGGGTATGATTTCCAGCCGGCAAGGTCAGAACCGATGAGCGGGCCATAGGTTAACTGAACTAGATCGTGGATTCGATAAACACGGTAACCGACGACTGCCGCTGATGATGGTGTGAGAAGGTCGCAATGCAGCCGTCCGATATCCCACTGGTCGGTCCGCGTCTTCATCTCAGACCATGAACAGATTGGTCAGGCCAAGGAGGGAAGATGCAGTAGGAATGCGAGGGTATCATGTTCTCTGCCAGTAAGGAATAGCGTTCGGAGAGCAGGCATTTGAACGGAGTGCGTGGTGTATATGTTTGGCCGCTGAGAGCCTTCTGACGGGACCGGCACGTTATAACAAAGATGAAGCTCATGCAGCTGTTGTATCTCCCGGAGAACATTGAGGGCATGTTCCAATGACGGAGAAGTCGGATCGTATCTTTGATCAGTTCGAAAGTAGCGCAAATTCGGAGAGGAGAACAAGGGCGAGATCCATGTGGATATTGATGCGCCTTGAAGCTCCAGTGACCGAAGATTGGGCGCCGTCGAAGAGGCTAGCCATCCGTGGATCACTTCCGTGTCTTCAAGCGTTGCAACGCCGGTAACAAACCCCGAAAATTGTCGAATGCATCGAACCCGTCCAAGATTCGAACATCCAGTTCCAAGATCCTCGATGCATCGTCGAGCAGCCGACCGGCGCTCGTCAAGAGCCCAAATGTGAAGGGAGCCGAAGATCCTCAAAAGGAAGCAGGAATGATCATAGAGGTATAAACAACGCGACCTATATCTGAGGTCCAAGGTGTTCCACAGGGATGGAGTACCAAATGCGACGCGCCGCCGATCGCTGTAGACATGTGCAGGTGGCGGTATGAGTGGACAGCGAAATCCACCGACACGATCAAGAGGTTGGTATCACGATCACCTCTTATGCCCGTTGTCCTGTGCATACGCGAAAACCTCGGAGAGGAGTTCAGGCGGGTCGAGAAACTGGCAGAGATGTGTTGTATTTCTGTAGAATCGCGATCATTTTGCGACTAATGGTTTGTACTTCCTTTTCTAGTCCTTTGAGATCAACGTTCCGAAGAGTGGCTGGGAACTGGGCAGGCAAGATGTAGCCGTCTGCATCGAAGGACAGCTCGCAGTAGCATTCACTATACGGGCTATGAATCGAGCAAACATAGCGATAAGCCGTGCACGAACGGCTACTCACTTCATCCTGGAACTCATGTTAAAGTGAGCACACGCATACATCCACAGATGCGCGCTGAGCAATATATGGCCCCTGGGCCCTGATTCGTTCGAGTGATAGACGAGATGGGGTAGGCCTAGCCAAACTCTGCAGAGTTTGCAATAGGGTCCTAATAATCCCACACAGAGGATTACTAGTGAGACGGTGATAGCGAAGGTAGCAGTGGTCGGGGTCTATGACCAGGTTAACCGCGTTCACGGTCACGACGTCTCACGTGTACATTGATTCGCTGTCCCTCCCTTCGCCGCCCAAGCGAGCTGCTATCATCGGGACAGTATATACCGCTCACATCTCTGATGTCCAACCCATCGCACATTCTGATAGCGAGGAACTCTCGTGGCGCCAACAACCCTCAGCTGAGCTCGCCAATCGAAACGCGCGCGGCTGCGTCCGGAATCTTTCGCTCCAGCGCCGGCTCACCACCAGGACGATGGCTGCTCGAAGAGATGTCCGACTCCGCGGAAGGCAGCGCGTCGAGCGCCGCACCGCCCGACGAGTCGGACGGGGAAGAGGACTCGATCGCCGTCGACGAGACGTTCAGCAAGTTCCACAAGTTCCCCGGCACGGTCAAGATCGTCGTCGAGAGCACCACGTTCTGGGCCCACAAGGAGGTGCTGTACTTCGCCAGCCCCTTCTTCGAGGCCGCACTCAGCGGCTCCTGGTCGGAGACGGGGGATAAGACGAAGCGACGATCCATGTCTTCGGTCATCACGATAGCCCGTCCTCGGAGCCACTCCCAGTCTGGTGCTCTCGATCCGGCCTCCAACACGAATAAGGGCCAGGCACGCTCTGAAACAACGTACCTTCCTACTAGCGAGGCAGGATCTGAAGCTGAAGAAACCGATGCTGATCTCGAATTCATCAACTCCGAACAAGACGCCCAGGATTTAGGCCGAGGGGAAGGGAGCAGTACTGGCCTCTCACAAAGACAATGGGAGAAAGCTCGCCAGAAACTCGAAGGAAGCAATGTAGCGGAGAAGGCAGACGACAGCAAGAACGATGTGTCACCTCCTATAGTCAAACTGCCGCCAGGGGCGAGTCCCGCCCACGCGAAGATTAAGCGCAAGGATTCTGAAGGCCTGACCGCATGCATCGTGCTCAAAGAAGAGAGGGTGGGTCGTCAATGTTTATGCCCCGAAATTGCGCTGAGGGTGCCGCAGGCATCCACTTTCCACGATTTTCTCAAGTGGATTTACCCCAAGTACGCTTCGCCGTGAATTGTGACTTAACAGGTCTCAATGATGCTTTAGCCTCCAATGCACGATTACATGGGCCAACGTTGAAGGTCTCCTCAATATCTCGCACAAGCTGTGCGTACCTGAACTGACCAAGGAGTGCAATCACTTCCTCCTCACCTATGCTGCTGGTCACCCAATCAAGGCTATGCGCATTGCAGAGGTAGGTCATGCGGTTTCTATATATCCGATGTCGTTGCGTGATTCACGAATTATGGCAGCTATTCGACGAAGCAGACATATACTGTGAAGCAAGTCGCTTCGTTCTTGACAATCCTGGCGGCTGGAACGACGCCGAGATGGGCACCCTGAGTCGTGAAACGCTGTTAAAGCTCGAGAAAAGGTATGTTCCGTGATGTGGTAGAATCCCCAGATCTTCACTATCTTGGTAGGAGAACATGGTTCCTTGAGCGAGTTCTCAAGCTTGGGCTAGTGCAAATGGCGAGGGATTATCAATGCGTGAGTTGAACTGAGCGATTTACTGCACTCGGATTTACGGGCGCTCACCATCGACCTTTTAGTGTCCTACATGCCCAGACCCGCCCACTTGTGCACGGTTGGTGGAGGAAAAGTGGCGGCAGTGCTACCATCAAATATTCCGTTACGGTAAGCGTCAACCAGTCGAAGTCCCTTCCACTTGACACCGTGATGAACAGGTCCCTGCCAACCGTCCATGGTGTTCCGATACTGTCGAAATTTGGAGGCCAACCCCCCTCTAAGTTTAACCAATCTTAACTGTCAAAACCACGCCAAGACCTTCGTCGCTGCCCGTGAGCGTGCTATAGGCGAATTTACCGTTTCTGAGTTCGCTCATCCGTCCCATTGTCCAGTGTTTGACAGAATGTTCTCTCTCGGAATGCGCGGAGTGGGTACTGACGCGGCGCCTATCGGCACCCGGGTTGCGTCCGCGGCTTCAGGCCCTCGGAGACATTTCCTCTTTTGCAATCTCAAGGCTGAATCCAACCCTCGCATGAAGAAGCTACGGCACACGTCCTGAAATGCAGCTCGGACTTTCGCGCCATGCTCCACGACCTCATCCATCTCGTACTGCGCGGTCATATACCAGACATATCTATACCCCATAGACCATCGCGTACGGAGTGTACCAAATACAAATGTAAACTACAGTTCGATTGTGCGTGGTATCCTCGAATGCATGCTGTTCCCCCGAAATGTGAAGGAAACACGTCAGAAGACAATCATGGATGAGAACAAGGGAAAAAGGAGGGGAAAGATCCAGAGTAGAGATAGTGGTGTAAGATGTGACGGTTTGTGAAGAGCAAGTAATACATATTCGGTAGAATGGAATACAGACGGCGAACAGCAACCCGAGCAGAAAGAAGAGAAAGGAGGGAATAATGATAGTAAAGGAACCTCATTCCGAGGTTCCGTCACCGAAAATGATTGGAGCATACTCCACCAAGCATTCGACGGTTTGGGCTTTTCCTGCCATGTCGCTGAACTCCTGGCTTGGATCGCGCGATCGCATGAGTGTTGCTGCAGATCAGATGAGCCAGTGTCGTACCAATATGGGGGATGATCGAAAACTCACGTCCAAAGACAACGCCGAGGTTGCGACTGCCCATCAGATTAACGTCGCTTTGCAGACGCACGCGATGCAGGTGAAGTATCAGCATCCGGAGCGTGTGGTAGTGCTCGTCGGGTAAGCGGTCGACGACATCCGCGGTGGCAGACACCTTGGCCTCCTGCTCTTTGATAGTGGCGACTTGCATGAACTCGTCGTGGAGGTCGTATGACATCAGTGGATTTGGCAACGAGCGGAAGTATGTTTTAAGCACGGAGGTCACGCTGGCGATATCGTTGAAGCGGTCCGTGTCTAGGAGATCGAAAGCCTGGTAATCTCCGCGCTCGAACAGCTGCGTGAGCATTTTCTGCTGGCCGGAGCCTCCTGTTTTGCGGTAAATTCCTTCCCAGTCCATCCCTGTGCCAGTTCGGCGTCAGCCCGGAGGAAGGTTTGGAGAGAAGTACCGCGCACCTAGGTGTTCCACCGCGTCGATACACTTCTCCACAATGAAAGGCACAAGCCGATCTGTCCCGCTGCGGGCAGCATCGTCCCTCACCTGCTCAATGAGGTCGCGCCCGAACATGGAGGGAGCTAACACAGACATCAGTATCGCGAGCCTTGGCACGGACCGAAGACATACGAGGAGGCGCAAGTGGAGTGGCCGGTTCTTCGGGTATCGTGCCTCTGTTATTGGGACACGCGCCGTGGACGGCATTTATGCAACGAGTGTGTGCGCTGAAGTGGCAGTCTGTTGGCCCCACGTTGTCAAAACGAAACCGTGAGAAGAAGCAGAGGGGGAAATACATACTGGTGCAGCGGAACTGCGTTCCGAACATCTTATCCCCGCAATGGTCGCAGCGCGCGAAAGCGAAGCGTAGCACATTGATCTGCTGGAAAGCATGCTTAGGCCCTTGGGAGCTTTTACTGTTATCGCTTTGAGATGGTTGCACGACCGCCTGCTCCTTGGCTGCCCTCGGTCCGGGCCATTTGAATATCTTCTTGATTTGGGGCGTCGTATCAGGCGCGTCCGGTCTCGACACCTTGATGAATCTAGTGTCCGTGGTCTCCTCCGACCACGCGGTGCTGCTCGCCGTCAACGACGTTGCGGAGTGCGACATCGCCGAGTTTGCGACATCCCGAGGCTTGTCAAAGGAGGCGCCAGAGGTGCGCCCGCCAGCGGCTTCCTCCGGCTCGAGACTCGCCGCCGCCTCCTCGACCCGTCGAACGTACTGGGCGCTCAACTTGGCAAGTTCCTCATTGCGGGCGTTCAGCGCACTCGTCTCTTCCAGATACAACTCCCGAGAGGCCTTCAGCTCGGCGATCTCACGAGCGAGCGTCTCTTTCTGCTCAGTCAATGTGACAAGGTCGCGTTGGTATTGCCCTTTGATCTTGTCGAGGCGCATAGACAACGACCGCGTAGCCTGCGTTCCGGTCGGAGCTTGAGCATCGCCAGCGAATACCGTTCTGTGTAACCCGAGTGAGCACCCCATGACCTACCTAAGGAACAGGCAACGTACGATTTCGACGCGGAGAGTTCCTCCACCTCCGCCAGTGTCATGTCCCGCTCCACCCTAAGCTTCGAGAGATCCTGCGCCAGGCCACTTATGCTCGTCGTAAGCTGCTCCGACAGCTCCTGCTGCACCTCCTGCTTCTTTACCGCGCCCTGCATCGCGGAAATACGCGCTGCCTGGCCGGAAAGCAGAACGCGCAGGCGGCTGACCTCAGCCTCCGCGTCACGCCGTGCTTTGAGCTCCTTGTCGTACTCGGCTTGAGCGACGGTCAAGCCGTCGACGTATTGCTTGCTCGCGCGCTGGAAAACAATGAACGATCAACACTTTGCCACGATGCAAACCATACGGAGGAGGCGAACACACCTTCATGCCCTCCACCCTACTCTTCAGCGACGCATACTCTGTTTCGCGCTGCACAAGCGCATCGAGTAACGCCTGCAGGAACGGTACCTCGATCCGCGCGTTCGGCAGTCCCTTCTCCCGCGCGTCCGCGACGATCTCCTTCAACCTCCGCGTCACCACATCCGTCGGGTCGGGCGCTTCGTCTTCTGATTGCGGCTCGGGCGCAGTGACGGTGATGCGCGCGCTGAGCGACGCCGCACGCCCAAGACCTGACGGCGCGATAGCTGCGGCGGGCTCGGAGCCCACATGCGCTTCGGACGAAGACCGGCTGCGGGCGGCGCTGGGCGCAGCGGCCGTGCGCGTCGCGTGCGTGCGCTTCGTCGGCGTCTTGTCTACCTCCGGCAAGGAGATCGCCCCGCCAATCATCGAGGCCAACGAGCTCACCGAACCCTGAGGCTTGTGCCCCCCGCCGCCGTTGACCGGCGCCCCGTCGGGAGCGATCGACTCCTCTTCCGTGAGCCGGCCGAGCTGCTCCGCGAGCTTGCCGCCGCTGCTCCCGACGTTCTTCGCCCACTCGGAGAAGTCGGTGCCGGACATGGAGAAGCGGATCGGCGGGAGCGCGGGCGCGATGTACGTCGCGTGCGACGTGCGCTCGACGGGCGAGGACGAACCGGCGGAGGACGTCTGGCTCTGGTCGCCACCGCTGAGCAGGCCGCTGCTGTCGCCCGCGAGGGACGCGTCGAGGTCGAGATCGAGGCTGAGGGCGGACGTGTCGAGCGTGAGGGCGTCGGTGCGGGGCGCGCTCTTCGGCGGCGGAGCCGGAGGCACGTCGTCGTCGTCCCCATCGTCGTGTTCGTTGTCGGTGTCGGTGCCGCTCTCGACGCCGCGGGGCAGGTCTTTCGGCGCAGAACGGTTCGAAGCGCGCGAGGAGGCGGAGCGATGCGAAAGCTGGCTCGCGGGGCGCGAGCGGTCGAGGTCGAAGGTGAGGCTGCCGTTGGGCGAGAGTCGGCCGTCGATGCTCCCGCGCGAGCGCTCGTCGAACGAGCGTTGGGCGCGGATCGGGCCGGGCAGCGCGGGCGAGAGGCGCCCGTTGGAGGACGCGTAGCCCTCGCTCGAGATGCGGTGAACGGCGATAGGCCGTGGGGGCTCACGCCGGACCCCGCTTCCAGCGAGGCTCGCGTTGCGGGGAGGGACGCGCTCGAGCGTGTTGTTGGTCCGCAAGGGCGGCCTTTGAGGGGTGAGATCGGGGATCGCACCGGACGAGCCGGCGCGTGAGCGGGAATAGGGAGACTGGTCGAAGCCGGCGGGGGTGTTGGGCTGGGAGGAGTAGTCTTTGATGGGAGGCGAGAGTCCATCCGGGAAGCGATCTCGGAGCGGGGAGGGGATTCGTGTGGTGACGGGTGGCGTGTTCGAGCGGGATGGTACGAGTGGCGGTGAGGCGAGCGGGGAGGAGTATGTCGGTGGCGATCGAGTGCCGACAGGCGCAATAGAGTTAGCCATCATGTTGGCGAGGGAGAGGCCGGGGTTGATCGAGTTGCGTTTATCGCGGCGTGAGGTCGGCTTGTCGGGCACCTGCAGGGCAGACATACCGGCGATGCCGTTCGTGGTATTCTTTAGAACGTCGGGTGACTCAGCCCTTGGTGGGTGCTTGTTGCCCCCACCGAAGAGCACGTTCAAAGGTCGGACGCCGTCGTCAAAGCTCTTTCTCTTGTCACCGTTGGATGCGCCGACGTGCAAGGCGGACGTGTCCTGCGCGTCAGCGTAGCTGGGCATCGGGAGGGTGTTGTTGTGGTTGTCGTCGGGCACGCTGATGTACGGGCTACCGCCTTGGACGGTGGGCGCGGAGCTGGTGCTGGGCACAGGATGGAGAGGCGGTGGCGTCGGCAGCTCCCGAGGACGCGTCTGAGGGGTGCTCTGAGATCGATGTGGCGGATGCGGCGATTGATCCGTCGGGCCCGGCCCCAGCTGCGACCGCCGCCTAGTCGCCGGGCCCGGCGCGCCGAACGGCGGTGGCACGCCGTCGCGCGAGGGCGGCTTCGACGAGTACTTCGACGGATCGGACGATAAGGACGCGGCATCGTGTGCGGGGGATCCAGCCTGCAAGGGTTTCCGTCAGTGCGTGCATGGGATTACACTATGAAAGATCGACGCACCCCGTTCTCTCGCGGTGCAGGCGATTCTGGCCCCTGCCCGTTCGCGGCGGCAACAGCGGCGCGCTGCTTCTCCTTCTGTCGCTGGGCGTGGCGGCGGGAGCGAGCGACGCGCGCGTTGTGACAGTCCATGCAGTAGATGCCCTGGCGGGTCTTGGCAAAGACGAGCTCATCGATGCGCTTCTGGCAGACCTTGCACTTGAAGCAGTGGGCGTGGTACGAGTCGTCGCCGGTCATGATCGCTTCGTCGAGGATCGGCAGGCCGCAGACGGCGCAGCCGTAGGAGCAGTTGGAACATATCGGGGAGCCGTCCGAGAGCAGGAGCAGGTTCGTATCGGCCGTGACCTGTTCGCCGCATTTCGCGCATCGGAAGCAGTCTACGTGAAAGAATGACTGGCTGCAGGGGCGGGAGAGAGGGGGGGTTCGATGTCAGTTACGGTTTTCGAGGGTGCATTGTATTACGAAGAGAGGGGCGATGTCAGATGTCAGAGGGGCGGGAAGGGGAGGCACGATGAATGCGCGCGCGCTTCAGGCCGGGGAAAGGGCGGGTGAAAGAAGGGCTAAGACATACCCGAAAGCGACGACGACGCCCCCGCTCTCGTCCAAGACCGACTTTTTGCAGCCCGGGCAGACGCTGTTCTGGTCCATCTCCGGGAGTTGCTCGGCAGAAAGGCTGTTGGCGAGCTCGGCCATGGTGTCTGCGTCGAATGACCGGTCGCGGTGGCCTAGATTACGCCTGAGAGTCTATGCGCCGCGTTACACGGCGTGGCGATATCCAGTCGTGTGCGTATGCGTATGCGTCGTGTCGTAGGCTTAAGTGGGTGTATCTAAATGTGGATGTGCGTCGCAGTGCCGAGATCGGGATGCCTCAGGCAAAGTGGGTCAGGGCGCCGCCGCAAGGAACGGTGACGAGCAGATGGCGGAGGCGACGACGCGCTCGACGACGAGCGCAAGAGCAGCTTAGGCTGGAGAGGACGTCGAGGACAGTGAGGAGGAGGAGGAGGATACGGTAACGTGGTTCGTTGCAAACCGCGCGAATGCGCCGGGAGCGACGGTGGCAATTGCTTCCAACGCGACGTGTTCTTCACTCACCGACACTGCTTTTCTTGGGCGTGCCGTCCGAATTCATTTCACGCATTCAGGACCTGATCTTCACTTCCCCCCCTCTTCTCAGCGGAACCTCCGGCGAAATGTGGCGGCGCCGTCCATATGGCCCATCCACTGGCACATTCGAGTCCTCTGACAGGAGCAGTCCCATCACCAGTGAGAGGATGCAACGGACGCATCAACCGCTATCACTTCCTGCATCACTTCTGGATTAGCGCTCTCTAGCCCCCGCATTTGTGGCCTAGACCCGAACCTCCGCAGAGCCATTCCAGAGATGTGCTCTTACAGGACACGTTGTGGGGTGCTGACCGACCGCAGTGGGACGCTTGCCCGGCTTAGGCTTTAGGTTCATTCATTCACCGATTCATTCATCTCAGCGTTGCTTCATTTGCACCCGTCTGCGCCGAGTGCCACGGCGACCGATGTCATTACAGTCAAGCCTCTTTTCCAGGTCCGTATCCTTCTGGCAGGCTTCCCAAACCTACCCTGCAGCTCAATCTGTTGGGCTTCGAGCGCGCTGCGCGCTGGAGATCGTTGCAATCGGAGCCGCCCCCGGAACAGGCCTAGACGCGCTCTGCACAGCATCATCTACATCTGGCGAAACGGGCATATGCATAGCGTGTAGCACAGCAGGCCACCCCCGTGGGACGTGTTAGGCCTTCAGGGATCCAACGCTCGGTCAGACGATGCTCCTCCCTGTGGAAACGCTCTGGACCTCGGAAGTAAAAAGTTCATCAGCACTTGCTCCAGCAGATCTCCGGTGGCGGACAGATCTGCGGCTGTTCATCGATTGAACGCAACCTCTCGAGACTCGAACGGTGTACACCTCGGTACTTGCGGTCGCAACGTGTGTCGTGTTGCGTAGACATGCACCTTAGACATCCTTTGTGACACGCGCGCCCTCGCACTTGAAGCAGTCTGAGTGAGAGCAGGCGTTGCCGCAACACAAACAGAGGCAAACAGTCGCAAACCCATCTCTTCCTTCCCACGCCTCCGATTGTATATAAGGGACGCGCCTCCTATCTTTGTTCCCCATCTCTTGTGCTCGGGCATGTACTGTCGCCAGTGAGGTCTTTACCGAGGCACAGTCTTTTGCTGATTGCAAATTAATTTCCGTACCGTCTGTTGGTTTCGACCTTCAGCAATTTTTGGAAAACCCTTCTTTGTCCGCGCTTCATGACGAATGTGAAGCGTAGATTTATGGAGAGTAGTAGTGTAGAATTTGATCGTAATGCAACGATTTTGAGCTCCCTATCAGGTTGATATGCTATGATAAACTTGCAAGGAAATGCACTGGCAAACGCGCCGAGGTTGTCGTATCTGGGTGAAGTTATGGCGCTGATCACCGTCTCCGGTTATCCCTCTTCGGGCAAGACACGACGAGCAGAGCAACTTCGCGCCCACCTCGAACAACGCCTCGCCGACCCGTCCTACATTGGCCCCAAGCTCAAAGTCGTCGTCGTCTCCGACGACACCCTCAGCCTCCCCCGCTCCGTGTACAATGGTATGCGTCTCCCCTCCCTCCTCCCCATCTCTCGGACCATGAGCTGACACGAACGCAGACTCGCGCTCCGAAAAGCCGGCGCGCGGCGCGCTCTTCACCGCCGCCCAGCGCGCGATGGGCCGCGATACGATCCTCATCCTCGACTCGCTGAATTACATCAAAGGCTTCCGGTACCAGATCTACTGCGCCGCGCGCGAGTTCAAGGTCCGGATGTGCACCGTACGTGCCTCTCTGCTCCTTCCGCACAACCACACGGACCGAGTTCTGACGAACCGCTCGGGAAAGTAGCTGTACGTCGTCGCGACGCACGAGCACTGCCGGACGTGGAACGCGGCGCGGACCGATGGACGAGCCTACGAGCCAGAAACGTGCGTCCCTGCACCTCCCCAGCCTTCTTCTTCTCAAACACGTTTTTTAACCTCCGGAATGCACGCAGATTGGACAACCTGCTCCTCCGGTACGAAGAGCCGTCGTCCATGGTCCGCTGGGACTCGCCGCTCTTCACCGTGCCCTGGACGGACGAGCACCCGCCGTACGACGACATCTGGCGCGCGATCACCACGGGCGAGATCAAGGCGCCCAACGTCGGCACCCAGGCTGTACGTCCCACCCTCTCTCCCACTCCCCTCGATTCCTTACACATCCGTCCTTCGACATTTACAGGTCGCCAAAGCGCCGACGGACGCCCTCCGCACGCTGGAGCACATCACCGCCTCCATCGTCTCGTGCATTATGGCCGAACAGTCCTCTTCCGGCATCGGCGGCGGCCCGCTCACGCTCTCCGTCCCTTCCTCCTCCGCCACCTCCCCCGCGATCAAGCAAACCGTGACGCTCCCGCCGCGGAACGCGAGCCTCGCCGAGCTGCAGCGGCTCAAACGCCAGTTCGTCGCCGTCCACAAGAAGGCGATCACGCTCGGCACGACCGAGAAGGGTGCCGTCGACTGGAGCGAACGCGCCGTCGCGACCAAGTTTGCCGAGTATTTGGAGGAGAACGTCAGGCCGTAAAACAATCGAACAGATTAGGCATTGCGTTCGCGTGCAAGGTATAGGGGCGGTAATCGTTACATTGACGTACTCTACATGCATGTCGTCGGCACCTGCAGACCGCGTCTCTATCCCGGCGAGACTCCCGATACAAACAAGAAAAACCGAACCATCCGAGATCGTGAGGTATCGTGGGTGGAGGTATAGCGAGTCCCAGATTCGATAAGTTGCAGTCCATGCGCCTTCATGGACGATCCTATATTCATCGTCCGTCCGTGATCGTTTGATCGTCTTCGCCATCGCAGCTTCGTGCGTGGGGGATAGAGCAGGGATCGTCCTCGTCGATGGGATGATCGAAGCACGAGAAATTTCGTCCCCTGAGTGTATGCATCCTCCTCCTTGACAAACGATAGGCTTGTCCCAACTTCTATACCATGTCTGAAGCCTCCCTACCGCTCAACAGCGGGGCCTGCAGAAACACAAAGAATGAGCGCTCGCTCCTCCGACGGGAATATATGCGCAGAAATACGCACCGACTCGTCCGCTTCTCCGGCGTCGGCGCCAGGCTTCAGATGGTGGCGCTCCGTACAGCACGCGCAGTACCTGCACACCTCCCGCCGCTGCTGCTCGTGCCTCCACCCGTCCGCGGGGCCAGAGAACGCGGGCAGCTCGACCTCGGCGTCGTCCCTGTCCACCGCCGTCCACTCGCGGCACAGGATCCAGCCGAGCACGAGCAGGTCCGCGGTGCATATCGCCCACTCCGTGCGGAGCGCGGGTCCGGTGAGCTCGGTGGTGAGGATGGTGTAGAGCGATCTGCAGGGAGCGCGGTCAATGCATGAGCGCGGTCCGGCTTCGTTCACGTCTGACGTTGATGGAGTGCATGGGCGTACCGACTGCTGATATAAAGCGCGAGGAGGAGGAGGATGGTGCGGAACGGCTGCGTGAGCGGGTTCTCCATCGTTGCGGTGTATAGCGACGGGGTAATCGGCCTGGTGTTGGGCGTGCGGCGACGGAGCTCACTGCGGCTCGGTCCCTCGGTCGAAGACGAGGGGAGGGGGTGCAGCGACGTCGGGCTCGAGGAGCAAGGGGACTCCCTGAGTAAGCCAGAACCTAGTAGGCTCGCTGACCGATAGAAATGAAACCTAGAGCAAAAGAAGTGGGGCGGGCCGTCGGACGGGGGCCCAGGTACCATCTTGCTTTTGTAAGGCCGCGAGAGGAGGAGCTGAGAACGCGATCATCGACGCTATCGTCCTGGGTCATTCCTTTTTTTTTTCTTCCTTCTGGCGACATCGGCGCTAGGATCGAACCACCGGTGGAGGGCGAGCGAGCGAGACAGACGCGGATCGGGATCATGTGTGCGCAGCCAGTGAGAGCGCGAGCGCGAGCGCGTGCGCGGGGCAAGGGGCGTAGCGGAAGGCGAACGTGTGTTCCATCGCAACAACGGACGTGTGCGATCAAGCTTGGCGTTCGTCTCCGACGATCAGGATGCCACCTGGCTTATTTGTTTGCGCTACCTGACAGACCGCTGTAGGATCGGCTGCAGGCTCTCGTGTGGTAGGTAGGTATATAAGCTCAGGGGGTACTGAACGCCGGAAATATACCTACCTACCTACCAACAGGTGCAAAGCCTTCGGGCAGATGCGAACTTGCTACCTTCGGGGGTGGATAAGATGGTGATCTTATGCCGCATACACGTATATGATAAAGTCGCCCGATAAAGAACACCGTCGTGTGCGAGGCGACGGTCAGGCTTTGCTGCGCTGGAAGCCCGTCGATGCCATGTACGACACGGTCTGCATATACACGCCTAATCCCCGCGCATACGACCGTGAGTCGCAATCATTCCAGGCCCCTGACCCGCATGAAGAATAAGTGTCCCAAGTCCGCATTGCGATCGCAGTCGACGTCGTCTTCCGGAGATCCCGAGTCGAGTGAGCGACGATGAGGCACATACTCCGGACATGGGTCCAGGATCGTACGACGTCCAGGTGGGAGCAGGGAAACGATATCACACTTACCCCTTGAGGTTTTCATTACCTCGAAATCCAGTCATACTCATTTGCCATGAGATATGAAAAGACCTCGTACCTCAAAAAACCGTGCCGATCGGTGATATAGTTATAGTAGGTCACTTGTGAAGTTGCATCAACAAGTTGGAAGCGTCAATTCAAGCGGCGAACAACAGGCCACTGGGCGAGATAGCTGATGAAGGAAGACCTTACGGCCCCTCTTCGCGCATCTGTTCCTGTGCATGAACTATCGGAAGAACAAGCAGCGATTCGAGACTGCGTGATACCTTTTGGTACTGATGATAGTGTGCGAATTCCCGGAATTTCGTTACCACTCAATCAGGTTCGTGAAGGCCGCCAAAGGAACATTGACCTATCCAGGATGGGGACCCAGTTCAGGTAGAAGAACACAGTTGAGGATGGCCGGCAGATTCCGGCAATATCTGGACGCCGACGCGGTCAGAGACGCGCAAGTGGCTGAGACGTGTTGTAACGACCAGTGCTGGGTCGTGGGGGAATCAGGCGAGATTGTAGCACACGAGGATGTAGCGTAGTCAAAAGAATGCGATATGTGAGCTATTACACTGAACAATACTGGCGTTGACAAGACGAAGACACGAAATGCGTGCGACGCGCGTACATACGATTCGGCGGAGCTCCAACTCAGCGTGCTGACCCTGGTCCTCACACGTGTCTACCCCGCTGCTCACCAGCGCGCATTTGCTGGCAAAGTTGCATACACGACAAGAACACCTCATACACTCTTTCTACCCCCATGCGATAGCCCGAACGTATTATAGGGCACTCACAAAACACGTCACGCGTAACCTCCGGATCTGTGTTCGTTGTCGTCACGTCGCGCTCGCCCAGCATGCACCGTGCACTCAGCCTATACGAAGTCCTGCATATCATTTTTCGTCACCTCGACAGGAGCGATTGGGACTAAGATGAAGACTGGGACGAAGATTACCACAAACGAGACGTACGCAAGAGTGAAGCTCTGAGTTGTGTGTACACCTGCAAATTATGGTCCGACATCGCGTTGGACTACGTATGGTCAAACACATTCGTCGAGTTTCACTCCCTTCTTCGCACTATTCCCTGCTACAGTAGAGACGGGCAGCGAGGATGGGTACGTGACGTAGCTCGCGACGACTCTATGATCGATTCTGATACTTCACCAGGCTTTTTCTCGCGAGCCGACTGAACGGGAGTGGGAACATTTCCTGCGTCACTGTCTCCGAGTCACGAATCTGGAGCTGAAGTCATCCGCACAAGGGGAGACACTGGACCGCGTCTTCCAGGCGATGCAGTCACACGCGAAAGCTCGGGATACATCCCCCCGTCTAAGGCAAATTTTCTTCGACCCGCGGACCGTTCCTGCTCGACTTGCAGCTTTGTTCGTCTCTCCCGTTTTGCAGTTTCTTGATATCGAGGACAACGCACAGGAACTGCAGGGTCCATCCGATGCGGAAGACGTGAACTATTTCCTTCAAAAGCTGCTCTTCTCCCCAACTCCACGCTTGTCCGAAGTGGAAATTATGCTCCCTGGTCTTGACCCCCTATTATTGGAGAAAATATGCGCCCTTGAGGCACTGCGAGTGCTGTACATCACCATCAGCCGGGATTCCTTCGGCGACGGTGCCCGCACGTCCAGCCTCATCCGTCGAGCGTTCGCGCACCCCATTGTGCAGTGGTTCGGAATCTCGGTTGATCCCTTGATTGATGGCTTCCCTGATTTGGTGACCGCTCAAGACGACGAAGAGGACGACGATGAAGAGGAAATATGGGTTCAAAAAGTTTTGTTGGGTGGTCGCGTTACAGCAATAAGCGATCTTGTTCCCTTGCTCCCGGCCGATAGTCTCGATCTATCGTTCGTCAAGGCGGATTCGCAGGCTGCCTGGAACCGGCTGTTGAGTCAGATATTTCAACATCCTACTTACCTAAACTCGCTGGAGATCAAATATCGGAGCCATGAATGGCAAATGCCGATCGCTGCGGATCATCTCCTCCATATGCCTGCCTATCCTCACCTCAGCCTGCTTCAAATCAGCGCGCCTTTCATGTGGACAGACCAGATCATCGATCAATTCACCCGTTCTTGTCCAAGCTTGATGTGGGTCAGCCTCTTCAGGACGCTTGGATATGGCACCGACGATCTGCAGCTTACGTGCGCCTCGCTCAAGTCGTTCGCTATGCATTGCTCAAGACTACACACCTTATGCATCATGATCAACCCATCGATAACTTCTCCAGATCACACGACTCTTCCCGCCGGTAGACAAGGCAATGTATCGGTTCGCAAGCTCAAGCTGGAGGATTTCATGCTCGACGACGACTGGGAACTTAATTCTGACGGGTCGGCGTGCTGGTCTGATTCCTTCGTCGAGGTTTTAGATTGTCTTTTTCCGAATTTGAAGGCCTTTACCTTCAGAGACTTCGTCGAGGCGTTGGATGACGATGACATGAGGCGAGACACTCGCAGATGTGTGCTTTGCAGGATGCGAAGATTGCAGTTGGCTCGAGGCCTACAGCCGGAGGACGTGATTGGGACCGTCTACAAGCCTGACCTTATCTTCAGTTGAGACTGGACTGGGGTTCACATAGTATATCAATGTCTCCCGTAATACACCATGCGTCCTGTGATCATGATTGTATCAGTCGTAGTATCGGCCGTGGATACGATGTTCTGGATGCAGGGGTATATCATGGGCGAGCATGTAAAGCGAACTGTAACGGATAATCTGTTTAGTGCGCCGAATGACGCAAACCTTACTCATCAATTACATCACCTCAAGATCCAACACATATATAAACGCGAAGATTTTGTATCGTAGCGCAGAGTTCTTTTGCAATACGACAGGATCTAACTGATTTGTCGCGCTACGCGCTCAATTTCCTTTCCCTCACGTGCACAAGTGTTGCATAACCCCTTACACGAACGAACCAAAATGTGCAACGTGTACACTCCTTTCTCCCCTTCGATCACGACGCTGCCAATCCGTTGAGATCAAACGTTCTCAAAGCTAGCTGTCTTCGAGCTGTGATGCTTAACTCCGTCTAGTAGCGTCAGCGAAACCTAGGCATACAAATCTCGCCCGCGCACTCGTTTTTATCGTTATAGCGTCAAGTGTCATCGTGGCGGTCACGATTGTGGAACATGCACCGTACACTTCTCAAATCTGAGATTCTTCAGGTCATTTTATCCGGCTTCGGTGATGGAGACGAATGGGACGACAGTGTCTCTCGACGTCGTCGCGAGAGTCTCCTGAATTGCGTGTGCACCTGCAAGTTATGGTGTGACGGGGCGTCGGACACTGTGGTGCACGATCGTGGATTTACACCTTAGTGCTGCGAACGATTCCTTGCTACGAGAAATATGATGATGGGCGATGGGCACGATGGGTACGTGAATACCAGCTTGATTATTTACCCAGTACTGAACAATTACACAGGCGTTCTCTCGCGGCCCAACTGAGCGTGAATGGAAGCGTTTCTTTGATTACTACTATGGTCGACTCAGAGGCTTAGAGATCAAGACCTACCTCGACCCAGGTGCCTTGTATGGCGCCCCAACGGCCTTTCAGTCTCGCGAACAACACTGTGGTCCGTTTCCTCGCCTAAAAACGCTTTCATTCGACCTAAACAGAATTTCCACTCGGCCTGCAACCGTATTCATATCGCCATCCATCAAGAGGCTCACCGTCGCCACCGGAGCGAGCTACTCGTGGGGACCGTCGCGCGTTGGCGAAGATGTCAGACGCTTCCTTCAGACTTCGTTCGCCACACTGCAACCGACCCCACGTCTGACAAAGCTTGCCGTCGTTGACCGCGCTGTTCATCCGCCGTTGCTCGAAACGATCGCCAGGCTGGAGCACTTGGAGATACTTCGCATGTACCTCAGTTGGATGGACTTCAACGAGTCCACTCGCACGTCTACCCTCGTTCGTCCAGCATGGGAGATCCCCGGTCTTCAGGAGCTTGAGATCGATGTTGATAGCCGGCTCCTGAACGTCGCGGGCCCAGCGCCCTCTCAGACGATCGGTCCGAATAGGGCACCTCAGAGAAAAAGATGCCCCACGTCATATTGATCGACTTGCTCTGGAAGGGCGACTTCATGCCGTCTGTGACCTTCTGCGGCTGCTCCCGGCCCGTTACTGAAGGTATCTATATTCAAACGGGGATTACAGGCTTCCTAAGCTCTATTCCAGGTTTTCCAGCAACTTCCCGATCTACTGAACACCCTGCCGATCAATTTCGAGTGGTACGCACCGGATATGCAATGGCGATCGGATCATTTCCTCAACGAGCCTACCTTTCGAAAGCTCTACAACCTCCGGATAAATGCGCCGTTCATGTGGACAGACGCTGTCATTGATCAACTCACCATTTCGTGTCCGTCGTTGAAGTTCGTCAACCTGTTCAGGGTCCAAGAGTATGGCGAAAACGAAACCTTACTTACGTGCGCTTCTTTCAAGTCGTTCGCCGTGCACTGCCCGTCCTTGAAGATCCTGTGCCTGATGATCGAGACGACAACCGTCGATCAAGATGACATGGAACTATATTGGCAGGGAGCCAAGGAAACCGAGCCGTCCGCAAGCTCCTGCTAGAGGAATTCGTTTGGGACGACCCGAATGACAGTGACCGAAATGGTGGGCGGAACCCTTCGTTGGGTACTGGATTGTCTCTTCCCGGACTTCAAAGCCTTTTCTTTCGACGCTGCCAGAGTTCGGACAGTCAATGAATAATATCCAGACATACATCATCGGATAATTGCGAAAATTGCAGTGCGCTCGAGGCCTTGAGCCGAACGACCCGATCGTCGATGAATACGAAGCAGATACGTTGTGGTGAGGCGGGATCGGGTTATATGATCGCATGTACCTAGGGTTTTCCCAATTTACATCGTGCGTCTTGTGGTGATTGACTCTGTCCGTATTCGGCATAAAAACTGAGGACGTTGCCATGCAGACGGGGAGATAGGGCACTGGGCGCCCAATCGAGCGCTAGTAGTGCAGACCCTGCTTGTATTTCCGTCTTAGGGACAAGGGTTTGTATCGCGACGAGCCGTTGGACCAACAAGGTTACACAAACCCTTCTTGACCAGCGTGTGAAGTCCCTCTCGTTACCCGCCCACGTGTCCGGCCCCAACTACATAAGTACCTTGATACCGGACCAATATACATAAGTACCCCGACGTTTACTCGCTGTTTCGGTGACAAGCGCATCTCCCGAACTGCTCAAGCTCCCACTCATTTTACCGTTGAGAGTGAGTCCAGGCCTATCTGCGTGTACGGGCCATATTGACACTCAATGAAGGCCTGGCTTGTGTTGCGTAACGACCCAGAGGAGAAAGCCTCGAATAACCCGGGCCGTGGCCACGCCTCTGACGCCACGACTGCAGATATGCATCGTGCGCTCTTCATACATGAAGTTGTCCAGCGGATTTTTTTGGGCTTGGACCAGCCTTCCTCCGACCTTGTTAGTTGTCTCCTGACGTGCAAGACGTGGTCTGAGATTGCGTTGGATGCTATCTGGGCGACCATCACAGATCTCGATGTTGTTCTGCGCACCATCCCGTGTTATGAACCTATTGCCGACGGATCATGGGTATGCCGGTTCTTGACATGCATGTGTATGTTATTGAATCTTGTGTAGACGTTCTCTCGCAATCCGACCGAGGTAGAATGGACGCATTTTCAAGACTACAGCCGCCGCGTCAGGACTCTCAATCTCGAACATCGCCCACCAGGTGGATTCCGTGGAGATGTTTTCCAAGTGTTGCATGCTCGCGCTGCCTTCATCTCTCCCAACCAGTTCCTGTTTCCGCGAATTCAACATCTCCAGTTTGATATCAACCCAGGTCAACTTCCGGCCCGTTGGGCGAAGATATTTCTCTCCCCCCAGCTCAAGTCGTTGATCATAGACCGTGAAAACCATGATAATCACCCCAATGCCGCCGTAGACTTGGAGCACTTCTTTCGGGCCCTGCACGCCGTACGCGCCCGTGGATTATCGGAAATTCATGCTCCAATCCTCAGCACTCCGATCCTTGGGCTCATCATCGGTTTTTCAAGCGCTGAAAGCTTGCAGTCACTTGAAATCAGCATGTGCCAGGACGTCTTTGCTCACGGTGATCAGGAGACTCACGCGGTTCATCTTGTTCGCTATGCGTGGATGATTCCTGCCCTCCAGCACCTGGTCGTTGACTTACATCGCGCGATAAAGCCGTCGCGAGTGGGGCCGGTACCTCCCGAGGTCTTAGCCGCAGAACGTCGCCGCTGTACTGTGCGTCGCCTTGACCTGCGGGGTCACATCACGACACTCAGCTATCTTTCGTGCTTCCTCCCGGACACTGAAGAGCTGTTGCTGGACTTCCAGGGTCGAGCAGACTCCCCTGCTGTCTGGTCGTATTTACTGCAACACGTTCTGCAGCGCCGAACGGGCCGTCTTTCGCTCCTTGCCTTCCTCATCAGCAGTAAACGGCAGGAACCCATCACTGCGGACCCATTTATGCAGATGAACCAGTTCCACACGGTACGCAAGCTCGTCATCAACGCACCAATTGTGTGGACGGACACCGTGATTGACTGTTTGGCCCGTTCGTGTCCGGCGTTGACGCACGTGAACCTGTTATGGTTGACCTACGACGTTCAACGGGACGACGATCCTAGGCTGTCCGGCGCTTCTCTGAAGTCCTTCGCTCTCCGCTGCGGCTCGTTGTCGGCGCTCGCTATCGGGGTCGATCCAAGGCTCGTGTCCATGAATGACCTGGACCTTCCTGCAGGGTTTCGCGGCAATGCGGGCTTGTCGAAGCTGAGGCTCGACACGTGGTTCTTCGACGATGAAGATGAGGACCCTGTCCAGTTTGCAGCGGTCCTCGACCGTCTATTCCCTCGTCTGGGAGCCTTCACCTTCATGATCCCCGATAGCGTGGCTTATCCCGAGGAATACGAGGAATCGACGGAGGTAACGCAGAAAGTTATAGAAGGAGTCCGCGCACTGCAGCAGGCCCGGGGGGTGCCTCCTCAAGACATTATTGGGGATGATATAGAGCCGGAGGATTGGTATTGAGCTCGGGCCTGGCTCATCGCGTGGTGTCTCACAACCACGCTTTATTCGATAATGAGTACCCATTACACTGTTGTGATCCTGAGTGAAGATGATATCCTATGTGAAAACGTACATATATTTCAAGATAGAATGCGCAATTCATGCAGTTGCTGCTTGTGAAATCATATACATGCCAACGCATCCTTAAGCTTTGCACTACTGACGATGTCGGTGTCAATGAGTAAATGACCCATTTGGTGGAGACCTTCCTAGGGGCATCAAATCCGTGAGAACATCATGCCCCCCGATCCCCGATCTCGATCCGGGCCGACGGTGACGATATTGAGCGCGGCTGTGCTACCTACATCAAACCCGACCATGGTTTCCTTCGCAGGCTGCCCAGTGCCAACGGGGCAGCAACGAACGCGCTGTCCTCTCCACAACGCTCACTATACCTCCACTCAAATTCTCCTATAACGCGGCCGTTTGAGTCACATTTGGAGCACATTTGGACATCTATAAGTGATGACTATATCAGATTCCGTCCTGCAGGTCGGCTATGACCTCCTTGACAAGGCCAGACTCACCTCCGCCATATCACATTTGCTTCCGCCACTGACTATATGCGTCATCCGACGGTATCAGGGGCTCGTACCGGATGTCGTTCTTCGGCCCGTCATACGCGCGCTGTGCCGCCAGCGGTTGCGCGAGATTGACCACGGTTCGTTCGAGGCGAATCATGCGGCCAAAATGGTGTGGATTGAGGGAGTACGGGCGCGCGACACCATCGCCGACCTGACCGAGAAGGCCAACGAGCAACATTACGAGGTGCGCGACCCATGGCGCTTGTGGTGTATGGGCGCTCGAGAGCATCATTGACGTCATGTCAACAACGCGTATGTGTGCAGGTCTCCACGGCGTTCATGCTCTCCTGCCTCGGGCCGTTCGCGAAATATTCGTGCTGTTTGTATCCAACCGGCAAAGAGACGCTTGAGGAAGCGGAAGTGCTTATGCTTGAAAGCTACTGCGAGAAGGCGCAGCTGAAGGACGGACAAGACGTGCTCGACCTCGGATGCGGTCAGACTTCGTTCACATTCACCTCAATCACGCACCTCCTTGAACTCTTGTATGTTTACCGTCGTAGGCTGGGGCAGTCTTTCCCTTTATCTTGCCCAAAAGTACCCCAAGTCTCGCATCACCGGTCTCTCCAACTCCACCACCCAGAAAGTGCACATCGACGCTCAAGCTCAAGCGCGTGGTCTGACCAACCTCGAGGTACATCCGGCACGCCGTTCCAGACCACCGTCAGGCCCCTTACTGTATATGATCCGTGGAATATATATAGATCATCACCGCAGACGTCAACACCTTCGACTTCTCCGGCTCAAAACAGTTAGTGTCAACTCCTTTATCCCAGAACCTAGTTCCTTCTTATCTTTCCTTCCCATCTCCTGTCTTCTTGTAACCCGTACAAACCGGACGCTCAGCTAACATGCCTTCTCACCACTTCTTGTTCGAAGCTTCGACAGAATCTTATCCATAGAGGCATGTCCACGCCGTTCCTAAATCCGACGCTTCATTTCCGTGACGCCTGAGCCGACTGGCTGGTCATGATTTCCTCGTCGTCCTCAGATGTTCGAGCACATGAAAAACTATCAAGCCCTGCTGCGCAAGGTTTCAACATGGCTCCGGCCGCGGGCTTCTCAAAAATCCGACGGCAAAACCGGTGAGCCCGAGGCTTTCCAATGCGCTTGCTCTCAGGACCCGCTCCTCCGTATCATTTCTCCGTTCGGATGTCACATATCTTTGTTCCTCGCTAGTCTGAAACGCACACGAAACAATCTGACGGGTCGAGGTAGGAACGCCGGTGGAGCAAGAAGACGCGCTCTTGTTCGTGCACATATTTTGCCACCGCACGACGCCCTACCATTTCGAGGAGGGCGACGGATGGATGGCCCAGACGTTTTTCTCGGGCACGTAAAACCCTCCCTGCCTGCGCTTCCCCGTATCCGGTTGCTGATCCATGTGCTATCCTTCCAGGCGGAACAATGGCTTCACATGATTTACTGGTGAGCACTTCATCCGAATGCCCGTACGCGCGCCCACCCCTGCATTGATCCTACATCTTTGGGGCGTCGAACTCTCCCGCGAGGGCGCTGACCGACCCACCGCATAGCTATACTTCCAATCGGACCTGACCCTCGTTCGCTCGTGGTACCTCCCGGGCACGCATTACCAGCGTACGTCCGAGCACTGGCTCAAGCGGCAAGATGCCTACCGTGAGTCCTCCGTCGCTCCCCCTGTTCTCTGTATGTCTGATTTCCGATTTCTGGTTCTCGCTGTGGATAGGTAAAGCGGGCATTGCGGAACTCGAGCGCGACGCCATAGCGAAGGGGCTCTCGCCCGAAGAAGGCCGCAAGGCCTTTTTCCGCTTCCGTGTCTTCTACCTCGCCGTCGCTGAGTTCTTTGGGCTTGAGCACGGACAGCAGTAAGGCTTCTTGGTCGCAAATTTTCCGCTCCCCTCTAACTGCTGGCCCAACGCAGGTGGGGCGTTGGCCATTACTTGTTCAAGGCGAAAGACCTACAGTGATCCGGAAGCTGGTGACGTGCTACTGTGTAGTCGCCTGAGGCTGGCATAGACCTCATAAACCATTTGATGTGATGTAGGGGAGACTGCTGGCTTAGCAGATAGTGCTGATTAAATACATTGTTGTCCAGTTCCATGCGAGATAACGACCACATTTACGATATTAGCATGTCCACAAAGCCCTATAAGAATATGTCCCTCTCCACGTTCATGAGCTGCGTAGATCAGCCTGAATCAGGCGTGCCATCGCTACTCCCCGCACCCAGTGCATGATACGCCCTCAGAATGCTCTCCATCTCGTCGCGCATCTTGCTGTAGCGATCACTTAGCTTGTACAGCTCCTCCGCGTCCATCATCTCCCCGTCGTCGCTCCCGTCGTCGTCGTCAGACGTCGACCGCGACCACGCAGAGTCGTACCCACTTAGCCCGCGCTCCGCCATCGCCTTCTGCGCGACGACCTTCTGGAAAAGGCCGAGATATCGCGGGTACAGCTTGTGGTAGAGGTTCGTGAGCCCCGCACGGTCTGTCGGCAGCGTGCGTTTTGCGCGTCGCGCGTGCGCATCGTGGTGGCGCGCGGTAGGAGGATGGGGCTTGGCTTTCTTTGTCGGCGGCGACTCGCTTTCGGACTCGGAAGAAGACGTGTATATGTGATCAAGGCGGCGCAACTTGGTGGTGCTCGTCGAGCGGCGTTCGCGTTCGCGTTCGCGTTCACGATCGCGCTCCCTGTCCCGGTCACGTTCCGTGTCCCTAGGCTTGCTGCGCTCTCCATCCCGATCCCGATCGTCTCTGTCCCTGCCCTGCTTCAACGTCGGCGGTAGTGGCGCAGGGCTTTCCCTGACCCTCGGGGACGATTCTCTCCGCCTCGCCTCGGACTTTAGATTGGCCACCTCCCTCGACTCCCGCTCGCGAGTTGGCGCAGCCTCGCCCGTTTTCCGCCGTTTGGTGGCGGCATCCCTTTTGCGTTCTCGTGGCGTGTCCGTGTACTCGTCATCGTCATCGTCATCGTATGCGGTTTTCTTTCGTTTCAACGACGTGTTGGACGCGGAGAGCCGAAGTTCCTTGTCCTCCTGCTTGGGCCTTGGTAACAAGGATAAGCGAGAGTCAGAGGTCTTAGTTTTCGCTCGCGGCGGAGGCTCATCCCTCAGGGAGCGAACCGGTGTTTCTTCCTTCACCCTCGAGCGCTCCCGCTCCCTCTCTTCCTTGACTCGCGCCTTCTCTTCCCTCTCCCTTTTCTCATCCCTCGCCTGCGTCTTGGCCTGCGCTTGCGCCTTGGCCTTGGCCTGTGCCTTTGCCTCCTCTTGTTCTTGGGCTCTCTTCTCCTCCCGTGCCCTCTTGGCCTCCTCCTTGGCCTTCTTCTCCTCCTCCCGCGCCTTCCTCTCTCTATCCTCCCTAGCTGCCGCCCGGGCCTCCTTCTCTCGCTCCCGCTCTCTCTCCGCCTTCTCCTTCTCCGTCCGCCGCGCGGGCGGCGGTATGGGCGGCGCCGGCTTCTCCCGCTCGCGTCCCAACGGGCTCTCGGTCCTTCCCGGGCCCTGCTTTGAGCTCCGCGCGTCGACTGGGCCCAGCCTCTTCTGCGGCACGCCAGTCGGCGGGTTCTGCGTCGGCGCCGGCGTCGGGGTGCCGCGCCCGCTCCCGGTCTGCGAGTGCGATGGCGTAGTCGGCGATGGCGCCTTGTACCCCGAGCCGGGCAACCGCCGCGCCGGCTTCGGCGGCTGCGGCTGCTTGATTTCGCCCTCCTCTTGCTCGGACGACGGCGCCTCGCTAGCCTTGCTGCCGTTCGTCGACAGCCGCGGCCGCACCTGCACTTGCACCTGCGGTTTGGGCGGAAGCAAGCTCACACCCGAGCCAACCGTCGAGTTCGACGCCGTCGTGAGCTGGGACGCCTTCCTGCTCTCGTCTTTCATCATGATGGGCTCGTCGTTCGCCCTGCGCGAGGTGCCGACCTCGACCTTCGCCCGCGGCTTTTTCTTCGCGGCGACAGCGGCGGCATTGGACGCACCCGCATCCTTCCTCGGCGCGGTCGCAGGCGCCGGGGGCAGCGCGTCCCGTTCTCCCGCCGCAACCGCGCCGCTCGTAGTGCGGAACTTGATGTGAGCCCACGCAGGGTCGCTCTCGGGCACGTTCAGGTCTTTGAGCGCGATGCGGGCCTGGCGCGCCATCGTGATGCGCTCCTGCTCGGACAGACCGCGCCATTCGTACGGCCGTACGTCGAGCCACGACGCGCGCTTGAGCCGCCACAGCTTGCCCGCCGCCTTATCCGCGCTCTTCTTCGGCACCGGCTCGGGCTCCGCGACCTGATCGCACAACACGACACGACAAGAACGTTCAGATGGATGAGGCAAGCAACGAGAGAGGAAGGAGTGACCTCGTTGAGCATCGCGAGCACGTCGTCCTTGTTCCCGCCCATCAGTCGCATGATCTCCTCCGTAGAGCGGGACTTGACCGCGAGGCAGTGCACCATCCTGCGCCGCAGGGGCACGACGTCGTCCTTGGTGCCGGACGCTGCCGCCGCGGCGCTCGTCGGCGCCTGCGCTGGCATCGGCGACACGCGCCCGCTCCCCGACGGCGAGCGCGAGTGCCCGATCGTGGTCGGCTTGCTCGGCTTCAAGAACGCGGCCGCGCCCGTCTTCGCCTTCTTCGCGCCGCCGCCCGCCGATTTGCCCGTTTTGGCAGCGGCGGCGGCAGCGGCGGCAGTAGCCGTCGGTGGATCGTCGATCATGACGACGCGGCGCTCTTTGCGCTTTTGCTCGTGCGCGTCGTTGATGCTCTTGATCCGCGTGGTGACATCGTCGAGTTGGGGCTGGACGCGGAAGAGGCCGCTGACGGACGCGTGGAGCTTGAGGGGCGCGTTCTGCCGGTTGGCGAGCGCGGTGCGGAGGTAGATATCGTGCGAGGAGGTATCGCTCTGACCCTGGATGGGGAAGAAGCGGTCGCCGATGCGGAGGCCCTAGAGGTGCAAGGCAACAGCGGCAGCGTCGATTGTTAGCACGGATCGCGAACATAGAATGCGCATGCGTGAGATGTGGCAGACGAAAGTCAGGGTGGATTGGGGTTACTCACAGCGGTGGTCGAACCGTCGCCGGACTGGAACTCGATCTTAGCGCCCACCGGTAAGGAATCGAGCGCATCGAGCGTCTCCGCCGACATGCGCACGATCACAGCTTGCTTCGGCTTGGACTGGGCGGCTCCAAAGCCCTGGAGGGAGAGCGGGGTGTCCGTCGGGAGCGGCATCGTCGTCGCACTCGTGTCCGCGCTCGTGAGTGCTGGTCGCTACTGGTGCCACTCGCGCTCGGCGTGGGGATGGTTGGTGGTATATGGTGGTAGAAGAACAAGCCAAGAGGTAATGGCCCTCTCAAGCCCTGTGTAGGCTGTGGCCGACGACGACGACGTTCTATTGTGTTTTGGTCGCTGTGTGGGCCGCTGATTGTCTGAGCGGGGGATGCGCCCGTCGCGAGCGGAGGCAAAGCCAAACCGCCGGTCCGGGAACAAGGCAGGCCATCGGGCCATCCAACACAGCATCAGTGTTCAATATTACAACGAAAATCCGCCTTCCTCCCTGGGAGCAAGCGGTTCTCTACACACCGACATTAAACTGTACAGTTTATCGACAAGTCAAGTAGAGTATAGCGATGAACGAAGATGCGTGGACGAAGGGGAGAAAGGTACGAGTAAGCACAGCAAAGTGAGACATTAACGACGGGCCACAGCACGATTTCGGCTTATGACAATGAAGGAATCAGTCCTTTTGTTTCTCGCGCGACTGCTGCTCGTGTACGAGCATGTCGACCGCCCGTTCTTCCGCATCGTCGTCCCGCACGTTGTCCGACTGATTATTCGAATCTTTGCCGTTGCCCATGTTGACTACCGTATACTGTTGTTGCGCAAGGGCCTGACGAAGTGACGTGACTTCATTCCGCAGGTTCTGATTCTCAACGCGTAGCTGGTCGACGATGGCGCGACACTCCTCCCAGCGCCTATTCGCCTCGTCCGCAGACGCAAGCGCCGTGTCGAGCAACTGCGAGCGCGCCTCCAAATTCTTCACGTGCCTAAAAGAGTCGCGCGTATATAGCGTAAGCACGGTAGATCGACGCGCCGGGCGAGGGGGTGGAACGGAAGACGCGAGGACAGCACAATAACTCACTGGTCTCGTCGTTCCCGGAAGGCGCGCTGCGCCTTGCGGTTTTGCTCCGCGCGCTTGCTCTGGCTCAGCGGCCGTCCGCCCTTTCCGCCGTCCGAGCTCTGTCCGTCCCCCTTCTGGTGCCCCGGGTCGATGGGTGGCGCGCCACTCATCGCGGCTGGGTGCAGCGACTGTGGCGGCAATCCCCCCGGCGTGTAATCGTACGCGTACATCGCGCCGATGTGCGGCGGCGGGTGCGGCTGGATCAGCGTATGCGGCGGCGGCAGCGAGTGTATCGGCGGGCCCTGATGCTGCTGCTGCGACAGCTGCGATTGTGGTTGCGGTGGCTGCTGCGGATGTGGTTGGGTTTGCTGCGCGGTCGCCGCGGACATTTGCGGCGAGTCGCTTGCCGTCGCCGGCGACTTTCGCTTGCGAGAGGTGCGGCCCGCGGGCTGGTTCACGGTGGGCGGCTCCTCGCGTAGCCGCATGGTGTTGTGCATGATCGAAGTCGAGCCCGACGCCGGCGGTCCGGGGTGCGGGTCGTTCGCGGCGGCGCCGACGGTCGTCTGGGTCTGAGAGGCATTGGCGTTCGAAAAGGAGGACGGGAGCATGGCTGTGGGCGTGTCCGGGTGGGAATAGCCTGGTCTGACTAAGTCTTTAAGTAAGCCCCCGGCACGTGCCGCCCTTTTCCCTTTGCCCTTGCCCGCGGCGCGTTTGGGTTTCTGCGCGGTTCCTTCTCCCTTGGTCGGGACGCATGGGACGCGGCCCCGTACCCCTTTGACCGATTTCTCAGCTGCCTCGCTCCTCCGAATGGCAGCTTTCCGGATGGCAGTATAATAGCCGGCTTGCCCGTTCTCAGGTGGGCGGGCCTATACGGCGTTTCGCCGGCGCGTGTCCCGTACGAAGGCGGCTTGAGCGTATCTGCTTTATTCGCAGCAAAATTACCAGGTCTCGATCAACGGTGGCGAGCCATGTTAACCCTATTCCGAGCTTTGTAGTTTCATCCAAGAGTCTCTCATTCCTTTCCGAGCATGCTAGCGATCGACCCAATCTTACAGACTCTCACACTCACCCGCGCCTCGCAAGATCTAGAGTCATCCTCAGCACGTCATCGCAGCGCATCTCACTGGCTACTGGCTATCTCCTGCCCTTCTGCTCTTTCCTTCGCCCGCATCCGTCGGACGGGGCGGCTCTATAGGACGAGTTGAGATCAGACAAGAGGCGCCTCGAGGTGTCTGCATGCCGAGGGGCTCATCTCTCTCGCCCGTCGACATCGCGCGCTACGTGGAACGAACGCGAATTCAAGGACACATCTCTATTTGAAACGCAATAGCTTCGTACCGGCCCCGACGTCTGGAGCATCTAACACGCAACAGAGACATTGGTCGCGGGCTCATACCGCGCGACTGCGACCCCCCCAAAGATCAAAGTCCAAAGCCCAGTATTCTATTTGGCGTTTCCTCCCGGCGTCGACGGATCCTCGCGAACGTCCGATTCGGAATTACCACCGCAGCAAAGGAGAGAATTGTATGTTGGAACACACCCGTTCCGCTCCCTAGTTGCATGCGCTCCACGGCCGGGTTTCACGGCGCGCCCCTACTCTTCTAGCTTCACGGTGTTGACTCTCATGCCTCGTACCTGGCCACCCGCTCCTCGAGATCCGCGATTGCGCAGCGAGGGGCATCGTCATTAAGAAGAACGCGACCCGCGTTTCGTTGCTTACGCGGGTCAGCGGCTGAGTCAATGTGGCTCGTAATTAATGTGTGCTCACAATCAGCAGACGATGCGCAAACGTGACTTCGCGCTCGTTGCGTGCGCTCGCGCTGCCGATCCGCCTTGCCGGCACGCGTTGTCGCCCGGAGTAAGTCGGGAACGTCGTCTAGAGACGTTTTGCATCCAAGCGCTCCCGGGTCGCGTTCGCCATCTTTCGGGCACGGGTTGCTGTATATCTTTCCACGCCAGGGGCAATTTACAAGCTGCGCTGGCGCGCTGTTGCTGTTCAAGTCGTATTCAAGCTTCCCGCTCCGAAATCAGCTCAGCGAACTCTTTCTGCCGTTGGCACCCCCCATCGCCAAGATCGCCGCAACACTCTGTCTCATCCTGGATTCATCCGTCGACCGATGAATACACATCCCCCGGACCGCTGACTCGAACCACTTCTATGAGCAGAACTGTCTCCGCCGACGTCCATAGGAGATCCAGGAAGCGACCCTCGCCCTGAAAGCCAACATGCAACAAGTCTCCGGCATCTTGTCAATCGCACCTCCAGTCGTCAAGCATCAGAACAGGACTCCACCTGCCCGTCTTCCTGCTGCTGCCTTGTATTCGATATAGACATGGTTACGCGTGCCGATCCCGGAGCGATATGCCATCGCGAAGCCCCCTTGACCCCGTTAGTCGGTCTCACGCACCACGTTCAGAAGTAGGAAGCGCGAGTCCGCCCCGAGCCTATGCAGTCCACAAGCTTTGATGCCCGTCTCATCGTGCACGCACACGGCATACCCTTTTACGCGCCAAAGCGGTCGCCGGACGTCCAACGGCTTTCACGCACCACACCGATCGTCTTCGACGTCCACCGTACCAGTCCCACGTCCTCGCTCCAATAGCTTAGCCCCGTTTTCTCGCCGCGAACGAAAGAAAGAAAAAAAACGTCTCATCCGAGGATCACCACTCCGGCCCGCCGCACTTATCCAGTAAGTAAAACATATGTGCGTCTTACTCATCTGTTTGCGCATCCCGAACCTTCTGCAAACAACTCCGGCGATCTATTCGCCCCGCGGCCAGGTCCCCGCGGGGCTGCATATAGCCTGCCCCGCCTGATGCGTATCGGGTGGCTGTTCGCTGTTGAGTCCGGTTCGGCATCCGCCTTGGTCCGTCGTTTTCGGCAGGTTCGGCGACTCAGGGAAGCCTGGCGGTGGGACGGGATGTGAACGACGCTGCCGAGTTCGGAGGGGCTCAACAGCGTTTGTGTATTATCAAAGACCACGGCCGCAGGCATGGGCCGAGTATTGCCATGCGCGGCGCAGCCCAAGTGTATTGCGCGAGCTACGAGTAGCAGTAGTAGGATCCTCGAGTCTCGAGATTGAATGGCAGTAAGCTGTGCTAGCCCCGTGTCCCTGAACGCTCGTTCGGCGCATTCTCAAGGAGGGAAAGCGTCCAGGGGGGGTGACCAACTCATTCCCACGCGGCCTCCATGCACGGACGTGCGGTATGGCATGCAGAATCGACAGGGATAGATCGAAGCAGTCGGGACAGCGGCCGCATTTCCGGGTCGTATCATGCAATGTGCATGATCCATGCCCCTTCGCCCAGCCATCTCGTCACGCGCACTACGTGTGCGGTACGACCGCGTCCAGCGGCACTCCCACGTCCGCCGCGGCGGTATATGCCTCTTGCAGGTGAACGGCCATTGGGTCCATGATCGCGCGCAAGGTCGAGAGCACCGCGCTTACGGTCTTCTGCAGGCTCCACATTCCGACCGTCTTGATTCGCCGGTTAAAGACGGGGTTCGACTGGCTGACGTGATACGCCATCGCGTCGTAAATCTAGAGGGTGAGTGACGTCGTGAGCACGCGAATTGGTCCGTTCGAGGGTCGTGCTTTACCTTCACGGATATCTCGTTGGTCAGCCCAGCTATGCGAGAAGTGTTAGGTGAGTAAGACGCGGGAAGGAATAGTATCGTTTGCACTCACTCTCCCACAACTGCAAATGTCGAGTCAGTCATCACGAATACTTGATCAGACAAGGTACTCACTGTCCACGCCCCGTCGAACTCGCTGAGGTCCTTGATGACTCGACATCGGATTGGGATCAATGTCCGATTCGCACTGGGTAACCCGTCAATCTCCGCAGCAGAATGGCATGGTGCGACAGAACTCACTTCATGAAGGCCACAATGGGTCGTACGAGCGCGTTGCTCACGTAGCTCAACTCGTTCGTGAACACAGGTACCGCCGCCTTCAGATCCCGGAACCGTAAATCGATGTCCACCACCACCTTGGGCGCGCCTTCGCCTCGCTCCATCTGCTCTAGCGCCTCCTTGTGCTGCTCCTCTTCCGGAACGGTAAGCGGAGGCTTCGCGAGTTCGCGCTGACCCGGGATGCGCTCGAGAGACTGAGATGCCGTGCTGATCGCGTCCGCGATCTCGACGATGAGCGCGTTCAGCGGGAGCTCGTCGTCGGCGTGCTCGCGCGGAAACTTGATGTCGACCACGGCGTCAAACTTGCCGGACGTAATCCATGAGATGGGACCCTCCTGCGTGGTCGCAGCTTGGAGGTGGTCCACGTTCACGCCGTCGATCCGGAAGCGAGACTGCCATCGGAAAGCTTAGCATCTGTCGGATGATGGAAGAATGCCTCTTACCATCCGCGCCCAATTGCTATCCTTGAGATCCCGCTCATTCGTCCGGCCCATGCTCTGCGGCTTATGGAGGCTGAACAAGCAGTTATCGAACTGCCCGACAATATTGTCCGCGCTCAGAAAATCATAGAAGATCCATTGCTTCCTCAACTGATGAAGGTCTGCTCGGAAGATGGAAACAGTATAGGGTCGGAAACCTCCTGGCTGGTGGACGGTGACGAGCACGTCTTCCAACTGCAGCGACTCCAGCTCGAAGTCACCGGGCCTTGCGACATGTCGGTAATCGGCAGGATCGAGAGGATGATCTGGGTCCCAGTGAACTGAACGTCGGTCAACTACGCCGCGAACGCCTTTGACCACGGCATCCTTGACCAGGCCCTTGCCGTCGAGCCAATGGGGAAGCGAAAGTTCAACGTCGATAGAATCCACGTTGAGGTCGAACATGGTGTAGTTCGTGTCTTCCTCGTGAAGGTCGGGTAGGACATCCTCCTCATCCTGATCGTGATAGTTATTGTACGCGGGGTGCGTGCTCACATCGTAACCGACAGCAGTCAAGTGACCAGTTTTTTTGGATGCTCCCGCCGAGGGCTGCATTTGTGCTGCGCTAGGGCTGGGACGACGAGAGACGTATACGTTCCTAAAGGAAAGGCGCGAATCTTTCCACTTGGGGACGATTGCAGACTCGAAGACGACGGTGATCCCAGTTTCCGCTGTCAGATAGTCGCTGATCCCTCGCGCGATGTACTCTGGGTCGTCATGAGAGTGAAGATCCAGGGCAATCGAATGAACTGGCGTACCTTGCAATCGCAGACTGTTGGCTGTTGCAAAAACTACGGAAAAGAATGTGGTGCTAGCGTCGCCCGAATGAGCTTGCGAAGACGGTATATAGAAGCCAAGTACTCACGTCCCTACTAAGATCCAGACCGTTTGGCTCATTATCAGAAGTGTAACAAATCCAGATATATCGTCGGCATTGAAGGGTCGGAACGAACGAATCGTGAACCATTTGAAGCGGATGCGAAGTCGTTGCCAAAAGTTACTCGCAGCTCGTAAAAGGTCGTCGCGTGTGGGCCGGTGTACGTGAGGAAGAGAAAGCGCAAGGCGACGATAGAAGCTGGCATAGGATTGTAGTACTTGAGATCGGGTGGAGCTGGGATCGGGTAGGGTATTCGGCTGCTGTCCATCGGGAGTATCGCCACCGTTGGTCGTGTGCCCTTGCTGTGATTGTGCACTCGTGTATGCTGATTGCGAATTTTCGTCGGGTGTATCTGTATGGTCAGGTTGAGCCGCGTTCGTGCCTGTTTTCCTTGATTCTTCGGGTAGCTCGGCCTCGGCCCGTTTCAAGGACTCCACCTGCCTCCGCGTTTCTTCCCTGTGCCCTCCCTTGCCCGACGCGTACGTTCGAAAGGTTATGCGAACGGGAGCGTGCAGTCCATTCCATTTCGTCGCCTTGTAAATTGGTGTTGGCCGCGGAATACCATACCTCGGAAGAGACCAGTCGACAACCTTCGTAGTGGTGAAAAATGTCCGAATAGTAGAGTACCGGTCAACATTCGCAAGTCCTCGGCCAGACGTTCGAGATGAAGAGACCGCATCGCTACTAGCAGCAGCTAGCAGGGTCCTAAACGATGAGCAAAGCCGAGGCATTGCATGGAAGCGCAGCTGGAGGCTCTTTGCAACGACGAGCCCGAGGTCGTGCGAGCAGTTGTGCGGTGCCTGTCGCGCGTCATGCCACCCGCCCTTCTCCCAAAAGAGCACTTGTCACGTGTCTGTGGGAACAACGCGCCTATTGATCTTTTTCGGAGGCTTGCTTGCTTTGAACAATGAACACCGACAGGCCTCTCTCGGACTTCACTGGGCTGCGCGATGTACAACGCACCGAATAATCTCATACATCCGCATCATTCTGGAAGCATCTGACCGACGTACCGACCACGCCCTCTTGAAAATTTGCCGTCCGTCGGGTCGATGTCACCATACCCATTTGCAGCGGCCCTTGGAATGTGGCGATTGTGTGGATCACTAGGCCAAGTGTACGCTACATTACACCGAAACATTAGATCTTCTTTGTGACTCCACCCCTGCGGCTACTTACATCCAGTGATTCCTGGGACAAAACATCCTCCTGGGGTAGTTGAACTAACTAGATGATCCGAGACACTTACAGACACGTTTTTCACCGCGCATATGCTTTGACATGCAAGCGTCCCGCTGCATCGTGCCATCGGAGATTGCGAGAGGTCGAGCATGCCCCCTATCACGATCGCCCGACTTTTATCCGCCCTGCATGTTGTCGGCGAAGAGCATCACGCGGATGCGTTCGGCGTTTCTTCTGCGCTTTGGCTTCCCAAACTAGGTCTTTGGCGGCATTTAAACGTGCTTTCGAAGCTTGCGAAAGTTAAAATTCACTCTTCGGGATCGCAACCGCCGCTGTCGACGTCGGCGAAGGCGTGCCATTTTCGCTATGGCCGTCCGATGCTTTTGATCGCTGTATTGAATTGTCGCGGCTTATTGGCGCATCTACTCTGGAGTTTTGAACCCGACATGGATGATCGTTCCTCCATGTCATGCTCCATGATGTGCAGCGCACAGTCACTGACCAGGGGCCAATACATTTTCAGGCCCGGAGCGCGCCGTCCATTCCTGTTACGTCTGTGAAAGACCGCGAGTTTATTTCAGGCCCGTGGTTTATAAAGTCAACGCCGTCCTGCCAGCCCTCGTTCCTCAGATCATCAAACGTCTTTGGTCAACATGAAATTTACTGCGTCCTTTATCGCTCTCCTCTCGGTTGTGCCCTTTGCGGCTGCGCAGGTTGCGGAGTGGGGTCAATGTAAGCATATGATATACCGCGAATCCAAACACAATGCTGAAGGCGCATCCTAGGTGGCGGCATCGGCTGGACTGGTCAGTGTTTTGGCTGCGCCCGGTCCTCGTCGGCGTACGCTAATCGTCGCTATTCAAGGCGGAACAACTTGCGCTGCCGGTCTTACATGCACGGTTATCAACGTTAGACATCTTCATTCTGCTCGTAGTTCACCGCTGACAACTTGACCGAATATATAGTCTTACTACTTCCAATGTTTACCTGGAGTAAGGCCTCTTGAATGGTGCATGCGTGCTAAGGATCTTACAACGAATATAGGCCGCATCTAGCAGCGTTCCGCCGCCAACTTCCAGCGTTCCGCCGCCAACTTCCAGTGTACCAACCTCTACCGCCAGCTCACCCGGTAGCAGCCCGACCGTTAGCGGAAGCGGCCTTAACGCGGATGCGCAGGCTGCCGGATTCAAGTACTTCGGCTCCGCGACAGACAACAACGAGCTCTCGGATACCGCCTACGTCAACATTCTCAAGGTTCCGAGCCAATTCGGCCAAATCACGCCCGCGAACAGCATGAAGTGGGACGCGACCGAGCCCACCCGAGGCCAGTTTACGTTTACGGGGGGCGACCAGATCTACAACTTTGCCAAGGCGAACGGGCAGATCGTGCGAGGTTCGTATCACTCTCTCGTCGTTCACGTCCCCGATTTGACGTCGACATATTGAATGCAGGTCACAACTGCGTTTGGTACAACCAGCTCCCGTCATGGGTCTCCAACTCGGGCTTCAACGCGGCGACGCTCACGTCCGTCATCCAGACGCACTGCAGCACTATTGTGAGCCACTACAAAGGCGGCATCTACGCCTGGGACGTCGTCAACGAGCCCTTCAACGACGACGGCACATGGCGCACGGACGTGTTCTACAACACCCTCGGCCAGTCCTACGTCGCCATCGCGCTCAACGCCGCGCGCACCGCGGACCCAAACGCGAAGCTGTACATCAACGAGTACAACATCGAGTACCCCGGCGCGAAGGCAACCTCGCTGCTCAACCTCGTCAAGAGTCTTAAATCGCAGGGCACGCCCCTTGACGGTGTCGGGTAAGTTTCCCCCACCCGCACTCGCGATCCCCGGCTATCCGCCAGATACTCACCCGAGTCCGTCGCGATAGCTTCCAGTGCCACTTCATCGTCGGCCAAGTGCCGACCACACTCGGCCAGATCATGTCCCAGTTCGTCGCGACCGGCGTCGAGGTGGCCGTGACCGAGCTCGACATCCGCACTACGACGCCCGCCTCGACGTCTGCTCTGCAGCAGCAGCAGAAGGACTACCAGTCCGTGGTGAGCCAGTGCAAGGCGACTACCGGATGCGTGGGCATCACCGTCTGGGACTACACCGACAAATACTCGTGGGTGCCGAACACGTTCTCGGGCCAGGGTGCCGGTATGTTGTCTATTGCTCTCGGTGACGCGGGCGCTGACAGACGGTGATTGCAGCTTGCCCTTGGGACCAGAATCTGGTGGAAAAACCGGCGTACCAGGGTATTGTCGCTGGTTTCCAGTAGAACCTTCAGGGAATGGCTTCAAGCCCCTCTGGCTGTCAAAACTCTCGTACGCGCACGTCTTATCGTCTTGTTGCTCTGTCATGCATGCACTGGAGAATATATATTGGTGTTCTGTGGATACAATCTTCGGGTTCAAACAACGACAAGTAATAGTTCGACTGATACAGCAGGAGGCGGGTCACAGGATCCCTCCACCCATAACCTGGATGCCGAAAAATATGATACATTGTGAACGAACGAAGGGAGGTAGAGAGAAAGAGAGAGAGAGAGCACGTTATTTTCTTCCGTCTCTTCGTCACGCAAAATCCAACACTCGCACTATCCCGTCCCGGTCCCCGATAGCGACGCGGCCCACCGCATCCTCGAGGGCCACCGCCGTGAGCTGGTACCGGCGCGCCGCGACCTCCCCGACGCCGCACCGGCGCGCGTACACGTGCCCCTCGCCGGCCCACGCCTCCGACGCGTCCTCACCTGCCCCGCCCACGCCCACGTCGAGCGGGACGACGCAGCGCGCGGGATAGCGTTCGCGCCCCGAGGGCGCGGCGAGGTTGCGCGTCACGAGGCAGACGCCGCGCCCGCTCGGGCCGAACGCGAAGCCCCCCGCGGACGGCGGGAGCGCGAGCGGGAGGATGTCGAGGACGATCGCGCAGGGCGAGCCCGATCGTTCCGGGTCGAAGACGAGTCGCGCGACGCGCACGCCCGCGCCGTCCGCGAGGCGCAGGACGATCGTGGCGGACGGGGAGCCGGAGTCGGGGTTGGGCAGGACGGTCGCTTCGGCGCAGGCGGAGGCGAGCGGGATCTCGTAGCCCGGGTCGTCAGGGACGGTGCGGAGGACTTCGTCCGCTTCGTTGGGGTCGGCGACCAGGGGAACGAGCGCGATCGAGCGCTCTTGTACGGCGAGCACATACCGTGGGCCGCCGCGGCTGCCGAGAAGCCGAGCGGCGCACACGCGATTGCGCGTTGGGACCTGTGCGCGTTTTTATCAGTCATGTCATGGACATCAGAGGAGAGAAATGTTGAGGACGTACGCCGTCAACGAGCGGGTACTGCTCCACGGCCGTGAGCGCAGTGCGCGCGCCGGTTCGCCAGTTCCAGAGCGTTAGCGATGAGCCAGCGAGGACGTGCGCACCGCGGAGGGAGCAAAGTGGCGCGAGCACGTCGAGGTGGCCGTTGAGAGTAGCTTCGACGATGAACTCGCCGTGGAACTCGTCGAGAGAGAGTACGACGAGCGTTTCGCTGCGTGAGTTATTGCAGTCAGTATCAGCAGCGGAAGAAGCGAGATACCACGCACTCGACAGGTCCAATGTAAACTACGGCGAGCTGACCCGCGCTCGCGGGGTCCTCGTTCGCGACGATCTCGAGCGACGAGCCGGAGGGCGGGAACCACATTGCGACCGCACGTGGATCGGCGCCGCATAGAGGCACGTCCAAGCATACGAGCATGGATTGGCGGAACACGGCGACGAGGCGTTCGCCGCCAGATCCTGGCAGGAAGCATATCTGTGACACCGAATCGCCGACATCGACACCGGTGCACAAGATAGAGCAGAGGGTGAAGAGGGAGAGGGGGAGAGACGAGGAGCGCGTGGGTTTGGGTGAGCCGGAGCGCCAGTTACGGTCGAGGCGCGCGGCACGGACGGCCCGTAGCTCGAGCGCGCGAGCGGAGGCGGTGCGAGGGTCGAAGTGTTCTGGGGCTGGGATGGGCAGGCGCCGTGCAAGGACGTGCCGTGCGAGGGCGTCTTGCCAGACCCAACGCGTTCGCGTTACGGCGCCGAAGCGTTTGGAGGTCTGTTTCGCGATGCCGTCTGGTTAGTGAACGATCCGAGAGGACGAAAGCTGGAACGTACGCGGCGCAGTGAGAGGATGTCGTCGACGGCGAGGAAGGTGAAGAGGTGCAGGACGAGGTCATCGGGCAGGGCGCAGAGCGGGGAAATGCAGCGGAAGACGTCGTTCGCGACGCTGCCGCTGCCGCTACGTGGGGGGCACAGTTGTTTTGTGCTGATAACGGAAACGTAGGCGCTTGATTTCATCCTCTTCCACAGGACACGCCTTCGGGGTTGTTGTACCCTAGCATCCTTCGTATCGCGCTCCTCTGCAGGCTCGCTCTCCTGAGTCATTCTTGCGCGGGCTTGGACCACAATCGATGGGAGAGCGTTCCTCTCAAGTTCCGAAGCGCATATATAGCAGATAAAAACCCTAGTGCCCGCGCCCGAAATGAAGGAAGAGGACGAAGGATGCAAGGGAGGGCCCCCGAAGCGGGAGTTGAGTTTGTGGCTACCCTTTTTGGGAACCGCTCCCCGCCCCGGCCTGCCGGCATTTATATATGCGCGCGGTGATCGAGTTCATGGTCGGCGCTGTTTGAGGACGAGGTGCGCGGTTGCCGTCGAGACGCTATAGAGCGGATCCTCGAGCGTCGGAGTGGGTGGAGGCCGTGAGCAAAAGCAGCCAGCCAACTGAGTGTGGGGTCACAAAAGGCTCGAATGAAGCGCCGTCTTCGCATGTGACGTATTTGACGGGATCGCAGACAATAACCTCCTTACCGCGAGGCATAATCCCCGTCCAACGTGTAAGCCATCGGTGGCGATTGCCAACAATATTATTATCACAGACCGTCGAGCTCGTCGCAGTCCTCGGACCGACATCGAGCGCGGACCGTGATTGAGGAAGATGGCACGTGACATCCATTCCTCCGCGCACGCGGGTGGCGGTGCTGCGCGCGCACAATGGCCTGCTCTTTGTTCTCTCGTCCGGAAGGAAGCCGCAGGGACACATTGCTCCGCGGAGGAAACCATGGCCACAACAAGACAATGGCCCGTCCTCGTCAAAAGGCTGCCTGAAGTGGCTGCAGCTCACGCCCATAAGGGTTTCTGCCCTCCGACTCCGCTTTCTGTCCTTCCCCCTCACGCCCTCGTCGACGACCCCCATAGACGTTCCGCGCGCCGTCGCCGGCCGACATCTAACCTACGCGCGCCCTCCTCTCAACGTTTTGTCTGATATATTCTGGATGTCCGCAACGCCTCCTCGACGCTGGATGACGCCACCGCCTGCCTACGACGCGCCCGCCTCCACCGGGCTCACGCCCTACCTTCGCCTCCCGCACCTCCTTTCGCTCACCTGGCTCGCCTACCCGATCCTTTCTCTTGTCTTTGTTGTCTTCCGCCTTCTTGAGTCGTCAGCGGCCTCACAGGATGCGGCTACCAATGCCAAGGCAGACCTCCTCGCGAGCTGTAAGGCCGCGGAGCACGCCGCCACCGCCGCCGCGAGCATGCCGCGCTACATGGCTGCCGCTACGAACCAGCAGATAGCTGACGCTGTGAACGGGACCATGAACGGTGGGCATCCTTATGATTCCGCTGTGATGCATCGCTGATCCTGTTGTCAGGTGCGCGTGCGGCTCTGGTCCTTGCCTTGACGGTCATGGAAGCCATCATCAACTTCATCGTCGACATTTACCGTTCCACGTTCCTCTGCTTTGTCGAACTCGTCGTTCGCGGTGGCCTCTCTATCCTCATTAGCGCTGTGAAAGAGGTAAAGTTGATTGAGCAGTGGAATACAGAATCATTCATTGACGCGCTCCTCCAGCTCAGCGACTTCATCGAGAACACGTTCAACGGCCTGCGGACTTCGATTCAGAACGACATTGAGACCGCCAACTCCGCAATAAACAGCACCATCAATGCGATCAACAAGGTCAACCCGTTCAGCGACATCAAGGCGCCGCAGATCTCGGTCCCAAGCCTGACCGCGCTCGAGAACGTCACGCTTCCGACCGACTTTGAACAATCGCTCGAGTCGTTGAACAATTCCATCCCGTCGTTCTCCGAAATCAAGGACAAGATCGAGTCCATGTACGTTCTTCTCTACATTTCTCCCTCGCCCTCGATCTGACACCCCTGATAGCATCGACACCCCCTTCGAGCTGCTCAAGAAAGACATCAACGACACCTTCGCCAACCTCACCTTCGACGCCTCCGTCCTGCCCGTCCCGGAGCAGAATACGCTCGCCTTTTGCGACGGGCTCGACACCTCCGTCGTCGACGACCTCGGCCGCGACCTTGCCAAGCTCACCAAGATCGGGATCCTCATCCTTGCCCTTGCCGCACTCCTCCTTCTCGCCGGCCACTGCGCGCTCGAGTGGTACAAGTGGCGGTGCCTGAAGCAACACCTCCGCTACACGCGCGAGGCGTGGACCACCGACCCCACGCTCTACGCCAAGTCGCAAATCGCCATGAACGCCGCGCCTGAGGTCAAGCTTACGGACCACAACCTGATGATGCTCCAGGCGAGCGCGCAGCACCCGCTCCTCACCCGGATCGCGAACCAGCTTGCGGCGCGCCTGCGCCTCTCCCCGACGCAGCACACGAACCTGCAGTGGTCGCTGCACTATGTCTTCCACCCGCCCGCTCTTGCCTGCTTCCTCATCGGCTTCTTCGGTCTACTCTCCGTCGAGCTGCAGCTCGCCGCCGTGCGCCCGCTCGAAGCGCACTACCAGGCCCGCGCTGTCGCCACCACCGCCGACTTCTCGAACACCATCGCCGCCAGTATGTCCGCCAGCATGTACAACCAGTCGGCCGCGTACGCGGACGACATCAACGCCCGCGTTGCCGCGGTGCAAAGCACGATCAACGACGGCGTGTTCGGCTGGGTGAACGGGACAACGACGACGCTCAACGACACCCTGAACGCGTTCTACGACGACGTCCAGGACGCGGTATCGGCCGTGTTCAACGGCACGATCCTCGAGAGCCCCGTGCAGGAGTTCATCCGATGCTTCATCGGCTCCAAGGTCGAAGCGCTCGAGGACGCCCTCACCTTCCTCCACAACAACCTCGTCGTCGACATCCCGACCGTCAACCAATCCGTACTCGTGCTCTCGCCTGCGCAGGTTGATGAGGCTACGCAACCTATCGCTGCTGCTGCCGTAGGAGGCAACGGAACCGACAGCGGCGGGGTCGTCGGGCGGCTGGTGAACAGCTACGTCGCCTCGCTCAAGAAGGAGCGCATCATGTTTGCGCTCTTCCTCGGCCTCTGGGGCGTTGTCGTCCTCATGGCGCTCGCCATCGTCTGGTGGCACAGCTACGGCCAGCACTGGCTCGAGGCGCGTCGCCGGCGCAAGTGGGAGCGGCAGCAGCGGGGCCCCGTCCCCCTCCCCGCACCGCAGACCCGGGACATCGTCGCGGACGAGAAGGGCGTGCAGCACGTGTTCGCGACACCGGACCCGTTCGCGGTGGTGCGCTCGCCGCGGGACGCGCGCCGGAGCTCGGAAAGCTTTTTCGACCATTCCGCCACACCGGAGCCGCGGCCCGCGGCTCGTGCACGCTTCACCATCTCCGCGCCGCGCAGGCTCATGGCGCTCGGCCGCAAGCGCGAAGGCGAAGGCCTCGCGCCAGCACCCGCCGAGAAGACGCCCGCATCCGCTGGCTGGCTCCAACCCTTCACGCGCCTGTTTTCTCGCTCGCGTTCCTCCGATGACGACGACGACGCGGTCTCGCACACCTCTTCCGCCTCCTTCCGCGCGCGCCGCCCGGCGCACCTGACCATCGCCGTCGACGCCGCCTCCGACGACGGCCGCGCGCATCCCGGCGTCGATCGTGCCTCGGAACTCAAATCCGCGTGGTCCGTCTCCCCCGGCCCGAGCGCGCCCGCGACCACCACGGCCGAACCCTACCGCCCGTGGACGCACAACATCGTCCCGAGCCCCCCGCCGCCCGGCCTGTTCCCCGTCGCGCCGCTGACGCCCAAGTGGCGGCGCAAGGCGAGCGTGCCCGAGAACGTCGAGGAGGAGCTCCCGCCCATGCAGCAGCAGACGCGGTTCGTCGCGCCGCTCCCGCTCCACCACGCGTTCCTCCACCACCACCAGCAGAAGGAGCCGTCCCCGCCTCCGGCGGCCTCGCCCGCCGGCACCGCGGGCGCACCGTGGCCGTGGGCGATCAACGCGCTCGCGCCGCCGCCCCCGCTGCAGCAGCGTGGGGGTCCGCTCGCGTCCGTAGACCCGTTCACGACGCCTTTCGACGACGAGCACGCGGTAGCTGTGAACCCGGCCAGGATGTCGTTCGGGCCGAGGGACAGCCGGCCCTCGCTCATCAACCCGTTCGCGGGCGGCGTGGCGATCTGAGTGTCTTCCCGATCCATTCTTCTTCTCTCCGCGTAGGCTAAAGCTCCTAATCGCCGCTGGGCCAATGAATGCTCTGTGCTTCTACTTGATCTTTATATCCATACGCTCTTCGTCTTGTTCCCAACCCATTGACGCACGCACTCGAATGACAGGTATCATCATCTCAATAGCAATTGTATCTCTAGCGTGTCCTGCTGGCTTCCGGACTGTACGTACGATAGTACTTCATCGGTAATCCATACGTTCTTTGTATCATACGCAATCGCCTGAAACCTTGCGGTAAACGAGGACCAAACGGGACTGAGTGTTTTCCATCGCTCGATTTTAGTGGGGCCGGCTACTGCTTTTTCGGCGTTGCGTTTACCCCTGCTCGGTTGTGCTACCATTGACAGGGTACCTCCCTTTGAGCACCTACGGCAGGTTCACGACGAGCAGCGTCGTGGACGGTGAATCGATGTGCACATGCTTCGTCTTGCACGCGGTGTGACTGCCGCCAACGGTCCGCCGATCTCCAAGCGGTGCTAACTTACTCGACTCCGTGCGCACACGACTGATAGGTTATTGGTCAGTACACATGCGTGTACAGTACCTCGAACTACAATATGAACTACGTTTGCCGCTTCCTACGCGGCGTATACCGACGTTTGCACGACTCATACTTTTCGTCGCAGGAGCCGCCGTTCATCCAGCGCATGCTATTGCGAATCGTCCTTTGATGCAGGCGACATGTGCCATTTGCCTGCTACGTTCCCGACCTCTCTGCGGAACGAACTCAAATCATTGCAAGAGGAAATTCGGAACATCCATCGCAAGATGATCGCGGTCAAACGGAGATACAACACCTCTCTTCCTGTCTCCCGCCTTCCGCCAGAAATCCTCTCTGAAGTCTTCTCGCATGCGCAGGACGATGGCATTATCAAGCGCGTACAATTCCCGTTCGAACGGACCTGGTTTCGTCGGCCACTCATTCCACCTACCGCACACGTTTGCGATCGCTGGCGACGTGTTGCCTTAGGCACGCCATCTCTGTGGATATCTTGGACCTCGGCCGTCGAAAGCTAAGCCTGAATCTCTATGACCACTTCCGCTTTCCTCTCCGAGTGTTTGGCTCTCTCGAGGGCTGGGAACACGGCGAACGCTGCCGGCTCTTGGACGAGCCGTCACGAATTACGGAGCTGGACATACGGATCTCGCAGAGGTTCGACGCATTCGACAGTTTTAGAGGGTTATTGCCTTCACTGCGACGCCTCTCTGTCTCCTTGAACCCTGAAGGAGACATTTCGGCGCTCAGAAAATGGTTGGACTCAATAACGGCACCTGATCTGTTGTCATTGGAGTTACTCGATGTGAAGCTGACGGCATGGACAATGCCGTTGTTCCTATCCCCCAAACTCCGTTTTTTGGAACTCCGGAAAGACCCTGAATCAGCCTCTCCGCCGCTAGAGCATGCCCTTGGAGTACTTGAAAACATGACACAGCTACAATGTCTTCACCTCACGTTCAGCACACCTACTCCTCCAAGGGAGCCTCCTTTCGCATTGCGACACTCAATGGTCTCCACGCGCTCAGTTACATTGCCTGCATTGCAACAGCTTACCATTTGCGACAGTGCAACTCAGTGCATTACACTTCTCCATCATCTTATCCTGCCGCGTCTTACACGCCTTCTGATTCGTGTCAAAGAGGGCGCAAATGAAGTAGACGAGGATGGGGAAACAAAATATGAGCTCCTCTGGGACATTGCACGCATGCACTGCAATCTCCTCGCTCCATCAGTCGGTGCAGATCAATTCGTGGCATTCCGGATGACTCTCCAAGGTGGATCGTTCTTCTTGGACTACGGCCTGACTGACGGCAGTCACGTTAACATGGGAGATCTCCCGCTCTCAATGTGGTTCTCATCGAATACGCACAACGTCATCTTGGCCAAGTTACAAGCACGCATGGGCGTGCTCAAGCCAACGGTCTTGTGTATGGACGGTGACTACGGAACCCCGCACCTTTGGTGCACCGTCCTATGTCAAAATCCCCAAATGCACACATTGATCCTAGGCGAAGACACATCGACTCTTGGCTTCTTATATGCCCTCACTAGAGAATGCACGTATGGTCATGGTGATAATGTGGCTCCGAATCTCTCGTCGTTATCCATCTTTGCTAGTTCTTACACATTCGAGAAGGAGGAAATCGACGATGTACTGGATCTTTTGCACACGCTGGTGGAGAGGCGCAACGGGAATAATGTTGCAACCAAGACTAGAACCTCGCCTATCGAGTTGTTGACATTTGCAAACCCCTCGCCACACGAGGACGGGAACCCAGTTTTCGTAGCTCTCAAAGAGAATCCCATGTTCGCAAGGTTGAAAGTCCTGGTACCCGTGATCCAAATTGTACGTGAAGCAGATTTTCCTTCGCAGGCGTGTCGCTACGCCTAGGGTACCATACAGTCACATCCGATAGCAGCGGTATCAGGTACCCGCTGCGACTCACTTGATGATCGTGCCGTCTTCGTGTTTCTTGTCATATTCGTCGTTCGTTTCTTCACATTAATGATATATGGTCAGCTAGTTCGGGTGAAATGATAGATTCACGAAAACCATACACAGGATGACAGCTGTCAGTTGCTTCAGAGTTGCTGGATGCTCTGCTAACAGCGTCGTAAAGTCCATACTATCGGTCTATGGAAGCGACCCCACTATCCCGATCGGAGAACTTCGAGATTGTAATATGTATACACGATGTCGCTAGCAGTCGTATGTGCGCTGGAAAGATTCGGTGCACGATTCCCTATATTTCATAGACTTCTCAATCGTCCAGGGCATACGACCTTGAACGGCATTGATTTGTAAATGACGTGATGCCCCAACGAAACGATATCCGAATCGCAAAGCAGTGTAGCGCTCGGCGATGACGCAGGGCCGTACCGACATCAATGTCAGCGCTGACATCATCACTCCTGCTCGCGGCGTGCTTCTCGCTACTCAACGCCCGTGGCTGCGCGCTACTCTTTGCTCTCGTCGCTCGTCGCCTCGACCCACTACGCTCCGGACGTACGGCTGCCGCTCAACAGGCACGATCGATACCTGCGCAGGCGGCCGACAACTCAAGATCACCAGGATCAGGACGGTTGGGAGGGATCGAGAGGATCGAGAGGATCGAGGATGATGGCGCACGGACCCTAGACGATGCGTATAATAGACTTGCTCTTTCTTGTATCGTATTCCAGCACCCGGCTCACCAGCGTCTCCGTGTACACACATTTCATATCTATCTACGTGCGAACCACGACAGCGATACGAATCAGCAACA